CAGCCGCCGCCGTTACAAGAAGTCGGTTGAGGGGGTAAAGGGGGTGGGGGAGGTGTATCGGCAATAAACTTAGAACAGCTTCAGCATCAAAGATGACCTCCCAGCGATCACGAGCGATCTCGATGCTGGGTTGCTATTGACAAGGAAGTAGATGCGAAGGGGGGAGAAAAATGACGAGAAAGATGGGAAAGGGAAGTTCGTGTGGGAAGATCATGGAGATGTCAACATGAGATTTTGATCACCGCACCTTGTATCGTCCAGGATAAAGCTGAAACCAGGCGATCATCGCGAACAGCACGTAGAAGAAAAGGTGGCTGGTTGCCAATGGTGCGCCTTGAAAGGGGCCCTGGGGTTTTGGTGTCCTGGTGGCGGGCTGGCTGGGGGCCGTCGCTCTTGGAGCGGCCCAAGGCGGGTAGTCTCGAATGCCGCTCTGCAGGTGGATCTGTCCCGAGGGGTACCTTGGACGTGATTATCCGTATGGAGAGAGTGCAGGTAGTGCAGCCGCTGTGATGATGACATGGGGGTGTACCTCGGTAGGGTACTTGTCCTTCATGCCTGTCCTGCGTAGAAACGTTCGGCCGATCGACCTCCGTCGCACGGTTGATCGTAGGGTGACCCCGACTCTCTCGAACCTCCCGAGAGTCCCACTCAATTTCCATCAATTGATATTAGTTGTGCGCCAGAAAAGGAGTATTACTAAAACTTCTCGAGGCCGATGAATGGCACAGAATCACGCTCCCGCTGCCGCTATAGTGATTTTCTTTCTCTCTCTTTTTTTTTTTTCTTTTTCTTCTAGCCCTTGAGTATAGAATTGTTTGTAGGCCAGGGTAACAAAGAGCTTTTTGTCTTCCCATATATGCTCGATTTAAGTATTTGATCAACCCTTTTGCTGTAGCGAGTAAGGGCAGGTTTGTGAACTTCAACGTTCTGTGAATTGCCAAGTTTGGTCCTCATGGTTCTAATTGTGTGGTGGCCTAGACCCAATGTTCGTCGCTATTTTTGAGATTGGCCAACCATCCTGCAACGCCAATCGGCTTCCGCGACAGAGGCAAAGAACCTTACCCGTATTTTTCCTGGTTATAAGAACCGAACTTTAGTCGTTGCGTGGAACGGGTTGTACCCCATGCCGCTGCTGTTAACGAAAATGACCTTGGCTGATGAAGAGGCGAACGGAAGTAATTTCATTGCTTCAGGAGACTCCATGTAGGTATTTGGCGAGGCCTGGCTCGGAGGTTTTTGCGGGTTTCTGATCGAGTTGATTGACAAAACCGAGAACGCCGAGGCGGATTTGGCCGCATTGGCTAGCACGTTTTCTCGATTGTCGCCCTGCGAGAGCTTTGGGACAGGTAGGAGATGTGGGACAGTGGACATTTGATTTCTCCGTGCTGAGATCTATTATTCAACTTATTAATGGGGTTTGCCTTATTTCCCCTTCCTCGCCACTCCCGCGGGACCAACACTTTAAGGGGTTCCCCAGATTTGCGCTATCAAATTCAAATATCGGTGGTGGATTGCGTCACGTAGCAAGCAACTTGACGGCTTTTATGTGGAGCGCCGAGCGGAATCAGTGGCCGACTCAGGTGGCACAGGGATGTTGATCGGAGATTGAGAACCCCGAGTTAAGACGGTGGACGGAACAGCAGAGTTTATGTAGAACGGGCAGCATCGCCTTAACATCACCTGTTGCCTCGCTGGCCCTTCTCGCTGTGGCTAGCCATGGTGGCTGGCCGTGGACATCAATTCTAGGAGGTGGCTGTTGGGAGCGACTGACATCTGGCTGCACAGCTGTTTGCGATTTGTTTTGGCGCAAAGTGCATGCTCTACACACCTACATACACATGCATGCATGAATGCAGCTGTCGCTGCTTTTTCTTCTTTTTTCTTTTTTTCTTTTGCGGGTGGTGCTGAATATTTTGATGGACAAGAAAAGAAAATGCTGCAAGACCCAAGGATATTTGAACGAAAGTGTTTACCTGCATGAGTGTTCTGCGCCTCTTTCACGCACTCTGTCCCCTCTCGTTCCTCCTCCCTCTCACTCTCTTTGTGCCTCTCGCTCTTCCCGGAGCCAGAAGAGAGGGAGTAGGGAGATGTGGCTGCACACGTCAACCTGCTATCCGCAAGTGATGCCTATAATATTTCAAGTCGTTGTCGCGGTTGGGCTGACAGAGACCCCCTCCTCATCCAGCCATGCACCAATTTTCCACTAGGGATATGACCTGCCAAGCATGTTCGGAGTTGCACTTCGGTAGATCAACGCATGGCGGAGGTCAACAAGACCCCTCAAAACTTAAGATCAATTGGCGTGAAGGGACGGCATGGGGGTGATATCCCTACATACTAAAAAGTCGACCTCAAAAGAAAGAAGAAAAAAGCCTCCGCCGTTATCGTCCCTTCCCTATATTTGTAGAGAGAAGTGCAAATTCTGCCACTCTGCCGGCGATTGCTTGGCCGTCTATCGAGGTGTTTAGCGTCTCATTAAGGTTTTATTTCCTTCATTTCCTCGGGGTCTATGGAATTAATCTGGCTTCATGACTGAATGCGGTGTAGTGCGGTGCATGCCAATGTTCCGCAACGCTCAGAAGCACCACACTGGAGACTGGAGAGAGTTGGGGTGTCTATGCTGGAGGACAGGTCGATCGATGGGTCCGTCCTCAATGGCCATGACGAGCTAACGCATTTTCGAAGAAGTTAGCGCTCAAGCTATTTTGTGGTGGGCACACTGTGAACCAACTTACTCGGAACAGCGCGATGAGGAAGGAGCTAGCGAACCCACGCCTAGGCCTGCCCCAGAAATTTTTATGCCGCGGCAATCTGGATCCCTCGATACCCAATCAACCAAGCTAGCCCGCGATGACGATATCTAGTGTATTCCTGCCTGCATCTCCTAGGGCTTCAAGCCGCTGCCGAATGGGCTTGAACCTCTTGCAACAGAGATCGATCAATTCATGGACCTCTCATTTATCTCTCTCCGGTCAGGCCCTTTCTCCATCCAGTGCAATTGTAGCGACTCGAGTCACACCAAACTCGGAATGCGGGTGGACGAAGAAATTCGACGAGACATTTAATTACGACAGAGGCAGTTCTCAACCTTAGGCGGTTATCAAATCTCCAAATCAAATGCCCGAGCTTGGTCACTGTCATTGAGCATCTTCTTGACGGATAGTATTCAAAAGTAAGCAAGCGACATGTCAAACTTCTATCGACTTGGGGACAATTCGTATGTCGAGGTACACTCCCTGATTTAGGTAACCACATTGAGATGGACGTTCGCATCGGTGAGGATGCTGGGCATGGGGGATGAGAGGCTCGGCGCCTTTAATAATTTTCGCTGGTCAGAAAAGTTCAACAACAAGAACTTGCATTGTGATATTCCATCCGATCGGCTAGGTTTTTGTTCTTACTCTCATGGATATATATATCTCTGGTGGTGCCTGAATTGTCCCATCAGTCTCCCTTTTCCTTTTCTTCTTTTGGCCGCATCACGAGTGGCCATTGCAGCTCTCTCCGACGGAAAAATTATCTGCAGAAGGGCGGAAACTATTGTCGTTAAATGCATAATCCCAGACCAGACACCGGGACAGGCGGAGACAAAACTTTCCGGCACCAAGAACTCAGACCGGCGCACAAGCTCGAGGTAGGCGGCACCGCTAGCCATGGGTCGACGGCTGACTTGTGGCTGCTGTGGTTACTGTACTTGGGCGTCTGCATGTTTCAAGCAGATGTGGCGACGAGCCCAGAAGTACGGATACTCCCACTCCTGGTGAAAGGGCCCGCCCAACCGCCGAGCCCGAACGCTGGTTGAAGGGGGAACCCGGCAAGGAAGGGCCAGCCACAGCACGAGCTTTCCAGGAGACGGAGAATGGGGGCGCAAGCTGGTGTTATGTCAGCTAGGCCTGTGCTGAAGGAACACGACGGTACCCACTGGTTGCCCAGGCTCGGGATTGGTCCCCATGCGCTAGAGGCTTGGGAGGGTTACCCTCCGGAGCATGGAGTGTGTACGTACCACATACCCTTGCTGAGCGCCCACATCGGGTACGTACCTGGACGGAGAAAGGCCAGCAAAGGACGGGAGTATTCCCGTACCAAACACTCCCATGGTTTAAGGGGGTGGGAAGGGGTGGAGAAGGCGGAGGGGGTGAACCTGGCTTGCTCCAGAAGGGAGGGGTGGGCGGGTGTGGTTGCGCTGAAGTGTCGTGTCTCCTCGATCGCTCCACACCACCCACCACTCCACACCCCCGGCTAAGCAAAAGACGTACAAGGTCTCGCGGTACCCAGCAGTAGTAAAATAAAGTACACATAAACACCTGCATGGATGTTCCTCGCTTGGCATGCCACGCCGCCGTGTGATTATGAGATCCATTGCCCGTTCCTTCTTTCTTCTCGTGGGTAAGGTAAGTTTGTGACAGAGCGCGAGTGCCTTTCGCCGTCATTTTGTGGCATCCTCCCCATCTCTCCTTCTGCCCCATCTCCCCAACTCCTTTCGTCCCGTTTTCTTCTCTTCACCCCAACCCTTCCAAAGCCTTTGCGGCTGGTCGCCATCTTCACCGGGCCTCTTCCAATTCCACCGCTTCTCCCTTCTCCCGATTTTGGTAAGTCTCCGACATCTCTACCTGCCTCCGAACCCCTTCTCTGCCCTCTTGTTTTGCCCTTTGTCAGCACCAAGCAACCCCGTTCAACCCCAAGCTTTTCGCCATTCCATCCAAAGCGCGGCCTCATTCCATCATCTCGGATCATCACCATCCCCATCACCACCACGCCCTGTCGCCACTCCCATTCCATCGCGCGACATTTCTCTTTCTTTCCTTTCCATCGTGCTCTCCAGTGTCATAGCGCTCTGTCTACCTTGTGCTAACGTAGGGTCCATTAAGCCTAGTTTTGTCGTTACTTAAGGACCGCTCGTGACTGGTGCCGTTCCGGGCGAGGCAAGCACTTTTTCCTCTCTGGCCCTGCCGCGACACCATAATTTTGCCGCTATGGCGAATCATCATCCCTCGCCGACCATGATGCAGATGCAGCATGGTGGCCCTCAGGCCCCCGCCTCCGCCTCCCCAGGTCGGAGGTCCCGTCAGCCAGCCTGGCCGTTATAGCGCACCATCGCGACAGATTATGGCTTTGACCGAATCTGTTTGGATGCAAATTGGTAGGCCCACGCGCGCGTAACCAAACTGGCGATTGTTTGATCGTTGGTTTTTTCCAGAATGACCTGCTAACCGCCCATTTCTCACGCGCAGGAAGTCTTGCTGAGGTTCTCAACAGTCCAGATGAGGCCGTGGCCGCGTATGAGTCGGCCCTCAGGGCCAACCCCAGCTCTGTGCCGGCCATGACTGCCATCTCCTCATCTTGCGGACTCGCGAGGAATTCCACAAAGCCGTGGGCTATCTCCAAGATGTCTTGAAATTGGAACCAAATAACGGTGAGGCATGGGGAAGCCTTGGTATGTCGCCCACTTCTTCTGCAACGTCTCCTTCTTTCAGCTAACACTAGGGCGCGATAGGACACTGCTTTCTCATGATGGACGATCTTCAACAGGCCTATACCGCCTATCAGAATGCCCTTGTCAACCTTCAGAGTCCAAAGGTAAGCCGGCACAACTCTGGGCCCAGCAACATCTTCCCAGTGAACTCGATGACTAACATTCCCACGTATAGGAACCCAAACTTTGGTATGGAATTGGCATCCTCTATGACCGTTGGGGATCTCTGGAACACGCCGAGGAAGCATTTTCCCAAGTTATGCAGATGCAGCCCGACTTTGAGAAGGCCAACGAAATTTATTTCCGCTTGGGCATTATCTACAAGCAACAATCAAAGTATAACCAGAGCTTGGAGTGCTTTAAGTACATCGTCAGCTCCCCGCCCCACCCTCTGACTGAAGAGGATATCTGGTTCCAAATTGGCCATGTTCACGAGCAGCAGAAGGACGTAAGTCGCCACCGGACTTTCCCGAGGCCTTGGCCTGTGACTTCCCGAAGAATTCGCGCTAATCATTATCTTCAACATAGTACGATAATGCCAAGGCCGCCTACCAGCGTGTTCTGGATCGTGACCCCAACCACGCCAAGGTGCTTCAGCAGCTTGGTTGGCTCCACCATAACCAGAGCAGCAGCTTCCAAAGCCAGGAGCGCGCGATCGAGTTCCTAGAGAAGTCCGTCGCAGCTGGTACGATCTATTCCCATACCCGAAAACGTGTACTGGGCCGCCATGCTAACCTGATTATTATTGACAGACACCAATGATGCGCAGAGCTGGTACCTGCTTGGTCGCTGCTACATGTCGCAGCAGAAGTATCCCAAAGCCTACGAGGCATACCAACAAGCCGTGTACCGTGATGGTCGTAACCCGACCTTCTGGTGCTCGATTGGTGTCCTTTACTACCAGATCAACCAATACCGCGATGCTCTGGACGCGTACTCGCGCGCCATTCGCCTTAATCCCTATATCAGCGAGGTCTGGTATGACCTGGGTACCTTGGTATGTTATCCCTGTATCACCGCTCACTGAAAATGAAGCCTTGCATTTTGCTAACAGCCGATTCCCTATCTAGTATGAGTCGTGCAATAATCAAATCAATGATGCCCTCGACGCCTACCAAAGGGCGGCTGAGCTTGATCCCTCAAACCCGCACATCAAGGCTCGCCTGCACCTCCTACGCAGTGGCGGCTCCAACGCTGGCCCACCTGCAAGCGCTCCTCAGCCCACTGATGTTCATCCCTACGCTCATCAGCCAGTCGCACCCCCAGGGCCCGCCCCCTCCGTGGACCGGTTCCGGCCAGCAGCAGCAGCAGCAGCAGCAGCAACAACCCCCTCCTCCCGGGCCCCCTTCTGGTCCTCCTGCTAATGGCTGGGGCCGACACGGGGAGGTTAATGCCCCTCCTCAACCGCCCAACCCTTATGAACAGTCGCGCAGCGATCCTTTTAATCGTGGCCCGCCTCCTCCTCCTGCACCTTTGCGCCAGCCCAGCCCTCGCCAGGAGCCACCCCAGATGCGGCCACAACAGCCCCCACCCCCGCCCCTCAACAGCAGGTTCCGCCACCACAGCAGGGAGGCCAGCCTCCTTATGGAGACAACCGGGGCCCTGACCCTCGAGGAGGCCCTGCGCCCCTTCGGCGAGGCCCCTCCCCGCGACCTAACCACTACGCGTCGCAGGGCCCTCCACTCCCTCCCCGCCTACCTCGCAGCCGATGCACATGCCCGAGCGGGTGGCAAACCCTAATTATATCCCGCCGCATGCCGGTCCCTCCGGACCTCCAGGAGACGGCTCGAAGCCGATGTCCCAGTATCCTCCAAGGAACAGCCCGCGTCCAGAGGTGCGCCCCATCCATGATAACAGGATGCCCTCTCCCAAGTCGGCCTACCCTCAACACCAACAGGCGCCTCCCCCACCCCCACCATACGGTCACCATCCCGAGAGCGGACCTGCCCCCGGGCCCAATGGATGCATCTCCCTCTCATCCTTCGCAACCGCCGATGCAAATTGACGGACCCATGCACCGTGGTGACGACCGACCTCCTTCGGTCGGTCCCAAGAGGATGCGGGATTGGGAGGACGAGTCGGCTTCCAAGAAGCAGGCAAACGATGAGAACCGCGCTAGGTTGGATGATCTCCGACATAGGCGGCCGTCAACTCCTCCCCGTGAACCATACCGACGTAACTCATCTGAGGCTAGGCGTTTGGAAGAGCAACGCCGTGCCGAGGAGCAGCGTCGTGCGGATGAAATGCGCCGTGCTGAAGAACAACGACATGGCAACGAGGGTTACCACCCGTCCGAGGCGGCTCATCACAGCCAGAACCACCAGATGCCTCCTGCCCACCTTCCTCCCATGCAGCAAGGCCCGGCGTCGATGCCGCCCCATGGTCATGAGGGCCCACCTTCCGCCGGCCCCGCACCTCTCAAAGACTATGCGGCTGAGGAACGACAGAAGATGGAGGCGCCAAGGCCACCACCACCCCTCCTCGTCCGAACCCGAGCGGGCGGCGCGTAAGGTTGACGTCAACGAGAACTACGATGATGACGATGAAGAAGATAAGAAGGGCGGCATCGTGGGCTCTAATGGCACTGCTGCCTCGTCGGGTGATGCAAAGACGACTACGCCCACGAGCGCCACAGTTAATGGAGTGAGCGGTGCCACCCCCAAGATTGAGGCGGCTTGAGAAGCGTAGCAAGGATACCCACGCACCGAGCCCGTCCTTTGTTTTTCCACAGACATTTTTGGTGTGTTTTAATCATTGTAACTCCTTTTTCCAAATATTGTCTTACTCTCACTCCCCACCCTTGTTGCATATCTACTTTATTTTGTTTCTTGATACTTTTCTTTGTTCGGACGAAGTATATCAGAGCGGCTTAGGCGTTGCTATGGCCTAGCAGCCTCGGGGCAAAGGAGGCATGCGTGGAATTGTGTTGTCTGGATTATTTTACATTGGCGAAGAGAAGTATGGGCAAACAACCATGTTGGGATTAGAATCGCAAGGGGTACGACAGAAGAGGTCTTTTTCTTTCTTTCCAGTCAGTGAATCCAAAAGCTTCTGCAATTTAAAATATCTTTTTTTCTCCTTCGCATTTTCGCCGCTACGTTTCCAGTCAGATTTGTCCCAATCTTCGAGCCTTTGCATCATCTACGGAGCTCTTGACAGCTTGATGCCATTCGGATCCTTGAGAAGAGATGGATCCAGTGTATATAGTGTATCTTAAACAAAACACTGTAGTGTGATGTTCATTCACACAACTTGAGCACTGAGGTTGGCAACCTTGAACTTTGAAGTGGGGCCCCATACCAGTCACGTGATGCGTCACACAGCAGAGGGCTTGAAAGTCTTGGTGACCCTGGTTTGGAGCCCACGAAAAAAGTGTGAAAGTTTTCGGTGGGACGAGCCAATCCGTATCCACATTCGCTCGGATCTGAGAGCCACCACTTTAACCTCCAGAACACAAAGGGCCAGGACGATTTTTCTTCTCCCCTTCTCTTTTTTTTTCTTCCCTTTTCCCCTTCCTCCAACCATCCCCTCCATCACCTATCCGACAAGATGTCTCACCGAAAGGTATGCAAATTTTCAAATGGAAGGCAATTAATTGCCTTGCTGGTTCTCTATCTCTCTCCCCTCCCTCCACTGGGGAGATCACAGGGGAGCGCCAGATTTGGCTTCGTCCCCTCGCGAGATCTTCAGCCAGTACTAACGATCCGGTGTCTTTGTAGTTCGAGGCCCCCGTCACGGTTCGTTGGCTTACCTGCCGCGAAAGCGCGCTGCCCGCCACCGAGGAAAGGTCAAGTCGTAAGTCATACCCCCAAAAGTTTACCCGCTTCCCGCCGCTTTCTCCCAGACCGGAGATGGGGACAAGATGCGCTTGGTTTGGAATTCCACATTGAAGATGAATGAAAGGGGAGAAAAGACGGTCTGGCAAACGCAGGGGAGAGCGAGACGCACGGGAAGCGATAGAAGGGATGGTTTGGAACTAAGAATGATATCGCTAACGCTTCCGCCACCTTTTTCTTCTCTTCTAGCTTCCCCAAGGATGACCCCAAGAAGCCCGTCCACCTCACTGCCGCCATGGGCTACAAGGCCGGCATGACGACCATCGTCCGCGACGTCGACCGTCCCGGTGCCAAGTCGCACAAGAAGGAAGTCGTCGAGGCCGTTACTATCGTCGATACCCCTCCCGTACGAACAACGCAGCCCGCTTGGCGTTTGTGTCAATGGCTAACATCTTATTTAACAGATGATCGTTGTTGGTCTGGTTGGCTACATCGAGACTCCCCGCGGTCTCCGTTCCTCACCACTGTCTGGGCTGAGCATCTCAGCGACGAAGTCCGCCGCCGATTCTACAAGAACTGGTACAAGAGCAAGAAGAAGGCCTTCACCAAGTACGCCAAGAGGTACTCTGAGAACAACGGTGCTTCCTCACCCGCGAGCTCGAGCGCATCAAGAAGTACTGCACCGTTGTCCGTGTCCTTGCCCACACCCAGCTTCGCTTGACCCCCATCAAGCAGAAGAAGGCGCACCTCATGGAGATCCAGGTCAACGGTGGCTCGATCGCCGACAAGGTCGAGTTCGGCCACAAGCTCTTCGAGAAGCCCGTCAGCATCGACAGCGTTTTCGAGCACAACGAGATGATTGATGTCATCGCCGTCACCAAGGGTCACGGATACCACGGTGTCACCTCCCGTTGGGGCACCAAGAGGCTTCCTCGCAAGACCCACAAGGGTCTCCGCAAGGTCGCTTGTATCGGACCCTGGCATCCTGCCCACGTCCAGTGGACTGTTGCCCGCTCCGGTCAGAAGGGTTACCATCACCGTACCTCGGTCAACCACAAGGTTTACCGTATTGGCAAGGGTGATGAGGACAACAACGCCTCTACCGAGCTTGATCACACCGCTAAGAAGATCACTCCGTATGTATTTTCCCTTGGCTTGTCTTGCTCGATTCCCGAGTCTGCTATGGATGTCTTGGAAAGCTTTGCTAACGAATTGTACTCGTACTTGCAGTCTCGGTGGTTTCGTCCGCTATGGTGAGGTCAAGAACGACTTCGTCATGCTCAAGGGCTCTATCCCCGGTGTCAAGAAGCGAATCATGACTCTCCGCAAGTCCATGTTCGTGCACACTTCCAGGAAGGCGCTCGAGAACATCCAGCTCAAGTGGATCGACACCTCGTCCGAGTTCGGACACGGTGCCTTCCAGACGCCGGCGGAGAAGAAGCAGTACCAGGGTACTCTCAAGAAGGACCTCGTCGAGGCGTAAAGCAGCGACGCGAGGTGAAGTTGTGCAAAGAAGAAAAGGAGAGGAAAAAGGAAAAGGAAAAGGGAAGAATGGGCGCGCTATCATGGCTTGTTTCTTTGTCCAACGGCATTCGGTGTCTGAGAGAGAGGGGTTTCCCCCGCCTGTGTTTGTGTTTTTTCCGTCATTTCTTGCCCATACTCTGGGGGCCGGTTATAGGGAGTCAACTTGCTGCCTTTCTTTCTTTTTTTTTTCTTATCGTTTTGAACTTGAACAGATTTTAAGCATTCAAAGAGTCTGTTTTAAAGAAGGAAAACTAAAAAAGAAAAAGAAAAAGAGGCCAAGAATTCAAAGGTTCTCCCGATGCATCTGGGGGTGATCCAATGATGAAACGAACTAAGATAATGAGCAAGAGAAAAAGAATCAACAAGAAACCAGGTCGCCCTAAATCCCCTCAATTAAGGAGGCGCATCGTCGCTCTACCTCTCCGCCCTCTCTGTGTGACTGACTTGATGATCAAGAGCGCAGGCATGAACATGTTGACTGAGTTTGCGTGAGCGTGAGTGCGTGTGTATGTGTGTGTCTGCGCCTCTCTGTGCCATATGTGTCACTTGTCGTCCGTAGCCGTCCGTAGCTGTGTACGCACCCGTATTCTTCATGGAATGGATCGATCCATTTATTGCCATTGTGATTTATGCCTCTGGGCCTTGAACTAGATCTGTATCCAACGTCTGTATGTCCTATCGAAATGATGGACCAATGGCGACCATCTTCGTCTTATATCGAAAACTAAATACATGTACAGAGGTGTAATATCTATGGATGATCCTATGGGTGGATAGACATGCATTCCCCACGTCGAACGCTCTTAGCTTTTACTTGCAATGGGCTAGCTGGAGCTTCAATTGTACGAAGTGTGTAACTGGCTACATGTAATGACCAGTGAAACCCCCACCTCTCAGCCCAACAGCGTCCACCAAAATGCAAGCTCCAACCATCCATGGATCAATTAATTCCATGCCAAACATCTCCTCAATTGGTGCCACCAACATCAATGCTCCGTTAGTGGCCCCTGAAGCGCCCATCGACCTTGAGCGCCGACCCCATCACCAAGCCAGCCATCACCTCCCAACACCACACGAAGCCCACAGCACTCTCGACCTTTGCTACCCCGCCCTGGGAGCCGAGAGAGCACTTACCCTTCCGGGCTGCGTTTGGGCCGTATCTACGGTACAGTCGAAATAAAAACAGAGTAGAAACAACAACTTCCGCTTCCGACCCCGATCCCTGGGGTACGATCCACGGTCTCTCGTCTTTTGCCGCCTAGCCAAACCCTCCCCTCCCAGACAATCCGTCAGGGAAGAGACAGACAGAGAGAGAGAGAGAGAGGAGAGGAGGGCGGGAACCATGTCGACCCCAACGTCCGCATCCAAAAAGAAGAAGAAGAAGACGGGCCTCGGCCGCTACGGCAGCACGGCAGGCCAGTCCAGCGAGGGCGGCACCGCCGGGTTCACGGACGACATGCGCGACCGGCAGGCGCGGGGCAAGGATCCGTACCGCGTCGCGAGCGATGAGTCCGAGGGCGAGGAGGTGATGAGGATGCCCGGCGAAATGTGCGTGTCCATCTCTTCTTTTTTTTCTCCTTTTCTTTTCTTTCCCCCTTTCTTCTCGTCAAAGCAGCCTGCGGAGGAAAAGGAGGCCGGTGTTCTAATAACAAAAAACACAGGTCCGATAGAGAGAGCTTCCGCGTCGTTGAACAGAGGCGCATGGCCGCGCAGATCCTAGCCGACCCCGAACTTTTAATGATGCACGCCCTCAGCAGGCGCGACGTGAGTTTTTTTTTTTTTCCTTTTTTTCTTCGTTTCCCCTTTTTCCCTTCTTTGCCCACACATGTAGAGGGAACACTACTAATCCCCGTGTGTGCCTGGCTTCCGTTGCCCGTTCTTTAGAGCATCCCCGGGACCAGACTTCACTTCACGCGTATCCTGTGCGGGTTCGCCGCCCCCGACGAGGAGCAGGCTAGGTACCGCACCTCGAACGCGAAGCAAGCGTGAGAAGGGCCAAGGCGTATAAGAGCCCTTTGTTATTTTATTTCTTTTCCTATTTCACTATTTCGTGAAGAGACAAGGGGGTGGATAGAGCGGACTAGATGGGGAGGCCGATATCCGTCAGAAGTGCAGACGTGCCGGGAAGGCGAGTCGAGAAAGAAGAACCGGTAAACGCATAGAGAGCTAGAGAAACGAGTAATGATTACGAGTAAACAAAGAGACCGATTAACCGTCTCTTCACTCTCCAAACCTCGTCCCCGCTCAAATCATCTCGGACCGCCAGTGCTAGCTAGACCTTGCAATCCAGCACCAGACAAGTCACCTACACATTCGTTGCCACAAGTCTCTAGAACCGACATACTTCGTACCATCTCGACTTGAATTGCTTGTCTAGTCAGGGATGGAAGGGGAGAACCACGGGATCACGTTGAGTGGCTGGCTATCTGGCTATCTGGCTTCAAGCTAGGCAATGGCACCATCAAAGTGGATGGATCCACACAAATAGTAAAGCGTACGTACGTCTGCACGTAATCACAAGGTTCTCACATCCCATAAAGCCACGCACGCCAGGAGCAAGGTCACAGAGAAATATATATATATATATATATAGTGTGTAGTATTCATTGTGTGTTTGTGTGCGAATGCCGTATCCGTTTCTTCCCTCCGGCTCTATCATCAGCGTAGGGGAATCAAGATCCAAGGGAAGAAATCCCGAAACCTGCCGCTCTCGCCTTTACCTTCCGCTAGCTATTTACAGAATGCGATGCGCGCAGCAAGAAAAACAAAGACCGCGCGAGTTCTACACAACTTGCTCCTTTCCCATAACCTCGTTGGTCCATGATTTGCTCTCGACTCTATTTGAATCATGCTCAAAGTAGGGTTGTGAAGATGTGAAAATGGGTTGGGTATCCAGGAATGGGAATGAATAAAAAGAGGGCAATACAAGACGATGCTTCCCAAACGAGAGAAAAACGAAAAAAGAAGCACGGGTAAGAGACAGAGGTTCAATGACGAGGAGGTGCGCCAAGAGGTGCGTGTCCCACATGCATTCACTGACCTTGCCCTTTTACCCTGACCAGAAACGCCAATCCAATGCTGAAGAGCTGATTAGGCCCAACCCTCCACTCAACAGAGCCGGCCGGGTCGGACCCTGAGAATATCCGTAATCATCATTATCCGAGTACGCCAGTACTTGGAGGGGGAGAGATAAGTATTCCCCCTCTTGTCCATTAGGAGAAAAGACACAAAAGAAAAAAGGAAAATGCTCTAATATGAGTCGCTGTGTTGTTGAGATCTCACGGCAACCAATGATGTTGCAAACAAAACCAAGCAGAGAACGAGATGCGTCGTCCCTTAGGCGTATCTCGTGGTACCTCCTGGCCCGCTCCATTGCGGCTGGTACGGCTGGTAGGCGGGATATGGTGGCGGAGGGCCTGTCGCTGGGGGCAAAGGCCCAGGGCCGCCCTGGAACCGTTCCGGTTGCGACGGTGTGGGTGTGCCTCGTGCCGGCATCACGGGGGTCCCCCTCTGCTGCATGGGTGGCGGTCGAGGAATGGACCTTTGCGACTGGTTGGCGCCGCGAGGTCCGTAGGCTCCGCCATAGTTGGTCCACGCGTTGTTGGTCCGGCTCGGTACCCCCATCATGGGCGGACCGGGCTTGCGGCCGCCGTTCTTTCGGATCGCGCGTCGTCTGCGGATGGACGAGAAGATGCACCAACAAATGGCGATAAAGATGAGTCCGCCCACCACACTGCCCACGGGAATAGCGATGTTGCGGTGCTTCTTGAAAAACTCTCCCGCCTCTTTGATAAAGGACGAGCCCTGGCAGATGCCGTTCTGGCAGTTGCCGCCGCCGGGACACGGCGTACCGTCGAGGAAGTACTGGTTCAGGATGGAGCACTGGTTGGCCGACGTCCGCGAGGACGAGCATCCAATGACGCACGATGTCTCGTCGCAAGCCTTGACGTTGGTGATGTTGGGAAACGCTCCCATCATGGCCTGGCACTGCAGGTCGCGAGAGGTGCACTGGCCCGACGCACACGTGAGGCCCGCATTGTCATCGCCGCACGAAGTTCCGTCGTCGAGGTGCGAGTCGCCGGGGCACGCCGCCGTGGTACCTGAGCACTTTTCCTCGGGATCGCACAGTCCCGTGCTAGCGCGGCAAACGGCGCCCGCGGTCGCGAACGCGCAGCTATCGGTGCAGCACTCTTCGTTAGCGGGATCGCAAACCGAGTTCGCCGTGTATTTGCACGTCTTGGGGTCGCAGCACGCGTTTCCGGCACATCCTTGCTCGCCACCACAGTCGCAGTCTTCGCCTGGCTCAACGATACCGTTGCCGCACTGTTGGCCCGTAATAATGGGAACGTCCTTGTTCTTCACGAGGCATCGATCGGCCTGTCGGTTGATGGCGGCGCACACATTTCCGATGCTGCAGGGGAGAATGACTCGATACCGCGGCCGGTCGAGGGGTTCATGATGAACTTGCCACCGGCATTACAGCTATTGGCGCTTAGGGGCAGCATCTCTGAATTCCGGCATCGCCCGCACTGCATGCTTGGTCCGTGCAGTCGTGAACGGCGCCAAAGGTGTGCCCGACTTCGTGCGCGATGACCTGCCACTCGGTTGGGGTGCGGACGACGACGTTGGTCGAAGCAATCGTCTCGTTCGACGCCGAATCGCTACCTTCGTTGGGGCGGGACCCTTGCTGGCAGACCTGGCCGAGCCACGCGAGACCTACGGCACTATCGGTGGCACACGTAGTGAGCAAAGTCCAGAAAGCGTTGGTATCCTCGGTGCGGCCTCGCCACTCCGAAAACTTGCTAAGACGGTCCGTGATTGTGAAACTGTTGCTGCACGCCACGTTCCAGGGCGCGGCGTCGCTGGGGTGGCGGGGCAATCTGCCTTGAGAATGGTGATATTTTGGAGACCGAGGGTAATGTTAAAGGTGCTCTCGTACACAGCAGACGCCGCGTTGATTTGCTGAATGATGTTCTCGCGTAGCGCCTGGTCCGAGTCAAACTCCTTTCGGTAGTTGCAGTCCGCGGCGACGCCAAGGAGGGCAACCTTTCGCGTCTTGGGGCACCCGGCAGTAGACCCAATGTTGGCGACAAGGTTGATGCCGGCACCGCCACCGCCGGCGGTACTATCAGCCTGGCGGCCAAAAGGGCGGGGGTCGACATCTCGCCAAGATCACCGGCGGCGCGCGACTGGAGGCCATAGTTGGCATTGAACATGAGGTCATCAGCACCGCAGGGGCAAGGCCAAACAGCTCGCGTTTCCTAAGCTCGTCACGATGAGGCTGCCAGTGTTCTACCACGTCCGAGTCGCGCCAGAGGACCATGTACTCGTCGCCGGCCTTGAAGCCCGGCTGAGTGGGTGGGCTCGGGAAGGGGTCTTCGGCGTGCTTCAACTTGATGTAGTTGGCGATGGTCTGGATATGGTGATGATCGCCGTGCAGGCGGAAAGCGCCCTCGAATATGGGGTTGTTGCCATCGCGACGAAGGGTGACTCTGGCCCAGCCGCCATTCACCCATTCCGCAGCATCCGAGGATTTTGTGTAGGCACTGCCACGGTAGACGCGGTGATTTGTACGCTCAACTGATTCTACGTTTCCGACAGACCCATCGGGCTCGAGATAAGTGACGCGAAGATCGTGGGAAATGACATCGTGGTTGGGTTCGAGAGAAAGTCGTATCCTCTGGCCTCCGGGGATGGCAAATAATATGTCAAACTTGGAGTTGGAATTGATTTGGAGCGAGGAAGACTGGATCTTGGGCTCTTGTATAGTAAATATGGTCGAGACGGGATTCCTACTCGTCGAGTCGGCGTGTGAGGGCGAGGCAAATAGGGCAAGGCCTGTGAAAACGGCCGTTGCCAGCCTTTGTAGAAGCATGGTCTTAGGTGAGTAAACGCTGGTGAGAGCGCGGGATAAAAGAAAGGAGGGGAAGAGATGGTTGGTTTTTTTAATCCCTTAATCGGGAGGAAGAGAGCGGAAAGGTGGATTTCTAGACCATGGAGGCTAGGGCGTCTACCAGTCGCTCGACGGTGATGGATGTAGCCTGATGCTCTACTCTAGTCGTCGCGTCTCTCGGGGTCGATAAATGAAAGTTCGACGGTCGGTGGGTTATACACTAGTTTGAACTGTCCGTAGATTGCAAATCAAGATGCGAGAGTCGCGATGTCGAGCGAGGCGGTCGACTAGGTCATTCGTATGCTCGTGTGGAAGATTGTTGCAGCGACGGTAGATGTGGACAGGAGAAGGAGTGAAGGCGTGGGTATGGAAATTGAGGGAAAAGAGAGGGATGACTCTCGGTAATGAGGGTGAGAGAAGTCGCTCTCTAATTCATTAGAGAGGGCAGGGCGTACGTTTATGGCTGGGAAAAGCGAAAAAGGGACAAAGCAGGATAAAAGCTGAACGAATAGAACGAGGTAACAGAAAATAATAATCAAAGAGCAAAAAGTTGGCGGGAGGCGGGAGAAAAGTTGGTGTTTAGATGGACCAGCCGTAGTAGTATACAGGAAAATCGAGCGAAGGAGCGGAGCGAGAGCGAAATGGCGACAAGAGACTGGCCGGAAAGAAGGTTGCCGCACTTTGGAGTGGTGCTGAGGGGAAAAAAGAGTACGTGGAGGGAGTGGCGAAGCCCAGGCTTGGGAAGAGAAAGTCGTATTTTTGGGGGGCAGCTGGAAGGTTGAGGGAGTGAGAGTGAGTGGGCTGGTGGAATGCCAAGGTGCTGGGTCGGACCTGCCAGTGCACCGCACAGTTGACCAGCGTCAGCCAGAGCAGAGCCAAGAAAGTGTGGAGTGCTGCGACGGGGTGTTTGGCGGGCTTGGTAGTGTCAGGAAGGCGTTTTGGTCGACGGTAGGGGCACGCCGTTTCCTTGGTACCGCGTCAGCAAAATCCACATTCCAACCGTCCACACGTCCACACGTCCACTGTGGCAACCCAGAGGATCACAGCACATCAATCTGATGGATTACACTACTATGTACACACTGCTTGAGTGCGTGCTGCCAATCGGCGGGTCTCGTAAGCAATGGCGGATGGATTCGTTCAAATGGCACCTCACGCGCGCCAACCGTGGTTGTACCATTTATATGATCCGTGCAGCGAAACGCTACTTGAAGGAAGGGCCAAGGCCAGACGGATCATTGTCAAGTCCCGACAGATTCTATTTCCGTCATGGCTGTCACAAGCACAAGGGCGCAGCGCACGACTCTTTGTGGACGATTGGATAGATTTCAGAACAATAGGATCCTGACCCTCGCAACCTCGACAACTGAATTGCTGCGCAAGGGAATCCACAGAGAGTTCGGCATTCTCTTGCTCCGGGTATTCGCTCGCTGTCAACCGCGTGGGTTTCCAACCTCTCAGTCTCACGAATCCAAACGACACCCTTTTTCCGTCGCTAGAGATGGGCTGGCTGCCAATAACCCTCAGATCATTACTTCACAACCCAGCCCCAGAGACCACCGAGTGCTTCGACAACCCCCGCAAAGAGCACTCTCGATTGAGACGAACCTACACTACCGTTTTCCACCACATGTAGAATAGTGTAAAACAGAGCCCGGCGCTAGGAAAACCCAAACGGGGAAGCAGGGCCCCGTTTGGGAGCCCGCTCGATTTCGAGATAGAGTTGCAGTGCTTCGACCAACTCCTGTTTCAGAAGTCGACGAAGAGGGCGAATATAGTTTGCACGCACCTTCTTTTGCCTTTTATCTTCCTCCCCTTGCCCGCAAGACAGGCAAGACAGGCAAGACAGGGCGGGTACAAGGGGAGACGAAACGCAAGCGCCAAGCAAGACCATTACATTGGCGCACAGTCCGTTTTGGGGGCCCGTCTAATAAATGCACTGGGTACGAGCGCAGACACAACATTGAACCAGACGAGCAAGACGAGCCTCCAGAAATGCGACGTCGAAATGTTCAAAAGTCCATCTTGGCAGGTCACACTGATGGATCTCGTACTCCTTTTCTTTTTTTTTCTCTTTCTTTACAGTGGGGAGGGTCTTTTCGACTGCGAGTTGAGAAGTTCTCCTTGTGACTGCAATTCAATTATGTGGGATCAATATCGGCGTGGAGAGGAGAGCGCTGAGAATGGAAGCTGCTTACAGGCTTGCCGAAACGATATTATCGTGAAAGTACCCTTTGTGGCTCGAAAGTGCCCAGCCTTTCCAGTCTATTTACGTATTCAGGCAGGAGAGGAATTCAAATCGAGCCTGTCCATCTACCGTCCAGTCGATTGGCCAGCGTGATCTCGGCGATTATTTCAAAGGGCATAGGCAATGCACCAAAGGGCATGTCGATGCACTACCTCGGTATACTGGCTTGCATCTCCAATCCTCAATTCCCTTCACCAAGCTCCGCTCCGGCTTTCTTCGTATTATTATTATTAGTGTCGAAGCGTGGACGCCGCCTCGCGCCGTCGCCGGGTCGGCATTTCCTGGGCCCGTTTGAGATAATCAGAGGGCGCTAAGCAGAGACAAAGGACCAGTGTCCAAGTGGCACTGCAGCCGGCCGCCCCAGGCTCGACACCAAGCAATGGATCCATGGACGTCAATGCAAGCCGCTGCGCCAGACGGGCTCCGAGTATCAAAAGGTACAAGCATCAACCAGCCAAGTGGAACTCGTGAACCAGGCTCGCAAAGTGATAGACGACCAACACAACCATCCCCCGCCCCGGTACTTCATAGTGCGGTGATTGATGAGTGCCCTGAGAGCAACGCAGTGTTCATGGAATGCCGGTGGAGGAGGGGCTGCCTCGGCAGGGACAGACATGGGTTGAGGAGCCTCCTTGTTCCTCTCTCAGAAACATGCCGGCGCTTATTAAAGAAAGAAAGAAAGGTCGGACGGATGAGGGCCTTCTCAGAGCACATACTTGGCTTTCCACCTTGAGTGCGACGTTTTGCAACTCAATACCAGGATCTTGGGTTTCCCAAGCATCCATGAGCTGTTGAGGTCCTTCCCCTCCCTATTTTCCTTTCCGCACAGACCGCAACCGTTTTCGGGGGCGCAGAGAGAAGCTTTGCTTTGTTGGTTCATCTCGACGCCTTCCTTTTCCAAATCCCAATTCTGAGTGCTCCTGTTTCAGAAAAGGCGACGACGTTTGGGCCATGGTAAAGTGTGTTTCTTCCCCTGCAATATGCTTTTTTCTGCTTCCTCGTCTTCACCTTTTACTTAAAAGGGCATTGAACCTTCTTTCTTCTGAACCCTGTCATGACCTGGGGTGTCTCAATGCTGCATCACGCCGCGATCTGAGGACATTGCAGCTTACTTGGCGTGTGAAAGTGTCGCCAAGAGAGAGGCTGTTCAACTCGCCATGTTGAATAGACTCTGGAAAGCTAAGGGCTTCAGCGAGATGGTTCTAGCCTCCGCCTCTCTTGCGACCCCAGACTTGTAGTTGTTTTCAAATTATCACTTCTTGTGGAAGATGTGGAAGAAGAAGAAGAGGAAAAACGCAAGAAGTCTTACACCGATACCACTGGTCGCCCTCACAATACTCGTACTCTTGTTCAAGCTGTTTATTGGCGTGTTCTTCGTGCGCTTCTTCTAGTCTGCGCTGCAGCGTTCACCTTGCAGCAGGACCACAAGCTTGTCATCCCAAAATCCCATGCATCACACATCCAAGATCAGTGGTTCGGCGGGATGTGTGACAGAGCTCCAGACACATGTACCATGCAGGAATGGGCTGAATCAAGCGGAGACCCGAGACCAAGAAGAAAAAGTCGTCGTCATCATCTAAAACCCCGCCGCCGCCGCCGTTTCCCCGACTGAATTGCCCTCCACTTACAAATAATCTCTCCTCGATGGCTCTAGCTGTCAGCTGAGAACAAGTCCGTCCTCCTATTCCAGCTGATGCATTTGATGTACTCAATGTTATGGATGTATTGACACACACATACACACATACACACATACACACATACACACATACACACATACACACACACGCACGCATTCTTCTCTGCCTTTGCCATCTTCCCATCTTCTTCCCAATCTAGTCTGCCAAGAGGTGACGGCGGCTCCTTCGTGTCCACTCTCCCCGAAGATTCCGGCAGATCACCTCCCAAGACCTCGTACGTCCACGATTAGTTTTTCCGAGTTGAAATATAAATACCAAAAAAAAAAAAAAAAAAAAAAGAGAAAAAAACAAGCTGTACAGGCGTAGCCTCGCGCAACCAGGTATAAACGGGTTAAAATCTACTTGTGACAACTTGGAACCACGTTGCGTAAAAACCGGATGTGTCTCCCAGCCGATCCGGACCCGACAGGGTTGGGCTGCCCCTTGAGGCTGCACGAAAAGCATTTCGGCGCATATAACAACCACCGCACACGTAATCCAACGCAACTTGAAGGTTGCTAACCTGCTTCAACAAGCTCTCCCAACGTTACTCTCATCGCCCGCCCGATCTTCTGTCCTCGGAAGACGAATAGTAGTTTACAAAGAAGAGACAAAAAAACTCGGTCCATACATCCCCACCCCTTGTGTTTGCACAATGGGAGGAGAGAGTCTTGGGGCCTCTTGCATGCACGGAGACGCCTGGCGTGGCATGGTGGCGCCCTTCATCCATCTTGAGAGTCTCTTCCTTCCTTGCCGCCCGACATGCTGCATGCGAGTCTCCTACTATTAGTGACTAGACTGTGAAATTTCGAACCATGTAGATCTAGTCGGTGTCTCGGAAAATCAGGGCTATCATCAGGCCAAACAAGACAGGGTTTTTCTCTCTCTCTCGTCATATACCAGCTGAATCTCACATCATCACCCGCCTTCCCTCTTCGCCCCGACTCCGCCTTCGCCGTATTATCTCTTTCAAGACGAAGGGGTGAAATTAGAAAAGTAAAAGAGGGAAAAAAACCGACGAAGAAACTAAAGAATGGGAGGGGATGTCAAATTGGTATCTCGGCCGAATCCACCATGTCCACCACCAAGCTCTGTATTTCCTCTTCCTCGCTCATGACGCATATCATATCTCAACCTCTTGCCTCCCCAACAGAGTGCGTTCAAGAGGGAGAAAACAGCCTGTGCCGCAAGCTCGAGGTCCGTCTCGGCACCCACGCACCCCTCCAATCAAGATTCCCTCCCCTTTTCCTCGCCTCTTGGCACGGTTACGCGTCCATCGAGGGTTTTGACCATTGGACCATTGACCATTGGTAAGAGGGTGCGGCTCACGCACATGCACTCCGGGATCGATGCAACCTTTCTTTGTTGTTCGACGCTTGTCTCCGCACAGCCTCACGGCAAAGAGTAAACTCCATGTCCCCTCGGGCGGCATCATCCCAAACCCAGTCTCAAGAAGCTCCCGCCAAAAAAAACCCAGATGGAGCACGGTTGGGGGAACGGGGCAACGAGCCAGGTCTCGTCTTCGTAGTGGCGAATGGTGCACTCACCAGCTCAAGCTCGCTCGCTGCACACGTAGATTGGATGCTATCCGTGAGCTCGCAATGGCAAAGCGAACTATCATCGTATAACCTAACGAGAGTCTAAAGAGGTTGACCGTGCCCTGTGCCAACGTCCCATATGTTGAGAAGCCGCGGAGTAAGCTTGTACTTGTCACATTTTTCATAGCCTGTTCTTCATATAAACGTGTGCATGATTTTTAGAACTTTTTTATTGGGTCAATATTCTTAACCGAGGTTTGGCTATTCATCATCAAAACATCAGACGTGGTATTAAGAACCGGGAAGAATCAAAAGAAAGAAAAACAAGTGTTAACTCCCAAGTCTCGCTTTCCAAAACCATTGCCAAAGAAGAGACAACAAACACCCTTAGCTATACCGTTTCGCTATTTACTTCCTGCGGGACTCGTGTACAATATCGATAATCTTGGGCACAATGCTGGGGTCGGACAGCTATAGAGCAACCATTATTAGTATCTCCCCAAACAGCTCTTTGTCAAGAGTAAGGGCGAGGTTGTTAGAAATATGAGTCCATGACTTACCGTGGTGATGTCGCCCAACTGGTCTTCCTCGCCAGCGAGGATCTTCCTCAAGATGCGGCGCATGATCTTGCCAGATCGGGTCTTGGGAAGGTCGGGAACAATGTACACCGCCTTGGGAGCCGCAAAAGGACCGATGCTCCTTCGCACTTGCATGATAAACTCCTTGCGGAGGGCGTCTGAAACGTCGGTTACCTCCTTGACGGCGACAAAGGCGTTGACGGCCTGTCCAGTCAGCTCATCTTGGACACCGACGACGGCAGCCTCAGCGACGTTGTGATGCTCAATGAGAGCAGCCTCGATTTCGGCAGTCGATAGACGATGGCCGCTAACGTTGACGACGTCATCGACACGCCCGCGAATCCAGTAGAAACCTTCGTGGTCGCGGCCAGCACCGTCACCAGTAAACTACGCAAGCAAAGGCAAAAAACGTTAGTATACCATGAGAAGCTCTTGGTGTTTCCAAATGGGTGTGCTTACGTAGTAGCCCTTGTAGACGTCAAAGTAGGTTTCCATATATCGCTTATGAGCACCATAGACGGTGCGGGCCATGCTAGGCCAGGACTGCTTGAAGGCAAGGACACCCTCCACATCGTTGCCCTGGATCTCCTCGCCGCTCACGGGGTCGATAATGGCGGGCTCGATACCGAAGAAGGGAAGAGAAGCACTGCCGGGCTTTGTGGGGTGACGCTCGCCAACGGGGCGATGACGTGGAACCCGTCTCAGTTTGCCAGTATGTCTGTTTCATGCAATCAAGGGTCAGTCAACTGGCCATTACTTTCGCGGGCAGCATAGATGGCTGGAGAACTACAAAGAAAGACAAAAAGAACTTACGTCGATGATCTGGCATCGGGACTTTCCGACAATTTCAAAGTACCACTTCCACACTTCGGCGGCAATAGGCTCGCCGACGCTGCCGAGGACGCGGAGGTTGGCCATCTCGTTGCGGACGTGCTCGTCGCCGGCGCGCTTGAGGAGACGGAGCGCAGTAGGAGCGACGTAGAAGTGCGAGACCTTGTGCTGATCAATGATATCCCAGTATCTGGAGAAGTTGGGGTACGCGGGAGTACCCTCAAATACGACCGTAGTCACACCCAGCAATAGGGGCGCGTATACGACGTAGGTGTGGCCAGTGATCCAACCGACATCGCCACCACAGAAATGGACGTCGCCGGGGTGGAGGTCGAACACGTACTTGCCAGTAGCGGCGGCGCCAGTGAGATAACCTCCGGTGGTGTGCATGACGCCCTTGGGCTTGCCGGTGGATCCCGAAGTGTAGAGAAGGAACATGGGGTCCTCCGAGTTGACGTCCTCGGGAGAGAGGTACGCGGGCCACTTCTCGGCCTCCTCGTGCCACCAAAAATCGCGGCCCTCGGACCAGGGGATCTCGGCACCGGTGCGCTTGTAGACGAGCACGTTCTTGACATCGGGGCACTGCTTCAAGGCATCGTCGACAATCTTCTTGGTACCGATAAGCTTGCCGCCTCGCCGACCCTCGTCCGTGGTGATGACGACCTTGGAGTTACCGTCGACAATACGGTCGCGAAGGGAGTCGGCGGAGAAACCAGCGAAGACGACCGAGTGGACGGCGCCGATACGAACGCAAGCAAGCAGGGCGACAACGGCTTCGGGAATCATGGGCAAGTAGATGGCAACGGTGTCGCCCTTGCGGACGCCCATCTGCTTGAGCACCCAAGCAGTCTTGGAGACCTGACGAAGGAGCTCACCAAAGGTGACGATGCGGCCATCACCAGGCTCGTCGGCTTCATAGATGATAGCGGGTCTATTGGGGTCCGCGAAGGCGTGACGATCGACACAGTTGTAGGAAGCGTTGAGCTGGCCTTCTACGAACCAGGCGCAGTCGCCACCGGCGAGGGTTCCGGCCTGGACGGTCTGGAAGTCGCGCGACCACGAAAGGAGCTCCCGAGCCTGGCGGCCCCAAAATTGCTTCGGTTCACGGATAGACTCATTGTACAGCCTCTGGTAGTGCTCGAGACCTGATGAATAGTCATGGTTAGCACATCAATTGGCTTGCACTTAGCCGTCTGCTCACCACGATTTGGTGGTACGACTGTGGAGCTGTGCAGTGAAGAGGAGCGGATGGTGGGGGCAATGCGCATTGCTTGAATGCTCGTTGGCTCAAAGCGGGCTGCATTTGATGGTGGGGTTGGGGGATTATTGGGGGTGAAGATTTCGGGGTTACTTACCCATAATGTGGGGTTGAGAAGGATGCCCTGCAAGGGAAGCTGTTAGCAAATTTTTTTCTATGCGCGATTACCCAAGAAGCCTTCCATGTTTCCGGCCCACTGCCACGCTAGTAATTGCGACATTGCAACATGACCACGGAGACAAGCCAACCGCTAGCAGGCGGAGACCTTGTTGTCGGTCCCGCACCTGCCGGGTCAACGGAGAACCGGAGGAAAAAAAGGATGAGGACCCAAAAAGAGGGAACAAAAGCGACAAAGGGAAAATGCCTAGCACCCAACAAAACCAAAATCGGCGCAAGGCCGATTGTGACGAGCAGGTTGCTTGCTTGATCGAAGCTTCGCAAGGCTGGCGATTGGCAGAAGCAATTATAAAGGGAAAAAGAAAAAGGAAAAAAACGGAGGAGAGCCGCAATCGAGGCTCAATTCCATCCCACACCTGCAACTCCATGATGGATGGGTAGGCACTCACTCTCAAGCATCTCAGGAGGGGCTCTAAAAACGAGGTCCAACATTAGCAATGGCTCTCAATGCCGTGAGAAACCGCACTTGCCCAGCACTGCAGCTTGCAAAAGCTCCAAAGCAGGCCATAAGTACGGGAGGGAGGGAGGGAGGGGCAGAGGAGGGGTAGCTTACGGTGAGTATCGACGAGGTGAGCTTCGACAACGACGGCACCTACGGGAGGCTCAGCAGCCTTGGTCGCCGCGGGGGCAACGCCGTTAGTGGGCTCCGCGGGAGCGGTTGGTTGTTGCGCGGCGTCGGCCATGGTGTCGCTATGGTTTGCGTTTAGGTCTTCGCGCGACGAGTGTGAGAGGGTGAGGAAAACACCGGCTCTTTCGCAGGGTGTTCCGAGGGTGTAAGCTGTGCGCAGCTAGGAAACACAAGGTGGTCCTTCGTTAAGCTCTCGTTCGACGAACCACAAGGAGGTATTGTATAGAAGAAAAAAGAATACAAGTTCAAGAAAGAAGAGTGGAGATTGGAGAGCAAAAGAACAAGAAGACGGAGAGAGGGTGGGATAAAGAGGTCGTCGAGGAAGGGAAGAGATGATGGGTGAAACTAAAGGATGGCAGAGAGGGAAGAAAAGGACGGGAGAGCCTGGGTGTTTAAAGCATTGCGAGAGTGACCTTTCATCCACGGGTGTTTTGGAGGAGGGGCGAGCTTTCTGGGTGAATGGCAAATACAATGTAGACGTGCGTCGCCAGGTACTCCGTCGCTCCGCTGCCTTGTTGCTCCCCCTTCTTCTCACATTCCACATTCCACCCCCGAAGCTCAAATCTACCTCCACTACACTTGTGTGGGCCTGGCGGGGGTATCTCTCGGGCCTAGGGTACGTCGGGGTGTGCGGAGAAGGAGAAAATAACAAATAGCCACACAGGGGCATCTCCCCCAAAGAAGCGAATGGGCTATTCCTCGGGGACGTTGGGACGAACGGGCGGCCAAGCGGCCACCTTTTTGGGCAAGTACCGCCAAGTCGCCAAGTGTCGCGCCACAGGTCACAGGTCACGTCATAGCTACCTTGCGTGAAAAGTGCAAGGGTTTCTCCTTCCCAGAGATGTGGGCGCAAACAGATCGAGGCTCGAGAAAGAAGGGGAAGGGGGAAAAACACGCAGGGCAGTCAATTGGGTTCAATTGAGGACGAACTCGGCGGAATTCGAGGTTGCTGTGGCATTTTTCGTCAAATCGAGAATAAGCGAACCCTGTTGGGCGGGAAAATAGAAAGGGTCACCGACGGTGAGATTATTTCCATTCTCTCTCTTTTGGGGGAGCTTCAATCCCGAGCGCTGCTTCCGTTCCCACAATTCCCACAAGGGCAAGTATACCACACCCCCTCAACTACCCAACTACCCACTATGGATGGGCGGAGGAGGTGCGGAGAAATCGAGGGTAGCCACCACAAAAACGAGGTGCTTCGTGCGCTCCGTATCCCCGTACCATTCCCTCGAACAACACCACCGATCCTTACCGAGCGTCGACCCGGCCAATAGGCGTCCCAGTATTGCTCCAGTATGTTACAAGGTTGGCCAGCAGCAATGCGGGGAAGAAATGGAGAAGGTGCACCCAAAAATAAGGATTTGCCTCCCCCAAGTGCCCACCCCAATACAATGGGATCGATTCAAAGTTCAGAATAAGCCGAGACACGGAGCCACATCTAGGCAAACAGAAGAAGGAGAAGAAAAAAAAAGAAAGGCAAGGGGAATCAAACACCCCAATTCACTGTCGAGGTTCAAATCCCGTCGAGATCCCTAGCCAACTGGCCAACGGGTGAGTAAATAGTAAGCGGATTAAGAGGCAACGCTCAAAAAAAAAAAAAAAAAAAAAAAAGGGCAAACTTCAAGTGGCGCGCTCTATTGTCATGAGAAGTCAACCTGAGCCTTGCCACTCCGTCACTTGGCCTAATCTCGGCCGTAGTCGTTGAAATCGCCCTATCAGTAGACTGGCCGTCCGGAGGAGCCATCTCTGAAGCCACTAGGCCGCGCTACAGGGTTGACTCGCCCATTCCGTTCTTCTTCCTTTTCCCCGACATTCCCTTCTCAATGACACCCGCGGCCTTGCTCCACAAACTTGGCCTAGATTCCCCTTGAACCCCCGCCCCCGGCGCGCGAAGCCACTCTCACCCACATGCGCCGCCTCCCCTTTCGTCCATCTTCCGCTTGGATGGAAGGAAGCTAAGCAGTTTCTTGTTCCGCTGCCATGGCCAACTAAACTAGTCCTGCTTCCACCCTGAGACAGCCCAGGGGCCGTGGGAGGCAGCAACAGGAAAGTGAATTTCGAGACGTATTTGACTCACTCTTTCTAGCCTACACAGTACCAGGGGACCTACTTTGTACCCTCTATAACTTGGGGCGCCCTTCATTTCGCCCCTGTTCAGTCCGTAAACGGTGCGCAGCCGCGGGGCCGTGAAGAGAGCGGATTACAATTCAAAGGAATAAGAAGAGGTATCATCTTGTACCTTCAATAAACTTGATGGATCTATTAAGTATGCCATGACGCCGCCGCCCTATAGGCTGGTTGGCTGGATAGGCATCGGATGACCCATCGAGTCTGGCCATCTTCAATACAAAATAGGGTGTTAACCCGCTACACCAAGAGAGTGTAACTCTCTAGATAGTCGAGGTGATGATGCCGTTTGGCAAGACATCAGGCCGGCGCCGATCTACAATAATATAGAGTCATTCTGTTCTCCTGTCCACAGGGCTCCCTCTACGCAGGGAGCCTTCTAGACAAGGAGATTCTCGACAAGCCACCATTCCAGTCATATGTCCTCAACGGCATACCCCTAGCCTACAACGAAAAGAAGGGGAAAAGGTCGAGTGAAAGGGATGGTGGCCTGATACGGGGAGCAATAGGATGCTGGCTTTGAGCGATGATAGATGCGGCCGTTTTTATGCGAAACCGCCCGGGAGGGTTTGGGGATTGGATCATCCCCAGAAGTGATTGGTCCACGAGCCCAAGTAAGTGAACCCTACCTAAGCATAAACCGAGGGTTCCCAGCATGCCAAATGACGTACAAGTATGCAAATTCTTTGCCGATGGTGATCTAAACATTGGGGGCAAGTTCAACATTGTATGTACCTCCCGCAGGAACGGAAATTGAGGGTCTTCGGTCTTCGGTCTTCACCCCTACCTACCAAGCTACCCTCTCTCAAGGCTGGTTTTGAAGGGCTCCAGATGGACAAGGACCCCCATTTTACCTTTCCCAGAACAACGGATAGGGAATGCAAACCTGACCAGTGCCATGTGTCAAAACCTAGATGAAGGGTCCTACATCTGTCCCGCCGTCCCTGCGTTGTTAATTGTTTTTCCTGGGCTTATGCTGGCTTGCCTGGCTTGCTTCGTTTTACACCACCAAGTAACAAGGAAAGAAAAAGAAGAAAAGAATAAGCGCCGCCCACCTTGCACTCTTCTATGAGGTCATCGGAGAATGGGCGACGTCTTGGCGTTTTTCCTCCTTTGGTCCTAAATTAGAGGTTATCAGCGGTGCCGAGCTTGGTCTTGGCGCAGCACTGCAATGTACAAGTAGCACCTCGCGGCCATTTCGCGGGCGTGTTGGGGCGGTGGTCTGTGGAGGCGAAACAAAGACTGGCGAGTACATCAAATCAATGTAATCCAAGTAAGCAACGATTGAGTAGGCAATGGCAAGAAGGGTCGCAGTGAAGAGTGTGTGCCAAACTGGAGGTACATTCACCTGCACCCTGCAAGCCACCCCGCCGGAAACAGAAATGAGGAGGGAAAGAAATCACCCGTGAGGTTCGCGGGTAAAGACTTGGCAAAGGTGCGGGTTGGTTCCCGGGGCTCTCGGAGAGGGTGGCATGGCGGCAATCCCAAAGCGTTTCAGTCATTCTTCTAGAGTGGTAGTGACGGGCCGGTGGACGCCGGGATATGGCAGAGAGAACAAAAGTCTTGGCCTTCGGCATGGAAGACTGGGCATCGGTTCGGGCGTCAAAAATCTAGACGACAGTCGATCAAAACGAGGATCCATGTTCGGAAAGGCCCTCTGCAAAGGGGAAAAAAGACCACGAGTTTGGGACAACTCGGCGCCAGGCTTGTTTATCGAGGGATCAATTTTGAAATGAACAATTGTTGAACGCACTGGAAGAATGAAGATACAGAGAGAGTACATGGGTGGATCAATTTTCAACTTGGTTGACTCGTCGTAACACCACAGTCCGGTCGCGGCTCAAGGGCATCTCGCTGTACAAAAGTACATGACCGAGGTGTTCTTCAAACGGCCCACAGGTTCCGTAGTCGTATCCCTCTACTTTGCAGGTTAGATGGCACGAGACGTCCTGGTCTGGCCCTTTTCCCCTCTTCTTCCAAACGGAAACGTCTGCTTGGTCTCCTTTGTTTCTGCGGGGACTTTTTCGAAAACGGTATTTTCCAGAGGGTGATCGAATCCTAGAGACTGCATCCTGAGGCGTGCCGGACCGCCGGCCCCTTCAAGGTGTAGCGAGCGAGTACGAGCCCATCTCAATCACGGTTGCCTTGAGCTCTTAAGGCTTGGTAGAATTCAAGTAGCAAGGTCAGATTAACTTAAAATTAGAGGCTAGCCACCGCCTAGTAGCCCTCTTGTGCGGAATCCATATCTGACCAGTGCTCAATGTTCGCCTCCACTCGGTACGCCCGTTGGCGTGTTCTAACCGCTTTGATCGAATGAACCGAGACCCCACGATTGGGATCAGGACTAACCCAAAGGACGAAAGGAACTCGAAATCCGCCCATGGGGGTGAATGAGCATGGCCATGCTTTGGGATACATGTCAAGCTGTTGAGATGGTTGGGGGCGGTGCTCCAAAGCATTACATCAATCCGTCCATGGACTTAATGGATGTATTCATTGGATTCATTGATCGCAATAGACCAAGTTCCACCCTCCACACCCTTTACATGTAGGCACGAGTCTGGTCGACGTCCCGAATACCCATTGAATTGTCCTTCGGTAATACTTATGGTTGGACGGCCAGGCGAGCTACTTTTGTCACTTCATGTGCTCGTTGGCGCCGGGACTTCTTTTTCTCAACCCGCGCTACGATATGAGACTGTATATGTACCACACCTCGACTTTACCCCATGGGCAAGGAGAGGGGGTGTGCGGACTCATGGAGACTTTGAGGACTATGTGGTATCGTGCCACAGCACCTCCATTCTTGAAAGGGTCGGCAGGGCCCCTCATGGACAAAAAAGAAAAGTTTCTCATCACGTATTTCCGCAGCACTCTTGCTGGCCTCTTGAACTCGTCTTCGTGTCAGTATAGATAGTCCTTCTCGAATTTGGACCACCGACACCGGCCAGGGCCTTACGGATTAGGGTTTACTAACACACAAAGACCGGGCTGGACGCCTAGTGTCTCCACTCTTGAAAATGTTACTCGCATTGCCCCTGGATTGCCGGCGCTGGACGTACGATATCTACTGCCCAGTGGGGTATCCGGCCGGGAGGATCAAGGACGACCGGAAACCGTCACAGAAGCGAAGAGCGTCAACTCCCCTCCCCCTTCCTAACTTCCCAACGTACTTTTCCCTCGCATTCTACGCCATGAGAGTAGCCGGTGTTTGATTTAAGCGGCAGACCCTCGGTGAACCTGAGCATGGTGAGAAATTGCGACACACATCCAGTCCAATACGGTTATTACACCATTACATCCACCCTTAGCACTTCCGTACGACTAAAGGTTGGCCTGTGGGCTTGGCTGGATGGAAACCGCCCCCTCCCTTCACCAAGCCCGAATCGCGAACTTTGACCGAGGCCGAACCGATTCATCGCTCTACTACTAGAGCTTTATCTCGCACTTGGCTTCCCTCATATGAGCTGATGGTGATTGTGATCATGAAAGTGCATACTTGTAGATCTTCGCTATGCGTGAAAGCCCGGGTTGTGTGCCCACGGCGTTCCCATCAATGTTAAGTGGTAGGTAACTCAGGGTATTTGGCTTCTAGCCTGAGCTTGGCGAGGCTCTCCTCGGGGTTACCAGCACCTCATCCACCGCCTGCGGGCGCCATGTTACACGCCCTCAATCCCATTTCAGCAGAAATGCTTTGTACGTAAAACATCAGGTCCCGATGATGTAAAAGGCCCTGTTCCCGAAAAACGCTGCTTTCTCTAAGTTTCTCTAAAAATTCCCCGAGCCCTTCTCCTTGGCCATGTGTATTAAAAACAAAAAGAACGAGGGGCCCTTCGAAAAGGAAACTTATTAGATAATCTATCGCGGCTTTTGAAAGTACATTTGCTGCTGCCGTCTCGAGCTCCGGTACCTTGCCTCAGCTGCTAAAGAGACCCTGCCGCAACCGGGTTGTCAGACGGCGCCTGTTTCTTTTCCCTTTCTTTGCCAAGCAAGAGCTCTTCCGCAATATCTGGGGGTTTGAGCCGGGGCGGGGATTATTATTAACCACCACCCCCACCCTTTCCCGGACCGCCCTTTTTTGTGTTCGTCGGCTGGTTACCTCAGACAATCACACACCCCCTCCCCCTTTGCAGCACCTTTTTTAATCTATCCCACGCTCCCGCTGGTTGCTTCTCGAGCCGCTCGATCCGAGAGCCCTGCTCTTTGGAGGACGTAAGTGGGGCCAGTTGGACGCAAACCCGTCAGCCATCCGTCCTTTCCAGCAACATTCGATATGTCGGTTGTAGAGGCGGGTTGGCGTAGGGATGAGAAGAATGTCTCTCTTGAACCAGAGTTCTTGCCAAAGTTGGGCGGGTGAACAGCTGCTGCCTACGCTACCCCGACTATGCTACCCCGACCATCTTCGACCAACAGTCGCCCGCCGGGGAAGGGCGGGGCCTGCGCTTGTCTAGATTGAGTCGTGGGCTGGCGAGAGGAAGTGAAAGGTGCGCTGTAGTGCTGGCTGGCGGCATGGTCGACTGAAGCCACAAGAGAAGCTTTATGGAACAAGCGGAGCTCGAAAGAAAAGAATAGGGCTGGGTGTCATGGCCTGTCACGGTTGCTGCTCTCACTCTAGGGGTAGATTGTTGGTACATTCATGGATGCTTTTGATTTTACAGGTACTCCCTTCGTGGCGATCAGCCCCGGAGAGAAAGAATCAATGTCATCTATTACATGTCCATACTCATCAAGTATAACTCGAATATCCTCATGAACTTGGCCACAAATGCTTCTAGATGGAAAATAAGCTTGGTTCCAGTCTTGATGCGGTGCTCGTAGAAGGCGGCCCACTTGATGACCTCGCCTTTGAGCTCGTCATCAATCATAGCGATGAGTTTGAATGTGAGGGTTGTAAGGATCGTGGTGGCTGGTATGCAGTGCGTCAAAAGGTCGTATAGCTGGCTGCGTACTTCCAGGATCCTCCGGGGTGAACGTTCGTCCATGATCTGCTTCGCAACCTGCCCGATCAGGGCCTCCCAATCTGGTGGTGGTATCGGTGTGTTATCGGTGACTTTTCACTGCGAGGCCGTTAGCGTAAGCCCCATCGGGAATGGACAAGTGGTGCTCTGCGGTCACACGAGACACCAAAAGGCAGCAGGGTAACTTTACTTTTGTGAATGTACTGTCTCGTACATGAGTAGGGCCTTTCGCAGGTTCCTACCGCTTTCCTCTGCAATTCTCTGGTGTAGACTTTCCACCACGGGCCAGCCCTCTTTCTTCGCCGACTGCGCAAGCGCCGCGCATATGTCCTCATGCGTGGGCGCTGCCACGCGCACGAGAAGTGTACGCGATCGAATGGGGGCGATAATGTTCGCAGTCGAATTCGCGAGAAGGATCAATCGAAGATTGGGCGAGTACTTTTCCATAGTTCGGCGGAGAGCTGCTTGGGCATCGCGTGACAAATGATCCGCCTCGTTGATTACCACCACCTTGAACCGTTGCCTGGCAGACTGATCAACCTGTTGTGTTTGTGCGACCTCTTTGAGGAGATCTTGTATGACGACTCTATCATAGTTGCCTACGTCCGAGGGTGTGATTTCGAGGTGATAGACGGAGGCGACGATGTTGAATTCGAGTTTGCGGTTTGACTGCGTCTGGAATACTCGTGCATCGATCTTGATCTTTTCGACACCCGGCCCGTACAGCTCCTTGAGGGTGGCCACCACTCTCGTTTTCTTTCCAGCCCCTGAAGGTCCGTAGACTAGAAGATGAGGGAAATCGCCGCTTTGAGCCTGTCGTATAGAGTTCACTGGTTAGTTGAATGCTGCGGAGAGGGGCCCAAGGGCGGGGGTTTTTGGATGTGAGGCTAAACAATGTCCATACCAGAGATCGGAGGCGGTCTGAGAGCTCTGAGTGATACGTGAGGGTATCTAGCGACCTAGGCCGATGCTTATCTACGATGAGGGCCATTGCAGGTGAAAAATCTCAATCATCAACTGAATCTGGTGAAGCTTTGGGGATGGATCCGTGGGGAAGGAGGTTAACATTTCGACTTTGCCAGCTCGGACGCGTTGACGCGTAGAGTGGCATATGTGGATTGGTCCGTGCACACAACCTCTTCACGCTCACTCTGAGAAATTGGGCCATATCAATTTTGGGCAGAGGTTTCTAGGCGGTTTTCGAACGCTTCAAAAACTCGACATTATTATTCGGAGCCAGATTTACAAGATCTTGCACCGAAAGAACTTTTCTAGTTACCTCATCAATCCTTGTAACATTGCCAACCCGAGAATCAATCGTCAAATATACATCCTTTTCTCAGTCGACCAAGAGTAGCGACATATGGCTCGAGGCATAACCCCCACCGTTATCTCAACGATGCATCACCTGTTGATACCTTGGTATATCGAGAGAATTGAACTTGAAGGGATTCATTGGGGCTTTGATATCGTATTCTTCACATCTATTGCTACATATGCTTGGAAGCTGAGGACCCACTTAAGTCCTAACAGTTATATTGGTACAACTTGAGGCCAAGAGCTCTACCTCGTGATCTATGCCCTTGGATGACTTAGTTGGAAGAAGAAGGTTGTTCAGCGGAGGGTTCGGTGGGTGTGACGAGGGTGCAGAGCTCTTTTGAGCTGCCGCAAGAAGGGCCGGCGGGATATCCTTTCTGCGCGGTCGCTTGAGATCATCAAGAGTGACTCCATCAAGCTTTGTCGTTCCCACGACAGGAGCCTCTCCCTTCCTTACACACTCGTAGTGGCCTGAGATGGCTAAGCATTAGATGGCGGACGTGTACGGACTCGGAAAGCGAGGGGTCGGACTTACCGGGCAACTTGTTTCCAGCTAAACGCAGGGCATCTAAAATGACCTTCTCGTGGGCAAGTCCCTTGATCTCGAAGAGAATCTGGTTGACGGCAATCCTAGCAGCCCAGTAGTCGAAGGATCCCTTACCCTTACCCATACGAGTCTGCATCAAGACATTGTAAGCATTTGCAAAGACCCCATCGGACACCTTCTGGGACGTCATACCTCGTTTCCGCTCGTGTATACACCAACGTTACAGCATACGCGCTTGTATAGACGATACTTTTCTCCCCTGAGCCTCGTCTTTATCGTGTCTTCCGCCATCTTTAGGTGTTTTGCGCTGATTCTCCTGTGGTGGTCGTTCATGCGCAGACCATAGTCGCCCCACATCACCGTCGTTCCCTTGGTCGACCCGCCAGTGGCTACCCTAGGGCGTCCCTTCATCATCTTCTTCGTGCGGTCGATCGAGGGCTCCAGCCAGTTCCCCATCAAGGCCGGCGACGTGGAGAGGAAACGGACATGGTTGGGAGTACCGAAGCTCGAAGCGCGACCGGAATTCAGCGCTACTGGGGCGATGGAAGAGGTTATTCGGAGGCCCCGAAAGGCATTCGACAACGCCGTTGTAGCATTGTGCTTCATGGTTTCGGCGATTGGGGTTGGTCGTGGGCCGATTCGAATTGATCAGTCGACGAGGCCTTTCGGAGCTCCTTGAAGAAAAAACATGCTCCCCTTCAAAATCGCAGCGTTTGGCGCGATGTCCATTCCCGGCTGTCCGCCAGTTGGCAGATTCACGTGATCAGGCGAACCCACTTTAGCTCCATGTCACGTCGTTGACGCGAGAAGGGCGCATTTTGGGTGAAGGCACCGTGCCGTGCCACGCTTGGTTCCCTTAAAACCACCGTGAATGAATTGGTCCCTCAATTATTGGCGTAGGCAACCTCGAGCTCCCAAACAACCACAATTTTGTGTCGTGGGCGAGGCAGCCGTGGGGACTTTTTCAAGAGCGTCTTTCCGCTTTTCCTGAATTCTTCTTCTCCTTCCAAGCTGTAAACGACCGCCGTTAAAACATGCCTGATATCAGGAATTTCTTTGGCCCCAAGGGTGGCGCGGCACCCCAAAGCCGATCAAGAAAGCACCCGTCGAGGATAGCAAAGCCAAGCGAGCGAGTTCGTCACCCCGCCCAATTCGTATCCCTAGGAACCAAGGGCGAAAGGGAAAACTAAAAATTCGATTACAGAAGCTCGGAAGGTCCTTGATGACAGTGACGACGAGCCTGTCGAGTAAGTCTTGTCGAGCTAAGGGTAGATGGTAATCCATTCAGATGTGACTAACAGGTTTGAAGAGTAAAACCTACTCCCAAGGCCGCTCCCAAGGCCAAGGCGAAGTTAGTACTCTTCCCATCGCTTCTGATAGGGCGACCCTAACAATACCTAGGCCGAACGAGATCAAGGGAGTTGAAACCACCGCAAGCGCCTACTTCTCATCCGACAAGACAAGCAAACCCCCAAGGCCGAAACCCCAGCGAAAACTCCCGTAAAGGTAGCGGTCCCTGTGCGCTCTAGCCCCAGAACCAAAAAGGTCGCCGACCCTCCTGCTTCGAGGCCAGCAAAGTTGCGCCGCCGGCTTCCAAAAGCAAACAACGTCGTACCGAGACTATAACGACGACGACGACGATGACGACGCGTATATGGACGATGGGGATGAGGATGCGGATGACATTCATGCTGCTGACATGAAAAGTCGGAGTAAACGTCGCAACGACGATTACATGGATGATGAGAGCGAGGATGACCTCCGCCCCAAACCCAAGCGTGTGGCGTCTCGAGGTTCGGCTCTGCGAGCTACTGTGGAAGTAAAGTCAACGCCTCCCAAGAAGAGGAAATCGCCTGAGCCGGAGTCGGAGTCGGAGGAAGAAGCGCCACGCAAAAAGGCTGCCCCAGCACGCCCACGAGCTCCGAGAGCTACCAAGGCAGCCAATGACGATGAAGACCCGAATATCCAGAAAATTCTCGACGACATCCCAACCGTGCGCCCACCAACACCACCCCCGCGAATCCCAGTGCAAAGTTCAATTGGCGAGCTGCAAAAGGCGGCGGTAGTACCGCAGCTCCAAATGCGGGGAGTGTTGAATTGCCAGAAGGCGAAGAAGGCTGCTTGGCGGGCCGCACCTTTGTGTTTACAGGCGTTTTGCAGACTGTTGATCGAGAGGTAGCGCAGGCGCTCGTCAAGAAGTACGACGGCAAGGTCACTGGCCAACCGAGCGGCAAGACAGACTTCGTCGTACTGGGAGAGGATGCTGGCCCCAGCAAGCTTGCCAAGATCAAGGCCCTTGGGATCAAGACGATCAACGAAGAAGGCCTTTTCGACTTGATCAGGCGTCTCCCAGCCCACGGAGGAAGTGGAAAGGGTGCCGAAAAGGCCCGACAGAAGAAGGAGGAGGAGGCTAGCAAAGCCAAGCAACAGGCAGTCGAGATGGAACGGGAAGAAAACGCTCGCAAAGCTGAAGCTGACAAGATTGCCAAGGCTGCCGCCGCCTCTCGTGGTCTTGCAGCCCCGGCCCCACCCCAAGCCGCGCAGCTTTGGACAACAAAGTATGCGCCGGCGCAGTTGTCGCACATTTGCGGCAACAAGTCCAATGTAGAAAAGATTCAAAATTGGCTCAATAACTGGCAAAAGTCGAAAAAGTACGACTTCCAAAGGCGAGGTGCTGACGGGACTGGCGGCAGCCGGGCAATCATCATCTCTGGCCCCCTGGAATCGGCAAGACCACTGCTGCTCACCTAGCGGCGAAACTCGCTGGGTATGACATTCTCGAGAGCAACGCTAGCGATACCCGTAGCAAGCGTTTGGTGGAGGAAGGATTGAGCGACGCAATGGACAACACTTCGCTCCGTGGCTATTTTGCGGGTGACGGCAAGACCGTGGACTCAACCAAGAAGAAGATGGTCCTGATCATGGATGAGGTGGACGGCATGTCGGCAGGCGACCGCGGCGGTGTTGCTGCCCTCGCTAAATTTTGCAAGAAGACGGAAGTTCCCCTGATTCTCATCTGCAACGAGCGACGCCTACCCAAGATGAAGCCGTTCGATCATGTTGCGCTAGATATCAAATTCCAGCGGCCTACCGTCGACCAGGTTCGATCCCGAGTCATGACCATCTGCCACAGGGAGGGTCTCAAGTTGGCTCCTCAGGTTATAAACGCACTAATCGAGGGCTGCAACAAGGACATCCGTCAGATCGTCAACATGCTCTCAACGATCAGATTGGATCAAAGCTCCATCGACTTTGACCAAACAAAGTCGATGACAAAGGCTTGGGAGAAGCATGTAATTCTCAAGCCTTGGGATATCTGCCAAAAGATGCTCGGCGGTGGATTGTTTGCCCCGTCGAGCACCGCTACGCTCAACGACAAGATCGGCCTATATTTCAACGATCACGAATTCAGCTACCTGATGATTCAAGAAAACTACCTCAAGACTAAGCCCGCGCTGCTTAATGGCAAAGGTTACTCACCCCGCGAGGCAAAGCTCAAGGCCCTCGAGCTGGTCGATAAGGCTGCGGAGAGCATTAGCGATGGCGATCTTGTTGATCGTATGATTCACGGTCCTCAACAGCACTGGAGTCTTATGCCTGCCCACGCTGTTTTCAGCACTGTCAGGCCTGCTAGCTACATATCTGGTCAGCTTCTCGACAGCGGGTTTACGTCGTGGCTTGGAAACAACAGCAAGCAGAATAAACTGGGCCGCAATGTTCGAGAAATTCACAGTCACATGCGGCTCAGGGCATCTGGAGACCATACTGAGATTCGTCAACATTATCTACCTACTTTATGGAACGCCACGCTCAAGCGACTTGCTGTGGAAGGTAGGGAAGCAGTTGATGAAGTCATTGAGCTCATGGATAGCTACTACTTGACGCGGGAGGACCTCGACTTCATGACGGAGTTGGGCCTTGGACCCCAACAGGACAGGCCGGGAATGATCGACACCCAAGTCAAGTCACACTTTACGAGAACGTAAGTTTTGACTACTTTGTCCCTCTCCTTGTCTTCCTCGATTTACCTACGGAGACCGCAAGTACTAACGGGGGATTCTCTTAGATACAACGGCATGAGCCATCCGCTGCCATTCATGAAAGCGAGCACTTCTGTAGCAGCACCGAAAAAGCCCAAGGAGGTACCTGATCTTGAGGAAGCGGTTGAGGAGGACGATGATGCGGACGTGGCGGAACCTGAGCCGACTGGTGGTGATGATGAGCTGGACCTGAAGGGGGACAAGTACATCAAGAAGCCCAAGCCCAAGGCGAAGAAGCCGGCGAAAAAGAAGGCGGCTAAGAACGATGACGACGAGGATGAACAGCCCAAGGCCCGCGGTAAAAGGGAGCAGCTGCCAAGGGCCGAGGCAAGAAATGAGTGAGCTCGGGTTAAGACGTATTCGCAGATAGGACGGCCAAAAGACATGGGGTGTTAATTGACAAGCAGGCTTTCTTTTTTGGTTTATCGAGCCATACCATCCGAACCATTTTGAATGATGTGATGATGAATCATGGATACAATAACATAGGCTCCTCCGGGCAGCCCTGGCTTGTAGAGCAAACCTGGGCAGCTTTACACAAACCAGTGCTACTCACAAGTGAGTGAATCATTTGCTCGTTTTGGTCTCATGAGTGGGAAGTTGAGGGGAAACTGCAATCCTTGCATCATGATTCACCACTACCTATGAGGGGAATAGACCTCTATGAATCATGACACTTCTATTAGTGGGCGCCTCCCCCAAGGGTTAGATAAAGATCTAAGCTGGCTGTTTAGTTTCTATAAAAGATTTACGAGATTAATTATAGACACCTTATATCCTTGCCTTTCGGGCTAGTATAAACACGTCACTCTACTACTTGATCTTTCAACTCCCTGACCTCTTCTTAAGAGTATAACTCTTTTCATCTTGTCAGCTGGAGCTGTGGTGCCCTTCTGCCCTCCACCTTGCCTCACCAAGTCGCACCTTCCTACAGGGACACTAACCTTTCTAGTTGTTTCCTGGTGATCGCGTCCCCTCGAGATCCATATATATATAGACGGGTGCATCATGATACGCTCTTCTCTTTATTCCACCCACTTCATTTCTCTCCTTCCTCTCCTTCCGCTCCATTGATCTCACTTTGAGATTAAGTGTCCCCATCCAGCGCTTGGAATACATACCCCTCGGCTTGCGGGGCATCGCGAGTTGCTACTGATGAGGAAAGTAGGGGAAATGGGTTCACGACTGGCGGACTGGCTGAGGCAGAGGTTGATGAGGGCGAGGACAGTTCCGTTAGGAGCACTTTTAGTGGTAGGGTATTCTCACCGATGGGGCAGCGTTTGGGCTCATCAGACTTTTGGAATCGTGGCATTTGGACTAACACGCTATGTAGACAACGATGAAGAAGATGAGGATGAGGTCTTGCCACTGTCCAACATGCATCGGCTCTTGCTAGTTATAGAACAGCCGGAGTCCATCTCCCCACGAGGCGAGTGACATTTGGAGTGACTCTGTCTCTGTCTCCACGGCCTCGATGATCGCCGCAACTGTCGCCGAATACGAGGCCTTTCTAGCAGAGCTCTACCCCCTAGCTCATCTCCCGGGTGTCCTGCTATGATATCGCTACCTCAGGTGTTCCCGTCGGGCGTGGTCTCGCTACAACTTCGTCTTCAGAGAGCGAAAACAGCGCTCTCGCTGCTAACCTTTCCTAGGGCCACTCTCTCATCAACGCGGAGCTCACCGCCAGGGAAGATCCTGGACGAGCCGACCAGCTCCCTCTCCTAAACGACCCTCCCCGAGAACCTCCCACCTTTGAAGGGTTCAGGCCACGACCGGGCCCAAATCCAACGCGTTCGGGGACATTCCACTTCACGTTCGCAAGAGTGTGAGGTCGTGACGCTGGCGTTCCCCTTGCTCCCATAAACGTCATCGACGCCATTGCGGAGACAGAGAAGGCTGGTGCATTTCCCTCACCATCGAGGAGACTACACTCTACAAAGGCCTTGAGATCAAAGATGGCCCAGCTCAACCTCCTCAAGGAACTGAGAGCCGGGGCCCACAAAAATGGCCTCCTTTATCCCCGCGAGTTCCGCGAGGCAGCAGAGAAGAAGCGCACGCGCGAGAAGATTCGCAGAACCATCCAGCGCCAGTTTGATGAACTGCAGTACCGGCACGCCTACCTCACCCGGGCAGTCGGGACCCACCGCCGTGACGCCCGCGCCGCCGCTGCAGACATGGAAGCCCTGGAGCAGGAGATCCGGAAAGAGGTCCTCGCTGCCGGCTACTCGTCCATTGATGGAATGATGGAGGCGACCGCCACTTTGCAGCGGGGACTCACCAGGCAGCTTCGAAACAGTCCTGAGATGGTGGGTGGTGCCAACACGGCGCCCAGCGTCGAAAAATCGAGCCTCCTGTGTTTGTCGATTTGCTGATGAGAGGGCGAAGAGTGGTGAGCGACAAACATATTATCATACCCCCGAATACGAGACGTGTGGTACCGATATCTACAAACACGAAAATTCTAAAATCAATGTCCACTTACACTCGATAGTTGCTTCATTCTTCTTCCATGTTCCCCTTGATTTATATGCACGAGAGAAGCACTTTAGAAAGCTTTAGAATAGGTAGAGCGGGTCTCGTAAAGATGTTTCCCTGTGGTGGGTTTCCAAAAAGGTCAATTCTTGTCTTGATGCAGCCAGTTTCCCCTCCATCGCTTGCTATTCTTGTCTGCGTTACGTCTTGTACTCTTTTTATATAAAAGTCCACCCATGCCCGTCGCTTCGCTAGGAAGAGACGCCAAGTTGTTCCGATTCATGACCGAGAGAGAGGAGAGATGTTGTACAGAAAAATGTGTGAATCAAGTACATGAGAAGGTGAAAAAGAAGATGGATGCTGGTGTCTCTTTTCCTGTCCTGCCATGCCCTTGAAATAGAAAAATAAAAGTAGAAGAGACATTGAAGGTATGCGTTTCGAAATCAGGTATGCTTTTCACCCCAAGCCATTAGGTATTATAATCTTACAGTACACTGGCTTAGAAGAACAGTGGATAGAAACACAGATGCTCGGTTTGAGCAAGCCTTGAACAGGCGGGATATGACGATGTGGTGTTTGGGAGGCGCGGAGAGGGAGAGAGAGAGTGTGTGTGCGAGAGATGGCGAGAATGGCCGATATCAAGTTTGGTGAGTGGTGATTTGAGAGGTGTGGTTGGGATAGATGTGGTGAGGAGGTTAATAAACCGAGTATGAGGTCGGAGGCCGGGGGAAGCCTTAGACTTGAATCTTCTTGGCGACCTGGACCTTGGCGGGTCGCAGAAGGCGGCCGTTGAGCTTGAAGCCCTTGCTCTCGACGTTGATGACCGAGTTGTCCTCAGCCTCGGGGTGAGGGATGAGCATGGTGACCTCGTGATCGGCGGCGTTGAACTTCTCGCCCATGGGGTCCAGACGGGTGATGCCGTGCTGAGCGAGCACCTGCATGAGGATGGACTCGGTCATCTTGATACCCTCGTGCAGGCTGTAGAGGTGCTTGTGGTGGCCTTGGCCGTTCTCGCCGCCCGCGAGCTGGTCGGCGGGCACGATGTGCAGAGCGCGGTCGAGGTTATCCACGCTGTCGAGCAGGTCCGCGGCGAACTTTTGAATGGCAAAGTCGCGGGACGCCTTTTGGTCGCGCGCGCTGCGGTCCTGTAGCGTGCGGAACTCGGCAAGGAGACGGAGGTACTTGTCCTAGATGGAAGAGAAAGAGAGCCTCGTTAGCATGTCTGTCTATTTTCAAGGGGAACAGCGCAAGGCTACGGAGAAAAATGATCGCGATCCTTGCCATGGAGAGGACCGGATAGAGAGGGGGAAAATGCATACCTTGAGATCAATAGCCTCCTTTTCCTTAGCTTCGAGCTTCTTCTTCAGAGGGTCCTCGACCTCCTCCTTCTTGCCCTCCTCGGCCTTTGCGGCCTCGCCATCCTTCTTCTCTGCTCCGTCCTTGCCGTTCTCGGAGCTATACCACCTCGCCGTCCTCACGGGGAGCGAGGCGAAGACTGCGGGCCTAGCGGCCTGCTGGACCTGGGCTCCGAGGGCGAAAGCCGTCCTGGAGGCGACGGGAACGGCCGAGCGGACGGCGCGCGCGTTGGTGAAGAGGGCCTGGCGTAACATTTTGGATACGGTGTGAATGTGGAAGAAAAGGATGTGCTTGGCTTGGAAGATTCAAGACTGCGCGATATGCGGATTTTGGACGGGGGAGGGGGAGAATGATCAAGATAAAAAACGACGATGGATGGTTATTGCTGGAGAGCAAGCTTGGGGAGGGAAGAAAGGTTATGACCGGAGAGAGCTTTCTGGGGCCACTTTTTTTTTTGGATGAAATTTTCTCAGGGGAATTTTTTTCTCTTGGCAACGGACACGTGAGGTCAACAGGGATCAATTGGTCGCCTCTGCGCCGGTGGCGGGTGAGTGTAGTGTACTTGCGCTCCAGCGTGTAATTAGCGGTATTTCGTGGTCCCGAATTGGGAGACCGAGTTTATTAGGGGTTTTCCTTTTGGTTCTTTTGGGGCCATTCGGTCGCTCAGGGCCGAACACAAAGCCGAGCTTGGGACGGCTCGGCCGGTCCGCGCTTGGAACATTGAATCAATCGATGTTTGGTAACATTACACTCAAGGTACTGGACGGGAATCGTGCCAAGATAAAAACTCAAGGTTCCAACATGCTGCTATAATATGCATTCGAAACAGAAACAGACGCAGTGCAGAAGACTGAAAATACGAAGACGAGAGAGAGAAACGAACAAGATGGAAAAGAACATGGAAATCACGAGTCCCTAAACTTGGACGAACGAACCACTTGCCGAGTGGGTCCTAATGTTTTGATATACATTGTTCTCTCTTTCTCTCTCTCTATATATATATTTATGTCCCCATTCTATCCCGATCGCGTCTATCCAGCGTATATGATGGGAAGGATATTGGTAGTCTCTTGTCCCCTGCCCGTGGGGGCCTTGTCGAGTCGTTGATCTTTAAACGGCTCGAAAGCCCGTAATCATACATACAATCCGGCTGGTGCAACAAACAAGTATCCCTCGAAAAAGGCAACGAGAAAGATCGTCACTGAGTTCCCCTTCCTATGCCCACTCTAACTGCTATCCTTTGAATGCCATATCTTTGATACCTAGTTCCGGCCGACCCCTTCTCCACACATGCTCCGTTTTTGATTCTCTCTCCTTCACCTAAAAAACGCCGAGAGATATGCTATAAGAGATAAGAGGAAATAACAACAAAATTATGAAAAAGAAAACGGGAGGGGGTTGTGCCTAGGGAGAACCGCCGAGGATCTCTTGGAGGCCGAATAGATTAACAGGGGGTTGAAGATGCAGAGGGAATGAGGGATGGAACAAAATTAGAAAACAATGGTGAAGTCTACGTCGGCACGTAGATACCGCCTTCTATGGCGTCCAAGGGGTTGGCTGGCCGAAGGGTGAGAGGAAGCCATCGTGCAAGTGCCAAGGTGCCTACTCTTCTATGTTCTTAACTTTACGATAGACATTTCGGTGCATCTCGAGGAAGATGAAGGTGCTAATCGTTTGACTGTGATGCCGACTGTTAGCTAATCTGGGTCCGTGGAGGAGAGACGAGGAGACAAAGAAAAAGCCTCCTGGCCTGGACATAAACTTACGGTCCAAGTCGAAGGAAGCTCGGTGTCCAACCTCGGAACATCCAGCCGAAGCCTTCCGTCTTGATAAGGTTCTTAAGCACCTCGACGACACCGTGCTCCGCGCTGTGCGCCGACATGACTCGCGTCTTGACCACGTCAACTGGGTTGGTCACCGTCGCCGCCACCACGCCCGCCATGAACGAGGCCGTAAAATGCGTCGCGAGGTCATCCTTCATCGGGGTATGGGCGATGAGCACGCGCTTGATGGTGTCGTACGAGGCGAGCTGCGACGACGTCATGAACGCGGCGCGAACGCTATTGGGCCAGACACCGCGGAACCAGCTGCCAATGCCCTCGTGACGCGCCATGCGGTACATGCCGTCGAGGCCGTGCTTGTAGTTTCTCCTCTTGTCGACGGGGAGCGCCGCGTCGTGTTGCATGCGTACGTTGACCACGTCGGCCGCGTTTCCGCAGACGCCGCCGATAAGGCCCGACACCGTTGCGATACCGATCAGCATGGGTAGGCCGGGCTGCTTGCCATCGCTGGACGCCATGTTCTTGAGTTCTTCGTATACGCCGAATCGAATTGTCGAGTACGTCATCTGTCGAAGCAGCGAGGCCGAGAGGCCGCGATAGATGGCGAAGAAGCCATCATTCTTGACAATGTGCACAAAGGTCCTGCTCATCGTCTTGGGCATGTCGCCATGCCTCGTTTGCAGGCGCACCTATAATGTGGGGAAAAGGAACATGTTAGCGAGCTTAACTTTCGGCGTCGCGAACGCGAGCTCCAAATCAAAGTATGGGGGTCGGTCGCAGTGGGTTCGCGTGGATGGCGTCCAGCGTTTCGCGATGACAACCGTATCTAGTGCCTTTCGTCATACAGGTATTTCGCACGTACCTTCACTACAAGCCCCCAAGAACCAAGGTTAGCTTCCAAAGTCTTTATAAATGTGGGAGAATAAATGCTATTGCGGCGTGGCTAAGATGACCGACGCGGCCCCAGAATCACAATTTTTCCGTCTTCTTCTTTTTCTTTTCTTTACTCACCAAGATCAAGGGGATGCGTCACGATAGCAGCCATGCTGCTCGCGCTGCCTCCAAACCAAAAGGGTAATGTATAGGCTTGCCCTTTTTCGGGGCGGCCACCACGGCCGGCTGTGGTTTGGACTCCATGGGTTTCGCAAGGTTGGCCGAATCCATCTTGAACGATCACGAAAAAGGCGGCGGCCGGCGGAGGGGATGCGGTAATCGGGTAAGGAGGGGAGGAGGGGGAAAGGGGCGACGTTAGGACTCGCTGCGCATCCTGTCAAGGAAAGGTCCAAGGGTTCGGCGACTTTTGGGGAGGTCTATCCGAAGGGCGATTAAAAATTACGTCGAGCGCCCTGCTGCAGCCGCAATGACGAGTTGCCGAGGGGAATCTCGATAACGGATGGAGAAGGGGAGAGCGAGCGAGAGCGGAGATAAGAAGGGGCTGCTCGATGCAAACCAAGCAAAACAGCGAATGTGAGTACTTTGAACAACACTGATAAACCGGCGAACTCAGTGTCTCTTTTTTAACGGGAGGGGATCGATGGTTGGTGAATTCCTAACGATGCCGTCACTCGGACGAAGATGATCCAATGCGAATTTGGGGGAGGGGGTGGAAGGGGATTGGAGAAACCGAAGAGAAGAAAAAAAAAAAAAGTAATTCCAAAAATTAATTGGCCGGTAACCGGGATCTGCGCGTGGCCGGAGTTAGCAGCAGGCCCTTGATGTCGAGGAAATCCCCCAAAGAGTCGCATCAATCCATCCCCGGACGAAAGTCGCGTTGTGATTGATTGACGACAGGCTTCTTGGCCGGTCCAGGTTCTAATGTATAATTTTAGTTGATTGCCATTGACGTCCAGTGACAGTTCAGGTTTGCTGCCATGTGGGGACCCCAGAGGGACCACCAAAGTACCGAAGCCCCCAGCGCAGCAAATTGCAACTGTCCCAATTGCCCAAGCAGCATTCCCCTACTGCTATGTTTGGCTCGTTCGGCAATCTGTCTGGGCCGAGCTCTCCCCTCTCACCTCTGACTGGCAGCTCCAGAGGCCCGATTCTCGGAAGGAGCTTCAAGACATATGTACCGTGTTATCTAGTGATAAGATAACACGCACTGTGTGGATCGACCTTGCATGTCGAACGATTTGAAGATCCAATCGTGCAGACCTCATCGCAAGCTCACCTCAAGAAAAAAAAAAAAGCTGAGAAGCGACGTGGAGCTCCCAAACCACCTACCCACCCTCCATCTGTTCCTCGAGTCATTAGAAACTTTATAGGAGGAGGTGCAACGTGTCCTTGGTCCATCGCCACCTCCAATCCCAAAGAAACAGGATCAAAGGCGCCGTCTCCTCGACGTCGGCCGGCAGGCAAGATGGTTGGCGCGCGAAGAGTCCTTTCTACCCTCCGCGTAGAGCTTCGCTTCCGGAATCAACAGTTTAGGTCTTGCAGCCGAAGCTACTCATCAGGTATGGTCTAGTCGCTGCGAACCCTCAACCCTGCCATGCCCTCTGGCGCGAAACTTGCCAACCAGCTCACACGCTTTCCCTCTCTCCTACTCTAGCAACAGCCTCCTCCGCACCCGTTACCATAGAAGTCAATGGGAAAAAGGTCACGACCGATTCGTGGTACAATGTTCCCCGAACGTGGTGGACGCGGCGAGCCGCCGCCTGCATCTCCAAAAGGACCACCCAGTCTCGATCACGCGCAGCATCATCGAAGCCCAGTTCCCCACGCCCACCTACAGGTACCACAACGAGTTCCACCCCGTAGTGTCCACCGCCCAAAACTTCGACTCGCTAGGATTCCCCGCCGATCACCCCGGTCGCAACAGGTCGGATACCTACTACTTCAGCAAAGACACGCTTCTACGGACGCACACTAGCGCCCACCAGGCCGACGTCTTCCGGGCTAATCTCAGCGAGGGCTTCCTCATCAGCGCCGACGTCTACCGGAGGGACGCCATAGACCGTAGTCACTACCCCGTCTTCCACCAGATGGAAGGCGCGCGAATGTGGGATCGCACCAAGGTCAAGGACGGCGATCTGGCTGCTACCATCTGGGCGGATGTGGATGCCTTGCCCAAGCACAACATCAAGGTTGAGGACCCCAACCCACCTTCTCACCCAGAGCGCAACCCCTCCAAGGCGAGCACCACACCGCCGAGGAGGCCGAAGCGATAGCCGCCCACCTAAAGCGATCTCTCGAGCTCATGGTGGTAGATATCTTCTCGCGAGCCAAGCGAGCCGCTGCCCGCGACAACCCGGATCACGTTGACGAACCGCTGCGCATGCGCTGGGTCGAGGCCTATTTTCCATTCACGAGCCCTTCGTGGGAGCTTGAAGTGTACTACGAGGGTGACTGGCTCGAAGTCCTAGGTAGCGGTGTTGTGCAGCAGCAAATCTTTATCGATGCTGGCGTGCCCTCCCAGGTGGGCTGGGCTTTTGGCGTCGGTATCGACCGCATCGCCATGCTCCTCTTCAAAATCCCCGACATCCGCCTCTTTTGGTCTCGCGACCCCCGCTTCCTGAGCCAGTTCACGGGCGTCTCGGAGAATCTGGACTTGCTCCGTCGCTACGTCCCCTTTTCTAAATACCCGCCCTGCAACAAGGACATTTCCTTTTGGCTTCCTTCTACGACGTCGGCCGCCGGCGGCAACACCCGACCTAGCCCGCAAGACTTCCACGAGAACGACGTCATGGAGCTTGTCCGTAACGTGGCAGGCGATGTCGTCGAGGATGTGCGACTCGTGGATCAGTTCACACATCCCAAGTCAGGCAGGCGCAGTCTCTGCTACCGCATCAACTACCGCAGCCTAGAGCGCACCCTCACCAACGCGGAGACCAATGAGCTTCACACCCAGGTGACAGAAGAGCTCGTCAGTAAGCTCGGTGTCGAGATTAGGTGACCGAATTAGGCGAGGAGCAGTTGGTAGTGGCTCATATCCCCTCCACCCGTCACCTTCTTTTGTCTTCGCCTTGGTTATAAACGACGAAGCAATAGAGGTGCAAAACAAGGAAACATTCGGGAGGCATTGGAACTTCATGTGCCTCAGGCCGTCGTCTCGGGGCTGACGCAGCTTCTGGCGGGACATTGTACCAGCCTTTGCTGTATTTTTCTTGTTCTCACCTGCTCGGCCGGCTCTCTTGTATTTCTACTCACGACTGTCCTTCTCCGCTTTTCATCTCGAAAGCGAGCTAAGCCTCACTCACCTCATGTATTCTCACCTTGCGCTCCACATCTGAAGAGCCAGGTGCCAGATGGTAGAGGAGGGCATCATGTACAAACTTTCTCTTGTGGGTGCGGGGGTAGAGGCGTTTGTTGAGGGAAAAAGTACCCTTGACACACAGAGTGTACGATATAGTGACCATCATCTATAGATCCATGTATAGATAGTGAAATAGGTTGAAGGTTCTAGGTGTATCCTGTTGAGTCGCATGACACTGTTCTGTGCGTTGTACGGCGGCGGCAGTGGCTGATTCATCTTGCAAAGTTTCCGTACTTCGAATGCACAAGCTTGCATTTTCGCGGCGTCGTCTGGCAACAAAGTGACATTTTTCTTTGTCTTCTTCTTCTTCTTCCTCTTCTTATCCCACCCCTCCCTTTTTCTCCTCTCACTCGGCTATTGTAAAGGTCTCGTCTCGTGTGCAGTGGGCGATGACATGCCAACTGCGGAAAAGAGCACGTTCCGACCAACCTCTCATTTCGCCGTTGCGTTGTCTATTACATCAAATCCAGCTTGAGTTTATTACAGTGGATCCATCCAGACGTAATCTCTTCATGTTGCTTCGCTGCCATGCAAGACATGTGGGGGAGGCTATGGCTGGTCAGTGTGTTGGGCCAGGCCCATCCTGTCGGGCTGCCTCGCACTAGTTGTTATTCCCGAATGGTGGAACTGAAATGAACAAAACTTAAGCCACTAACTGCTTGGAGCCTGGCCAGCCGTTGTACCAGGGCGAGGCCAAGGGGCTGGGGGCTTTCGCGTTGGTGGTGGCTACGCAGGTACGAGCAAGGACAAGCTAAAATGCCCTTGAGGCCTCAAGCCCAGTTAATACGCCGTTTGCCCTGGCACACGGAGACAGCACACGTCACTGGAGGCCGACAGTCAGCCCGCACACGTTTGAAACGAAACTGCGGCCAGCCATCCTCTTCCTTGACTTTTGGGCATGCTCCAGCGGGCTATTGCCAGCCCAATCGTAACAATCCATGATCGACGGACCCCGTCCTTTTAGATTCGAGTCTCCACATCTATCGGCAAACCCCCTTGTCGGATGGGGACAAGGCAGCTGGAAACTTTTCGATCCGCCAGATCAATCGATTTCGATCCATGCGAACTGATCTGATACTGTTGCTCCCTCCCTCCCCCACTGATCGTGGCGAGGCTGAGCCTTTGTTGTCTGGGGAATATCCCCACTCGGACATTCACACAAGTGGAGGGACTCCAGATCCACCGAATTCGCGAGGCAGTGGCTTTCGTTGCCGCAATGGCTGAGGAACTGACGGTTTTGCCTTTGGAAATTAATCCGAGCTCCAATGAGCCAGTATGCCTCGAAACACCGAACCTTGGCGTGGGAGACATTTCTACTCTCCGCCATAATAAAATCGAATCAAGCCACTAATACAATTTACACCCCAGCCGCTCGAGCCCATGGGTAAGGCACAGGCACGAGGCCTCCCTAGGATTAGGCTTAACCCGCTGCGCGCTCCCCTGCGGGCTCGCTACACTTGCTTGATGGATCCATCCACAATTGATTTTTCATCCCGTTGAAGATGCAGGAGCCTACCAAGCTGAACTGCCATCGCTTGGAGTTGAAATATGAGGGCTGAGCCGAGAAAGACTAGGATAACTAGTTGGGCTGGTCACCTTTGCGGAATTTGTCACTTTGCATTCCTAGCCAAAGGCAACATATACTCAAAAAAGAAAGAAAAAAACCGTTGGCCACGGAAGCGAGCGTCGTCATGTAGTTGAGTGTATAGGCGTGGACCGTGGCTGATTATCACTTGGTCGACGCGCGATGGATTACAGAGCGAGCGGTGGATTGCTTACCCGTGACTGGCTGCGCAGCATCGGGTTCCATGCCAATTCATCATTGTTCATTTTCCGTCAACGGATCCATTTCTCGCAAAGCCCCCTCGGCGCATGGCCCGGGCTAGGCCTTGCGAGATGAGCAGAGGCTCAGTTCAATGCCCATGTTTGCCTCCAGCACAGCTTCCTCTGTCGCTTTGTTCCAACGGTCTTCCCCAGGATCCTGGTCCTACATGTACTTTCAACAACTTGACTAATAACATTGAATCGTCTACCCTCTCTTCCGTCATCGCGAGAGGCGCATGTCCCTGTTTCCATCAGGCACGATATTTAGACGTCAGTGTTAACTGCAACCTTACATTTTGTAAAAGACTCGGCTGGAGAAAATATTCCCGTGACGAGATCAAGGCGAGGTGTTGGGCATCACGCTGGCCGGCGTTGACGTCACAGCCACGGGCGTTCACAAAGGGTCCCACACGGGTACTCGAGCTCAAGGTGTGTTGTGTATTGCTGCAGTGTAAGGTCATTTCCGAGACAGGGTCTGTCATGGAGTTCGGAAAAGAAGGGCAACCTATAGAGAAGCGTGCGGCATTCGCGGGCGGCCAAGAGAAAACATGTACTAATATATCCAGTCGTAAGAGGTAAGATGGAGAATATTAATATATATAGCAGGTCTTCTATAGGCTATTCGGAACACCACTAAAGAAAGGACAAAAAGGCACACCCCCATAGTCTCGTCTCAATGGAATACTTGATGTAAGGGGACTTAAGATGGACCAGGCGTGCTGCAGATTATTATAGTACAGGCAAGCGCAGGAACGGTCGGCTGGCTGCCCCAAATTTGTTCAAAAATCCCCGAGACGTCTCAGCATCTCATCATCTATGGCCCCAGAGCAAAAGAAGAGGAGGGCCACAATGGCCGGGCGAACTGCTATAACTACTCGTCGTAGTACCAAATATTGATTTGATCGTTGCCGTTTCCGGAACCCCGCTAAACCCTGATACACCCATCGGGCTGCTGAAGGAAAAGGGCAGACTTAGCTAGGGGTGTCAATATCTCCATGTACTATTCTTCACTGCTTTCTCATCTTTTGACAATTGGTATATGCTCTTCTTTTCCCATTCTACAAGTTGGTTATTCGTCGTACCAGCTGTCGGCGTTGCAAGCCGAAGTGTGTGAACGACATTACGTTGTTCGAGATTGGAAACTTGGGATTCACCTAGACAAAGGAAAACCGGCCTATATTCCCTTCTATTCCCTCCTTCTCTTGATCGGATGTCCTAGATGACTACTAAAGGTCAAGATAACTCGATGTCCATTTGAGACAAGCAGTTGTTTGCAACGCGGGATGACGATACGGGTGACCGCATCATGTTCACCCCTTGGCAGGGACAAGGAAGGAGGCTTTGTAAGGCGTGCAAGGTCAGGTAGTAGTCGAAGCCTCCAGAAGCAGACCCGACAAATACGCAGAGGTATCACATGCGTTCTTCCGCCAGCAGGAGTGTATTAGTGAAAATGAAATAATGATAGAAAAAGGAGGCGAAAATGACAGGATCCATCAAAGGACATCATTGAAAGGCTGACAGTTGTGGCGAAATGGGTAGAGGCGTGACGTGACGTATGCTCATGCGCCGAAGCTGAGCCGCCAGTTTTTTCTCCCCTTTCTCTGTCTACATGTACTCCAAGGCACTTCCACCAGCCACACTTACACTTAGGTTGATTGTTTGGTCTGCTATAAGTGCCTGGGCTGTTTATGCGACTACTCAAGGAACCAAGGGGTGTCATGTGGAGGGCGGCTCACTATGTGGGCAGTTTTGATTGCTTAGTGCCGGTACCATCAGGCTCGTACCAACAGACGGACTCCATAGTAATAGCCATCTGGACCTAATGAGATATTGAGCGAGATGAATCCGAGCTGTCAGTGGACATGAATTGCATTGTTGGACAGCCCCCATCCGCTGGGGCTCGGTAATAATAACGAGCCTCTACTCATCCTAGCACTAACAGGGCGAAGCATGAGGATGGCAAATTTGCGTTTGTTTAAAAAATTGACATCCTTGATAATTGATTCATTGATTTATCGATACTTTTTTTTCTTCCGAGGCAAAGTGGGAACAAAGAGCGTTGAAATGGGTAGGTTGGAAAAACTTTGTGCGTCCCTCGGCTTCGGAGTTGCCAGCACAGCCTCTCTGTTTGTTGAGTTCCGGGCCTGGTTTTTGGCAGAGGGTAGAACATGAGCACAGGGTAAGGAGGGTAAAGGGCAGCTGGGCGGCAGCGCGCCGTGCTTTCAAAACCACTCCGGACGCTCCGTGACCCTGAACCCGTTTCAACTGCCTCTTCGGGGGCGGAGGGAGGGGGAGGGATTGCCCATGACCGGCTGATTTGGTGCTTGTTTCTCATGCGGGTCGGTCCACTAAGATGGCGGAGATTACACGACAACAGCAGCTTGAGACCTTGGCTTTTCTTTGGAGGTGCTGCCAGGTAAGTACCCGAGAAGGGTTCTACATGGCCAACAGCTTCCTACCATGGAATTCTTCTTCATTGCTTTCAACCCGTAATAGTATAATATATGTAGGAGAAGGAAGGGAATGATGGATTCATCTATGCATATGAAGAAAGAAGATGGGCTTTAGGTCAACGACAAGTCAACCTTGACCACTTCATTCGGCATTCTTCGTGCAGTATCGCCATTTTTTCAACCCAAACAATGAAGGAATTGATCTAGGAAGGGACTGGGTGAACGAGGGGGCTTTATCGGGAGAGCGTTCCGAATTACCAGACGAACATGAACAACTCGGATCAAAGACGAGGGCAAAGGCTAAAACGGCTCTCCCTCCTTCGCCGTGCGTGTCAAGTATGCGCGTGTTCCTGCGTACGTCTAATATAAGACCAATTGAATGGATGTATACTCGGTATATAGATACAAATCAACGTGGAGGAAGGGACAAGGACGGCAAGAACGAGCAAAGAAAAGAGAAGGCCCGTGTCTTCCAGATCGACAGTTCCCCAGGTACGGATCTCCCAAGAACGACGTGGAAAAGCACATCAGGAAGGAGGAACAGGAGCAATTCGATCAAACCTTGGTTGCTCCTGAAGTTTGCTGCGCCTTCTGGAACTTTCTGAGATTGCTCCTGTGTAGTACACTGCAACTTGGACTCACAATCCCCCACTGCTCTGTCCTTTTGTTTCTGTTCAAATGTTCCTTCCTAAACAAGGGCAGCACCGAAACTATCGCATCTCGGCAGCATCACTTGGACTTGCCAAATCCGATTGAGTGGGAGTGTGCCTGCAGTTGGGTACGGAACTTTATGGTGTGGGGAGGTGTATGAGTGTGTGTGGAATGGGGAGAGGCAGAGAGGGGAGAGGTGGCATGTCAATTCTCAATCCCAAGGTTGGGTTGGCATGTTGGCATGGTCGGGTGGTGGGCATCAGACCTGGGTGCTGCGTGCTGTGTGCTATGTGCCGTGGGGAGTGCAGTCCAAATGATGGGAGGGAGCTCAGGTCACGGGTACGGGGACCGAGGAAGCCCACGGAAGCCGCAGCGCAGTCTCCATTGCTCCATATCGATTGACCTCGTTCACCAACTCAAGGGGGTGTGCGCGTGTCAATGTGTGGGGTGCGCCTGTCGTGGTGTCCATCGTGCCGGACTCTTGTCCCATTCCAGGTCCTTTCTGCCACTAGCAAAAACGGCTAAAGGGTGCCCCTCTGACGTTGGCTGGCATTGGATTCATTCTTTTTCCCATGTTCTTCTCGACAGGTGGTCAAATACAAGTAACACGCATTAGCGCAAAGGACCGCTAGTGCTGTGCCGTACTGTACTGTACCGCATGCCAACTGCTCGCTCTGGAGCGTACGTACTTCGTACCTTTTGTCTCTTGGCACTGCCATTGAATTTGACCCATGCCTGTTCCATTGGCCTCCCGAGCTCAGCCCTCCACCTCCACCGCCGGAACGGATGAGCGACACTCTACAGCCACGCAGCAGGTCTTTGCCTCCCCAAAGGCATTTTTTTCCCTTGCGACTTGACTTGACTGCCTATCCGTGTGCAAATCGCCGACTACTAAATCAATCTCGCCCGCCACCCATCTCGACTTGCGTTCTTGATTTTCCTCTTTTTTTCCTCAAGCCCCTCAAACACACCCAAAATACCACACAAACTACCCTCACACATTTGCACACGCATGCACACTCGCAGTCTACTCTCGCACAGCTATCAGACTTAGCAAGACGGTACACTTGACTCGCAGAACTCGCCGCGATCCCTCAACCTCCTTCCAACCACTCCGATCCGACACCGTCGCTCTCGACGAGGCGCAAACCCACCCCCAAACCGCCAAACACAAACATGATGGATTCTACTCCCTCTCCCTCTCTCTTATCCCGTCGGTCATCTGGGTCCTCGTCGCCCCGGTCACTGACCCTCGACCTCTCGGCGATTCCTGCGCTGACGCAGCCGACCCCGCCCTCCAACACACTCATCTTCACCAACCTCCAAGACCTCGACATCTTCCGCGCCGATAACCTCCAGACTATCCGCGAGCTGATTGAGAAGACGTGTCACGTTCACACCTGGTCGCCCCTCCGCTCATTCAGGCGCATCATCGTGTCCTTCCTAGACGAGCAGTCCGCCATTGGCGTGCGTCAAGCGTGGGACGGAGAGACCATCATGGACCACCGCGTACGCGTGTACTTTGGCCAGCACACCCCCGTGGAGGCCCGCGACGAGCACCTCGCCTTGCCCGACGCCGGCAAGCTCTTCTTCATCTCGCCCCCTCCCAGCCCCCTCACGGCTGGGAGATGCGCCTCGAGGATGCGCCCAACAAGCTCGTGCATGCCGAGGATCTTGCCGACGCCCTCGCCAAGCTTCACCACAGGCCCAACCCCGCCGCCCCTGACTCGGAGTCTCCCATCTCCCCGCCGACAGCGGCGCGGGCTTCCCATGCGAAGCCGGAGCTCGACCCTCATCTACCATCCCGAAGATCACAGCTCCAACTCCGACTTGCCCGCTATTGCCGTTGAAGATATGACGGACGAGCCCATGAGCTTCTCCTACAGCCCCATCGAGGCGCCGCGGCCTGCCGTGGTCACCCACACCGCTCGGCCTCCTGTGGAACTTATGCAGGGAGCCTAAGGGACTACGCGGTTCTTGGTCGGGGGCGCTATCACGGGCGCCTCCTGCCGTTTACAACTAAGGCTCTTCCGCGCTTTTCTTTTCATGTCACATTTTTTCTGTCTTTCCTTTTTGTCTTTATTAAGTGGGCCAAGGGCGGCGTTCAACGGGAACACATTATAGGTGGACGGCGTATCGCATCAGCATGGGCCCACGGACGGCTTCCTGATTCTCTTTTCTCTATACTTCTTCTTTCCTTGTCCTTTTCCTTTCTCCACTTTTACACGTCTCTCGCAAGCACCGAAAACGGGCGCGATGGGGCGGTTCTACAGCATATCTGGTGGTTTCATAATGGAGCGTTTCTCCAGATCTACACACATACAATATACATATTGAAAGCATCCACTTGACTCCTACGTTCCCCGCTGCCATGCACGACGGTGAGTGCGAGATTCCCGATCCCGATGGTGGTATAAGTTCTTGGCATGGGGAGGGGAAAGGTGGCGGAGCTTTTTTTTTCCTTCATCCTTTTTGCTACTTACCGGGTGACTTACAAAACCTATTCGATGGACTTGTTGCCTCAGCAAAGGCTTCTAGCCATTGTTTGTAGAGGCAGGAAGAAAACCTTGTTCTCGCGTGCTCCACATCAACACCCCCATGTGTATGTGCTGTCTAGCCTGGATGCACCATGAAACTGACATGGGGAGGAGTAAGAGGGAGTGGTGTTATTGTTTGATAGAATGCACAAGTTAAAGGAGGGGGTCACTTCTCGGTGACCCCCATGTGCTCACTCTTCGTACTCATTGACTACAAGATATGGCGCAATGAAAAGCCATTCTTAGTTTTCATACGCCTTGAAGGAGATTCGTTGGCGATGCAATCTTGGACAAGTCTGCCAGGTTAAGCCTGTAGGGGGAAGATGATGAATGGCTGAGCTCCGACTTGACGGCGGCGGGCGGTGGGCGGTGGGGGAAGAGGAAAAGGGAAACGAACTCGAACCTCCGCTCGAGTCCAATGCTGCCAGCGCTAAAGAGCCGGGCCCCACAGGCCGAAAAGTGATGGACGTGACCCACTATTATCCTTTTCTTGGCGGGGCCGAATGTTCTATAGAGTCTGACTAAGCCGACGACAAGACAACGACAGCGCTAGGTCCTTGTATTACCAGTTTAACTCGTTAACGGAAAAAAAAAAAAAGGCCTTGGGCGACGGCACACGCGCACCTTCAGCTTACCTAGCTCACGCGTTGAACGTCAAATCTCAGAAAGGCTCCAACTTTTTTTTCTTTCCCATCTTCCACAGCCACGACTCAATACTCCTTTCTAGTCAACGCCCCTTTTCCTCCCACGACTCTTCGTATTCTCGGGCGCGAACCCGATCCATCAAACGAGGCCCCTTTAGCGACATCGTACCGAGAACAAAAAACAAAAAGAAAAAAGGGATCCAACCGTGGTGTGGCGAAAAGTCAACCTCACCCCTTGTGAACAAACACAGCCTCCTCTTCGGGCTCAGGTCTAAACGAGCTACACGCATCTTGCGAGTCTCTTTTCCTCTCTTGCCCCCGGTCATTCCTCCTGGGAAGGGGGACTGCCACTCTATTCTATCCCGAGGACACCGAATCGAAACCGGCTGGCTGGTCCTTGCTCCTCGAGCCGCGCGTTGCCCACCTTCCGCCATCAGCCTCGCCTCTCTTCGTGATCATCTTTACCATCCAACTTTTTTTTTTTCTTAGACACTCTCCTCCTCTTGCCCCCTTGGACCAGAGGCCCCGGGCCTCAAACACGCCAGCCATGGCATGCACATGCCGCAACACCCCCATATGGGCCACCCTCCTCCGTCCCTTGACCGCGCGCGCCCCTCCTCCAACCGGCCAACGCCCGCCTCTCCACCCGCTTCATCTCCTCCTCCTCCTCCTCCTCCCCACCGAACCCGCAAAGCGCCCTTCCGTCCCCGCGACCTCCCCCAAACCACGATCCAACCCCAAAACCACCCCGCCACAACAACCACCGCCGCCGCCCCACCCTCCCCTCCGCCACCGAGCCTTCCGCCACCGCCGCCGACGAACCAGGCACCACAGGCCCCGAGAAACAACAGCCATGGCAAGCCCAAAAGCCGCCCTCGCCGAAAAGTTCCCCATGGGCTGGTCCCCGCCCAAACGCCTCTCCCCGACTGCCTCGCCGGCATGCGCGCCCTCCACGCCCAGTTCCCCGACGCCTACGACACCCCCGCCCTCGCCAACCTCTTCGCCGTCTCCCCGAGGCCGTCCGCCGCATCCTCAAGAGCAAGTGGACCCCGCGCGACGACGCCGAGGAGGAGGAGCGCCGTCAGCGCTGGACCCGCCGCGGCGTGAGGGTCTGGGAGCGCTACGCCGACCTCGGCCTCAAGGTCCCCAGTAAATGGAGGAGGGAGGGCGTCGGCAAGAAGAAGCGCGGAGACGCCCTCGGCAGTGGTGGTGGTGGCGGCGGCGGTGGTGTCGGCGGCCATCGTGGTGGTGATGGCCCCGCGGCTGTTGGCGTGGGTGGGTTCGACGGCGCTGACTTTGCCATCGATGGCGAGGCCCTCGATGCTGCCGCGCAGGAACTGGAAGGCGAGGTAGAGGAGAGGAAAGCCTTGGAAAAGGTCAGGGCTAGGCGGAGGCTCTCGGGCAAGATCATATAATGCCCAAATGGGGTGCCGCGAGGGTGGGCAATCAAGTCATGCGATGTGATGTACCTACACAAAGGGGCCTGTTGGATTTTTGTATGATACTAGATGATACCGAGAAGAGCGACCACCATGTACAACATACACATATAGACCATTCAACTTTATAGCATCCCTCTCCCGGGACCGTTTTCCTCTACCACCACGTCTGACTGCTCGTGACGAATCAAGTATGCCCAAAGGTTTAGACGCAAATTATGATGGAAGACAGCCCCTGTTGGCGGGCGCCCTTGGTATTTCACGCTCTACGGTTGGAACTAGGAATTAAAGAAAAATAGCTTGAGAGCGCAGGCGTCTCGGTGGTATCATAACTGTAAAGCCCCAAACAAAACGCACCGGCCCCTCAATCACCCCCAACGGTGAAGAGTGCGAGCGATCAAAACCCCAGCCTAAGGGTACAAAGAAAATAATCAAAAGAGAGACAAGAGAGCTAAGAGAGCTAAGAGAGCCAAGAGAGCCAAAAGACAAACCAAAAGAGATTAGCAAGTACAGCATAAATCAAGAGAGAGAAAAGAAAGCAAAACCAGTGCCCCGGCCCCATATCTCGGGTACCGATCCCTACAATAACGCCGTCCAGCCTGACTCTAGTGGATATAGAGATGATAAGAATCAAGGCAAAAAAAAAAAAAAAGAAAGAAACCGAGGAACCCCCAAAACAAACGAGCCAAGATTGAAAAAAGAAAACGCAAAGGAGCGCCCAGGGCGAAGGATCCACGCGAGAGCCATGAAAGAGACATCTTCCCATCCATAGCAAGCTCGCGTCCTTCGCCCTTTCCTGAGGGTGGTGGTACAAGATAAATATCATGGTTGCGCAGCATGCGCGGCAGCATCATTCCCGAGATGGGGAAAAGTTTAGGGCGAGGCCGTGGTGGTTTCGCCCGCAGATGTCTTTGGTCTCTCGATATCCGAGGTCATAAGGGTCGCCTCGTCAGAGTCGTCGTCCTTCTCGATACGGGGAGGGAAGCTAAGCCTCAGCTTCTCGTCGAGCAACGTCGCCAATCTTTCCGAATATTGGTCTAGAAGGCCGCTCAGGATGGTCTCGTCCAAAGTCTTGCTCCTTACCGCGCGGTCGCCGAGGGCGGTGGCCGTGAGCCGCAACTCCTGGTCGAGTTCCGTTAGCACGTCTTGGCTGATTGGTTCTGCCGATGACAGTTTCTTCCGATATGCTCGTAACGTGCGACACGTCTGCTCCGTGGCCATGCTGAGGGACCCAAACGACCGCAGATTCGGCGAACTTTTCTTCCTCGCGGCGATGCTCAGAGCCGGGAGTGAGGGCCGTCTGGTGACGCGCGTTTTGGGGCTCGGCGGTGGTGACCCTGATCGAGAAGAAGAGGTCCTCCTTGATGGCGTGTCTTCCGCAATCGTACTAGCCGGGCTGGCCTGAGATGCGGCGATAGGCGTCCTCGTAGCTGGGCCGCATGTCAAAAACTGCCTGGATGACCTTCGTTGCAAGCCCCTCGGAGGTGAGCGGCGCCCTGTCGCCGTGGTGGGTGACTGCCTCTGGAATTCAGCAAGCTCTGCTCTGGAAAGAACCCTCCGGAGGGGTGGTCGGGTTGCGACCCCATCTTTCGCCGGAGACGGATCTCTACTTGGGGAACCGGGGAAGATTCACGAAGGTCGAGCGACCAAACCATGATGGTGGAGTCGGAAGCCACGCTCACGACTTTGCGACTGCCGTCGGTATCCTCGACGAGGGCAATGCCGTTGATGGCTTCGGTGTGGCCCCATTCACGGTCCAAGAAGGAGCCTGTCATGGAGTCGTATAGGCGCACCGACTTATCCGTGTTGGAGACTCCGAGGAGGAAGTCTTTGGTCGGAGATTTGCCCATGACGAGAGAATCGAGAACGGCGGACTCGATACCGCTTTCGTCGGTGCATTTGAAGGACTTGATCAAACGGCCCGTCAGGATGTCATACTGGCAGACTGATCGATCAAGCAGGGATACAAAGATGGATTCGTCAGTGGGTCCCATCGTCATACATGTGGGTGATGATTTAAGTGTTATAACACGCGAGGGGATCGCGGCCATGACCTCCGGCTGGCCCTCCTTGGTTACAATGTCGTGAACCTGCAGCGTGCGGTCCAGCGAACAGGTGAAAATCCGGTCCTCGGTAATGACGACCTTGACAACCTTGGCGGCAAATTCGAGGGTTTGGAAGTGCTCAATGGGGGCGGTAAGGGTGGGTCGGTGAAAGAGCTGGACTGTGCGGTCTCTTCCGCAAGAGGCCATGATGAGGCGGCCATTGTCCTCAAATATAGTGATAGCTTGGCAATCGCACGAATGCGCCTTGGTGTCGAGAATGTACTCCTTTGTTGCGAAGTCCACGGCCCTCAAAACACCCAACTTATCCGCGTAGACAATGGTGCTGCCAGATTTGGTGGACTCGACCACAGTCACTTGGTTATCGAGGTCCGCCGACTCCGCGCCAAGGTCTCCCTCTCGACTTCTAGGTCTATCGATGACTTGATCCGCCCCTCGAGGTCCCAATGACTCAACCTGCCAGATCCTGACCACGTCATAAACGATGCGCTGGCAGGGTTCGGCGAGGAGAGACATTGAACCCCGATGATGGGCTCACCCTGGCCGGGAATGGGGATTCGCGCAGAAACACCGGTGGCCTTGCCGGGATGATAAGAGGGATCCCACACGTTGATTGAGTGTTTCGTATCAATAGTGACGAGGTTGTCATTGCTGAGACACCCAAGAGCAAGCAGACCGGGAGACAGCTCGGCTTCGCTGACAAGACAATCAGAGCGGAACTCGACGACCGAGGTCACATCGAGGGTCGCGAATCGGTCCGCCTTGCCCCCGACATAGGCGGTGAGATCTCGCAACGTGATTGAGGTAGCAGAAAAGCCAAGACGAAGGGCCTTTTGAAGCTTCATCTGCTTACCATCGTCTTCCAAGACGCACACGTCACCCGTGTCGGTGCAGAGGATGGCCCGGCCATCATCCACGACGGCGGCACAGGTAAAGGTGCAGTCTATCAGAGATCCCAAGAGGATATTGCGGCCAGAGAGGGCCCTGGGCTGGGTTTGGGGAGTGGCATTAAGCTCGGGGCCAAACTTGGATTTGACGGGTGAAATGTTGGGCACATCCTCCACTTTCCACGCCTTGACGTGACGGACGCCGAAAGTTACTAGATAATTGCCCATCCACACCATACCCTTGCAAAAAGAGGTGCACCTATTCTGCTGAGAGAGCTTCGCCGCACCGGTCCGAGGATCTATCCTCCAGATGTAGAGAAAGCCGTCATTTGCGGCGCCCAAGGAGGCGAGGAAGCGGCCATCCTGAGACCAGGCCACGGACCGTACCCCAAAAGTGTGTTCGCTAATCGACACGAGAGGGAGATCGGAGGAGCTGTCCTGTAGGCTAAAGATGAGAACTCGGGGGCAATAGCCGGTCTCGCCAACGGCTAGAATTTGGCATCCCTACTCAAGGCCAAACATGTCGCAGCCTTTATACGCTCACGGCTCGTCCAAGTTTTGGAAGTCGGGGATTCGGACCAGTGGTCAGCGCCGCCATACGGAGAGTCTCGGAGGCTGGGGGCAGCTCGGTTGCGGCTATCGTTCGCTTTCGGAGTAGATACTGAGTTGGAAGGAGTGCTTTCTCGTGGCGAGGTCGAGTACAGAGGTAAAGTGGATGGGCGTGCGCGGTAGAACCGTTGCGAGTACTGGTCGCCATCGACTGTGACGACAACGACAGCACCGCCAGCGATGTAAGCGAATGATGATTGCACAGAGTCAAAGCCCGTGGGCGAGGAACACGTAGTTCCGACAACTCTTTTCAAGGACAGGCGCGGATCATGGGAATGGCGGGCACGAAGGGGGACCGTGAAGATCGGTGTAAGTAAGGGGAGTTAGAGGGGGTCAACCTGAGCCGATTGATAGGTGTTGAGGCCATTGCGCCATGAGCGGTTGATGGGGTAAAATTGAAGGATATTTGAGAGCCCTGGCTATCGTTTCCTAGCCGTACTAGGGGATCTGTTTGTGCTTCGCTTTTGTGTGATGAATGTGCCGCCCGATCTCGCAAGCAAGATCAAAAGGGGGCAGGGCCAAAGCGGTGAGACCAAAGGAGGGTGAGAGAGAGAGAGAGAGAGAGAGAGCGAGAGAAACTGAGAGAAGAAGAGGCCAGTGGCGATTTAGGGCCTCGATAAAGGCAATTGAGGACAAGACGATATGGCGAGGAGGTGTGATTTAGGCCGAATTGGTTGCGGCGGCCTTGTCGATGGCGATTGGAAGTGCTATCGTCTGAGCGAGTTCGGGCGGGTGTAGTCGTCGGGGTTGGGTGAAGATGAGTAGTGAGTGGTGAGAGAACTCGATGCCAGCCCCAGGCTGTAACTTCTTAAAAGCTCCGTTGGATCTGGTATAAACGAATGACTGACGGAGGCAAGGCGAATGGGCATCAACGACAACGACGGTCGTGAGAGCTTTGTGGAGATGTCGAAGTTTGGACGGCAGAAAAAAAGATGGTCAGGAGAAGAGAGCCTCGAGCACTGATCCAATTGGGGGAAGGAGAAAGGGTGCGGCAAGCTTGGAGGAAGGAGAGAAGAAGAGGGTCAGAGAGAAGAACCCTTGATCCCTGACAGCCCAAAAGCTTTGTGCAAATGCAAGCAGAGTGGTGTGCTCCCAGGTCCAAAGGAATTGATCGATCAATTGGTGCTGCACAATGGCACGAACTTGGTCTCCAATTCTTTGTTGAAGAGGCAGAGCTTTTGGAGGCATCGGATCAGGGCTAGGTAGAGATACAAGAGATTGAATTTGTTTGGCAAGTTTGGACTGGCAAGACTGGCTAGTTCCCAAGGAGGCATAGGTATCGGTACCTTGTCAAAGTTGAGTTTTCTTCCTTTTTCCTTTCCTCTCCTCCCAGGATTGACAATTGATGGCTAGCCCCGGACACCCTGACGAGCAACACCGTCAGCTTACCTTTGGTTCCCACAAAGCGAACGGGCCCAAACTGACAGGCCCAGTCTCCCAGTCTCCCCGCGCACACAAAAGACAAGAGGCTCGAATGCTACATTCCACTTTGTACTTTGTCCACTGCGAACCGGGAATTTGTTTTGGTGCACTTACCATTCGATCCCCACCGTCCCACACCAGGTTTCCGGGGGCAACCGGCTGAGTCCCTGGTTGCGATGGGCACTGGAGCTGTGGGAAGCTTATTGATTGGTCCGCTAAGCCGGACATTAACGCCGTTTCTCGGCCACGGCGACAAGTAAGACAGTGTTTCTGGTGTTGAAGATTGGGGGGCTTCTTTTCCCCAAATTGATTCTCCTCTTTTTTTGTCTTCTTCGAGCGCTGGGGATAGGGCGGCAACAAGTGCGAAAATGGATTTTGGCCTCGATCGATCAAAATTCAGGTACCACCGCCTGAAGCCCTGATGCAAGTATCCGTCGCCCCGTGCTCAGAGTACACTACCGGCGAATGGGCCCCCATCACACCGTTCCTTCCCTCCCAGGACAGGGTTTGCTCGGGCCAGGTCACACACTCGTGGATGTTCCTGCTTGCAAATTCTCGCCAGGAACAGCACTGCGAGCCAGGGGTCGACACCTCAACTGAACAAATCAATACAGGGACTTTACCTAGTAGTACAGGCAAATTCTCGTCCAAGGCCACCGCTCAGCCCGGAACGATGGATCCAATGTCACTATCCCGTTCTCAGAATGGTGTCTAAAATCCGACAGGTCACCCGTCCCTTCCTCAGGGGTATCGTGGGGGAACACCTTGCCAGTGCTCTCTGCGACGACAGCGGAGTGCACAAGTTGGTCAAGTTGGTTGGGAATAGCAAGAACCTATTACCGTTTGCGGCCAGAGATTTCATTCTTTCCAGGGAGACGACACCCCTGACCACACCACCCGGCTATCACACATCTTTATCAATGCTATCTATTAATCAAGACACTCAATTGATCCAAGGCTCAGATCCGTAGGTCTTGGTTCAAAGGATCTCTTTGCACTTTGTAACAATACAAGTACAAATAGACGCCTTCGTTGACGGCTTCTCTGGTTCTTCGCGTGCCAATGGCTGCTACAATCTCTCGATGCTTTCTCTTTCTTTTTCCGGTAAAGGGGGTCCTTCACGAATAATAAGATTGACACTAGGTCAATCCTAATCTTCTCGTCCTTGTCGTGTGAGAGAAGGCCAAACCCCGAAGCAAGGTCATTCCCTCCAAAGGACCAGACCAAGAGTGCACGCTCCATCGAGGTACCGTGCTTTCTCCATGCCCCGGGATCCGACAAGTAATTCTACACTCTTGACATTTTCTTTCACTCAGCCCAGGCCGTTTCCGGAGCCAGTTCTCGACTCATGATTCCTCGTCGGAGATTAGCTGAGAATTCCAATTGTACAACACCCACCAGCAAAGCCAGTCGAGTCTCCAACACACCCTTTTCCATCTGCAAGCTTGGTACGAAGTATTATTATAGTGTGCCATCCAAATAGCATGGCCATGACATGCTCTCATTCCGGCCATAAATAAGCACACGCCACTTTCTTGTGAAGCGAACAACGAAGCATAACAATTTTGTACGGGAGGTCCCCTAAAGGGCAAAGGGTCGCATTGATCAGGCCTTCTCCAGCAACAAGCACAGCCTTGTCGCTGCTTGCTAGTCCCCCTTGAACCCATCTCACGAAGCGAGCCCCCGGCTCATTAAACCTTACCAACCACCTGGAAACTTGTCACGGTACTGGTAACTACCATTATGCCAACTCTGCAACCTTGATTCGTGAGCATCTGAAATACACGGAACAAGCACTGTGGCCGACTCGTACGTGTGAAGGAGAAGAGAGAAGCCCCTCTCATACCCCATCGATCCGGGGAAGGGGGCAACGAAGGATCAAGGTACTTCGTACTCGAGGATGTGAATCACATTACCAGCTGCGAATGTGGACTCAGACAACGACGCTGCACGTATGCTTGCTGACTCTGAAACCCCATCGAGGTTGGGTCATTCCGATGCATGCCATTCTTCCATAGTTCACAGTCCCAAGCATGGTGTACTATCAGACTCCCGGACAAGGATGACGGAATAGATGCCCGCTCAAGTATCACACCTCACGTACATATTCTGCCGTTGCTGGCTAGGCCAAGGTATAGCTAGATTCTTTTGGTATCAAGCATCATTCAGTTTTGTGATAGTCGTCAATGCCCACCGTATATGCTAATGGTACTTATACACCTGCTTCTATGCAACTAACTCGGAAGAAGAGACACCGGGATCGCTATTCGCGACTACCGTTTCTTCCCTTGTTTCTTTTCCCCTTCTCTTCCTTTCTCCCTCATCCTCCTCCACCCCAGGGCTGTCTTTAGATACTCCGCAACTCTATATATCAACATGAATGGAAGTTGAAGACAAAAAAGAGATACGAGAAAAGGTGGGACAAAAAGAATACCCCTGGATATATCGCGAATGGCACATGTCTTTGGGTCTTCTCCCACCGCCCCATATGGCCTAGATGTAGATGCCCTTACTGTGTGTAAGCGTGCTCGAAGAGAGAGAACACAAAAGAGAGGCGGGGTTGTAGCTGGATGCGCGTATCTGCTGCGTAGACCTTGACCACCGGTCGTAAAAGACGCATCGTACCGCCTTTTCTACACAGCCAATCCCGTCTCCCCACGTCGTCCCTATCCAGCCGTTCCAAGCCCCTCCCAACCGAGCCGTACACCCGCAGCGGGACCGCTACCTCGAAGCTCTCGCAGGGCATGTTCTCGACCGCGACAAGCACGAGCCCGCCCTTATCATCCCTCGACAGCGGCTCGAGCAACGGGTGCACCTGGGACGGCCCACGGGCTTTTTCTCCTTCTCGCGCCAGCGGTTGGGACTCGTCCTGCTGCTGCTGATGGTACTCCTCGTCTTCTTCTTCTTCGACTTTCTCTTCGCCCCCTTCCCCTTGCGCCCGGGGGCGCGGCGAGCTTGCGGAAGGGTGCTGCCGACCATCGGCGGGCACGACGAATTCCACCCGAACCTTCCACTCGAGGCTGACCCCGCTCGTAATGAACTCAGGCGTGGCGCTGATGGGGATCGTCGCCATAAACACGGCCCGCTTAGAGAAGAGCGTCGCCTCCGAGCCCGACACGAGCACCTTCCTCGTCACCCGCTGCACGCCGGCCTCGGACCGCATCGCCAGGGACTGGTCCACCTTTTCGTACGTCTCCAGGTCCGAGTGCACCGCGTAGCACGGCACCTCGGCGTTGGCAAAATCGACAACCATCGTCACCACCTCGCCCAGCCTGTAGGCGGCGCGCGTGAGCACGATGAGGGCCACTCGTTGCCCGTTGCGCGCAATCTCGAACCGGTTTGGGCTGCTCTGGCCCTCGGACGCTCTATTGCTGCGGAGAATCGCCATGTCTATGGCCTCCTTCGCCGTCGACGCCACCTCTTCTTCGTAAACCGACGGCCGCCTCGAGTTCGGCATTGTCGCCGTCGGCGAGAGCAGGCCCCCATGGGCCCCGTTCCGCCTCCGTGATAATAGCTCGTCGACGTAGCCAAGGAAATCGTCTACGGTCGCGTTGCCGGCCGCTGGGGGTGCGGGGACCTGCTTCTAGATCTAAAATCGTCGGGCGGCTTGGTGATGGCCTCTACCTTGGCGTGGTCCTGTAATATAATGTAAGGATTCATCAGGTCATGGCCCAAAATTTCACCGTAGCCGTTCACGCTACCGAGGACCCTGAAGGGGATCTCGACCGAGCGTAGCCGTTGCTCCTTGGGGCCTCCGACACGTTGTGTGCCGATGACGAGGGTATACGAAATCTTCATAGCCCGCCCCTTGTGGGTAGGAGGCAGGCCTCTCGGCAGCTTGAACGTGTATTCGAAAGACTTGCTCTCCCCGGCGCCAGCTGCAGGTCAACGAAGAGCAAGCTCTGCGGTGTGGAGAGCAGGGGAATAGATTTCGAGTTGGCGATGCCCCTCATCGTCTTGATGGTGCTCATCTCGCTACCGCCGAGAAGCTCGCCGAGGGAGCTGCTGATGCTGCCCCACCCAAAGCTCCCCAGCAGCCCGCTGTCCCGCTTCGTCGGTTCAAGTCCCACGACGCCGCCGCCCTGCCCGTCAACGACGGCTTTCTTCTTGACCTGCTCAAAGGGGTTAAGGTTGACCAGCGAACCATCAAGTGTAAAAGACCCCTGTATCCGGGCATATCCCATCATGATGGATTCTGGCGCCAGAGTGGCCGACGTAGAAATGTTGGATAGTCTCCGCAGGTGCAGGGGCCGCGCCGTGGACGTCCGCGTCTGGGGTGGCTGGGAAGGGTATTCGGAAACGAGCGTCTCGGTCGAGTTGTTGCTCATGGAGTAGAACTCGCCGCTGCTCCTCGGGGTGCCGTTGCTCGCTAAGCTAGTGCTCGCGAGTATGCGGGAGGCTGGTCCGGCGTGGTGCTCGGCAATCGTCGGGATGGGAGGGTTTTTGGATCGCACAGGGAGGTCCGAGAACTCGGCGGAGGAGGACAGGGGACTCACGCCTCCCTGTATCTGGGGCTCGTGGATGTCGCTTCCCAGGTCGGGCGAGTGTGGCGCGGCAGGAAACTTGAAGTCGGGCATCCCGCTTGCGGGTTGGCGGAGGGGTTGTTCGGGTTGAGAGTCGATGGGGTATTAGGTACGGTGGAGGCCCTCGAAGGCCGCATGTTTCTAGCTTGGGCGTATGCCGAGCTAAACGTCGGGGAGCTGATATTTCGGGGGAGCGAGCTGCACAAAAAAAATTCCAACCAAGAATACAGTTAGCAAAGTCATTCCGCCACGTTTCGTCGTAACCACGCTCTCCCTTGTCAGGTAGCCCAGACGTACCAGAGTGAATCTCCGGCTCGGCCCGGACAGAGCCCGCCGTCGTCGCAATATGCAAGCTCGCCGACCTTCCGTGCCTCCCCATCATGCCCCTTCTCCCAGGGCCACCCATCGAGCCGCTCGAGCCGTCGTCGCCGGAAAAGCCAGTTCCGCCCAGCGAGACAATCGACAACGATTTCCTGTGCCCGGACTTGCCGTTTCGCGACGACACCTCGGCCTGGATGGGAGGGTTCGCCCACCCGGGCCCAACGTGCTGTGGCAGCCTCGGGCTGGAAGCGGTCGACCTATGGCCCCGGGGGCCCGAGGGCGGAAGCAGGCGGTCGCCGTGGCCGCCGCTCGCTAGTCTGGGGGTCCTCGGGTGCGGCGCGGGGCTGGGGTCTTTTTGCTGCTGCTGCGCCTGGGTGGAGGCGACGTTCTGAAAGGTGATGGTGCACTTGACGTCCTCGCCGGCGAAGACGGTTTGGTCGTGCCACTTGACGAAGACGCGGACGTTGCCGCCGCCCGGGTCTCGCGGCGGCCGAGACATCTTCTTGCGAGAGGTGGTGTGCCGTCCGGCTGGCTACGGCGAAAGGAGAGGAAGGGAGCGGGAGCGTGTGTTGCGGCGCCGGTCGTCTCGGTAAGTATCGGCGGCGCCGTTTTTGTCGTCGTCGCAATCGTGGTCGTGGTCGTGGTCGTGGCTGTGGCTGCAGCTGTGGCTATCGTTATGCGCAGTCACGGCTGAGATGCTCTGCCAGCCCCTAAGGGGGAGAGGAGTCGATGGGGATAGCTTCGAGACAGGGGGTCGGAGAGGATGGAGCTAATTGGTAGCGGCATTTCCAGCTCGGTTCATGGTTGAGATGGAAGGACAGCAATCAACGACAGGCGTAATCGATGGCGGAGATGCGGGGAGGAAGGCAAGGATTGGTCCGCTAGCTATTAGCCCAAAAAGAAAAGAAGAAGAAAAAAAGCACCCGTTGATCAAAGGGATGGTTGCTAGAGCTCCTGTGACGATGTTGTTGGGGAGCTTTGCAATGGCCATGGGGTTGGTCCAGCATGGCGGTTCCTCAGACTTGGCGTGTGTCTCAATCTGCACCCCTGCTGAATTGAAGACAACCAAATCAATCCCAGCCCCCACCCAGAAATGTCATTGGAGGGTAGCCCAGTGAAGGCTATTCTTCCTAGTGAACTTTTCTATTCAAGTTTGCACAGTGAATGTGAGTGCTACGGGTCCTTCTCTCATTTGTTACGTCAAGTCATAGGAGAGGTATGCAGACCACGGGCTTAATGGCAACATTTCAGTGCGCACTCTACATTTGATGTAGAATGGCTCGCATGGCTGGTCCAACTTCTGTTCGCGCACCAATCCTGAAGCTTCTCGATGTTTCTGATCCGATCCAGGGCGCCGTACCCCACGACGGACATCCAGCACCGAGTTCACATGAGACTGATGGCCCAACCAACCCAACGGAATGCCGAGCGACGCAGTGCTCCAACCTTTACCTGTGGATCTGTTCTTCTGTTCTTCAGTTAAAGCCTTGTTTTCACGCAATGGTTCGGTAGATGGTGCAATCATGATATTGAATTTAAGAAACTAGCCGTAGTAGGGTATGGGTAATGGATAGGCCTTCGTGTTACTGAAATAAACCCCAATGTCATCATCAATCTTCCCTTGGATCCAGATCCATCCCATCTACATCATCCTGGGCCGTTTGCTGCCCCTCTTGCTCACACTTCCTTTCCGCCTTCATGGCCTTGACAGCCAGCTCCGCGGCTTTAGTCTTGACCTCTTCCCGGCTTACACCGTCGTTCACTTCCGCTTTCAGTACCCCTCCCACGGCCACCTTGCACCAATACCACCTCGATTCACCCTCACCCAATTCCGTGCCCATCTCGTAGTCTACCTTGTTGTTTCCTGCGAGCGATCCGATCTCCTCCTTGGGGTGTGTGAGGTGGATGTCCTTCTCAAGGATGCGGTTGAAATAGTCCATTAGGCCAAACTTGCGTAGAAATTCCTCGCAAGTCTCCAGAGAGCCCGAGTCAACCCACACGGCACCTAGCAAGCTTTCAAACAAGTCCGAGAAGAATTTGCGCATCTGCAGCCGAGAGAGAAGGGCCCAGGGATACGTGGATCCAGACGCAAGCTCTCGGTTGATATCCTCCCGCAAGCTAGCGTGGTTCAGTCTAGCTGCTTCCTGCTCATCTGCGATGTAAGGGGAGCTATGTCTCATAAATGCCCACAGCGGCTGCACGAAAGTACAAGTTTCTAGCTCTCCCTCGCTGCCTACGTTGACTGTTTCTTGCCGAACTTCCCGCTCCATCAAGAGGAAGGCTTGGAAATCACCATTGACCAAAGCCGTTTTGAGCCGGTGCATTTTCCAGTGCGGCAGTTGTTGTGAGTAGGAGAATGCCTTTGACACAATGATCTGGTCGAGAACAGAGTCCCCAATGAATTCTAGCCTCTCGAGTGAACGCGCAGTCGTGCTTGCGCTCATGTACGAGGCATGCGTCAAAGCCTCAATGAGCAGGGATTTCTTGCGGAATGTGTATCCGATTAGACCTTCCACCGGCTTCAAGGTAGGCGGCAGAATCACGTCTGCATCGGCATGATCAAAGAGCTTCTCGTAGCACAGCCGGGCATCTGACCATGCGAGGTCGGGAAGAAGGATACACAGGAAGTCTATCGCTCGACGCATCCCCCATCGACATATGCGGCTCCAAGAAGGGCCTCCGCCACGTCCGCCAGCGTCTTGATTGACATTTTTCTCTTGCCATTGTCCGGCACGTATCCTGTTTGCAGAAGCTCTTCGACAAAGATTGGTCGCCATTTCCTCCCTGTGAATGTCTGGGTGATGATGAACCTGTCAAGACCCAGTCTTGTGCAAGCCCGGTACAGCCGGAAATTGGACACTCGTTGATCTCGGTGATAACTCAAATAGCCTTCAGGATGATCCAAATCTGTCAAGAAAAAAAGTATAAATATTTGCCGCCTTTTCCACAAGAGTAAGATGTAAAATGAAGAGAGAGAGGATATGGCATCAGAGCCAAGGGGGTGGGAGGCGAAAGTCAAAGGGGGAAATTGTATAGGGGAAGGTCTTACAAAGAGCTGCGACATTCAGCGTCGCGCACCATTTAAGAATCGAATCTCCTAAAAACTCTAGTCTCTCGTAGTGGAAAGGCTCGCCGGCAGAAGGTGTACTGATGGCCTCGCGCACCAGCTGGACATCGCTGATCTTGACGTGCGCCAACTCGGTCTCGGTGGAGAGGATCGCGGCCAAGAGCTGGACCTCAAGTTCGTGTATGATGCAGGAAGCATGCGGCCAAAAGCGGCATGCTTGACATCAACATCATCGACTGTGGCCCAACTCACGGGCAATACCCGGCTATAGGGTTTAGAGCTCTCCTTGCCTTGGCGGTGCCGTGTAGCTTATGAAGAAGATCTAGCCGACGAGACCACTTTGATAAACTGAGATAAGGAACGCCTTCGGGGGCATCGTCGTAACCCCTAAACGGCCGCTGGACCTGGTCGGCCGCAGGCTTACCCGATAATAGAGCACGGAAGGTGAAAGGATGATGGCCCTGGTCCCGGATTAAGCGCCTGCCCTCCCTAGTGGCAGAGTCCTTGTCATCAAAACCGCGACAGGCCAGTTTGTGGATGTTGAGAGCGTCCATCGTTGAAGCTGATCTGAAGCAAATGATGTGGCGCTTGAAGTCTTTACTCCACGGAAACCGATGGTAGAAGGCAGCGTGGAGAAAAGTGAGAGTATGGTCAATCTCATCATCGTGGTTTTGCCTTGGCATAGCGGGGCCTATTTCCACCGTCCACGCCCCATGGCAGTCGTCGGGGTATAGAGTGATTCTAGAAGGGGGTGGAATCAAGTTGGGGAGAGTCATTAGGTATTCGGCTCTGGATGTGCCCTCGTCGTCTCGAAGGGTCACGGCGTGTTGTGCAATGGTTTCCTTGCCCCATGCGCCCGCGACCATGGCCCAGGGGCGAAGGAGATTGCCAACCTCGACCAAGGGATTCAGGTCTTGCGGCTGCCCTTCGTGAGCTTCTTGCAGTGGGAGTAGATGCTCGTTGATAAAGCCCGCGTTGTAGAGTGCCTTGTACGCCTGGAGAGAGACAGCCTTTATCGCAGTTTTCTGTGAACGCCATTTCGTCGAGCTCCTGGTGGCACGTACACATGCGGGTATATATATTGGTAGGACAACCTCCACCGAGAAGAACGGGATGCCGTTTATGAAGAACTTTTCAAAGACGAAGTCTGGTCGTGAGTCTACAAACTCTCTTGGAGAAAGGACTCGACAAAAGTGTTCCAGGTGTGACTTGGCATTGTTGATGTCGATAGTAGCGCCTATCTTGCTCGTCAGGGTAAACTCGCTTAGGTCGTACTCTTCGTCTTCTTCCTCCAATCTCGCATTCTCCGCTCGCTCCCTGTCTTCCGCTTCGTATACCCTCCGAAGCCCTTCTTCAAGGCTCTCCCAGTCCTTGGCATAACGAGACGTGTCCTCAATAAGCAAGATAAGGTCCGAGTCCTTCTTCCGGGCTCGTCCACGCCGCTGAACAAAGGACTTTAGGTTTTTGGGGCTGTCGAAACAAACCACCAGATTGCACGCCGGAACGTCGATGCCCTCCTCAAGTACACTTGTCGCGATTAACAGATCTAGTTTTCCGGTTCTGAACCGTTGTAGATCTTCGGCGGGTTTCCGGCCTTGCTGCCATAGGTCGAGCAGGTTTCGCTTCCTCTGGGAATAGGTTGACGCTCCCACCATAGTCCCGGGTCTGAACCTAGCTCGGGTTAAAGGATGGATCGAGATGAGGTGAGCGAGCAGAGGGATTTTGATGCGTTCTTCTGCGAATACGATGCCTACCGTATTCTCCTGCCGCGAGTAGAGCTGGCGCAAGAGGGCCAATGTTTTGCCCGTCAGGCGGTCATCTGAGGGGTCTTGGAAGGGCTCAGAGTCCGCGGTAATTGATTGTAGGATCTTTGCCAGGGCGCCACGCTCCTCCAATTTCCATCCTTCAAGCTCAGATGCTCGGTCGCGAAGCGTGGCGAGGAATCCGCGCGCACACTTGTCGATAAAATACTCCGTCGCCCATACACCCATCTCTTCCAATAACATCCTCGCGGTCCTTGTCAGGAGACGGACTTGGATGCACAAAAACGTGTCTTGTTTCTCGATTGCCCTTTCAAGCTCGCGCTCGCTCCTTGGATCCGATTTGGCCATGAGGTATCTGATGTAGGGATCCTCCTGACCACCATCCCCTCGTACGCATTGATGAGACGGCGCAACACCTGGGGGAAACCGCCATCGCTCATAGCTGGTTGGCACACGGTGTAGAGTATGGGCGTTAGTTTGGGCCTCTTGACACGCCCGAGAAGTTCGTCGCGGTGCAAAGTGGGGCTCTTGCAGACGGCATCCAGTGTTTGCTCCAGAGCCACCAGGTCCTTTTCTTTCGACGTGATGCTAGGGCTAGCGGTAAGGCCTAAGATATGCGGGACATGAGAGCCAGACTGCTTCTCCATATGGTAGGCCTTCATAATCTTGGCCCCGGGGTGGTTCTTGACGCAGTTATGAGCTAAACCAGGGTCAACCGGATCCTCGAAAAATGGAAGACTCTGTGGTCCTTACCTTCATCGAAGACGATGAGAGCAACGGAGCCCATGCGGACAAAGGCATGGGCCAAGGCGTCAAAAAGAACTTGGTAGGTGGCTACGACAATCTTGACATTTTTCAAGAAGGCACCCCAGACACGCTCGGTTGACCAGGATTGGATGTTATCTTCTCCCGTCACCACCTTGATGAGGACCGCAGGTATTTGAGATGTGAGTACACCAAATTGCTGCTGACAGAGTGATACCGTGGGTGCGAGAAACCAGATTTGCTGAGTGGGTTAGCTCTACTACTCAGGTTGAAGGGCTCCCTAGGAAAGGCGCAGAGGATCTCACTTTATGCGCCGGCATCTCTTCTAGCTCCTTTTAATTCTCAAAATTGCCCTACAAAGGCAGCACAATAAGCTTGGGGCCGATTCCCACTCTCGCCACTTCCTTTAGGGGAGAGAGTTACACTTGTGTCTTTCCACTTCCGGTGTCCATCTAGCGCGAGAACTGTAAGTTAGAGCAGCCTTGGAAACGAGAGGCCTGCGCACAGCTAAGTTTGCGTACCACGACAATGACATTTCGTTTCATGCTCTCGGAGAACATCTCGAGTTGATAGGCTCTCGGCGCCATGATTGTGGCTTTTGAAGATAGATCCTCCTCGAGCTCGAGCTCTGGCGATAGTGCGTCGACAGCAGCAGGCTCTCCGTCCACTCTTAAGAGCGTCTTAGCCTCCTCCAGGGGAGAGTCTCCAGTCTGCTCCGACGAGGTTGAGAGGCTCGTGGGACTGCCATTATCACCAAGATTGGCACCTCCATTGGAGAAGGGAGGTTGAACGTCACCCAGCATTGCGGCTTATAAGAGGAATGTCAGCGATTTCTCTAAAAGAACCCCCCTTTCACAATACCAAAAGGGTGGAAGGGGTTGGCCGAGAACGGACTGGAGGGCGAGAGGATCCGGAAGCTAGCGGAGGAAGAGGTGGTGTTGACGCATTAGCCCAAGCGTATTATCGCATTCCCGTCAACCGGCGGGGGAGGGGGTGGGAGGGTGGTTTAAGGAACTATTGCGCACGTAGCGTTTGATTTTAGACTGTTGCCAAGAATATACCCTTGCGTTTTTAGGGGGTTACTGTATCACGGAAGAAGAAGAAAGAGAAAAAAAAGTCCACGGTTTGCACACAAGTCATGCGGCGAGTTGCACGTCGGCGCTGGCCAAAAGTTCCAGAGGTGCCGGCGAGAAAAATGGAAAGATATATCTCGAGTTGTGATGCAGCAGGCCAACCTTGCTCCAGCAAGAGCGGGGCCGAGCGAAAAGTCCCCCGCAAACCTCAAGCCCCAACCCGCCAGTGGAATGTCGAATTGGCAGGACTCCAGTCACTGGTCGTTTGTAGATGACTATTTGGCATTGGCCAGAGATCCTTGCAGCTGCAGAAGCTGCCACGGGCGGAATGCAAACCGCGGGGAGGCCTGGTGGTGGAGGCCACATTATGCTGTCAAGAGGCCCAGGACGCAGCAGGCTTGCGGCGTGTGAATCACCCGAGTGACACAAGAGCCCCCATTTCATTAGGCCTGCCTGATGAAGAGGATTGGGAGGGAAGTGATCAAAAGAGGTTCCGATGAATCGAGAGTACAAAGCTGCCAAATGGCACCTCGAAACAGTCCCGAGATCCTCGAGTTGAAATGTGCTCGAGTTACAAAAGGGAAGTTGGGTCCGAGGCTACAGAGTCCCTTGTTCTAGATGGGGAAATTGTGAATCAAGAGGATCCATCCTTCTTGCCCTTTTTCTTTTTGTGTGACACCCACCATCCGAGGATTTTCAAACGACACCAAATGCTTGTAACAGGAATGAAGCGGAACCACTCCCATCCCTTCTGGTTAGTCGAAAGGCCCGATGACCTATCAAGAGCTATAATCTACCAAGCCACAGGATCTTTTGGCTGCAAGTCAAACGGTTGACAGTTCATCCAAACTCTGCTCTTTCTTCCGTATTATCTTGGATCCTTGGCGGGCCAACCTGCCGGCTCTTTTGGATACACCTCGTGCCTCGTGGGCTCTTTAACCTTGTTCATTTTAAACAACCATAGCGTTCTCTTGGATGGGCCCACCACTACACATCATCACATCAGCCGCGATATTTTGGTTCTGGAACTGACGGGAGTACATGTCGTGACGCATCCATCCAAGGCAGACCAGGCAACAGCATTAGCATCCAATTGCCTTGTGCCACTTTGGCCACCAGGGTTCTTTTGCTAGCCTCGGCCACGACCTTGAGACGACACATTGATGGTATTGCCCGCAGTAATCTAGCAACGCAGATACGAAACCTTAGGCAGTGCCTCGCGTAGTCTTTCGTTGGCGTCTTCCCCCGCCCCCTTCTCCAAAGCCCAGTCCACCTCCGATTTTCTTCCGAAAAGTCGCAGAGTGAAGTGCCCGCTTACAGTCCCACCTCCGGGAATGGAGTTATATGCGGCCGGGCTCAATGCATGGCACCAGCTTCGTTTCGACGCGGGATGCGAGAAACCTACGCCTGATGACACGGAGCCTGACGACATTACTTCCTTCACCCGGGTGTTAGCTGCAAGATACATTGGCCTTCCGGTATCCCGCTTCTCCTGCACTCTGGGTAGGTTGCTTCCCAGGACCCTGTCTCGCCGTTTGCACCCAGGCCATGGGAACGCGCAATTCACGAACCTTGTCCTAATTGAAGAAAGGAATACAGTCGAGACGGGAGATGGTATCGTGACTGCTGGCTACTTGGAGCGTGATGCTAGTCAAGAGGGCCTACGGCGGATATATGATTCCGTGCAAACGGCGACAGGGGACACTATACGCCACCACAGTAGGTCGCGTTTTCCTGAAAACCCTAGAACATGGCTGGTACTTGCCAATCCATGCTGCGTGGGATTCAGGTTGCCTCTAGCGATCTGTGACTGGTTCATGTGAATGACGCCCTTTCGTAGACAACCGACTGCCGCTCAGGTTTTCTGACATAGTTGCCGGTACGCAAGACGACAAATCCGGACATCCCTCGCCCGACCGCACTGTGCGCCAGATCCAGGCATACGACACCGGCTTCGCTGTCTTGCTTGATGATGGCTCGGTTTGGGTCAAGGGGATGAGCGCTTTCCCAATTGCCTCGCCGTGAATCCGTGAGTGACACCCTCCCTTCCTTCTTCCTGAAAGAACCCAACCCCCACCCGACGTCGTTTACGTTGTTTCATGACACCAATTGACTAGTCGTGATAGAGACGAAGATCACGCTCCCGGTTCTTGGAATAGGATCCAATGGCTTGACGACTTACCGACAGGCCCTGTCGTGAAGATCGCCGCGGGGGTTATGCTCTTGCGGCGCTAACGGATGGAGGAGATCTTTATTGTTGGGGTGGCCGCCCGGGACAACGGCCGTTAATGGAGGATCTTTCTGGCATGCCCATTCCGGCCGATCTCGGTGACTTGGACGTCAAAGATGTCGCGATAGGGGAACATCACATCATCGTCCTGACGACGAACGGCCGGGTGCTTGTGCGCGGATCTAACAAGAACGGCCAGCTTGGGCTAGGCGCACACGCGGAGGACTGGGTTGCGGACTGGACGAGCCTGGAGGATATTCCGTGGAGTAGCAAGGACCTCCGAGTAGTTGGAGTTGCGGCGGGACCGAAAACCTCGTTTATCTTGCTTCAATAAAAAAATAGGAAAACAAACGGATGACTCGTCATAGGATTGTATAGCAACCTCTACGTTTCTCTATGATACAGTAATTCATTGGCAACACTGCGCACGCGCTCCCCAACACGCCTCGCTAACTATAGATTGGTGAGGTAATCGTCAATCTCCTGAGGACTCAGCTTCCTAAAGCGAGGTCCCTTTGCCCCCTCAACGCCTTCGATACCTAGAAGATGGTCTGCCGGGGGTCCAACAATGCCTATGAAGCCGCAAGTTAGTCACACTGGTCCCTATCGTAGCATGGCTTGGTGGAAGTAAACGTACCAATCTCGATCGTCTCTCCGCTCATCTCGCCCTCAATATGCTCTTTCAAGGTAAGCAGAGCGATGTGGATGGCATCCTCCAACTCGAGATCCTCAGAATACCTCTTTTCAAGGAAGGTCTTGGCCTGAGGCGCTGCTTTGCCAATGGCAGTCGCTTTCCAGGGGAAGTAAGAACCCGAAGGATCAACCTGGTAGAGCATAGGCCCGCCCTTGAGGATACCACCGGTCTTTCCAGACAGCTTCTTGTCGCCCTCGCCGCTCCTCTCTTCAATCTCGTCCTCGGGGAGGACACCCTCATCCCAACCCGCAATGAGAAGACTGACACCGTAAGGACGCACACCACCAGACTGAGTGGCCTCCTGCATGACTCTGGCAACATCCTGCACTAATATCCGGGTGGGAGGGTATTCGTTGTAGATGCGCTTGTAGGAGGCGTGCGATACCTTGCGGGCCTTGTCGACCAAGACCCTGTAGTCGGGACCCATACCGGCGTAGACCATTCCGATATTGGGGGTCACAAGGCTGATCTTGGAGAGGGAGCCAGGGTCGGCAAGCGGGGACGAGGACTTCTTCTCGGTCGCAAGAACGATTCCGTTTGTGGCTATAAGACGTTAGTCCATGTCAAGAAAGCCCAAAAAATTGGCCACCGTGCAAAGGAGAACGGGTGGCTATGAACAACATACCCTTGATTCCTACGGCGGTGACGCCTTGGTTAACAGCGTTGAGGGCATATTCTGCATCGGCGCGTTAGTTTGAGCTTGGAATACATCGCTATCTCGTCGTTCCGAAGCATCGGCATGGGGAGGCGTACCAATCTGCACAAGTTTCCCACTATACTGATGTTAAAATCTTGTTCTCAGTCATATTGTTGACAGGTGCAGGTGCTTACCTTGGGGAGAAGGTCGTCAGGGAGAAGTTGTATGCCATGTTTTCTGAATCGTATGTGATTAAGTAGGTGTTCACTGCTCAATTCGATCCGGATGGCCGGGTTGTGAAAGAGAAATATTTGCTAGAGGGGGAGCGGTTGTGTTGGCGGCGCGGATCAAAGTTCGAAGTCATCCAAACGAGGCTGGATGAGCTCTTGGTTCCTACGAGCAACAGATGTAGCTCCTTGCTTCAGGCATCCTAAAGGTGCGCGTCAATGCTGAGCTCCACCATGGGGGAGCGAGGCACCTGTGCGTAGAGCGCCATGTACTCTCACGTGACAGCCCATTGTACCGCCTGGCGCCAGGCGGTGTGCTCAAGACAGGAGCTCTGGTTTGCTTAGTCAGTTACCCGAGCTTGCCAGCCTGTGGGTACCACCACCTTCAATGTCGGAGGGGAAGTATATAGGGCGGCTGTGTTCAAAAAATCAGCCACCATTGAAGCGTTTCCAGCATTGCCGATGAGGTGTGCTATGTCTCCCATCATATCGCAGGGCCACGTTTGCATTTGCCAACTTACCTTGCCAAGCAGGATGGGGTGAAGATTACCTGATGGCTAATTCTTGACCACATATTTTATCCTATTGAGTGACTTGAATCTCCAACTCAAGGTTCAGCAACTGCTCTCCTGGGCAAGAGTGTTGGTTTGTATGTCCTCCCTTTCCTCTTTTCTTTTTTTCTTCTCTCCTTGGATGAACACAAAGGATACTCTTGCATTTTTAGAACAAGCTAATGTTCATTGTATAGAGCTAATCTCGCCATTGCACCTTGACTTCATACTGACCTAAGACAATGGACCCCCAGGGAGCGACCAGAGTCCCCGGCGATTATCCCTTTGGAGCCGATGACGCTGATTCTTCGTTCCGGCGACGGGCGCAGCCTAACCCCGCCCAACCAGAGACACCTCCGCAACAGCCCCAGAACCAGCAGCAGAGGAATTGGCGCCCTCGGACCTGCCGGATTTGTCTCGAGGTCGTCCATCCCACATTTCAGGAAGGGCTAGGGTCGGCGTTAGGGCTGCGTTCGGCTCCTAAGCCAGTGTATACGTCGGAAGACCCGGAGTTGGGCAGGCTCATCTCGCCTTGCACCTGCAAGGGTCGCAGAAATACGTCCACCAGGGATGTCTTCAGGCTTGGAGAGATGCGGACCCTCTGAACAAGAGGAATTATTTTCATTGTCCGACATGCCAGTTCAAGTACAGGCTCGGCCGCATGTCGTGGGCACGATGGGTGAGCAGCGAGATGAGCCAGCTTATTTTGACCATTGTCATAGTTGTCCTTGCTGTCTTCTGCCTCGGTTTCGTCGCGGATCCGATCCTGGACCTTTGGCTTGATCCAGTCTCTACGATTGCGGATACCGTGTCGACTGTCAACTCGGATACCCCTGTCTACCGCCATCTTGACGAAGACGATGGATGGATTGAGCATTTCGTCAAGGGTTTCTTCTCTCTGGGCGTGGTGGGATTTCTCAAAGTGTTTTGGACCATGTCTCCCTGGCATTGGTGGAACCTCCGGACAAGCGGTGTGCTCAACTCGGGCGGACGCCGGCCTGGGACCACGGGCCGCGGTCGTGTCGAAAACATTAGTTGGGCAGTGGTCATCATCGGGGCCATCACCGTCATATACTCCCTTTGGAAGGGTGTCCGGTTTGTGAGCAGACGGACTCTTATGGCTGCAAGTGATAACGTTCTTGATGTGGGCAAGGACGATGATGATGAGGAGGAGGAGGAGGAGAGGCCGAATCCCGGACGCGAGCACCAGGACTGATCCATATATGTCTGCCCTAACTGGTTTGCACTCAAGGAGTCCATGGTGGCCAAGATGGAAAATTTGATCGTTGTTCGGTGACCTTCTAACTCTCCTGTCTCTTCAAATTACATCGGAAGGCCTGCCTTGGCCCGCCCCCGCCCCCGCCCCCACCCCTACAACCCAAACCGCGCACTCTTAAGTTGCCTCGGACATTTCGCCTCCGTTCCTTGTCAACTAGTCTGCGCGCGGAGATGAAAACCTCGAGGTTGAATGGAGATATCAAATCGTTTTGATCTGAAATCACATTTCGTTCACCTTGAGCAGGTCAACCGTCTGGCTGGTGGAAGATGACCCCGTTCACGGGGAGGGAATCTTTCGCTTTAACGCGCCCTCCGCCTGCTGTGCCATCAGGTACGCAGCATAACAGGCTGGGCCGGCCAGTTTGATACATTTTTTTATCCCTTCGTTTCCCGACTTGATGTACTGGTTTCGTCAGGAATGAAGTTCGCTATGAGGCCAATCAGGTCATGTAAAGAGTGGGCGAGAAAGCCGCGCGCTTCTTTTGTAAGACTACTATCACTATATCTACTGAATCATTAATATTTTCCTATGAAAGAAACGAGCAAGCTGTGCCAGTACGTGTCTATCTTAATCGGTCATGGCGGGAGGGGATGGATGGATCTCCATGATCTTCCCTCGTTTCTGTTTTTGATCACCGAAACGGTTGAGCCGTCGTGAAGCCGCCGTTTGTCATCCCACTCCACCATCGATCATCTCAACCCCCAATGATATTCATAGAGAAATGTTAGTCCATTGAAACCTCTAGGTCTCCGTGTCTTTTGCGACTTGTGTGACATGCATCTGCACGGTCGCCGTCACGTGGAAATGGCTGTGTACCAACTGGTCAGTAGGCCTGGACCAAGTTTGCAAGTGTAACAAACTCAATCAATTGATGTTGCCAGGCTGGTCCAATAAAATCCAGGCAGTTGAGGAACAGAAAAACCAAAAATTAGCGTCCGAAGTACTTGTCCCAGAGAGGTGCCGAAGTATTTGCTGGAAAGGGGGCGGTGACGGACCCCTTGTATAGCACAGGGAGGAACCTATTGGTTTGATTGATTGATGGAGCAATCCCAATCTCAAAAAGGCTGTCCGTATTGTCTCCTTATTACCCCTGTACCTTATCGATATCGGCGCGGCAAAGACGTGGACTGTGCACCAGGGCTCATCAATCTTTCTCTCGACAACCATCACGACATCTCTTCCGTTACCGCCCATCCACCGACATCTCCTTCGTCGTCTCACGCTCTTTTCTGGAGGGCTTTCCCTCCCCTTTGATTCTCCCTTTAGGCGGCGCAGCGGCAGCATAGGCTACGTGCACGAGACAGAGAACGCGACCGATCAATCGCGATGCTCTAAAAGATTGCAGACCTCCCATAGTGTACACGATCGAACTTTTGAACGGCGAACCCGAATTCCTTAACCCGCCCTCCTTCATACTCGACCCTCGCAAACGAATCTTGTTTGCTAAAACGGGCCCCTCCCCCCTTTCAACCACATCCGAGATGCATTTCGCATACCCTTCTAGAAAAGGGGGCAACCCGGCGCCTTTTAGGCCCCGCTCCGCGCGCATCCCTATCCTTCGAAGGGGCAGGCTACGGACGATAGCGCTCTTTGGAGTAGCTTTCTTGTTTCTTCTCTATCTCTTCAGTGGAGGTCGCTCCAGATCCACAGGGAACAGGACTCGGCCGGCCCCCAGTGGAAATCCACCGGTGGTCATGGTCACGGTGCTGGACAGCTCACACGGTCTTGAATATGGAGAGACGGTTAAGGAGAATCGGAAAAGCTATGCGAAACTTCATGGTACGTCGACAAGATTGTTTTCCTCTCTACTAAGCTGCATGTATGTCTAACAAGTCTCTGTTCTATGTAGGCTACGAAACCTTTTTCGCGCATGTTGGAGACTACGATCTCCTTGGGTCGCCAATGTCCTGGACAAAGATTGTTGCCATGAGGCATGCCCTGAATAAATTTCCCAACTGCCAGTACATCTGGTTCCTCACCCAAGACGCCTTCATCATGAACCCCGCCGTCTCCATCCATAAAGATATCATGGCTTCGGACAAGCTCGAGAACTTGATGATTCGTAACCAGCCGGTCGCCCTTCCGGATAGCATCATCAAGACGTATTCTCACCTCAAGCCTGAGAATGTTGATGTCGTGGTCACGCAGGACTTCGAGGGCATGTCTGCAGATAGCCTCATTATCAGAAACAGCGAGTGGGCCGAGTTTTTCCTCGACAGCTGGTACGACCCGCTCTATAGAAGCTACAACTTCCAGAAAGCCGAGACGCACGCCCTGGTAGGTTTTCGATGTCGTCCCCATTCGCCCCAAGCGACTGTGTTTCCCCGTCCCTTCTTTTCCGTTGCACAACCGACTAACAAGCCGCTATCTAGGAACATATCGCACAATGGCACCCCACCATCCTCTCCAAACTTGCTTTGGTTCCCCAATCAACTCTCAACTCGTACAGCCGGGCAACTCTCGGGGCCAAATACTCGACCGGTGACTTCGTGGTTCGGTTTGCCGGTTGCACTAAAATGGGAAACACGGCTTGTCACCAGGAAGCGGGGCGGTACAACGAGCTTAGGCGTAACGCATTTGCCAACGCTTAACAGAAAAAAGGAGGGCGATGGGAGGCGAAGGTATCTACAAGCTTGGTGCAAGACGCACCAAACGAGGTTTGCCAGGATGGATAGGCTAGGCGTTTGGATGAAACGAACACAACGACCCGAAAGAACAAAAGCATTCGTGTACAATATTGTGTGCTACTTGGATTGCATGTAATGACCTGGGGGTGTCAATCTCTTTTTTCTCTCTTTCTTTCTTTCTTCTTTTCTTTTTTAGGAGATAAACAGGATGGAACTATTCACTACATGTAATCTGTTTGTGTCGGTTTCCTTACCAATGGCCAAGAGGGAAGCGAGTGACGAGGTGATAATGACGGGCCGAAGTGCTCTACTCCCGGACCAGCAAGCCATGATTTGTGAAGGGCACCCTATATTAGTAGCCGCTTGAGTCGGTATGGTTTCCTCGAAACAAGAACCCGCTTGGGTGCGGGAGATGTTGGGAAAGATGGACTTGTCGGCCATGCTCCGGAAGCAGCCGCTTCAGGGCTGAAAAGGCGTTCGGGCGTACATTCTGTAGTACAGACGACAGAATCCTACCATTGGTCTTGTCCCGAGGGTGATTAAAGGAGATCCGGTGGCCAGCCACGCCACAAGTCTAGCAGAAGACGCACGGCGTGTTTGCCACGGCTTATGAGGCATTCTTTCGGCCATTGTTCGCGAACAATTTGACCAGAGGTCCTACATGGCAGACAACAGTGGACGGAGCGTCTCCAGCTCTCACTCGGGGTGAAGGTGGTGATGGGAGGCTCGACGTGGAAAGCGACTCCACGAAGAGGAGATTTACGGGAGTGCTTGACATTAGATGCTTGACAAGCTCGGCCGAAACCCGACGCCCCGTCTCTGGAGTCCATGACATAATTATGCATAGGCTCACGCTTTTGGTTTAGATACTCGTGACTTCAAATTGCACGCTCAATGGATGGACGGCGCGGCTTTTCGTGGTACGTAAAAGAATAGTTCCAGGCCTTGCGGAGGGTAGCATCCGGGGGTGGTGAACAAGGTCGGCTCAACTGAACCTGTCCAGCAGCTAATAGCACCATTGACCAGAATGATACGAGCTGCTCCTACCTTGAACAGAATGTGAATTGTGCGGAGGACCTGCCTTGCTAATTACTGCACAGAGGCGTCAGCCGTAGCGATTGAAGCTTTCCCATTGGCCCGCCAGCTCCCACTAAATGCATGTGATACAATGGCCTCCCCAACCCCAAGCAAAGTATTTCTGATCCCCCGGCGCCGCGCTTGGCCTGCTATCTTCTACCACTAGGTACCAATCCCCCAAAAGTCCGATCCTTCGGCCAAAGTCAGTTACCTCGGGACGACACCGCGCCTTCCATGAGGCAAAGGAACGAAGCGTCGAGTGAGCAGCAGCACAGAACTCGCTCCAACTTCCCAACTGGGGAAGTCACTCTTCAACTTTTGACGTCTTCTCGTACGAAAACGGACCATTGCCCCGGACTTCACAGCACTTGGACAATGGCCCATTAACTAGACTCTCTTCCTCCCCTGTATGCTTTAAGCTTCCTTAGCATCTTCACCTTTCCCCCTCCTCCTCCTCCTCTTATCCACTGGTCTCGTGAGGATTCGGGGATTGATTCTTTTCTCTTGGCTGCTTCGCTTCTCCCCGTTTTCCATGGTCTGAACCGCCCGTGGAATCTTGCAAAATTCTTACCCAGGCCCGCCAATTCCGTCGTGTCTCAGAAGAGCCGAGCTTCCCGACTTCCCTACCCACATTTCCCTTTGAGAGGGGCCAACAACACCTGTTCCGTCCCTTATCGAAGCCGAGAGCTTTTCGACCTCGACCATGACCGGAAGCTCGCGCATGCCGGTGAGCTTGAGGGAAAGCTTCAACCAGGTAAAGAGGCGGCGGCCGACGAGTTTGTCCGCCGTTGTGAACCTTGACTTGTAGGTTTCCACGCCCATTCCCTACCCTTGTGCAAATTGTTTTTTTCTTTTTTTTTCTTCGTTATTCTGCGTTACGTTTGGTACCTATGAGGGAGCTGGGCGTTGCGCAACACCACATTCCCTTTCACCCCGCTCCTCCACATCGCCTTTTCCTTTCTCCTTGCCCCACGAGGCCTCCCGTTTATGAGAGCCGGCCAGGAAGCTAGCCATCGTGTGTGTTGTGGGCGGACAGGTCAAGAGTGACTCACTCTTTCTCTCTCTCTCTCTCTCTCTCTCTCTCTCTCTCAGTGTGCCGCACATCTGCTTATAGGGACAAAATGGCAACGGAACGCCGACAGATTTCTCGTATGGGATAAGGCTAACGCATGATTGCGCTCTTTGCGCTGCACCCGTACTCATCTAGGTTGCGCAACATTATCTTCCTCCTCTTTGTGCTACGATGGACGCGACGTGCTTTCTGGCAGCTCCGAGGCCGGGGAATCATCGGCTCCCTCGTCGAACTCTACCGCAACATTGGTAGAATATTATACGGTTATTTCCTACGAGCCCCCGGCGTCCGCGGAAAAGTTCAAAAGCAAGTGAGCGACGCGCTCGCCAAGACGGAGGCGAAACTGGTACCGACGAATTTGACGAAATATCTCACCCTGCCCAAGGAGGGTCTGTCGGACGATGACGTGAGGAAAGAGCTCGAGATGCTGGCCAATCTCGATCATACCAAGTGGGAGGAGGGTTATGTCTCTGGCGCCGTGTACCATGGAGAGCAGGACCTTATTAAACTGCAGACGGAAGCGTTTGGTACCTTTACCGTCGCCAACCCGATCCACCCCGATGTGTTCCCTGGCGTGAGGAAGATGGAGGCTGAAATTGTCTCCATGGTGCTTGCCCTCTTCAACGCCCCTCCCGACGCTGCGGGTACCACCACCGCCGGTGGCACTGAGAGCATCCTAGTCTGCTGTCTCGCTGCTAGACAAAAGGCCTATGCTGAGAGGGGCATTACAGAACCTGAGATGTGAGTCGATCCGGACAAGAGGCCATGTCCGCTCAATGCGAGCGATTCTTTTCGTAGAGGCGCATTTGTACTAACACGAGCCTGGGGCGATGGTAGGATCATTCCGGAAACTGCGCACGTCGCATTCCGAAAGGCTGGCGATTACTTCAAGATCAAGGTCCACCGCGTACCTTGCCCAGCTCCGTCGTATCAGGTCGACATGAAGGCGGTTGCCCGCCTTGTCAACCCCAACACAATCCTCCTTGTTGGCTCTGCCCCCAACTACCCCCATGGCATGATTGACGACATTGCGGCGCTCTCCAAGATTGCGGTTAAGCGCAAGATCTGGCTCCACGTCGACTGCTGCCTTGGTTCCTTTGTTATCCCGTACCTCGAGAAGGCCGGTTTCGAATCCCAGCCGTTTGACTTCCGCCTCAAGGGCGTGGCGAGCATCAGCTGCGATACGCACAAATACGGATTCGCGCCCAAGGGCAACTCGACGGCGTTGTATCGGAGCGCGCAGCACCGCTCTTACCAGTACTACGTCTCACCAGACTGGCCAGGTGGTGTCTACGCGTCCCCGGCATTGCCGGATCTCGACCCGGTGCTCTCATCGCCGCCTGCTGGGCCAGTCTCATCAGGATGGGAGATAACGGCTATTTGGATGCCTGTGGAAAGCTCGTCGGTACCGCCAAGAAGATTGCTGACAAGATCCGAGAGACGCCGGTGCTCGATAGCGAGCTCGAGATTCTGGGTCGCCCCTCGTCTCCGTCGTGGCTTTCAAGTCGAAGAATCTGAACATTTACGACATCTACGACGGCATGACTACCAAGGGATGGCATCTCAACGCTCTTCAAGACCCACCTGCCATCCACGTGGCAGTAACGGTGCCCATCGTCAAGGTGTGGGAGACCCTGATGGCGGATCTCGAGTCTGTGATTGAAGCTGAGAAGGAGAAGGAGAGGGCGCGGATCGCCCAAGGCAAGGGTGCGTCCAAGCCTGTGGGCGATTCTGCGGCCCTATACGGTGTTGCCGGCTCGCTGCCAAACAAGGGCGTCGTCGTAGACTTGGCGGCCGGTTTCCTAGATCTCCTGTACAAGACTTAATGGAGTGGGTTCGATGCTATCGCGATACCGTGATGAGGGAACGGGGAGCAAAAGGAAGGATAACTGATACACGATTAAACCTGGCTCGGAGAAAGGAGGATAGCAAACGTCAAAGAGTGTGTGTGACACTTTAGTTCCAAGTATTTGTTATTTTTTCCTTTTTTCTTCTCCCCTTTCATGATCTAGTGGCGAGCCTTGACGTCCTCTCGAGTGTTTTTTTCTTTTTGTTTGTTTGTTCATCTATTATAGCATCGTGTTCCATACCTTTATTAGAGTATAATACAAACTCAAGTATACATAGCGCGAGGGTTGGTGGCTAGCCTTGATCATGCCTCGGATTGCCCTGGTAAAATGATGTACAAGGCGAGGGCGGAGGAGTTTGTTGGGCCAAACTTGACTCGACGACACAGAGAATGATGCCTGCACATTCACATTTCACGCTTGGTCATGATAAATTGATAGGGGGAAGCGTTGTGCGAGGGTGGTCGCATTTCTCTCGGAGCCTTGCCTTTTTGTTATCCCTTTTCCCCCATTTCTTTTTTCTTCTTTTTTCGGTTTCCGCCTTTCTCTGCCTTACTTCACCTTGCTTGTTTGGTTTCTCTGGTCCTCACTGCTTTTCCCCCTCCCTTCCTCTCGTTTCCCCCATACCCGAGAGTTCGTCGGAGGCAGCTCTCGCTTCCTTTCTCTTCGCTACGAGAAGGCCACCAAGTCTAAGCTGTACCATTTGGGCGGGATGGATGGATGGGTGGACGGAAAACAAACTCACCGGATCGAATAATCTACTTTTTTCGTGAGATACAAACAACACGCCTCACTGAAAGGGTCTGTACTAGGGATGGAACGAATCCTACGGGGATATGCGTCTCCCCTCCCTTGGCATCGTGACGAGGGGAGACGGCTGGTCCAAGAATAGCGGGCAGAGCAAGGGTTGCAGTAACGTGGTGAAAATGGCGTTGGGCTAACGGCGTGGAAAGTCTCGAGAGGAAAAAGGCAGATGCAGGTAGCCGGTGTCACTCGAGGGGAGGGAAGAGAGGGCGTGGCTAGACCATCCTCGTCTCTCTCATCTTCTTCCCGTTGTTTATCTCCGTACGGGTTCTCAGTCTTCTTCCTTTTTAACTTCCTCGCTCTCTTGATCTTTAAGTCCCTTTTCAGCCGAGGAAGCGTGACCGAGACTCGGAAATGGTGTTTGCCTTGAGGGAAGAAGTGGTACACGCGCACACACACGTGAGGAAAGAGAATGGCTAAATCTCCATAGTATCTAGCCCTCCTTACTCGTCAAAAGGTACACTAGCTGGGAGAGATATATTGTCTGATTGTGGGCAGTGTTTCGTGGTTCTCTGTGGTATGTTTGTTTTCTGCGAGGGGAGATCCATTGGAGGAGGGTCCTGGGCAAGTGAGTAGAGAGGAGAAGAAGATGGACTTGCAAGGGAGAGAGAGGGAAATTGAGAGAGATTGACAGAATCTGTATGTGTGTGTATGAAGGGGGGCGGAGAGGGTGAAAGAGGATGGAACGGGGCACATTCCGCGAGAGAGTGAGGTGTGGATGGTGGACGTAGGCCATGCATGGCATATATTCGCATTAGATACATACACCGCTTGCCTGCAGTCTTCCAGACATGATGTCGGATCAAAGGACGAGGACAATCTCCAAGGCACGGGATATATTCGAATAGAGGACTCATCCCTTCACTCCTCCGCCAGTCCGCGGTAGGCCGCCCCCTCTCCTCTTCATCTCGGGCATCTTCCTCCGTCATCTGATATCGCCTGCAGGCCAACCGAGATACGGAGACGGTGAGGAGCAAGAAGGCGGTATCGTTCTGGGCGAGCAGGAGGTCAGATCTGCACTTTGTGTCGTGGCCTAACCCGGGTGCTTCACCCACCCACCCACCTCCCCGCAAGCCTATAGATGAACTCGATGGAGGCTGCTGTATCACCGGCCCGCTGATAGTGTGTTGTGGGTCTCACCGACGCATTTTGCTTTGATATTGCCCGCGAGAGAGACGGACACCGTTGTTCTCGGTGTGGCCGAGTAGGGTGTATATGTCCTCGGGGAGATCGACTTATACACCATGATGGCCAGGCTTCCACGGAGCAATGCAAGGATCGAATGAGGAAACCCCACGAGGGATGGGGAGGGCATCTCTCTCTCTCTATCTCTTGGATAGGGTAGAGGGATAGCCAATACGACGCCTGCTCCAATTTCCTGCTCTGCGGGAACTGACGCCGTCCATGGGTACGTAGAAAGAAAAAGAAAGCAGAAACGGAAAAGTTGCCGAAGGAGCCGTGGGCCATCCACGCTGATGCGCCCTGCTTCCCCGGAGGAGCTCTTGGAACCAAGCTTAAGGTTAACATCCCCCCCATTTGGCCGGCTGGTTTCCACGGCAAGAGGGGAGGGGAAAGGGCGGGCTTGATGGCACATTTGTGAGAATTCCCAAAACTCTAGCGTGAGTACAAGTGGCCAAAAGGTGGTCGCCTTGTGCGGGAAACGGGTCATGAAGAGGTCTCCCTGCGTCAAGGCGGACCAGGCTGGGAGCGATGATCTCTTGAGCCTGATAGCCTGCCATCTACCGTTGGGGCCCAAATTCATGGTGAATTTTTTTAATTCTTGTTTTTTGGAAGCTTCACTAGAACCAATGAAACTATTTCAAAGAATTAGCGCCTTGAAACATGAAAATTCCATACCGTTTGGGGAACGTCTGATGATGCGAACAGGGGGATTAGGCGGATGCTGTCTTCGCCATCGTGTCCCGACAGCAAACTTACACAACATTGAACAGGCCAGGCAGAGAGAGAATCAAGTCCGCTACCTCGAATGGATGCTTCTCATGCACCGCGAGAGCACTCTCTATGGCTCATGCTGGGAAAACAAAACCCCCTCCCGGCTCGTTCGGTGATCCGCGAGCCACTCTCCTCTCCCCGCCCTGGGCAATTTCTCGAATGAAGCCCTTGACGTGACGATGCGTTCAGAATCAGCCACCGCGTCTGCACGGCAATGAAGTGGTATGGCCCTGCCGGGGATTCGATTGGTACGCGATGGGTAAAGGGGGTGAGGAGAGAGAGCTCCCTCCTGGTAAAGGCTTGGGTTTAGATTCAAGCAGTGCTGCTCCGTTTCCTGTTTCACTCAAACAAAGATCCATCCAGCTCCGTTGCCCTCTCTCCACTCGACATGCTATGAAAAGAGCCCACGTCTCCCTCTGTCGGAGATAAGCCCAGCCAGTTACCGGACTCTTTTGTTATTTCCATGAATATCGGGCAAATCTGCCACGTCGCCTTGAGCGACACACTCATGGCATCACGCTCCGGGCTACGGTTGGGGGAGCTCTCGGCTCGAATCAAAATTATACAGAAATCATGATAACATCCATGTACCAAGGCCTCCTGCCTCGTACTCGTAGAATTAACAGTCCAAGCAAGTGTAGAAACCCCCGCCAAAAAGCTGGGGGTGACACAAAGAAAATGAATGGTGATGATAATACAATCACTATGTTTTTGACATTCATCTAGTCCTAGGAATATAGCAACATTGAATACCGGGAACCCCGAGAACAGCTTGTCAATCTGCCCGACAAGGTGCCCTCCCTCTCCCTTTGGCCCCGGGTGGTACTTTGTGTTACTGTCCCGAGGCACACTATGTACAGGCAGAAAGAAGTAGGAGGTCTCCGTGGAGTCATGGGACATGCACGTCTCCAAAGCTTTGGTTCTTCTTTTTGGCTTTGAGGGTCGGGGAGGGAGGTGGCAGTGCTTGAGGCCCTCCCCAGATACGCCGGTAGATGGAGCTGGCCCTCATTGACACCAAAGCTTTACGCTGTGCCAACTCCACTTTTGAGTCCATCGTGTTTTGAGGCCCCCCCAAAGCGTTCAAATATTGTTATTGAGCTCCCCTCAATTTACTCGTCCATTTTCATCCTTTCTTTCCTCCCTCCATATTATCCAAACTTTCTGTTTTTTTAGTCCTTGATGCGGGGTCGTCGGGGGTGTCGGGGGTGTCGGGGTATCAGGGATGTCGGAGCGCGGGGAACCTCATGATACTGACCTCTGGAGGGAACATGAAGAATTGCACTTTCAAGGTAGGAAGCCTATCAAGGTGAATATATTCGGTCGTTACGTGGATATTGGCAGCGGGGATCTCGTGTTTCTGTCCGTCCGTCCCTCTCCGTCCCCCTCTCATTGCTCGTTGCCCAGGCCGGCTTTTTTGTTGACTCATAGCCTTGGAATATCATCAATCATCGATGTGGACGCCGGGAGCCTGCCCGATGGCTCAAGGTGTTGTAGAACCGGCACTGCATCCACGTAGTCAATATCATGACTGAGGTCTCTCAACAGCCAGCAGCAACTCTGTCCGGTCGCCAGCCTTGGTCTCTCTCTCTCTCTCTCTCTCTTCTTCTTCATTTTTCCTTTTCTTGTTTTTCTCCTTTTCCAAGAAGAATGAAAGAAGGATCCAGAATGAACGTCGTTGGGCCAGGGTGGTGTCCCCACGATACAGGCAGTGCTCGAAAGCGCCATCCTGTGTAACCAGACTCCTCCACACCCAGGACATCAATCCCTCCAAGGCCTTCCCCCGCACCCAATCACCCCCTCCCTCCCTTCGCCTTTGGTTAGCCCTTCCCTTGCCTTTCAATATCAGTGTCTTGGGAACCAAGTTGACACGAGATTGGGTATGTATCCTTATTAGTCTGCCCAGCCGTGTGCCCGTGGCTCTGTTGTGGCCAGATGCAGATGGATCCATTGATATTTCGTTTTTGCCGTCGTCTGCTGGGGACTTTGGCCTCGGGCGTGTGCTGGTGTGTTTATGCGTGTGTGTGTGTGTGTATGGGTGGGTGGGTGATCAAGGCAACGGTCCTCCGGAGTGCCCTCGGTGTCTCGAAGCAGGGACCGGAAAGGGACCATTCTCAATCTCGGGAAAAATGGGCGAGCCTGGTCCGCCCCCACTCCGCCGTTCCTCTCCCACAGGCCACAGTGACGGCCCCGCTCAGCAAGCACTCAAGCACGCAAGCACTATTCTCTATTTTACACAAGGCATATCTTGATTTCCTATCCAACTTTTCAGAGACAGGGTCTATTGCGTCACTCGCTAGGCAAGGAATTCGGGGTTGAAAGGGGAGTAAGACAGCGAGCTGAGAGCATTGATAACGGGGGAGAGCTCTACTACCACAAATTAACAAACGGGGCGAGCCCTTAGCCCAGGCCCAGGCGAGGCGAAAGTATTGGAGGGCTGTGGCTTTTTTATCTTTTTCTTTCGTTGTTTTTTCTTGCCTAACATTGAAGGCCATCCTCACGTAGATGGGTAGACAGGTCATGATCAGCGCTCGTCCTCGCAAAGGCGGATTGCCGTGCCCCTCGAAACGATTCGTGGTCGTGGCCCAGGGGTCCATTGGCTTTAATGTTCTTCATGGCTTTTCAACGAGCTTATCCCGAGCTGCCAGGCGTCGTTTTGTCTAACCACGTCCTCCTACTCTCACAAACCGCCCTACAATCTGGGATAGGCGTATTGTATTATCGCCTTGGGGCCCCCAGCCCAGCCCATGCGGGATCCCTGTGGAAGCTGAGCTGAGCTATAGCTGCGTTTGGAATTCTGCACAAGTGCGCATCTATCAATTGATCTACCCTATCGCCCGAACGCTAGTGTCGAACGCCACTGAGCAACCTCAGTGATCCACATATTCAATGATCGATGTCGCGCTTCACTGCGCTGATGATAGGTGATGGGAAGGGCGAAGCTTCCTGGCACCGACATGATATCGATAGTCCCTGTAGCTATCGTTTGCCGTCAAGGAAGCTCGGGGCTCGATTCCTCTAGCTCCGCCTGCGCCCTTCTCCGTCATACTCTCCGTTGTATCTCCGCTTTACACCAAACCCAAGGCGAACCCTTTTCCCCTCCTTCCGCATCTCGTCTTTTCCATTTCCTTTTTTTTCTCTTCCCTTCCACCGCCTTCGTGTAGCCGGGCCCGACACGCCGTGTTTGCTACCAATCGGCCCATGCCTCGAGATTCCAAAAACACCCCACCTTGGTTCCCATCATCATTGGGCGTTTGTGTTAGTAGTATGTGTGGCCCTCTTGTGCCTCTTCCAGAAAAAAAAAAAAAAGAAAAGACCGTGAGCCCGCTTTCGCTTCTGCTCGACTAGTCTTGGCCTGCATTGCGTCTTGTACACTTACACACACCCTCTTTGCCCATCCACAGCTTCATGTTCCAGAAGACCCACACACACACCCCCTTCCCCCTTCCTAACCGTCGACGGTTGATTGCAAGAACCCATGTTGTTTTTTGGTCCCTTCCCGTGCAATGGCTTCTCCGGGCCCCGACTGACCGTGCCTGTCGTGATGGGAAACCGTCGCAGAAAGAGGCAGGAGCAGGAACGAGCCACCGCATAGTATTCCCCACCCCCTCGTGGACACGCACGACCACCATTTCCCTCCACCGAGGCCTCATTCGTACCACCTTGGGGCGACAAGCCTGGCTCCGCTCCTGGCATCGCCAACTTATGGGCACGGGTGACATGGGACAAGCCCCGTCATAGGTTCGAGAATCTGAGAGCCACGCCTTTCCAAAAGAGATATAGAAAACATTCGCAAGTGGAATATAAAATCGTCCCCTCGCCCCTGCTCACCGTCCTCCCTCCCCATGCGAGTATCTCAGTCTTCAGAGCTGTCCCATATCAGCTAAAGAGCCTTGCCAATAGTAACCAATTGCTCGCCCGGGACTTATAAAAGGCCCCTTCGTCTAATACCATTCACGTTTTCTTATAAAAGAAGAGAAAAAAAGAAGAACACCTTCCATGGTCCTTGTTCCAAACCCTCCCTGCACCTTCAACCCACTTGAAATAATGGACGGCCCATCCTTTATCCCGCCCCCGCCGCCCCCTTCCCACTCCCCGGTATGTGAACAGCCAACTCTCGGCCGCCGGATGAGCTGGCACAGGACATCGCTCCCCAATTCAGCTCCCCGCCCCCGCCTCCGCCCCCGGATAGCTGGGTCCCCGGTAGCGGGTACGCAGTCGCCGAGGAGTTGCGCAACAGCCATCCGAGCTTGGTCACCGACGACCTCCCTCCCTTCCCTCCCTCGCCGACCTACGGGCACATGACCCCGGCGATGTGTGAAGAGATGAGAAAATTGGTAGACGCCGGCGGACTCGAAGGCCTAAAGAGAAAGATTGTTGAAGAAGGTAAGAAAAACCATGCTTTCGTGCTCTTCGTGGTTCCCACCCTTCCCCTCCGACTCTCTCTCTCTCTTGCCATGACCGGCCCGGGTCAGCTCTATTAACACGCCCCCTCGAAATAGTCCTCAAAACCGGTGACGGGGACCGAAGCCCGCCCACAGCGAGCCCCGCTCGCATGTCCTCGCCAACGACCAACGCCGCGTATTCCACCTCCCCCACCAGCTACTCCCACTCCTTCTCCCCGACCCCGAGACGCAACCCCGGCTGGCAGCGCTCCTTCATGGCCCAGTCTGCCGGCTACCCAGAGGGAATCCGGGCTCCCTACACGCCCCCGATTCGCCCATCGATTCATCTCAGAGCGATGGCTTAAGCATCGTCGACCGCCGCTGGGGCGAGCTCTTTGACAAAAATGGCAATGCTACTCCACGACTCGGCCAGGTGCTCCGAGGCATCGCCAAATACCTCGTACGGCTCTTTATCCCTCGCATTCTCCTCCCTTTCCCAATGCACGTCCAAAAAAAAAAAAGGCGTAGGAAACTAACAAAAAGGACCTTGGGCTTCATAGATTTCCGAAGTGTCCCCCGCAGAAAGCGTCGTCATTTCACCGGCAAAGCTAGCAAACTTTTACCGCGAGTATTCCGTAGACAATGAACCACACTGCTTTTCAGGTTAGTCCTCCATATTCCCCAACTCACAGGGGCGAACCATTTTCTTTTCTTTTTCTTTTGGGGAGTAGGCTAACAGATCTACAGACATATTCAAGTGCCGCGATGATAGCAAAGAAGAGTATCGCAACATCGCCGAGCTCTTCGAAGACCTCGAGTGCGACTACCACCTCATCAAAGCTACCCCAACCTCGCGACCCATCGTCCCCGCCCTCACCCCGGCCGGCTTCGCCAAGTGGACCATCATGGCCATCTTCGCCTACCCAGACGTCGAGGCCAAGCGACTCGACTGCATCATGTCCCAGCTCCCCATCGACGCCGACGGGCCCTTTGTCGACGGAAAACCCGAGCGGCTACCCAAACAACTCTCCCGGTATCTCCTGCCCAGCAAAGCAGACAAATCCGCCCGAAGCAACTTCAAGATCTTTGTCGACGACTTCTTCCAAGACCGGGAGTCCCGGCAAAGAGCCGCGGAGAAATCCCGGAGGCACCCGAGCGATGGCTTTTCTTCTTCCAAGACGCCCGCCCAGGGCGGAAACCAGGACAGCGTCGCCAAGAAAGACTACCCCGGCGCGGGCCCCGCCCGGCAGCCCCGGGACGAAAGAAGAGGTCGAGCAAGAACGTCAGCTTCAAAGGTCTCCGCCAAAGGAGGGCAGCGGCACAGAAAGCGGTGGCGGGGCCCTTCCCGCGGCCTCCCACCCTTTTTCGGGCAGAGCCGGCCGCCCCTACAACTTGACCAACATTACCGTGCCGCCGTCGGGCCGCACCAGCCAGGAGCGAGCCTCGAGGCCGAAGCCCTCGCGGCGTGCCGAAGCCTCCGACTTTGACTCTGCGGACGGTTTTCCACCTCGCCCCCTCCTCCTCCTCTCCATCGTCGTCCTCTCCCGCTGGCTCCGACGCGAACCGCAACTGGATGGAGAAAAACGACAGGTCCTACCGGTACTCGCAACGAGCGGAAGATGTTACGCCGCGTCGTATGCCCAGCGGCGGCGCCGCCGACGACGTGCCAAGGTCCGGCAAGAGGCGAGCCGCGACGCCGTCGCAGGACAAGCCGTCTGGTCGGGACCACGGTCGCCGTGAATCAGCTACCACAGGCCGGGATGAGTACTCGTATTAGTGATACCATGAATTTTTTTTTTTTTTGGGGGTTTTGGCTGTTCTCCTTTGTTACATGAAATGCTGGTCACCATCGGGTACCTCCAGCGATCACCAAATCTCGATCTGTACCATTGTAAAATGCGGGAAAAGGGTAATCGGCGGGCGACGGGATGGGATGACAGTGTATGACCTTCGGCAGGGGCGACTTCTAGTTTGGGCTGGGACAGTGATCTTTTGTTTTCCATCGGCGTCATCGTGACATTTGGTCAGGTATATGGATCCTGGATTTGGGCGTTCTCCCGAGTTTTCTTTTGTGTTTGGAACCTATCAAACTTGCAAGGCAATTGGAATGCTGAATGAAGCCTTTGGTGTTCTAGTCTCATATTATTTTTATTCTCAGGTTGTTATGACACGAAACTCATTTCTCACAAAATCAGCATCTGCTGGGTATCATCACATCCTTGTTTCTTCCTCGATCAAGGGATGCTTTCTCCCGATATCCTGAAAATAGGGACCGGGAATCCAAGTTACTCCACCTCATGTTGCATGCTGTGCCAGGGAAAAAATGATGACTGTACGATGGCTCGTATATCCGCTGTGTTCAGTCAACTTTATGTGATGCATCACTCTGGCCCTGAGAGAAAGAGAGAAGAGCAAGTTCAACCCCAAAAAAGCGCATTACGCTCCTGCGTCAGCAACCAACTTGGGCAAGATCTATGGCGTAAGGTCTATGCTGTCCTTGCTGGCCATTTATCTGACAAAACTTGATGAAATCATCAGCCAAGTATAATTCCTTATCAATACTTGCGAGTCCTGGTCTATGACGTTGGAGGTTGAGGGTTGAGGGTTGAGGGTTAGGAAGTGGGAAGGCTAGGTTATCCTCACCTCAACAGCCTTGGAAACCATTATGCCTTGGATCAGACCAGCGTAAAGCACAGTCGTGCGCAGCACCAAGCATCAGCGATCCCCGAGGCGGTCACCGTTCCTCCTCTTCCGCCTCGCCCTTCTCTTTGCTCACCACCTGGCCATGAATGGCACATTTGTGCCATTTCGTCCGAGGTCCCCCCTTCTTCAGTGGCTGTGCTAGTCGTGCTAGAAATCAAATCGTTGACCGAAGCTATTGATCAGCCCGGTCTTGCCCCGTGACGAGGCCTCACCTATAGACGAGAGCCCTGCGACGGGCGAGATCTGTTCTGAAAGCCCGCAGCCCTCGTCACGTAGCTCGCTTCCCTATATGCGAGGCAACCTTTGCTTCGGTGGGAGCATGGGTTTGCAGATCAATATTGGTACAACCCGCCAAAGTCTAGCACAGTCTCTCTCTCTCACTACCCCAATATCCGTGTACCGACTCGGGAGAACATGGGCGAGTGTGTGTTTATATCGGGGAATGGGGATACAGGAAACGTAAACAAGACTCATGCACCTTGGGATTTCGAAGCGCGCCGGCCTCCATTCTGAGTGTCCCCGGTGGGATTCCGTTGAAATCTAGGGACGTGCTCAAGGTCTCATCGAGACTCCCCGACTATCCGTCGACTTTTTCTATATCTGACTCAGATTGTTCTGGCCGGGCCCGCATTTCTCCTTGCCGGCGCCTGCTTCCGCCATCTACGTAGGTGCGAATACCCGCTCGACGTTCGTTTTTGCGATTTTCTGTGGGGGTGGTTCGTTCTGGCCGTGTTCTACGCCACTGGCCTGTTCCTCAATACTTCGATGGAAAGCGGAAGAATCGCCGTCGCAAAAGTTTTTGAGGTGAGGGCTCATGTGTTAAAAAAGCTTATGGGAGGAGGGGATCCACGCCCCAAGAATCAACAATATGTTGTGGGCTTCTGGTGATCAGACCCTCGATTTGAGTAAACTCACTCTGAGTGGTGGGTTGAGTGAAACAACAAGAACGAGTGAAAATAAAGTTCCCATCCGCGACAGTCATTACTCGCTAGAACCCCCAAGACACCATGCCAAACCTATAAGCTTATCTTTAAACCGAGATATATCGAAACCCCCGGTGTGAAAATGGCCTCACGATTTGTAGCCCATCCGGGCCATAGACTTCGTACCATACTTAAAGACGCGTCTCCCGCTGAACGATGTCTTCCGATTTCTCCGCTCCGATCGAACCGGAATACCTAAACTATCCGGTGTTTACGCTCCCTAAACTTCGATCCCCACGCTGAGCTTTCTTCCAGGCAGCCCCAGCCATACACTTCTCCGCACTTCTGGGGCCTTTGGGAAGATAGAAAACTCCATCCCGACTTATATCATTCGACCGAGCCGAAACCCCTCCGACTTTCCCTGAGCAATGCCGGGCTCTGACGAGTTAGATCTGGCGGCGTCGAGCGAAGATAGCAGCAGCTACGCAGACTTAAGTATGGCTGTTCCAGCACTCGAGGAGTCCAAGAAGCTGTCCAATCCCCTGGGTGGGCTTGAGCCGGACGAACTGGTCGTTCGTGCCACAGAGTACTGCGAGTTACACGGTATAACCGAGGAGGAGGATATTCGCGCGTTCCAAATCGGTGCCCAGCTCGCCGGCAACATTGAAGAGTGGAATGCCATCCACGGCATTTCTGAGGAGGAGAAGGCGGTCCTGCAGGAAGAAGTGGAACATAAGTGGAAGAATCCGAGAATGCTTTATCTCATCGTCGCTAGTACGTGCCTGCCCATTATGCCCTTGAAAAACTTTTGAAATATGAGCGAGACCGAGCTAACACAGGCCCAAAGTATGCTCCCTTTGCGCCACTGTCCAGGGAATGGGTAAGCTTATCGATTCGTATCACGAGATACGCCAAGGTATAGCTCAATGTACGGAAGCTAACACATCTATGTCGATAGATGAGACAGTGGTAAACGGCGCCCAGGCTTTTTATAAGCATCAATTTGGCATAGGCGGGGATAGCGCCCGTGATACCTGGCTGCTTGGCCTTGTGAATGGTGCCCCTTACCTTTGCTGCGCCGTGTTTGGGTGCTGTAAGTCTCCGATCCAGACCTCTCTGTGATATAGGCCTCAAGGACGAGATAGCTAACGATCAATCTGCAGGGTTGACCCACCCCATGAACCAGCGCCTCGGCAGACGAGGGACAATTTTCGTGTGTGAGATTGGTAGGTTTCCCCAGCGCTAATCATTACCCTTGAGAAGAGCAGCAGATACCTCTAACACGGCACCTGTAGTCTCCATCATCGCTTGTATTTGGCAAGCCGTTACCAACAACTGGTGGCACCTATTCATCGCTCGATGCGCCCTTGGATTCGGCCTCGGACCCAAGTCCGCCACAACTCGTAAGCCTGATATCCCCAGAGAAGACGAAAAAGGGTATAAAAATGAACGATAGGCTAAGGCGTTTGATGTGTAGCCATGTTCGCGGCCGAATGTGCTCCTCCCCGACTTCGAGGCGCCCTTGTTATGCAATGGCAAATGTGGACAGCCTTTGGAATCATGGTAAACAGCTCCCTTCCCGGTGTTGGATATTAGGATTAGCGACAGGTCTAACGTAGGTTGTGAAGCTCGGCTATGCGGCGGATCTTGCCCTATACGAAGTCCCGGACGTCGGCAACATCGTAGGCTTGCGATGGCGGCTCATGTTGGCCTCGGCTGCTCTGCCCGCCATTCTCTGTGCAGGCTTGGTCTGGACCATCCCTGAGTCCCCTCGATGGTACCTTAATAAGGAAAAGCCCATCCAGGCCTACCAAAGCATGTGTCGTCTTCGCTTCATCAAAATCCAGGCTGCCAGAGACATTTTCTACGCCGACGCCCTTTTGAACGCAGAGAAGAGCGTGAGCCGCAAAGCCGGGATGAAAGAACTACTAACTGTCCGGCGAAACCGCAACGCGTTCGTGGCTTCCGAAATCGTCATGTTCATGCAACAATTCTGTGGTAAGTCGTCCATATCTCGACTCTTTTCTTCTTCGTCTTCTTCTCCCACTTTTTGCGGCAGTCGCAATACAAGAATGTGGGTGGCTAACCGTGTTCTCGCCGGCAGGAATCAATGTAAGTGAGATGGCTCATCTACCTCGAGCCTGGAGAAGGATTAGGTCGACTATATGGGCCCGCTGCTGACGTTTTAACTATAGGTTGTCGCGTATTATTCTACCGAGATCTTTCTTGCCGCAAACTTCAAGGAAAGGGCTGCCCTGTTTGCCTCGTTCGGGTTTGGCGTGATCAACTTTGTCTTTGCCCTGCCAGCGTTTTGGACAATCGATACGTTCGGGCGCCGTAACCTTCTTCTAGCGACCTTCCCAGTAAGTTTTTTTCTTTTTCTTTTCTTTCCATTCTCCTTCCGAGGTAGGATGGTGATTGCAATCATGAGCTTGGCACCTAACCAACCTCGTGATAGTTTATGGCCATATTTCTCCTTTGGACCGGCTTCAGTTTCTTGATTGTTGAGAAAGGAGTGCGCGTTGCAATGATCGTTACAGGTCTATACCTTTTCGGTATGGTGTATTCCCCGGCGAGGGTCCGGTTCCCTTTACCTACTCCGCCGAAGCCTACCCCCTCTATATCCGCCCTATCGGCATGTCGTGCGCTACAGCCACCACGTGGTTCTTCAACTTTCTCCTCGCCGTCACCTGGCCTAGCCTCCAGAGCACCTTCACCTCTACCGGCGCTTTCAGTTGGTATGCTGGCTGGAATATCATAGGGTTTGTACTCGTCCTCCTCTTCCTACCCGAGACCAAAGGCCATACCCTCGAGGAGCTTGACGCCGTCTTCGACGTTCCCGTGTCCAGCCTCATCAGATACGGTAAGGAGGAGTTTATTTGGTTCTGGAAAAGCAAGATTTTCCGCCAGGACGTGCCGAAGCCTGTTCCGCCGCATAGTTCCGCATTAGGGGATAGGATAACACCGCTAGTCGTGGTGCCAGCGGTGAGCGAAGCGTGAGAGGTGCTCTCTGGAAGGGTATTCTAGCACGATTTAGTCTCTCGTAGACCGTTCGTTTGAAATATACATGTGAACCAACGCAAACAGCGATATAAACATTGCACGGGGATAAAAAAACAAAAAGGGGTTGATGGTAGTAAAATTTCTCAATCCTGAGCGACTGGGAAGAGAAAATGGTGAGACAGAACGAGAGGTATACATTCATCCATGGTTCAACCCGTGTCAGAATGGGGTGTTATGGCCTGATTGGACGGCCCGAGATGGAGCAACAGAGCGCAAAAAGAGGGAGCAAAAGGGCGTAATTCATAAGTCGTAGCGCATGATGGGTAGAGTAACCCCCAATATCCTACATGTACAGGCGATCCCTGGGGGAATAAAAGAAGAACTGGGAGAAGAACCGGCTCCATATAACAATCCAAGCTGAGTCCGTTCCAGATGCGTTTAGCGAGGTGTGGCGGGGATGGAGGTGAAGGCGGACGACTCTCGCGTCAGGCGCGATACGCGCTTTTCCTTGACATTCTTCCAGTCCGTTTTCCAATTCTGTATGCTGCGTCGGAGATCCTCGTCCATATTAGAGGGAGGCGGACACTGCACTTCGATAGCTTTGAGGGCGATACGCAAATTCGAAAGCTCTGCATCATACGTGCGAAACTCTGATTCACTATGTTGAGATACGCTGGTTAGTTGCTATTCATTAACACCGGGTGGGTGGGTTAAAGCGAGCTTACAGATTGTGGATATGCTCTTCAAGGAACGCAATCCGTTGCGCAGCTCGTTCAGCTCGCTCGATGAGGAGCCCGTGGATATGCTATGCGTCCGGTGGGACAACGGTTAGTTTACAAGGCAAAGCTGTCGGGCAACTAGAAAATGCATACCTCTGACTCCTCTTGGCGAGCTTGAAGTCGGGACATGAGGGAGGTCAAGTGCTCGTTCAATTCTTCCACCTCTTCCAATATGCGATTGGCGGCCTCGGGGGATGTATCGTTTCCTCACCGCCTCGGATTCCACTGGAGACGATGCTTCGGGCTTGGGCAACGGCGACTCATGGAGGGCCATAGTAAGGTCGGAGAATCGCGACCGTAGGAGGGACGAGGGGTTGGGCCTGCTGGCCAGAGAACCTGGGTGTCGCGTGTTGAGTTATCGAGGCCGAGACTCGCCGCCCTCGGGTCCCGCTGGTCCTGGTACCGTTGGCGGTGAAGCTGGGCACGATGTTCAGTCCCCTCTAGCACATTCTCCATCTCGTCCACCTTGGAATGCAGTGCCGAGAGATTCTCATCCCTAAAGCCTGAATCACTGAGGTTGAGTCGGTCTATGAGGTCACCGAGCCGCTGAAGCAGTACGTCTTTGCTGTCTAACGTAATAGGGTCTTGTTCCGACGTGCTGTCTCCAAAATGATCGGCGTTGCTCTCCTCGTCACCATCGTCACCGTGGTCATGTGTGTTGAGGGAATGGCTATCGCTGTCTTTTTCGTCCTCGAACCATTTCTCGTCCCCATCCTCGCTCTCGTCCTCGTCCTCGTCCTCGTCCTCGTTCTCATTCTCATTCTCGTTTCCGTTCTCGCCCTCCTCGGAGCTCGCGTCGCGCTCTGTATTGACAGAGGGTGACTGCTGGTGGGCTGGAGCTGATACCCTAGGAGAAAGAAAGGGTCGTGCGAACGGCGAGATGCCAAGGCGATAAAGAGATACGGGGATGGAAGCGATGGTGACGGGAGTGGAGGCGGGGTGACGGCGGCGGCGGCGCGATCAATCGGTTCGATCTCGTCCTCGCTCAGGTTTGGAGGAGGATCGTCTGCGTGGCTCATTTGGTGTTCCGGGCGCCGGCAGGTTCCATAGAAGGTCAAATAGGGGCCGTGAATAATGTGGGGGAGAAGACTATTTCCGATCGGGGATGGGGGTCGTGTCCACCGACGTCGGATTAGAAACGGGCTGGATTGCGATGACAGAATCAATCCGGCAAGAGCTCCAGCTCTTTTTTTTTTTTCCTTTTCTTTTTGTTTTTGTTTTTCCCTAGTGCTACCTTTCTCTTACTGGCGGATGTGGCTTGCCTTGCAGGGTGGGGCGGCCCAGCTCGAACTTCAATGAGTCTTGATTGAACGACTCATTGTCCTTTGTTGATGACTGATGTCAGATAACGCTGAAAAAGTTGTATTATGTCAATCCCACTTGCGCGCACATTGACTCTCACCCCACGGCATTGAAAGGTTTGAAGCGGGCTGGAGCGGCCACAACCTGATGTGACATTTGGCGCAAACTTCGGAGCTTACGGAGTTTGGCGTTTTTACTTTGGGCCACGCTTCAGACCTCAACCGTGCACTGTTATTCCTTGTCGAAGAGCCATCAATTCCTGGATGATTCAAGGCACGATCAGCACAGATGGGAGAAGGGTGCGGCATGTGACTGGTGTGGCATGGCACGCCCTGGGCCTTTGAAGACCAAGATTCCCCCACACCACCTTCAGAGCAAACGGTAACAGTGGTGGGGTTAGGTGGGGTTTACAATGGACGCCGCTCTTAGTCATATCAATTCAATCGCCCTTGTCAACTGTCGTCGGCTGAGCGTGTATTATCCAGTTCGCTCTCGCGTCTTCTCATTTGAGAGCTATTATTTTGAAGTTTACTGACGCATTGCGCCTGGGTATTAGTGGCCGAAGGGATGCGGTGGGTGGCTTGCAGGCGCCGGGGAACGTTTCTGGGCATCGTGCATGGGGATGGGTGAAGCGCAGGCTGCATGGGCTACGACGGAGAAAGGCGGACGGAGTACGACGGAGTACGAGTACCGAGTGCCGAGAGTCACAAGCTTCCAGGGCGTGGTCCAATGACCTTGCACCTATTACGGCTGGAAAACCACCCTCCATCGGAAGCTCAGGGGCTCCCCGGTGCAGCCCGCGAAGCTCGTCAGAATCCCCTAAAGTGGCCTTAATTTTGAAGAATCTGGCACGTTTTCTGCGCTTTTCTGCACGACCGGCACAGGACCAGAACGAGCAGATCGCCACGAGTCGGAAGGGAGAGCTGCGTCGTCACAAGTGCCGCATCCGTGTATGAAAGTGACAGAGCCTTGAGAGCCTACCTATTACCATGCAGGCATTTTATACTTGTAGCTCACCTCATGAGCTCTCGCTTGATTCATCGCTCAAGTGTGGGAGCAGCCGTCAAAGGGAAGAGTCGGATGGTGATTCTCATGGTGATTCCCATGGTGGGCCTGACAGTGCCAAGTGCCAAGGTTACTTTTTCTTCTTCTTCCGAGACTCTTGACACGTTAGTCTAGCCATGGCAATACTTGGGCAAGCTAATTTCTGTGCGCTGCACTTGGTTCGCGCCCTTCAGGATTAACTTGCGAAAAATCCCGTGCTAGAGCCCGGATTGGGGTATGGAGTGCATGTGGGAGGGCTGGGCCAAGCTGCGAGGGGAGGAGCAAAGTGTCGACTAATCACTGTTAGTCGTCTTAACTCAAGACTAATAAAAGAAAAGAAAACAAGGCCTGATCTCCCACTCAGATACAGCAGAGACCATAGAAACGCATCGCTGCTACTCAAGATGGCATGGGGGTTAGAGCGTATTCACCATCGTATCAAAGGATCTTCAATCCTTCTACGAGAACATTGAACACATAGTGGGCATCTATCATTATCTAGTGGCCCCGACCAGTCGAGAGATGAGGCGCGCCAGCTGCTCATCTTACATGGCGGGATCGAAGCCCCAAAGCCAAGAGCAGGGCGAGGAAGAGCACGGGGAACCAACATTGAGAACAGACAATTTGATGTAACTTGCAGCAAGTCGGGGACCAGTGTTGAATCGGTCTGGGGCCCAATTGATCCACATATGAATGGTGGATGCCCACATGCCTGCAGCTTCCGGTGTCCTGTTCCACTGATCCGATTCCCCATACATTGACCTCTCGGCTCCCGCCCCTCCTTCTTCCCCAAACAGTCTGGCAGCAGTCATAGTCCAGTTCCAAGAGACAAGCCGAAAATCAACCCTTTCCCCGCGAGAGCTCCTCCCTTTATTGTCCACCCCCAATTGTCGAGAGAGGGAAAGGAAAAAGAGTGGTCAAAGACGAATTGCCCCCGCCTACCTCCTCCCATCTCCTAGGTTTGTCTCTTTGAATCGGTAAAGGGCAGATAACTTGCGGTTGAATGCGCAAGGACAAGGCCATTCCAACGGTGATCTCATTGTCGAGGTACAACTCCCGTTCCCACTGTTTTGGTGCCTCGGCAATAGAAAGCACCCTTTGACCGACCAGGGCCGCGGGGTTCACTTTGAGTCACCCCCATGGCCCGAGGACATCCACGCCACTACCAGCCGAATTGATTTCATCATCAACTCTCACAAGACCCAGACCGCGATTCCCAATTCACCTCGAAGGCACCAACTACAGAAAACCAAGAATCTTAGTCAATTTCTCTAAACTTAGTTTCCAGAACTTGTCAGGCAAGCTCAATTCCGGCTCCCTCGACACGGCGCACCTCACGGAACGAACCACGAAATACATCAGGTCATAGGTAGAGGAAGCTTCCCTGCTTTTGCGCCACCTACCGGTCTCCTCGCCCGCCCGCCCGCCCGCCTTCCTCCATCACCGTTCACGGTCGCAATTCCACATGCCCAAGTCGACCAGTGCCTTGATCTAAACCCACGATATTAGGAGGAGTTTGAACCGAAGCTGAAGTTCAAGTTTGGGCTTGGAAGGGTTGAGAAACCCTCCCCAAATTCTCCGTCGCCATGTCGTGGAAAAAGACTGAGCGGCTGATGGAAACCATCAAGCACTATGCAAGCTTCCCCGCCACGGGCGTGAGCTTACGCCAGATGGTGCAGTTTGGCAAAGACCCCTCCGTCGGTGAGTATCCCCAACCGTGATCCCTTGACTTTATTCCCTGTTGCGGTCGAGGTGTTCGGCTTGTCATCTGGGGCGGGGCTTTCAGTGTGACGGCCTCGGCGATGGCGCTCACGCCTCTGTGTGCGCCCACGTGCTGTGCACATTTCCGATCGAGTCTTGCTTACTGACGCCACCTCTACTCACTCACAGGTACCCTCTTTCGAGCATCGCAGTTTCTCTCTGAAGAGCTTCCCATTCGACTTGCCCACAGAGTCCAGGAGCTGGATAACCTACCCGATGGCCTGGGCGAAATGCCCTCCATCAGGAGAGTCCAGGACTGGTACGCCCAGTCTTTTGAGGTTTGTCGAACTTTCGCGAGGTCAAGACAGATGGGCATGCGCTCCTGTCCTCCTCGTCACCTTGAAACCAAATTGCTTCCCGATGGCCTCCTAACAGAAAGCAATCTCTAGGAAATCACAGAATTACCGCGCCCACGGCTTGACAGCGAGACGAGAGAAAGACTCATGAAACCGGCGAAACACGGCAAGAGCAAGTGGCTACCAGAGGCCACCCCCAATCCTAGTTTACAAGAAGGTGAATATATGAACTGGCCCAGTCAACGCCAGAACAGCAATGCATTTGGAACTGGGAATGGAAACGGCAACGGGTGGTCAAGAAAATACCACTCCGCCAGGAGGTATTTCGCCGCTGTCGACGACACTGGTGGCAGCTGGCCACCGGAGCTTCACATGTATAATCTCAAGTTTGGTGAGTGTCTGAACAAGATCAAGAGGCGGCACGACGGCGTCGTCACGACCATGGCGCAGGGCATAGTCGAGTACAAACGTAAGAAGCAACGTCTCCAGATCGACAACACCATCCACGCCTTCTTAGATCGGTTCTACATGTCTCGTATCGGCATACGAATGCTCATCGGCCAGCATATCGCACTTACCTCACAAAGCCACTACCGGGACCCCACCTACGTCGGCATCATCTGTACCAAGACCAACGTTCACGAGCTCGCCCAGGAGGCCATCGAGAATGCCCGCTTCGTCTGCGAGGACCACTACGGGCTCTTCGAGGCCCCCGCGTCCAGCTCGTCTGCAATCCCAACCTCAACTTCATGTACGTCCCCGGTCACTTGTCCCACATGCTCTTCGAAACCCTCAAGAACTCCCTCCGTGCCGTCGTCGAAACCCACGGACAGGATAAGCAGGAGTTTCCCGTCACCAAGGTCATTGTGGCAGAAGGCAAGGAAGACATCACGATCAAGATTTCAGACGAGGGCGGCGGTGTTGCTCGTAGCGCCATCCCGCTCGTTTGGGGATATTCGTACACCACCGTCAACCAGACACCGAACCTCGATCCCGACTTCGACAAGAGCGATTTCAAAGCGCCCATGGCCGGATTTGGTTACGGATTACCAATCTCGCGATTATATGCCCGATATTTCGGTGGTGACTTGAAGCTCATCAGCATGGAGGGGTAAGATCGCGAAACCTGGTTTATTGCATTCTACATTTCGCCTCGTCTCTTTCGCGGTTGCGCTAACACATGTGTCAATTACAGCTACGGTACCGATGTCTACCTACATCTCAATAGGCTGTCCAGCTCCTCCGAACCTCTGCCATAATATTTCTATTCCATCTTGCATGATTATATACCCGATAGATTACGGATCGATGACGAAATTCAATCCGCGGTTGAAGCCCAGGGCGTCTTTCCTGCAGGTTGCGCGTACTATACCAGGCGTTGCCTACGGAAGATTGCATTATGCACTGATCTTGAGCAAGATATCGGTTCTCTAGCTTTTCAATTATTGGTGTTTCCTCAGTCACCCGTCGCTGGGAACGCCCACACCTCGTTCGTTACCTTGCCCAAACTTGATACTGAAACACGCAATACAGCACGGAATCTCTGAACAACAACAGACGGCGCTGCCAGCCGACATTTTCTAGGGAGATCGAGAAAGGGGCGGAGGCAGTGGGGGTGATTTTGATGGGAAATGCTATCAAAGGCTGAACCCATGGGCCGGGGCTAGAATGGAGAGGAGAACATGAAAGTGTACGAATGTTTGGGATTTTCGAAAGCATAACAGGCCCGCCTCTTTCTCCCCATCACCTCCTTTTTTTCTTGCTGTCTTTTTCTCTCTCTTTTTTTTTTCCTTTTTATCTTTTACCAAAACGCAAAGTCAGTTTGGGCCGAATCGGGATAGGTTTGCATGCTTTGAGGAGGGAAGGCCACACCCCTTCACCACTTCCTCTAGCCTTTTTGTCGGCAAATGGTGTTTGGGCAAAGACACAGAGTCATATCACACATCTCTTTCGTCACGATCGCAGCGTAGTAGCTGAGGAGGGTGGGCGAAGCTCTCCTCTCTCCTCACTACGACCTGCCAACCTTGTACAAAATCGCAATACAAACAAGAAAAGTTGAACCAAGAAACTTGGTGTCTCACAGATCGTGCGGGAGTGTTTAACAATGTACACGTAGAAGATACCGACCCAGTCGGCGTCTCCAAAGATCCATCTTTTAAGGTGGTGGAATAGGTGTGTATAACGACTATGTTATCCCTGAGTCTACGTTCTCAACTACCTAATTACCGGCAAGTACAGGAACGTCAGATAACTACCAAGCGTTTCCATGGGGGTCACTAAACCACCCAGGGGATAGTAATAACCGGAACATCGCTTTCCCATGTCCATCCATAACCTATTATCCCTTTTCGTAGCTGGAATGGAAGTAAAAAGATGGAAAAAAGCTAGCAAAGCGACTTAGTGTGTGTTGACGTGACGTTTTTTCTTTTTAACTCTCACCGAGAACGGCTTCAGTCAATGGAAATGGCGTTGACCAGGAAGGGCAGCCAAGTTCAAGGGAATTCCCAATCCGAATCACTTGCGTATTCTGGAGGAGGAAGCATGAAGTCATACTCGTCGGCCAGAGGGGGCCACTGCCCGTGATGCTGTTAGTCACGTAGGGGGTTAGCACGGAGATCTCTCAGCTTAGCTATCTTGTATACATATCTCTAGCGCCTCATCTCCCAGGACAAAAACAAACGATATGGGAAGTTGGAGAGTACATACCTGGCTGTCCAACTCAAAAGCGGCGTCTTCCACGTTGAGGGACCCTGGAGCCGTGTCAAAGCCGCTCGAGATCGAAGACCTCGCATGAGGTAGTCCCAGCTGGAAGGAACTTGCGGCGTCATTGTTGGTGGTAGAATCCTCGGCGGGATTCATCGAATAGCCTTGGTGATCGGAGCTCGCAAAGTTTAAACTGCTCTGACTGGAGAGAGGAAGCCGGGCTTCAGACCAGCCCTGGGAAGGCAGAGGCCTTGGGATGAAGGAGTCGAAAGCAACATGATCTGGGCCTTGAAAACTGCTCTCCTCGGCAACCTGAGGGCCATAGTGTGCAATGTGGAGGGATGAGTGACTCGGCACAGAGTTTGTCTCGGCATTGCCGGAGCTTTCAACCTCAGTTGTGCTATAGCCTGAGCCGGCGACCGCGAAGTTGACCTGAGTCTAGGATGCACATGGTCAGGCATGTTCGAAAATGGCTGTGGCCCACCGGGCCTGGATTCTGGTGCCTACCTGATCATCCTCCTGCGGCCGAAACTCTTCATCGTGTCCTGCACTAGCCGATAGATAAAAGCTTGTACAGTCGAAGCATCGCTAGTATTTACCGGTGTCAGTGGTTTCCGTCCTCGCGCTCGATCAGCCGACTTTCGTCCTTGTTTGGAACTTACGTTGATTCCCATGACACGGGTGTTCTTACTGAACTTGGTGAGCGGCAGGATTCTGTGGCAAGGACCCTCGCACAACCGCTCCAGACGGGGCTCTGTAGAATGGCTTCGACAAGTCATCCTAACGTTATGGATCCGGTTGCCGGTCCCGCGTCGGACCTTTCGCTCGAACAGCTGCCATTGCGTGTTGGAGAAGCAGCGACGCGGCTTGAGCTCGTTCCCGATGGCGCATCTAAACCTGCGGAAGTGTAAGTAAGAGGTGAAGCAGACTCCATGGTACCTTACAGTTCCGCGCCCAGAATCTCTTCACTTCATAGATGATCCGTCAGCTACTTCGTACTTCCGAAGACACGGGAATCTCTTCAAGGATGAGAACTTACATCTGCGTCTCAGCCGACCCGAAAGCCATTGGTCGGATATGGGGGCCTTGGCTTCGCTTCATCTGGTCTGGGAATGGGAGCTTTGTGTCTCGAAAGGATAGAGAATTGGGAAGTATGCCCAGCAAGATCTGGGTATTGGGCCACTGCTGTAGTAACTCTAGGTGAGGTTGTATCGAAAGTAGTATTCCTGGATATGGAAAGAAGGAAAGAAGAGAAGAGCGACTTTGATAAGGAGACTAAATCTGAGAGAGAAAAATATTTTGAGTAATGTTCTGATGTTAGTAGAACGGCCATCTATTTATATATGCTTAGAAAAGGAAGAGTGATCTGGAGATAGACCATCTAGGAAGAAGGATGATTAAGGTGTTAGTGGTCTTGAGGTAAATATCACGAAAGAATGAAATCACTGGATACGTGATACTGGAGCTGGAGCTGGAGCAGCGATCGATATTTTGCAGTTCAATATTATGACATTGATTATGTTTGCCCTCAAAAGACCTCTAATATGTGAAATAGGTAGATAAATAGCTAAGACCAGTGGAGCATTGGATAGTGAGGTTATTCAAGGTGAAGGTATCCCATTCATGACAAGTGTAATTTGAGGTCGAGCCTTCTCAATATTTCTCTGGCAAGGCTAGGGATATCCTTAGAATATCCTAGAGGGAGAAGTCAGATTGAGCAATTCCAAGATGAGAAAGCAAAGAAAGGGTAGAGAGGTCATCAAAGGAACCCCAGCATATCGAGCAAGAGGACCTATCTACTCAGAGGCCCAGAGTCCTCGAGTCGGCTGAGAAGGGAAATTGATGTTCAAGCTGCATACATAGTGGCACATATCAAACACACAGTTAGCTAGACTTACTAGCTGCGTAACTTCATCATTTGTTGATAAACCGCCGAGGCTAGCTGTCTCGTCTCAGCGCTCATCTTTGTGAAAGATGAGATGTGGGTGCTACCCTTGCCTAGAGAATGCCTCCAATCTCGCGATAGTTCCGGGAGGAACCCTAGCGACGTCCTGGAGGCTTCATCACCGAAAACACTAGAGAGAAACATCCATCTATAGATTGATGGACCCGGGGATGGGTAGGAGGGCCCGAGGCGGGTTCGTGCGAACGCTCAGTCTCCCCGCGATATTTGTTATTTTCACTTCACGCTTAGTCCTCGCACATCTATGGGAAGGCACGCCGCATGTCCAGCCGCACGATTATGAAGGAAAGAACGAGGTTGATGATGGGGGTTGTTAGCTCCGCTATTAGTGAGCTGTCCTCTAAAAGGAAGGTGATGTTCTACTCCAAGGTTGTGCTTTCTATCCCCTTTATGAGAATCGAGACTCAATGTCTGTGCTGATTGACGAGCCAGCATCAATAGGATCTAGATCGACACCTTAGTTGATATCAGTCACCATGGTATGAATCCGCAAAGAGGCCTCAGACTGAGGTTTCGAGCTACCTCTCCTCTACTCTGTCGTCTCGGCTATCAGCCCCGAAAATGCTGGCTGCAATTATTCGTGCGAACTGGCATATCTCTTGGAGAGGGAGCCCTTCCGTTCGCTCGTTGTAGCTCGTTGGTCCATTTTTACGATAAATTTCATCTTGCCCATCCTACTCTAAGGGCGCAGCTGGGCGACGCGGCGGGCCCGCAAGGAGCGATGCTGGTGTAAGTTCCGGAAGCCTACGAATGATCTCGTTTCACGATTTTTGAGAGGCCGTATCGTACTTGGGAAAACGGCTGGAGATATACCATTGAGAGAGAGAGGACCCTAATAACAATAGGGTTCAGTTACTCAGTCAATGGCCCTGTTGTCTATTCAAATGGAATGAGAAAAATCACAATCGAGAGAATGTGCTGCTGGCCCCCTTTGGAGGACGGTGGATATGCACTAGGTCGTGCAAAGCAGTTCCAAGAGCTAGCTGCAGGACGGTGGCTCTCGGCGTGCGCTCGAACGCCCGCCACGACACATGCACTGTCAAACTCCTCCTTCAGGAAGCACAAACAAGATCAACTGGCGTGTCTTGCTTCCTGTGCCTCGCTGAGTCTGGGTAGTGGGCTCAAGCACATGCGGAATTGACCGCAAATCGACCGAGCGCACCACCGGCCCCTCGACCCGGTCCCGTGGGAAAGTAGACGCTGAAGAGGAGGCTGTTTGTGAATGTGTGGGGAGAAGCTTCCCGTTTCCTGTCGCTTTTCACTTCAACTGTCCTATTCTTGTCATGGAGTTGCCGTGTCCAGTCTTGGCCTGAACTTGGAAGGTCTGTCTGTCTTTGAGGTGGAGCAGCAACTCTCACCGCCCTTAGCGTAAACCAACTGCGAGGAGAAACCGCCCCTTTCCTGACGCAAGACCTCTAGACGGCTTGTTTCTCAAAAGATGGAACGATTGCCCCTCGAGACATTCCTTCCCCAACCCGATTGGGGAATTCCTTCGGATTGACTTTCACAACGTTCAATGCTGGAAAAGAGAAAAGGTTGCCCTGCGGGGTTAGAGTGGTGACAATGCACGTGCGAATGTGAGGGAGCACAGCACATGGTCTGTGTGGCAGGGATTGTGGTCTAGGTCGTGGTGGGACCAACACCAACAAGGGCCATGCTTGGACTGGGAACTTGCGAATATTGGGAGATCGAACAGGCTGGGGCATCTTTGCTGGAGCAGAAGCCACACCGGGGCTGGATAATAGGGGTTTCCCAGTGAGGCCCTGCCGATTAAGGAAAACCATGACGCCTCGTAGAGTGGAGGATCGACTCTGCATGACGAGATTGAATTCGTGGGAGCCACGGACTCGACGTCGTGTTGCGGGTGTGAGAGGCCTGCATGAAAGCTTGTCGTCGCCTGCTACTAACCATTGTCTTGAGACCCATGGAGTGTTGGCTTATGGGAGGGGCACCCGGCGAATGGTCGGCATCCCACTAGACATCTCTCGAGCGATGACAGAGTTCTGGAGCGAGGCGAAGAGTATCATTACAAGCCGAGATGCGGCCTAAAAGGAGACAAGTATATCCCAAATGGATGGCAAAAGGAGGATCTAGGCGAACTGTCCGAGTCCGGTATGCTTCGGCGAGATCAAGGGAAAGCCATGGCTATTGCCTTTCGTGGCTACTCAGGGCGGACGGGCTTCCACATGAACCGAGCTACACAGTCAAGGCTGGCTCCACGTGGAACTGGCGACACTCGAGTATTCATTGATATCTACATGTAAGGACGCTGCCTCAACCTTTCTTTCCTTTCGGCCCCGGCGGGGCAAGGATGATGCGGTCAAAATGGAAGAGAAACAATAATCTCAAATTCCTCTCCCGATAGCTCCATCCTGGGCTCCCGAGATGGGAAATCCGCGGCGGGTCTCCTTGAGGAGCAAGCGAGGCGCGACGAAACGACGGAAAATAAGCGTCTACACTAATTTCGCCGTGGAACATTGACAGAAGGCTTTCGGAAGCTGGCCTCAACCTAGGGCTCTTGGGAATTCCGATCGCAAACGCAAGGTTCCAGGAGCGGGGACCTGTTACGAAAATGTCCCATTTAAAGGGCGCTTCCAACCCGCCACACCAAGGACTTGTTTCGAACTCGAGCCTTTGGCCGTCCGGAGACATACACTGGAGGGTGGTCGGCTTGCCCTCATCAATAGAGCGTCGTTTTATAGCCCGAAGCTGTCCCTAACACCGGCCCTGCTTATCTTGAGGTTGCTTTTAGCCGAAACTACTCAAAAAGGTGGCCAGGAGCAACCGCGAAACGCGGGAAAGCACAGAAGAAAGATGTTGTATCAAAACAGTCCCCAACAATACAATCCCCCTCCTTTGCCGAGGCTTTGCTTTTCTTTTCTCTATCGTGGGAAAATGTTTAGGGAAAATCCCCTCGCGTGGGTAACTGGCGTCAGGCTCTTCTCTGGGAGCGCAGAGATTGCGAGCTTCTTCTGTCAGGTCATTGTCCGATGCTTCAAAATGTCGCATGTACCTCGCTGGTCATTCCCAATTTAGTATGCGCGAGGGTAGTCTATACATCTGCCGAATGCTCCACCGGATGGGTTGTACCAAGCCCATGGCTCATGTCCGAACGACGGGAGCACTAGTCCGCTCCTTTGCTGGGTGTCAACCCTGCGGTGCTGCGTTCAATCAATCCATTGATCCATGGATGTATGTATGTACGAGGCACAAAGGTTCAATGTTGGATCAATACTGCTACCTAGGCTCTTTTCAGGCCTGCCCGGGGCTGCCGGATCAGCCATTGACGTCCCCACAATTCGGGAGCGCTCTCTGCCCCTGACGGCCCAGTTTCTCCACATCCGCTGTAATGCAGGCACAGGAGTGGTAGACAAATTCGTCAGGAAGAGAATGGGGAACAAGCAATGCATGAAGGGAGGAAATCTAGGGGCGTTACTTGGAAAGAACAAGAAAAAAAAAAAGAGGAAGCAGCAGCAGCAGCAGCAGCAGAAGTGACAGGCGGATGCCAAACGCATACTCCTGTGCAGCTATTGGACGTCTAGGGAAAAATCGAAGTTATTCGGTTGTCAATGTGGGACAAGAATCGTTGGTCGGTGGTTGAAATTTTCAATAGGGGCCACAGAGCTCACCGCGGGGCGAAAAGAATGAAAAGGCTTCCGAAGTGAATGTCCGCATCAAGGGCCTGGCCCACCTTGTGAGTTGCTGATCGACCGCAAGGCAGATCCCGGAGAAGCATCCATGGATTGATTGTCCTGGGATGGCGGGCTGGCGCTGCTTCAAACAGATACCCACAGCTAGTCTCTCAGCCCGGGGGGCAAAGGGGGTGAATGAGAATGCATTCTGACCTTTTGAATGGGGAGAATAACAAACCAAACCTAGCCCCTTCGACTTTTACCACGATTGATGTTTGCTAGTCAACTGCTTAGTGAACTGAACTCCAGCATGAACATTGATAGCTTGCCCAGCCACTAACCCGGCGTGCCCCACCGACTATGAATAGTTTGTCGCCAACGCAGCTCCGCTGTTGTTCAAGGTGGCTAAGGGACCCCTCGCCAAGCCCTGTGGGATCCGTGCCTTCCTTCCTCCCTCCCGCATGTCCGATCCTTCTAGAGTGGTGGAAGCGTCCGCTTGGGAGCTGGGGATGTGGCGGGGGATGGGATGACAGTGGCTTAATTGATCTGTCGCCGCCAGCCTTGCCCGAGAGATGTTGTGTCATGTCAACTTTTTATCGTCCTGTTCGCTGTGCAGAAAAGTATTTTTAGTGGCCTCGTATCGACATTATTGTTTCTCTTTTCATCATGGAATGGTGGCAAGAGGTTGGCATGAGTACAAGGACCTCAGCAGAAAGACAAAGGAAGTAAAGAAGAAGAAAAACAAGAGAGAAAAGAAACTGTGGCCGACAAAGGACTGGTGTGCAGCTCTCTGCCCTGCCAGTGGTGCTCTTTTCCTCAAGTGCGGTATTGCTTTGTTCTTCTGCGAGACCAGTGCAGGCCCGGCCCACCAGCTGGGTCAAATACGATCCGGAGCTCGAACTAGAAGGAGCAAGAATTCGACCCCCTCAAACACTCCCTAGGCTTCCTCTAATCATGAGCGGCGGGAGTACGCGTCTGGGATACGCGTGGGCTTGGTGATGAAGGTCATCCACCAAACCCCACCTCATGACCTGATCGGATTGGACAGCTGCTTGCAAGGTTCGAGCCCTCGACCTCTTCTCGTTGGCTCTGGCTCATGGCGTGAGCTTTTGAAGCAGGAAAAGTCGCGCAACCCGTCGTGAACAGTCTTGTCGCGACCAGGAGTGAGGGTAGGGCTTGCTTTCGTTTCTGAAAAGATCTCGAAGACCCCGAAATGGAAACGGCTGTTCTGATTTTGGTGCGGTCGTTTTGTGATGCAGGTTTACGCCACTGACGGAACGGAACGGTATTATTACATTCTCAGTCTCACTGGACGGACAAACTTCTCCTTGTGGCGGCAGGGAAGGCGCCAACCGCGCTGGTCGTCCAGGGTTGTGCCGTGCTCAATCAAAGTGCTCGCGTCTTACTCCGGACCTTTTGAGTTGAGCCAGTGGTCTTTCCGTTTCTTCGCCACAAGCGCCGATGCTATGAGGCTTGACGGTTTCAAGCTCACCCTGCTTTTCGTGAAATCGGCGCAGCTCAATGGCTCTTTGCGTCCTCCCCTTGTTCTTCATTTCCCCAGACACCTTCTTCCGCCTCCAATAAATGGACCGGCCTTTTCAAGCCCTCGTCTTCTCTTACCGAGGTCGAGACAGCGAGGGGAAAAATAGAATGGGAGGGTCGCGAGGCGTTTCGGTAGATGAGAAAAGCGTCTCTTTCTGGAAACGGAGGGATGAGTAAAGGGACATGGGGTGGCTAACAGATGACCGAACAGTGTATACCGCCAACGTGATTCCTCCTTGCTTCGTTCAAATATCAATGGCTTCGGTGTACTTGTGCGGGAACATATCATTAAAGAATACCTATTTCCTATCTTGTGCCTCAAGTTGGAGCTCATCTAGTGTTGTCTTTATCTCGTCCATCAATGGCTATGTCGATGGATCTGTAGCTCAGGAGACTTCTTGTTGATATTGTCTATTGACATCACTTTGGGAAGCGGCGATCAGCACTGGAACTTTGGTTCCTGGTTTGGCTGGGAAGCAGCTAATTCCGCTTTTCTTACTCCACTGACTGTGCGTCAAGTAGCCCGAAGCCTGGAGAGGAAAAGTCCACAATTGTTTTTGCCTGTGGTGTGTAGTGTCTATCAGCCAACTACTTGATGTACTGTCATTTTGCTACCAATTGATCCATCCGCCTGACATTTCTCACCCCTCTGGGAGTTCTTGTCTGTCTCCTCGATAATGCCTCAGGGACGGACACAGAAGAACTCCGAGACCAAACCCGGCGATTTTCGCTGAAGACAAAAGGCATCTTCAAATTGAGAACATCACAATCTTGATAGTTCTCCATTTTCATTTTCCGCAGGAAATTGTCGTCTCATCAAACTGGTCCCCTGGAGTACGACTCTACAGATGGGTACTTGATGCCTAGCGGAGCAGCCCACTGTGCGGGTGCTTGATTTGTTCTTTCTTTTGGGCCACCGAGGTTCTCTCAGAGCCCCCGTACTGCTCACCTTTGGGCTAGCGAGATTGGCCCTGTGGCTGGCCTTCTTGTCCCTTTTCACCCTAGAACCCTACCGCATTCATGCTGGTGCGGGACCCGGCCTTCTCGAACTGGTGACTGGATTGGAAGATCATCCTTGGGGGAAGGCATCGCTCCTGGGGTCTGCGGAGTACCTATCTTGTATCGATGTACAAAAGCAAGTACCCATCGGCAGAAGGGGGCACGGTAGGTACCAGATTTTCATGTACCCCTCGTCCACATTTTGCTGAGCGTGTCAGTTTGAGAGACAAGCAGATGGAATGCATCTGCTGTGCATTTGACGGACTGTCGCGTTTCAGTACCTGCATCGCTTGGATGTGTACCAAAACACTGCTTCATCGATACTTGAAGTGGTGGGAAGCAAAATGCCCCCATCCTCCCTTTCGAGCCTCCTGGCCGTGTCTGGTACTGTTCCCGCTCTTCAAGTTCCCACTTTAATCTGCGACAGCTTCCTTCTGCCGTAAAAGCAAAGCCAAAGCCAAAGAAGCACAAAACAGCCTTGAGAGCATTGAGTTCTTTCCCTCCTCGGCATGCGCGCGCAACCCCTTCACGTTTCCCTTCACGTTCCCCCATGTTCCATTTGTGGATACAAGTACTCTCCCTGCGTGGCTGGTCACAACAAGTTCAACCTTGGGACCCATTTCCCTTGATCTCTTGGACCCCGTTCTCCTTATTTTCCCAAAGAGATGGCGGCAGGCCAATTATTATGCTGTCCGTACAAATAGTGTCAGCACGTTTTCTCTTCATTTTTCCGCAACACAATATATGGAAGCAACCCGGGAATGTGTGGGTGTGTGATGAGACGAGTCCGCTTGCAGAGGAACTTCAAATGTTCTCCAACCATGCCGCTGGTAGCTGATAGTATCACCGTGAACTCGTTCCCTCCTCCTTCCGTCCGTCGAGTCGCATGCCCCTGATGCATAATGTCGAGGCGTGGTTTTCCGGGCAACTCAAGCCGGCACTGAAGGAAGGACATGAGCTACATCTTCTTTTGATCCATTACTTGTAGTTTAATATGCCATTTGCTCCAAAGAACCCTTCCCCCTGCGACTCGTCCGGTTTTAATATTACCTATGCTTGGAAATCGGCCTGCTATGGCTTTAAACCGAAGAGCGCCTGTGCTGTCAATTTCAATCCAGCTCCATAACCAGCCAGACTCCTCCCTCCTCCCCCTTTTCCCAGGTGCTCAATCCCCTCCCCAAGTCCCATCACCGACACAAACCAAACCAGACCCCCAGTCGCCCCAGCATTGTGGTTCCAACTATCCACCGGGGCCCTGACTCTCCATCCCCTTTTCAGAAAATCTACTCTCATTCAAAACCTTGTCAATCAATCCCTCTAACCGTTCCTAGTCGACCGTCGTTGGACTCTCCTTGCCCTTGCTCACTCAAGTCACTCCTTTTTCTTTCTTTTTCTTTTCCCTCTTTACTTCTTTCCCCCTTTCCGATCCGTGGTATCTCCATTCCTCCCTCCTCAAGACGCGCTTCACCACCCTCCTTTTCTGCCCACCTTGCTCTCTCGGTGGCAGGAAAACCAGTCGTCCCCTACCTCATCATCACCCTTTCTCCTCGCCGCCCACGACCTCGAACAACTCGGTTATTTCTAAAAACCGCGATCCTCTATTTCTCACCTTGCTCATTTATGCCACGCGCGTAGTCTCAGGCTTGGCATACCTCCAATGGTGACGACGATTTAAACCGTTGAAACGAAAATATCAACGCAAACGAATCTTAACCCGAACCCTTTCGAAGCTGAATGCACGAGCAAAGGACGATTAGCTCTTAGATAGAGCTCGTCTTTCGCCAGCCGTCGCATTGGCACGGGGCAAGGCTATTAACATCACGAGCAACACTCGAATCTTCGATCAACGCACCGAACTCGACGGACGGCAAAGCGCACGGTGACTCGTGTGTCTGCGACCGAAGAAGACAAGGTCGACTCAAAAGAGAGAAGGGTGGAAATAAGAACCCCTCGTCTCGCTCAATCGTTAAAATTTCCCGATGTCTATGATTTTAGGCCACTCTTCTATATCGCCTCTCGCAGGGGCCAACGCACTCTCAATGTCGACTACCACACCGAATCCCGCCCACGGCCATGACCTGGCACGTCGGGCCTCTTCCTCACACAGCTCCAACACCCATGCGTTGGAGGATCGCTTTGAGGTTCTCAAAGAGATTGGGGATGGTAGTTTCGGTAGCGTGGTCCTTGCCAGGGTGCGAAGCGCTGGATCGAATGTTGCGCGTCGAGGAACAGTCGTAAGTTTTGTTCAAACCCGCAAGCTATCTGTCTTGGGAAACCTTGCTGTTCCCTTGCCGCCAGGCTTGGATCCGTTGAGCGTTGCCAATTGCGACCCCTACTGATATTACGATTTGTAGGTTGCCATTAAGACGATGAAGAAGACTTTCGAGTCGTTCGCCCCCTGCCTTGAGCTTCGCGAGGTTGTCTTCCTGAGGACTCTCCCTGCCCACGCTCACCTCGTTCCTGCTCTGGATATCTTCCTTGACCCCTACAGCAAGAAGCTTCACATCGCCATGGAGTACATGGAGGGGAACCTTTATCAACTGATGAAGGCGCGAGATCACAAATGTCTGGACAATGCGAGTGTGAAGAGCATCCTTTTTCAGATCATGCAAGGACTTGAGCACATCCACGCCCACAATTTCTTCCATCGTGACATCAAGCCCGAAAATATTCTCGTCTCGACTTCAGGTCATTCCGATTCTGCAAACTCCTTCCGGAGGTACTCGGCGCTCGTAACACCCCCATCCACGCCACCCACCTACTCTGTCAAAATCGCCGACTTTGGCCTCGCGCGAGAAACCCACTCTAAGCTTCCTTACACGACGTATGTGTCGACGAGGTGGTACCGGGCACCAGAGGTGCTGTTGAGGGCAGGGGAGTACTCAGCGCCAGTGGATATCTGGGCTGTCGGCGCGATGGCTGTCGAAGTCGCTACTCTCAAACCCTTGTTCCCTGGTGGCAACGAGGTGGATCAAGTTTGGAGAGTGTGTGAGATCATGGGGAGCCCTGGGAACTGGTACAATAAGACAGGTGGTCGTGTCGGTGGTGGGGAGTGGCGAGAGGGCACCCGGTTGGCAGGAAAGCTCGGCTTTTCTTTCCCTAAGATGGCCCCTCACTCGATGGATACCATTCTCCAATCACCACAATGGCCTGCCTCGCTCAGCCAGTTTGTGACCTGGTGTCTGATGTGGGATCCCAAGAATCGGCCCACATCGACCCAAGCGCTTGCCCACGAGTACTTCACTGATGCGGTTGATCCTCTTCGGCCCAGGTCTTCGGCCTCGCGCATTTTGGGCCGCAAGCAATCCAACATTGACCACAGCCGGTCCTCCAAAGAGACAGTGGCAACGCTATCCACGGTGGGCAAGCAGTCATGGTTTAGGAAGTCGCTTATCGGTCGCTCGGAAGGGTTGCCCGATGCCGCTGTCACGCCGGTCGTGACCAAGGATGGTTCCGCCCCTCGGCCCTCACCGGTACCTTCTGCGACTCCCAGGAGGTTCCCATGGTGAAGACGAGACCTCAGCAGCAGCAGGCCAAGCGGACAACCTGGGCTAATGGCCCATCCAACGTGGCACCGATGCCTATTCTTCCCACCATCCGGCCGATCTCGCCCCTTTCGGATGCCGTCACGGCGCAAGCAAAACACGCCAATGCTCTCCATGAGGCGGGTGGCCAAGGCCTCGACCCTAGGCAAAGTAAGAAGGTCGGCAGGCAGCTCTCAGTCACCTCGAGCACGAATCAGTACGCCGAGATGCATAGACAACAGGCTGAGAGGGCTCTTAATGGTAATACGGGCTTGATTTCGCCGCCCAGCGCGCAGAAGGAGAGCTTTTTCTCCCACCTCCGAAAGCGAGCACGTCGGTTCTCAGGAAGGCACCAGACCCCTCTATCGCCTGCCTACGATGACTTGGAGGCTCAGGCGGGATGTGGTCCTTGGGCCAGCAACCGGTCATCCATGGTCATCGATAGCCTGGCCCACCCCCGCCGAAACATGAGGTGTACGAATCCCTGGACCAGGCATTGAGGGATGTTCAGCAACACGAGTCCTTGCGCGCCCCGGTGCCGCCTGCTCACCAGACCATCACGACTGCGGGGATCAAGAGGCATCACTCTCTGCCCAAGCACCACCAGCCGAGGTCGGTGGATAATCTTCTTGGTGCGGCTCGAGCTGGTGCGACAGCGGGACCGGTTTCGAGCCGGACGCGACGGCAGGCGACGCAGGGCATGCGTCAGTATGACGCTCCCGATGAAGAGGATGAGCTTCTCGATGAAGTGCTTAGCTCGACTCGACATGCTATCCACCGACTAGAGAAGGATGGTAAGCCTGCCCTCAGGCAATCGGTGAGCAATATCGCGATATCGAACCCGTACCCGACTCCATCGCCCTCAGCCAGCGGAACCGCAGTCCTGTATAGCGATGGGTTGGCGGTCGCTCCCAAACCTCTTGATCTCGGAAAGAAGGTGACGGGCCCAGAAAATAAGTGGCCAACCCCACCGTATGAGGAGAGCGAATGGGCCGCCTCGGCAGCGGCGAGCATCTGGGCAGCTGGTAACCGTTTCTAATTTTGGACACAATCACCAACCTATCTCTTCCCGCCCTTACGAAAAGGACGAGCTTCCAGATCTCGCAAGAATCGAAGATGACGCAGCATGGCACAGCCCAAAAGGCAAACGGAGCTAAAAAGTTTTCTTTATTTTCGCACTTCCCCTTTCCCTCCATCTTCTAGGAAATCATTTTTGAACAGGGACTTCTACTCTTTGGGTTTTGTTGATTGTCTTTTTCCCTCCATCTTTCAACCACTTTGTTAGTCTGCATAAAGGAGGGAGGACTTTCGTTTTCTCTTCTTCCACCTTTCGCACGGGGCATGGTGTTCTGGGCGTTGTTCCGCACTAGCTGCTTTTTAGCGACACATGTGCATCTCTTTTTCCCTTTGTCTCTTCTCTCCTTTCTCACCATCTTCTCATGTTGCGTGTATCATCGCTGCCCTAGACGAGGCAAACCGGATGGAAAATGGAGCGGCGACGGCAGATATCCAGCCATGACGGTCCCTCTGACGCCTTGCTCAGTAACGGGAGTAGGCGTTGGAAGTTGGGATGGGATGGCCTTTGTCCCCGTTTTGTCTTTTTCATCTCGTTCCACCACATTACTATCACCACCACTCTATTACTACTATCACCATTACTTCAAGACGTGGCCGCAAACCATGTTTTCTCCTTGCGTTGTTTCATTCTCCTTCATCTCTTGCTACCTGAAATACCCGATCTCGAGAAAGACATACCAGATCGCCTGCTTATTATTATTATTATTATTATTATTATTATTATAACTCGTCTCATCTTGTCACTTATTACTCATTGGGAGATGCCCATATTTTGTCGCTCTTACCCAGGCCCTCGCCTTCTCATCTCCATCCCTCTTCCCTTATGCAACTATTCTACCACAGAAAATACCCATTTTCACACAGAGTTGATATCTGTTGTTTCATTTGTCATTGACTACTATAGATCGCAGCGGAACAGGCAATCTTGCTTTTGACACCTGCTTGCGCTTTTTATTTCTATTTTTCAGATTGCTTTTGCTGTTGGAGCCAGGCCTGGGTCTGGAGGCACAATGCATCTATCTATTGTTATGGGATACGCGCACGAATTCTCTACACTCTCCCTTTGCACTTGAAAATAATAATTACTAGTACCTGTAGGCGCTTGAATAAGAAAAGAATCAATTTCCTTTGTCAGGAACGAACCAGTACGCAGAATGAATAGTGAAACGTGCATCCTTTTTATGAAGACGTGGGGGTCTGGCCTGGGGATGCCGGAACGCTTCACAAAGCCGAATTCGCGCGGACGTGTCTTGATGCTAAACCAAGGGCAAGGATGCGTCATGACAGTGCTCGAGAACGGAAACAAGGGCTCGGCCTTTTAACTCGCTCGGCCGGCTTTCCAGGGCTTTGGCAAGGCAAGATTGTATAGGGGACATGGTGGTGTTGCGGGGGCTTCAGCTAAAGCCAATTCTCCTCGTCGCATCCGCGATTTGAAAGTTGCATTATGTGAAGAAACTGCGCCTTGTTTATCATGCCGACATGTACTCATGGGGTGTATGACACGAGTACACCAGGCAGTTGGAACGGGGTTTCGCGATTGCATCCATCACTCCCTTCTCGCGGTCGGGGAACATGGTGAACATTGGGGAGGGAATTTTAGGTCGACCGCCTTAGCCAAGGTCTCTCCGATCCTCCGAGGTGACGCTGGCTCTTACGGAAAGGAAAAAAAAACTTGCGAGCGATCACTTCCCCGGCCCGCCTGAAGCTGAAGCGGGAGGTTTTGGGTGGGTGCCGAGCCGGGCTGACGGCGAGGTCAAGGCACCAAATATTGTGGGATTCAGAGTATTAATCCGCTGGCGGCTCCGTCCTGCCTTGCGTCGCCCAGGGGGAGCAGGCCGGTGGCAGCCTAGACTTCCAGGCAGACGAATAATAACTGGGACAAGATAACCATCCATCAACATCATCAATCTCCGACTATTAGCGAAATGGTGATGCCTGGCTTTTTGTCGTTGCCTAACCCGACATCAGCATGGGCTTTTTCTTTCTTTCTTCGATGCCTGGGCTCTTTAGATTTATTGAGTGGAATCAGGGTTCCTGCGAGCCGAGATCAAGATTGATAGCTCTCAACTGTTGTACTTCGTATGAGAAGCAACGAATAATAGTCCTCAAGGGCAGTACAAGTCTGTTCCATTGAAGCCGGTCCAGCTCCTTTTGGGGGGTTGTCTCTTTCAGCTCCCGGAACACCAGCGACGTTTCCTGTTCCTGGCCAGCTCTCTCGGGTCCGGGGACAAAGAATTGGGGGTGGAGAAGCTCCCCTGTCAGGATAGTATTGAAGTGCTGAGGCTCAAGCAGGCGCCAGGCGTCAGTGGGGTTGATCCTGCTGAAGATCAACGTCCTCTGGTTTACCCGTAAGTCTGGCTAACCTGGGCAGTGTGTTGAGTCCGAAACTGTTAGAAAAATATTAATCACGGCATGACCACTAGGAGGACTGGTCGGGGGTTAGAGACAGCCAGATAGCTCTCGTCAGTAGCATGCGTGGCGGTAGAAGCATCGCGTGATGATTTGGGCGTAAAAACGGGTAGGTGAAGTTGGGGTTTTGGGGTTGACAAGTCTGATCAAGCTGCATCTAGCTCAAGGGTCAAGTGCCACCATGGACAAAGAAACCCCAATTCGATTCAGATTGGGCGGCATCAATTGATTGATTGATTGAATGGATCAGTCAGTTAACACCGGCGTGCTAAATCCTGAAGCCTGAACCTGTCATCAGCTCCTGCAGAGGCTACCCACTTGCGCTCCTTTGACCATCAGTCTGACCGTCAAACTTGCATGTTGGAAGGGCGGGTGCTGTGCTGAGCCCTTGAGCTCCAGGTCCCTTACACTCCTCCACTCCTGCTGGCCCTCTTTCTATTCGTACCCCCACCCCTTCTTCGCAGGTGCCGTTTATTTTATTTTTAAAGTTGGCGTTTTCCCCCTCCAAGTCTCCATCGGCCTTCGTTCCCCTTTCTTCAGAGCGAAAGGCGAGCTCATCTTGGATTCAGAACCGCAGTGCTCATATTTTGGCATGTAACGAACTTGAGCCCCTCTCCCCAACGTCCGCCCCTTCCCTGGAGACATCCCCGCCCCCTCCTTCCTTGCCACCTCAAAGTCGGGAGCCAGCATCGCGAATACGCAAGAAAACGAGCGACCAGCCATAAATTCGTGACTAGAGTGAGAGGTTACGCAAATCCCTTTTGTTCGAGGACCGTCAACCGTGGGAGGGAATTCTCACCCACCGCGGCTACTCTGCCCATCACAGTCGCCCTTCCCAACCATTGCTGGCGGCTAGACGAGGGACGCGCACCGGCAAAGACAAAAAGGCACTTGTACGGGCCATTACGCTCTTCTCCCCCGTCGCGGAACCAACGTTGCTGTTCTCCCGCTCCCACTGCCGGTAGTTTGTTCAGCTCGAGATAGGAACGAGCCTCTCCCAAGACCGCTGTGCGCCGAAAGCCCCAGGAAACTGCCGGCATGGGGGAAAGGCCGCCAAAGGACCAGCAACGAGGAGACGCCGCAAGTTTTAGCTTGCCCATCCACCCGCCCCCGACCAGCCGCCGCAACAAGGAAAGCCGAAACTACTTTACCAACTACTCTCCCGCCGGGACAGTTGGCGTTGGCGCCGAGGCCATCAATGGCCCCGTGAGGGAGCTTGCGCGGGGTCCGGCGCCCGCCGCCGACAGGTTGATTGTGGGGGTGGACTTTGGCACGACGTTTTCAGGGTAGGCCCAACCTTTCTTCCTTTCTTGTTAACCTCTTAGTTTCGTTTCCTCTCCGCTCGCGGCTGTCGTGGGGAGACGTGTTGGCTACTAGCGCGGCATGCTAGGGCACGAAAAGGCGGCGAGGGGCCCGTGGGGGTTGAGGCGGCATGGCTTGTTTCTACCAAGTACGCGCGTGCTGTGCTAACCGGGAGACACTGGAAGGCCGAGCCGAGCTCTCCCTCCCTTCTCCTTACAGTGCAACTAAACGCCAACGAAACCCATCATGACTTGCTAACTATTCTTGTAGAGTGGCGGCGGTTTATACGTCAACGCCGGACGACATCGAGATCATCAAGTCGTGGCCCGGCGGCAACGGCATCACCTCAGACAAAGTTCCCACCGAGATCGCCTACGACACCCCGGCCAAGGCTGATGTAGGCGCTCCCCCGTGGTGAAATGGGGGTTCCAGTTCCGCCCGGAGGAATCCCGCCTCCGATGCATAAAGCTCTTCTTGGACCGGTCCCAGAAGCTTCCGTTCTACGTGAGCCCCCTCGAGACGGCAGCCCAGTTGAAACGCTTCGACAAGAACGTCGTCGATGCGGTGAGCGACTACCTCACTGAGGTGTACAAGCATACCATGGACACCCTCACCCGCCGTTACGGCGAGTCCTTCATGGCTAGCACCAAGGTGGACTTTGTCCTCACCTGCCCTGCCGTATGGTCCGACGCCGCCAAGAACACGACGCTCCAGGCTGCCGAGAGGGCCGGCATGGGCTCCAAGTCGGAGATTCAGATGATTAGCGAGCCCGAGGCGGCAGCGGTGTATACTCTCAAAGCTATACAACCGAACCACCTAAACGTGGGGGACAATTTTATCGTTTGCGATGCTGGAGGTGGCACCGTTGAGTACGTTTCTTGCCTGAAGAGGCTCCTCCTCCATCTAACCCCAAATATCAACCCCCCCTTCCCTCTCCTCGTCGTCGACTTAGAATATGACATCTTTTTGCTAATTCTGTGCCTTGTCCTCTTTTCTACGTATAGTCTTATTGCCTACAAGATAATATCGCTCAAGCCGTTAAGAGTGGAGGAGTCCGCTGTTGGCACGGGCGGCCTTTGCGGGAGCGCTTTCCTCAACTATAGATTCGAGGAACATGTGCGCCACCGCATAGGCCAGGTCAAGTTTGACGAGATGAAGGCCAAGAAGGGCAAAACGTGGCAGATGGGTCTACGATATTTCGAGGAGTTTGTCAAGCGAAATTTCAACGAGAACGAGCACCAGGAAGTCAACGTTCCGTATGTGGCCAAGCCAGATTCCCTTTCCCTACTCCCTTGCTGTGTATAATCATAGGATCGTTTTGGAGGCTCACACAAATATTCCATCATTACAGATTCCCTGGACTTCCTGACGACGAAGAAGCCGGTTTAGACTCGGGCTTCCTCGTTATGACAGCAGACCAGATCAAGGACATCTTTGAGCCCGTAGTCAAGGAGGTTTGCGATCTTGTCGAGGGCCAAGTCAAGACACTACGTGCCAAGGGCGGCGTGGTGTCGGGCATCGTCCTTGTCGGAGGTTTCGGGCAGAGCAATTACCTGTATCGCCATCTCAAGGCGCACTTCTCACGCGCAGCACCCCGCCCTATAGCGAGAAGCCGACGCTGGCTGGGGCGTCCTCGTCTGATCCTTTGGGGTCGATCGAGGTGATGCAGCCCGTCTACGCGTGGACCGCGGTGGTGAGGGGTGCGGTGCTTCGGGGCCTCGAGGGAAACATGGTGATCAGCCGAAAGGCGAGGATGCACTACGGTACCTCGTTTGCCACCGTCTTTGACGAGGAGAAGCACTCTATGAGCGAGAGGTACTGGTCTCCGTTGTGGGAGAGGTGGATGGTGTCTGATCAGATGCAGTGGCACATCGCAAAGGTTGGTTCATCTTCATGATAATATGGGTGTATAGTGTTCCCCTTCCTGCTTACTGGGCAAGGGGGCCGGGGAGAACTAAGAGGAAGGCTCGAAAGGAGACGTGCGGTAGACACCTTTGCAGTGGATTCGCTAACAGCAGACTTTCATCTACAGGGAGAAGCTTTGTCGCCACTCCAGCCCATCGCCTTTCACTACACCCGCAACTTTCGTCCGGGGCAGCTCCTAGTTGTGACAGACGACCTCATCGCGTGCGAGGCCGACGAGCCACCTTCATCCTTCACCAAGGAACTCGTACACGTTTGTACCCTCACGACGGATCTGAATGCTGTGCCGCGGAGCCTCTTTACGCGGCTCACGACAACGAGAGGCGTCGAGTTTGACAATCTCGACTTCACACTCGAGATGACGGTGGACAGCGCGGGATTAAGCTTCGAGCTCAAGGTGGATGGGGTGAGGTATGGGCGTGTCGAGGCTGAGTTTCACAGCGCGTAGTGGTGCCATTTTCCCACAAACAGGCATGTTTTTAAAGCAAGAAGAACGAGCGATGAGAGAAATAGGGGAAGATATTGTCACCGTCGACTGGGGGAACCTGTGGGTGATCCTGGTGTTGGGCCCCTCCTCCTACCCGCGATGGGTTTGCACGGAGCTTGGAATATATACATCTATCTAAGAGTACTACATACGTTGGCATTTTGTAATTTTCTTGCCGGGGGTTGTTCGCCTCAAAACTTTCATTGGAGCAGCGCTCCGCCGCCCGTCCATGCAAGCACGGGCTACACGACTTCGATGCCCTCGAATAAGGTGCAAGGCGGTCTGCAAACTCAAGTTGGATTTACAAATCCTCCGTAGCCTGCTCTCCTTGCCATGGGGAGACTGATGCATTGCATTGACCTTTTGTCCCATTGCCACCCGCATTCCACCATACTTACAATGATGTGCAAGACGCGAAGCACAAGGTATAAGGGCCCCCCCAACCCCCTCTGCACTTGATCAGTTGGGCAGCAAGTACCGTGAAGGACAGAGTTGAGAGGCAAATAGCGTACGGTACGATGTGAGAGAACTCTCGCCCTGAGGGGCGCGAAAGGGTGTCGAGAGGAAGAAAAAAACAAGGAAGAGGCGAGAGGACAAGACCAGGGGAATCAGAGATAAAAGCAAAGAAATCACCAATGGCACTGTGAATCTGATACAATCGATCAAACTCGCGCTGCTAGACTCCGTCGGGCCCCTTCTAGAACAAGAAAAATTAAGGGGTGGTCGTGTCGTGCTCTATTACTGGGTCCTGCGCATGGTCATCTAGGCAGCAACGGAGGCACCCTCTCTCGCCCCTCCACTTCCCGATGAGGACGCCCATGCGAAGGGTTGGATCGGGGCCATGGCTGGGGCACACAGGTTGGACTGTACTTTTGTTTTTGTTTTTTTTGTTTTTTGTTTTTTGTTTTTGTTTTTTTGTAAGTCTGGACCGTCGGTTGATAGCGAGAGGGGTAGGCTCGAGATGTTGCAAGATGTGTAATACGTGAGTGGATGTTGTGCCGCTTCGGTCACCTTCAGGTTGGTTAACTCGAAAAGCGTGTGTGAAAGACAACATCACTCCATGGCATGGCCAGTTCACATTTCTCTTGTCAACGTTTCCGTTCTTTTCTCTTTCACCACGGGTTTTCAATCATCATGATTGCTATCAATGCCTCAAAACATTTCGAATTGACTCAAGGAGAGAACCGGGAATTACATACCCCTTTCAGACACTGATGAAGTTTCCACAGGCAGATAACCGGACTTATACCACTCATACATAGACGGTCAAGACCTCTAGCCTAGATTCCATCAAGGATGAAGGAAAAGGTCTTTACAGGATATTTCGTCAAGAACAAACTTACTTTTGGGGGCAGACAAAAAATGAACAGAAGGAAAGACAAATACCAGCCAAGGCGAATCCCGATGAACAGCACGTACAATCCAAAAGAGCAAAGCCTGCTTTTCTTCTTCGAACCGAGACGTCAACAGAGAAGGACTATATGCCTTGGTACGAAACGAACAACTTCGATCGGTAGCGTAGCCGTGGCAGGCGGGCGGACGAGGGGAAGAGTGGATATCAAATTGAGATGAGATCATGAAGTGCGTGGGAAGAACGCCGAGATGAGAAGATTGCACAAAAGAGACGTAACAAGGAAAAAAAAAAACAAGGGATTAAAGAAGAGAAAAAGATAAAGCGGTACTAGATAGCGGGGGCGGGAGAGGTTGTGTGGCTGCGGAGTCCCGGTGCTGAGTGTCAAACTCATAACGGCGGGAGACGTCGACGTACTCCATGGCCAGAGGCTCTCCACGCGGGGTTGACAGCCAAGTTAAGTTATTCAAGATTGTTTGATATCGAAGGCGGTCCGGGTCGAAGAGGGGTTGCCCCTTGGGCCCAAGACGGGTCTCAAGCGGACCAAGAAGCGAAAACAAGACATGCATGTCTTGGGTGGGAGAGGAAATCCACCCGGCGCCCGACTCCGGACTAGGCGACTAAGAAGAAGAAAAAGCGACTAAGAAGAAGTTGAAGGCGATGAAGAAAACAGGTAGGCCGGACAGGTCGTGAATCTTTGAGATCAACTCAAAGGCGCGAACACACGCGAACGGGGACGGCGACTCTACTTATCCCTTGGCCGCCGGCGCTCGTCCTGTCTCCTTCTCCGCTCTCTCTCTTCACGGCGGCTGTCCTGCACGATCACCATGGACCGCTGTTCTTCCTCCCTAGCCATTCTCTGCGTCTTATGCTGCAGTGGCTTCAGGCCCTCGACCTGGTCTGTTTCGTGGATATTCTTTTCCCTCTCGAACACGGCCATGGAGATCAACCCGTGCAACCGCAGGTGGTCGAGGAAGAAAAAGTCGGGGCGTATGGTGCCCCGCTCCGCGTCCTGGAAGTGCTGGGCAATGTGCATCATGCGATTGCCAAAGTTGTGGCGGCGATCGCCCTCCGTCATGACGTCGCTCTCGAACTTGAAGTCGTCGCAAAACCAGCACAGGCATGTGGCGGGCGGGTTGTAGTTGAGGTGCACCCTGAGCTCGTGGTCGATGAGCTGCTCCACCTGCGTATCGGGACAGAACGTCAGGTCGCAGCCCGTATACCGGGAAAACTCGCAGGGCATCCGCGGGGGCGGGTTGCGAAAGGTGGACGGCGGCTCGGCCTGCTCGCGGATGACGCGAAGGGCCTGGTCGGTCAGGAACTCGTGCCGCTCCGGGGCTTCGGAGCTGGTCGAGGCGGCGCTGCTGCCCTGGTTGCGGGAGGAGGAGGAGGAGGAGGATGATGGGTTGTGGCCGTGCTGGTGTCGGTGGGATGGCTGCGAGTGCGGCTGCGAGGGCGGCTGCGAGGCCCTGCCGGTCGCGACGCTACCGGTGTCGTGGTCCCACACGGAGGACAGCGCCGTGGGTGCTGTAGATGTAGACGCATAGCTATAGATGCTGATGGCTGCTCGGGAGCTACCGACGCCGCCCATCTTCCGCCCGGGAAACGAGGGCACGCCGTCATCGTCTCGGTCGAGCCAAGGCCCGAGGCGGGGCGATGGCTTTTGATTCTTGGTTTGGTGAAGTTGGGCTAGAAAGGGCGCGATGGAATCGATCCCGCCGCCATCGCCGGTAAAACGTAGAGAGGGAGGCATTGTGGTTGTCCAAGTAAGCGGTAATGGGGGAGGGAAACAACCAACACGAGTTGGGCACCGGATGCCGGCACCCTTGACGGGCGTTAAAAGAAGATTTAAAAAAGGATAGTTGAAAAAACAGTAGCAAAAAGAGACTTTGGGGCCTCTATCTGGACCTGACGTCTCCCTGGATAACGGTGTTGATCACCCGCGTGCTTGCTAGCTTTGAAGCGTATGCTGGAAATGACGAGGTGGTTTAGCAGACACCAGCCAAAAAAATAAGGGTCAAGTTGGAGGGGAGTCGGAAAGGGATGCGGGGCAGACGCGCCGCTTGCAGTGGTGAGATCAATCCATTCAATACGCCACGGAACCGCCCTCCCCCATCCTTTTGTTTGAATCCTTCCAGCAGTCCCCAATGGTTCCAAGCTGTTGGTGGCTTAACGAACCCAGTTGGATCCATTAGCGAGAGTAATCGCTCCCCCACGGCCACTTGGAAGCCAACATAGGTAGCGCCTAGGAGTAAGTTTAGACTTTTGAGTGGATCCAGTCTAGACTGGAACACAATCTGGGGGTTTGGGGGAACTAGGGTCAGGAGGGATATCCGCTCGAGAGACGCCTTCTACAGCTTTTATCTATTGAAATGGAAAAATTACGCAACCAGGTAAAAATGGCAGAAAGAGGAAGAAGAAGAAGAAGAAGAAGAAGAAGAAGAAAAAGAACCAGGGCGGAGGATGGAAAGCTGTTTTGCGCGTCATCGGCCCTCTTCCGTTGCGCAGGTGGGCAATCGTATCGTCGTCGGATGTGGTACAAGCGCGCGCAGCCATGAGCGCCATGAACACGGGTGCGGCGTTCCTGCATCCTTGTGCTCATTTCCGAGTCATCTCGTCGCTTCAACGCAACATCTTCAGCGCAAGACGGGAATAAAGCCCCGCAACTCTCTGCAATTTGCGCAGGGCGACTTCCTTGCTTCCCTTGTTTCCCTTGCTTCCGCATGTGCGATACCTGCGCAGTCCATAGATGAGCGAGAGGGTTTTGAGGCGGAATGGGAAATGAACCCTGACCGACAATTGCACACCACGTCCACGCTGCGCACTTCCCGTGAAGCCCGGCCGATAAAAAGAAAACATGTACTACGAGGGGAGCACGACATGAAGAATAATTGGTAAAAACGAGTGAAGAAAGGCAAAATAATGCAAAGGAGAATAAAAGTCTATCGAGATAACCAAGCCTAACCCCCTCTTTGAACGACGTAAGAGTCTTTAATTTCTGTAATCACTCGTCTGGTTTACACAGCACTCTCGCCTTGGCAACAACGTTTTCGTACTGCAGATGCCCTCCAGTCTCATCTCCCCTTTTGATAATGCCCGGAAAGGCCACGCACCACACCTCCCTAGCTGCTAGCCCACCTTCCTCGTCCTCGCCACCGCCCAGATCCTCCATCGTGATCTCGTCAAAGGTCGTGCGTTGGTGCGCCACAAGCGGTGGCAACCACACACGGAACTCGGCCTTTGCACGGCCAAAAGCCGCGCAAGGTCGACGGAGCTGCGCACGAGCGCCGCAAGGGCCGGGTCGTCTGGGCCCGGCCTGGGGTTGTGGAACTCTCCGCCGTGATGGACCGAAGAGTAGAGATGATGCGGCCCATGACGGCCGCGGAGAGGGATTCCGTCTCGGCGCTGAGGTTTTGGAGTCGTCGCGCCGGAGAATGGAGAGAGTCGACGACCGCCATTGATTTATGGGACCGTCTGTGTCGGCTGAGGAGGGGGATGACTTGTTAGCTATTTGGCCTTGTTGTATGGTGAAGCAGGTGGCATCGGGGAAAGAGTGCTTAGGGGACTCACTGAAAGACCGCAGGAGCTTCTCTACCTGCCTAAACTGTTCTGTTTGTTCCTCTGACAGCCCAACAAAGTAGGCGCTGAACACCGTCTCCACCAAGATCCCCGAGATGAGCGACTGCAGCAGGTGGACTTTGGCAAACGCCGCCAGTTCCTCGTACATGGGGACCAGCCTGCTCAAACACTCTAGTTCTTCGGCAGAGGCCTTTGCAAGATCTATAGTTGGAAAGGAAACCAGTGATTCCAGTCTTAGCACGCTAGGTCCAGCAGAGCAACCGGGAAGGGGGAAAAGAAAAAAGCGGGAAAAGTGGCAGTGAAGCAAAGCACCTCGCCCCCATATTTTTACTACACGAGAAGAAACACGTACCTAGCTTCGCCTTGCGAAAGTTGACAATCACCCAATTCTGCAGCCCGTTGGCCAGCTTCGCCATGCCGTCCCCAAACACTTCGTCCGTCGTCTGCGCGTCGGACCGCGTGCTCGTGCTCACCCAATCCTTGAGACCCCTCACCTGCGTCATCAACGACGCAATCTCCGCCTCCCTCTCCCGGACTTGCTTCCGCAGGATATCCCACCCTTCCCGCAGCTCCTCGCGCTCGTCCCGACGAACCTCGACCTCGGCCGTGAGCAGCCGAAGCTCCGTGTCCGCCCGCAGGTACTGCTGGTTCAGCGCGCTGTGCTTCTTTTGCCAAAACGTCGCCGTCTCGCTCTCGTTCTGCGACAGGCGGTCCAGCTCCTTGGCAAACTCCTCCTCCATCACCCGCAGCTCCGTCTGCAGCATCGCAATCTTGTCGTCCTTTTCCTTGAGGCTAGCTGCCAGCCCCGCCGCCGTCGTGGGCGCGGGCCCGGAGGCGTTGTTTTCCTTGCCCGACCCCGCCGTCCCCGCGTCGGGTCCGAGCCCGTGCCCGTGCCCATCGTCGGCGCTCCCCGACGGCGACGAGCTCGCCGGCCCCGAGTGAAACGCCTTGGGCGGTGGCGCGATCAGCGCATTCCTGTTGACGCTGTTACTCCTGCCCCTCGACCCGCTCGCCCCCGCGGTGTTGTTGCTTCCCGTACCCGGGGTGGTCCTCGATCCGTGCAGGCTCTTCCTCTTGTCGGCCGCGGAGGCGGTTGCCGCTCCGCCGCCCGAGCTGCTCATCCTGGGAGCACCCGTGCTGCGCTCCCGATTCCGATCCCGCTCCTTGTCCTTGTTGCGGTCCCTTCCTCCGCCCCGCCGTCTGTCTCGGTCGCGCGACGATATGCCTTCTGATGCTATCGGTGCCGCCCTCCCATGGCCGGGGTGACGCGGCCGGGGAAATGGAGCTGGCCCTGGAGAGGCTTTGCGGAGAGGTGCTAGTTGTCGGGTTCTGTTCTGTTGCTGCTGTTGCTGTTGCTGTTGCTGTTGCTGTTGCTGGTGGTACTGGTGGTACTGCTCGTGGTACTGCTCGTGGTACTCCTGCCCACCGGCTTCGGCCCTATTCTGTTGCCGGTAGCGCTGCCGGGATTGCGGTCCTTCACCGCCGTGTCTCGCCTCGGGTCCCCTGACGCCGGAGATACCACTCCCCTCGTAACCAACGAATCCCGCGGGGCACGCTGGTTCGGGCGAAGCCAGTCCGGCCGGTACCCCAAACGATGGTGGTGGTTGCTGCCGCCGCTCTCCTCGCGCGGGGTCGTCTCGATGAGCCGGTCGCAATCGGTATCCTGAAAGTCGTAGTACGCCCTAAACTCAGGGCTATAACTCGAGCTTCTCGAGCTGCTCGCGTTGCTGCCGGTCGTGGCGGCGGTGATGCTCGTGCTGGTGCTCGTGGCGAGGGCGCCGACCGTGCTGGTGCTGGTGCTGGTGCTGGTGCTGGTGGTGCTGGTGTTGAGCCCTTCGCGGCTGCCTGGTCGAAGCAGCACCCCCGCATGTTGGGCGGCTTGACCCCGCTGTGGTGTCGGCGGAAACGATGGGCTCCAGGGCACTAGGCGCTGGAGGGTGGAGGTTCTAGCGGTGTGCGCGGGGAGGTTGGCGGCGAGTCGGGGAAATTTGGCGACATGAGCCCCTGCAAGCTTACGCTGAAATTCGACAGGCGCATGCTCTGTCGCTAAAAGTTGCCGAGTGAACTTGGTTGGAGCTGTGGTGTTTTCCCAAAACCAATCCTCCACTATCGTTTCAGCCCTTCTCGCGAGCTCAAGTCTGATAAAATTCGATTCTCGGTGCGAGAAAGCAAAAAGAAAATGGTTGTGATACAGGGAAAATGGCAGCCTTCCTCTCTTCAATGCCCTTTCCACCCTTCAAATAACGAAATGTTCCCTCCGGCCCTCAGGCCCCAATGCGAAAATTAGATGGAAGGCTCTCTGTCTGACATTAGCTCGAGGTACGGTACACCGGGAGAGAATAGGCATCCATATTCGGACCTGCCCACCCACGGCCGTCACCCGTTCCGATTCATCAATGACACAAGCCCCGCACGCCCCTTAGTTCATCATCTATGTATTATCCGTAGCCTTCGCTTGTTCCCTCGCTGGCGGGGCTATCTAATCCGCCCTGCTCTTGACAATGATATGGCAGGTCCCCGGTCCCGTTGATGAAAGACTCGCCCCCGGAACCCGGCCGTTTGGGCTCCCTTCATTCCATCGCACCATGGGGTAAGATGACCAAAAAGCACATCTTGTTCCTCGCGCCGCCCCCTCTACACTCGAAACTTGCCCATGTCCCTAGAAGTAGACCTCCGCAACGCTCTCGTACGCCTCCCCATCTTCCTCCACCCGTTTCGCCCCCATCTTGCAAATGGCGATGCTTTCAACAGGCTGACCGTCCATCCACTTGAAGTCCTCGTACCGATCCAGTATACCCCTCGCATCCAAGCTCAGCGCCTTTCTCCTCCCCCTCCTCCCCGCCCCGGCCTCCGGACCGTACGTAGATTGTGTTCACGACCGTGGCGTGGAGCAGCAAAGCCCTCCCTTCATCCACCATTAGCCCGGCATCGATGAAAGCTGTCCTCACCTTGTCGCAAAACGGGTACAGCTGCCCTCGGCCGTCCTCGGGCACCGCGTAAAGCACCGTCGCCTGCGTTGGTTTGTGCATCGTCTGCAGCCCTCTCAGCGAGACCGCCAACCTTCCCCTTGCTGCCCTTCGCCTCCTCCGAGCGGCTCATGGCTTGTAGCTTCCGCCGTGACCACCGCCGCCGCCGCCGCCCTGTCCGCGCGCTCCTTGGCCGCCCGTCCCGACTCCTGTAAAATCTCACCCAGTTTCAAGCCCTTCAGCAGCGCAGTCGCCTCCTCGAGTCGGCCTTCCTCCTTGAGATTCATGACCCCGAGCGTCAGGTGCAGCGTGCCCAAAGGCCTTACCGCTCCAGCCGGGATGGCAAAGCTATTGGTGTCTGTGATGTCATCGCGGAACTCTCCCAGACTACGTGAAAGCTGAGGTCGTGAGGCTGTCGTCACTAGAGGTATGCAGAGAAAGTGCGTTGGAGGCAGCCTCTTGGGTGCGGACGCCGCCATCCTCCCTAGCATGAAGACCCCTCTCTTTCCTTTCCTTTTGCCTTTTTTGTCTTGGGTGCCGCGACTTGTTGTGCAGCAGTTTTGTGTGAGGGCTCAAAGGAGGCGGCTTCAGTTTTGGTGTAAATATATGATCCTAGGTCCTCGAGAAAGATGGATGGCATTGGAGCAAAGAGATTAGGTTAGTGGATGGAGCACTTAAGGGGGCCGCAGCAACTCCAGTGCAAGTGAATTGGAGTTGAACTTTGCAAACCCAGAGACTTAGTTATTAGGACCGAATGCTGCCTGCCTGGGCTGATGTGGTAAATGCGTGCAGTGTTAGCTATCTATTTAGATCCGTCGAATCTAATTGGACCAGCGCTACATGGCGAGCTGCTCGAGCTTCAAGCTTCTCCCACATCAGCTCAACCTTAGCTGGCCCCAAAAAAACAAAATTTCAAGCTATCTATAGATGCATATGTATACTGGCATGCATTAAGCTCGCTTTGAAGCCATTTAGTGACTACTGCCTCCACCCACTTCCTCCCGTGGCAACATTTCAGACCGTACATCAAGGTACCAGGTATCTGCTTAGGCATGTCACATCTCCCAAAGGGCCACGATGCATCACAACGCGCCCGCAGTCACGGAAGCCGATCCTAAACTCAGGGTAGACGCGAGAGTGGGGAGCGGGGCCCGACCTGACGAAGAAGAGGTCGCCTACGGGCCGGAAAATTTTGTTTAAAAGGTGTCATTTTTACAATAAAGCCCAGGATAACCGCAAGTGATGGGCGGATGTGACAAAACGATGACACCAGCAACTCGAGCAACGCGGCACCTAGGAGCTTGCGCATACCTCGGAAACAACAGAACTAGCAATCTAATAGCTGGGAGTTGCTCGGGGCGATCCCAGGGTACTCACTTCAGCCAAGATAAAGCCAACAACTGCCGATACCCCCACACTCGTCACCATCAACGGGCATCGACGCGTAAAGGGATCCCAGGCCTTGAGGATGCCTCACTTCACGCCCTTCCTTGCCAATCAAGAGTCAAGTATGGAAGCGCGTCCAGTTATAGCAGAACGGTATACACAAACGGAGGCCCATGTCCCCCATTGGCATCCCAGAGGGCAAAGGATTCCCCGGCCGTTCTGGATCTGCCGTCAGGTTCCTTCTATCCCACAACCATATTAATAGGCTTGTCAACCTCTTGGGTCATGGCTGCTGTTTTCCTTCAACGGCACAGACTCGATACTGAACAGAGGGGAGAGACCATCCGCACATTCGCTCCGTTGGGAATACCATTTATCGAAAATACTAGATAAGTCGGCCGGTCGGTCGGTACGTGACGGTAAAAGAAAGGCAACAGAAAAAATAATAATAAAAAGGACCGATACATATTCGTAGACTTGGGAGGGATGCATAGAAAAGAAAATGTGAGCAAGAAGCGGGAAGAAAAGGCAAAGGAAGTAACGTTTAAGAAAGCACATCAATGGGTGATCTAAAGTCGAAAAGTGCTCTGGTGGACAAGGTCACTTGGGTGCCGCGAGTTTTGAGGCGGACAAGGGGGATGATGATATCTTGGCTGGCGCTCTAAGGCTGTGGTATTTGACGTCTGTAGAGTGGTCTCTCCTCTCTTCTGCCCCGTCTCGTTTGTGAACTTTTGATGGAGGCGAGGGTGGACTGCGCTGCTTACGCAGCCTCCGTCTTCTTCTTCGCCTCGCCAGCGGGCTTGTCGCCGTTTGCCTTTGGCGTTTCCTTGATTTCGTCCGCTGCGCTCTTAACCTCTTCAGGCTTCTTGGTGTCTTTGGTGTCTTTGGTGTCTTTCGTGTCCTCCCCGGGTTCGGTATCATCGGTATCTTCATCTTCTTCCGCAGACGCGTGTCCGTCACTCTTATCGTCTTTGTCGTCCTCGTCCTCGGCAACCTTGTAAAATCTCTTGAGCGCCCTATCAATCTCCGCAAAGTCGACACGAAGTGCCTTCAGAGCTTCCGTGATGCGCTTTAGACACACATCATCGTTCGGTTCCGATGAGCCATCCAGGTTTTCGTGCAAGCCGTATCGCTGAATCAGTTCGCAATGGTCTCGGATCTTGATAAGGCCCAGGGTTGCTGATGAGCCCTTGAGGTAGTGGCCCCTTGCAGATAGGTCGTGAAGATCTTTGCTGTCTCTATAAAGAACCCCCAAGGTATTAGTGGCTGCAAGGCTAGTAGTGTTTCGGCGGCCTGCCATTTGATGGCGGCGGCACGAAGGGAGGGGACAGGGAGTACGTACAAGCTGTCTTGTAGGTTTTTAAAGGTGTCTTCGGCTTGCTCGAGAAACTCAAACACTAACGTCCGGCTGAACTCCCGCTCGCTGTCATCGTCCATCTGCAGGATCTGGTCAAAGGTAGGGATATCGATGCTCTTTGACAGGTCGCCAAAGAAGGCTATGAGCTCCTGTTTTACACAGCGTGTTAGAAGCCTGTTGAACTTTCACCAGCGCATGGGGCAGACGGCGACGGCGACGGCCAACGCTTTATCGGCGACACACCTTTTCCGAGGTAGCCATTGCTTTCCTGAATTCTGGGGAAGTATGGGGGTTTTTATTTTTATTTTATTTTTCGTGGAGGGATAAACTCGAGTAAGAAGTGCAGTGGGCAGCTGCTTCTCTGGCCTGGACCGGGCGGGATGGGGGCGGTTCGGGGTTGGACGAAGGTGATGAGATTTCGTTAAGAGGGGTTCTTCCACACGTTCAAGCACGCAAGATTGTCGGGAAAGGCTGGGAATGGTCAAAATCAGCTGGTCTGCGATATCTCCAAGATGAGAAAAAGACAGGAGAAAAAAGATTTTCTTCTTATTTTCCCTCCTGCGCATTAGGCGTTGAATTGAGAGAGGCGAAGATGCAAAGCTTGGCAAATTGAAGAGACTATGTTACAGGCACGCGAGGGCATGACGCAAATCTTCCTTCAGCAGCCATAACAAAAATGCACGCAGCACTGGCATTTCGACCCCGCTGAATAAAACGGCACACGCGCCAAGCCGGGAGGACTAGCCATGCCAGAGGAATCACGCTAGGTGTGGATAAACCGAGGAAGAGAGAGGAAGAGAGAGGACGAAAAAAAAAAAGGGAAGGGGGTTATATTGAGAGAGAAATATTTCTTACCTTGCCAAACGAAAAACAGCCCAGCCGATCAAGTTTTCGAGATCCCTCTTTGGGTGGCAGGTGTCGAGTTAGGTTCGAGATAAAGCTTTGGACCAGTTTGGGTGAACCGTAGAGCTTGCGCACACAGGAGAAGGCAAGGGAAAGAAAAGGGGCACAATTCGATCCAATAGAGCTGGCAAGGCACTCGGAGATTCAGAGGCACGAGCGTATTGTAGAGATGGCGCGGAGGAGCGGGGAAGGGTTGAAAGGGGGATGGGCGCGAGCGGCGCGGGGTTGAGGGGAGTTGAGTTGAGGAGAGGAAACCTAAGTTGGTGACGCAACGGGACAGCGGCTTGTGTAAGGGACGAACGCGACCTTTTTAGTGCTCTTTTGATGACAGGCCGATTGAGGGGTAGTAGGAAGGACAAGCTTCGAGAAGCGTCTTTGCTCGAGGTAAGCAACTAGAAAACGTGTGTTTCGTCGGAATGGGATGGAGGGAAAGAGAGGGATAGTTAGGATTTGGAAAAAGAAATAAAAAAGAAGAGAGAAGGCCGTCTGTGAACTACAAACGGGAGATGTGGCCGGGGAGATCCTGTTGCTGGCTATTGGAACGGCGCTCTTCGTGAGACTCGGGGGGTGATGAGCAGGCTGGCTGTGATTTGATCAAGGGTATTACTTCGTTAGATGGAGGGACGGGGTGGAATCCAACCACGATCGTGTTCCGCTTTTTCTTCTTTACCCCTCGCACCAGAGCGCATCATCAGACACTCCACACCATCAGTCAAGCCTTCCAACCGCTGGAATAGTGGCTTTGGTCTCGACCATTCCCTTGAGAGCCGGGAAGGTCCAGGGCCCAAGAGACCGTCCAAGTAGCTGCTACCCTGCTCCGTTCCCGCTGCGGTACAAGCCCACGCCACGGGGCAAGACCCGGAAAACTGAAGAAAAAAACAAAAAAGTCGATATGGCTGATGCAAGCTGTGCTGCCTCTCCGATCTCACACCTCTGGCGAAGATCAACAGCACAAGTTCCACGACACCAAAGGGGCAAGACCATTCCAGTTCGACTCCCCGGTCCGCCCGGAGAACGTATCAAAGGACGGTACCTTTCAGGGCGAGCTTTTGACAAATTGACGAGCCCAGCACTGGCTTGAGACGCTGCCGCTAAGAATAACAGCAATAAATCCTTTCCATTGGCTCCTTCAGGGATCCATCAAAGATGCATCGTGATTGCCCATATGCCGTATCTATAATAATCCTGCATCACCGTGCTGAAAGGCAACGGAAACCCTCAAGCCCCTCAAGCTCCCATGCAAACTGCAGAGAGTGCCCTTGGTCGTTATAGCTGCTTAGGTAGCAGCGGATGGACTGGTCGTCGTATGTCGAGTTCCTATCCACCATTTTGAGCGGCCGGCTCTGTCTACTCGGCTTTCAGACAATCCGACGAAATCTCTGGCTTCGTTACAGACAAATGCATAGAAAGACGAGGAGCCAGGAGCTGATAACGGCGACCCCTCCTTCGGCGCTAGAAAAGCAACCCTGACAACTGACAAGAGACTCCGGGATCAACAGACTGCCCGTGCTCTCATCACCAAGGCCAACAGGTCCTTTCGATACTGCAAGCCCCCTGCCCTAATCCTTCGCGTCTGACCTGTTCGCCTACGTCGATCGGAGAGCTCCTGCCCGCGCCTCGGCCTCATCTCGCCTCTTTCTCGCGAACGCGGCCTGCCCCCTCGCGTCTGCGAAGAAGAAGAACGCCCACTGATAGCCTTACGCATGAGAGGCCCGCTGTCCATCTAGGGATTCTGATATACTGACATACTGATATCCTCGTCGTCGGAGGCCTGGATGATGCCACTCTCCACCTGCGTTGGTTTTGGCGAGGACCCAACTGTTTACGAGCCTAACCTAGCCTAACCCCGCTAGGTTCCACTCCTTCATCGTTCGCTCAACCTTGACTACTTTCATTAGGATTTTGGTTGACGATGGCGCGCGCCCGTGGCTTGTTCTTGAACGAGCGGCACGAGAACAGCCTGGAGAGCTACAAACCCTGAAATGACCCGCCCGATTCACCGGAGTGTTTTTGACGTGCCCCTCACTCGGAATCGTTTGATGTGGAGCTTGCGGAGAAAGACATAGTGTAGAAAACGTGTGCGGTAAAGTACTGCGTACCTTGGGTACTCCTCTCAAAGTACGGGGTACATTGATCCATCCACGGCTGTGCAAGCGAATTGTGATTTCAACGCTGCTAGTAACTGGATGCGCCATTTCAGGGCCCTTTGACAGCTTTAGAGGTTCCTTCTCTGCGGGCCAACCTGATGTAAAGGTCGTTATCTTCATCTGGCCTCGTTGCGTCCGAATGACACCGGCTCAGGATTGCCCAGGTGTCCACCGCAAGCCACGCGCTGTGAATCAGGTTTGATGCGGTCCGGCGGCGGCTTGTTACAGGAACTTGGAACGTGCTCTTGGCTGGACGAACAAGGGCCCAAGGAAGGTGTGGTGGGGAGTTGTGTGTGTGTGTATGAGAGTGCATGTGGGTGTCACTGTTTTTCTCTTCTTCAAGTTCTTTTTCTCATTTCCTTTTAGAGTGGGGGCTTTTCAGAAGAACTTGTCGAAGAAAAAAATTCAAAAGAGCGCTTCCACGGACATGGAACCCCTTCTAGCGTCCATGGCGGTTAGCTCTTGCCAAATGCATTGAGGCCATCTAACCCTATCGCTAGACCAAAACCTCGCCCTGCGGACCCGCCCCAGCAAGTTGAACGAAACGTCCGCAGTCTAGCAAGAAAACAAGATTGATGGATCATGAGGATATCAAGCACCCCATCTCAACTCCACTCGCCAGGGACAGACGTACGACTTTTACCGCACGTTACCTACTCTTTCCGGAAGCAGGATAGTGGCTAGTAACGTCTACTGACTAGAGATGGAAACAACGCTTCACAGTGTTCACGATATTATATATATCCATGGATCCATTATGTTTATAGTCCGCGAAATTGGGACCACCGTGGGTGCCGGACCGATATCCTTGGCCCCATGGGACAATATAGGCGAGGAAATAGATGAGACTGCCGACTTCAAAACCGGACCGACGATACAAAATCTTGATTGCTTCTACCGTCTTCCATGAACGGAGCTAGGGATTACCGTTAAACGAGGAGGCAAGCAAGGGATGAAGAAAAGAAACAGAAGGAACTATATTACACTATGATAGCCCGCATTCGACAAGGAAAGAATGATGGGTGCAGTGTAGTAGCTACAAGTAGTACTTTGGCAGGTTGCATAAGTGCACCATCGCTCGTTCCTCAGGTGGCATTGATGGCTTGAGGAGATATTACCCCTCCCGTCGTGCTTGACCTACGTCATCGTACAGGGTCACCGTGCACCGCAGCATCGAGGCGCTCAAGGCGGCGGCCCACTTTGGGCCAAGGGCGACGCTCGCCGGACCTGTGGCTCCTGCTGGTCCTTCAAAGTCCGAAACGGAAATCCCAGAGATGAGAGCAAGGAGCATGTGAGGCGCTCCCTCCTCCCCTCCTTGCCTTCCGCTGCTTCTTCTTCCTTTGAATTATAATTTAACCTGGTTCTTTATTCGTATTGTCCTTGTCCTTTTGTTCAAGAGAACACTTCCCTTAGTATTCATCCCCTTACCATTATTCGGGGAAAGGGAGGTCGAGGATTGAACAGAGAGAGAGACCATTGGTTGAATTGTGGGGAAGGAGAGGTCTGAATCTCCATCTTCGAATGTCACGCCCCCAACGCTCGAAGTTCCAACCCGTCACCGAATCGTGTTGCACAAGTTATTCTTTGGGTGGGACAAAGTAGCCTTGGGAAATCCAACCCCATTCCAATAATGGATCTTGTTAACCCTCTTTCGCCTGCGTGTATCAGTCGACAAAGGCAGACTCAAGGGTTTGAAATGTGGGTTTGCCACAGCTTGGAGAAAAACTGGCTCTCGCTTTCGGGTCCTTTTTTTTTTAACCCCTTTTTCAGGGTCTCGCGCCCTCTGTCGATCCAGGCCAGAAAAGAACATTGAACCCATCAACCTGCACTGCATAAGGCGCTGACCACTCCCACGGAACGCAATGATCGTCCCAGCCCACCCTTATCTACCTCACCCGAGCCGGGAAGCCGGCACCAGGGGAGGGGAGGAGTGGAAGTGGGAGCTCGAGGGTTCTTGGGGGCCTCGCTTACACTTGAAAGACCTAGAGCACCGAAGGGTAACTTTGAAAACCCCCTCTGCCCCAGATGTACTCGACCTCGGGACTATTAAACGTGCCCTCTGTTCATAGGGTTGCGTTCGTTTGTCCCACCGAGTCAGGCCACTTGCCCACCGTTTCCGTTGACGAGCTTTGAGAAAACTCGTGTTTGCTAGACTACAAGCCTCGCGATGAAAAATGAAGAGGTAATCAAAAGTAAAGGATGCAGATACACAAAGACGCCACTGAAATTTCGGCATCGCTTCATTCTCCTACCCCCACAAAAATTGCTCATTCCCGTCTCGATCGGGCTCGGGATAACTGCTGTCGGATGACGCCGAGCGTGTACTAATTCCTCAACCATGGCCCTCGTGTCGTGTTTGTCAAGCCTGGAATGTGCTGAGCGCTCCCCATGGAACGGAGATCTCTAAAGGCGAACCCCCGTTCAGCAGTGTTGTCCAGCTTGCCACAACCCTTGACATGGAGAGGAACATTAGGTAACTCTGCCACTCCGGAAGCAGTCAAGATTTTGCCTCTGGTCACACTCGGCCGTGATACTTCAGGTCCAGGCTATTTCCAGCATCCCAGAGACCGTCGCCTTATTCCGAGGAGAAGACCCAGTCATGGTAACCCCGCGGATCAAAAGCCCCGTATTCACAATCTTGGCAGACTCTTTTGACTCTCCCCGATGGATCTCGCGCGCCACGAGCATGGTGCTTGATGATCCTTACTTGCCCAAAACGAAACCTACCTAGAACTAATACCTCAGGATGTTCTGATGGGAATTGTTCCAAACCCCCATCTAACCTTTTTGCTCCCATGAGTAGAGCCAACCAACCAAGGCCAGGCAGGCTCATGCTCGCGGAAGTAAGCGCCCCTTCCACACTCCACCCTTCCATCCCGCCCCTCCATCGCAACCACCAAGTCCCAGCTTCTCGTACGCCCGGCCCCGCCTATCCCAATCGAAGTAAAAGAAAGAAGAGACAAAATGTAGGCGAAAACAGGTTTTGAGTATGACAAGGTTCTGCTTGGAACTGCATCGAAGAACGGTTTTTTGAGGCCAAGCGTTGGGTCAGCAATCAAGATCCTGAGCCTCTCTTAGAGTAACACCAATGCTTGATATGCTCCCTCATCAACACCCTTGACTCTTTCTCCTCACATATGCTCTCGAGGGGTTTGGCTTGCAGAGAACCGATAGAAGAACACAGCGTATGGATTGCATGATTCAATATTAAAGAAATTAAGAATGTCGTATGTTTAGTCATGCTCCCCTTCAAGGCGCATCGCTTGACCCTCGCCGCTTTTTACGTTCGAGGGATTCCATCCACCGCACAAGTGATAAGCGAGAAAACAATTAAAGCTACAAGCGAATTAGATCGTGTGGGGGAAACGCAAATCTCTAAACACTCCCCCAGTATGCAGGGAGAGAGACGGCCAGGGAAAAACAAAAAAGGGAGGGTTAACGCAAGCGCGCGCGAGTCTAGCAAAGCAAAAATGATGGCTCTTGCAAAGCGGGAATGGGTATGACTCTCTTTCTCTCTCTCTTTTCCTTTCTCTCTCCGTCCTTGAACCGGCACTGTGGCCAGTACGGCTGCAGCAAGCACCCCAATCCCGCTACGATGTGCAGGTGAGTCAATGTGACGATATGATGGCCCGTCACCTTGCCTCTGGCGTAAATATCGATGCAGCGTATATGTGCGTAGAGTCGCCGCCTCCCCACTGAGTACTAGCTGGGCATGCCAAAATTGGGGGGGGGGGAGGGTGTGCCGCTCAGAGTATCACTCTCGACGCCACGCTGAGCAACCACGCAGCGTCGTTCCAGCCTCCCTCGTCCGATTGAGGAGGGGGATAGGCTCTTCCCGTAATTTTGTTAGATGATCTAATGATCTTGCCGATGACGTTCTACTCGCTGTTGGAAGTCCTTCTGTGTCGGCATCGGTAGTATCGTCACCGCTATCCGATTCATCGTCGTCCTCTTCTACCGAGAATAGAGACCAGCCTAAAACATTGGCGAGCCACGAGTCTCGGCCGGCTTGGCCCCTACGGACGAGCTTACGAACCACAGCCTCGTCGTCTTGGGCCTCCTTTCCAAGAGCCTCGAGGCGCTCGTCCAGGTTGACAAAATCTGGACCAGCGTAATTCTCGTTGCTCTCGGGGCTTTGCCCAAAGTATTCGTCCAAATCGGCACGGTCTAGCGGTGTGAAACCATAGGCCCGGCTCTCCGGCCGACTATGTGGACGGCTGTGAGAGCGGCTGTGAGGTCTACTGACTGAGCGGCCAGGATGGTTCCCCTCTGGAGAACGGACGTGGTGGAGGAGGTTAGCATGGCTTCCCCTACGGCTAGAGTGCCGGCTTGCAAACTCCCTATCGCGCTCAAACTGTTGCTCAAGAATATCCTCATCCTCGTCATCTCGCGCGACAACTAGGCTCGTTGAACTGGCTCTCGACACCAGCCATGCTTGACCCTTGAACTCGCGGGCCTCGCTACTCATAAGCGCACCCGTCCGGAATAGCCAATCACGATCGGCAAACTCCGTGATCAACTGCTCGTCCTTCCGGCGCCGAAGCGGCGAGGCTGTGCCAGAAACGACGACACGGTCCTGGATACTTGTGGTGGAGAGTGCAAGGTGAGTAGTGGATTTGCTCTTGGTGAGCGACGTCCCCGTCATCTGTGAGAACCGGGCTCGCGTCGGAGACCTGGCGGCGGACCGGGAGAGGAGTCTCGGGGTTGTGGGGGCCGATTTCCCTTCAATATAGGATATTGTGCGCTCGGCACGTTGTGTGAAATGAACCTCGGTGTTACTATCGACTCCATCGAGGGGCAGCCTTGACGTCAAAGGTGCTAGCGTTAATCGGTTGAGGTTTGTTGAGGACCGGTTCTTTCGCCGTGTGGCGTGTTGGTTAAAGGCTTCGTCCATGGCGGGCACGGGAGGAGGTGCGCGGGTGTTCAATAATGTGAAGATATCAAATGTGATGGGGTGGAGAAATATATTTATCGCCAGGTAAACAGGGCTGTTGTGCAGCGCAAGAAAGGTTCGGGATGAGAGGTGGCAGAAATAGATGGGTGATATATGCGGAGGAAGTTGGCTAGCAAGAAAGCAAAAGCTTTCGTCGGCAATCGGATGTGGAAAAGATCAATGGGCTCGGTCAACTGACGGCCTGAGCTAAACACATGCTAGCGAGGCGAATTTTCTGCACCGGAGGGCCGATCGAAGCAATCACCACGCCACAAGTCGCGGGGAGGTTCCAAGGGGCAAAGGGCGCCAAAGGGAGGGGAGGAAAAAATTTACACGACCAGCCGTTTATTTTTCGTTGAAGCCGCGCTCAGATCCTCTTTTCCGACTCTAGTTCAAGAAGGCAGACACGAGATAATCGCTGGTTGTTCACAACCTCAACCTGACCATTGTAACGTCATGCGGCAGCGCCGAACGATCGAGGGCATGCCGAGGATTATTCTCCCTAGGCTTAGCAGACCTCCCTTCTCCGCACTCTTGCGGAGAACGGCGTCGCCAGAGGCTTCACCTTCCCAAACATGGAAAAAAACCGTGCATTAGCAACAGTCTGATACTGTGGTTGATCAGTGGGTTCCATATTGGAAGGTGCAAACGCTTCGGTTTAACACAGTGCTGATTGGTCACAGCTCTTGAGCAGAGGTTGCCTAAGCTTCCATAATTGTACCTCGGTACTCAGTACAAAATACAGATAGTATCGCATGTTCTAAAAGATGTATTAAATACTTTGGATTCACACCCGCCAGATGGAAGCTTCATGGTTGTAAGGGAAAAAAAAAAAAAGTCATCGAGATAATATCAAAGAGTCGAAAGCTGAGAGAAGAGGGCGTTCGTTCCACAGGTTACATATACCCCTCGTAAGGAGAGAACCCCGTAGAGGCTACAACTTTCTCGCCCACGATGCGCAATTTGCGTACTATCCGCCATGGTCTCTGGGAGTGCCCAAAACCTGTGACGGGGACCTGCTGGGACCCCGCCCAAGACGAAGTGATTTGCGCTATTGGGCCGACTGAAGAAAGCTCGACGATAGAACTCATCAGACTTGCGGAGAAGGGAACTGAAGTGTACGTCTACCATTCACCTAAACATTGTTCTCCCTCATCACGCTAACCCGGTCCAGAGTCGATAAACCTTTTGCATCATGGGAACTCGAGGCTACAAGTCCTGATGCGCCCGTGGATCGAGTTCTGTGTATCCATCATGCTAGTGACACTCTTACCACCTCCCTCGTCTTCGCGAATGGAGACATTGTGGTCGTCAAGGAGAGCGAGGCGCTCGGCGATGAACCGCCTCACATCGAAGTCATCGGCACCATCGACGAGGGCATTGCCGCCGCCCGTTGGTCTCCTGACGAAGAGCTCCTGCTTGTTGTCAGCAACGCCGACGAAGTCATGTTCATGGGCCGCAACTTTGATCCCATCGCACAGGCTACGATGACGGTGGATGACTTGAAAATTTCAAGCATGTTTCCGTTGGATGGGGCAAGAAAGAGACTCAGTTTCAGGGCCGCGGCGCAAGAGCTATGCGAGACCCCACGATTCCTGAAAAGGTCGATGAAGGTGTGCTGAGTCCGAACGACGACTCCCTAGCCTCTATAAGTTGGAGGGGGACGGTGCGTTTGTTGCCGTAAACTCTATCCAGGACGGTAATCGAAGGGTCATTCGAGTCTATAGCCGCGAGGGAGCGCTGGATAGCGTCAGTGAGCCGGTCGACGGGCTGGAGAGCGCGCTGAGCTGGCGCCCTTCGGGAAACCTCATTGCCGGCATCCAGAGATGTCCGGACCGCATTGATGTTGTCTTCTTTGAGAGGAACGGTTTGAGGCATGGCCAGTTCACCTTGCGCTCCGCGAGCGAGAGGATAAAGCTCGAGTGGAACTCCGACTCGACTGTTTTAGCAGTCATCTTCTCTGACAAGATACAGCTATGGACGACGGGAAACTACCATTGGTATTTAAAACAAGAGATACCCTTGTCTTCCCAATCCTTGAGCGTAGCGTGGCACCCTGAGAGGGCCCTTCGACTCGCAACCGCAACTAGTGGTAAGCATTTCGCAGTTTTGATGTCTCAATACCATTGCCCCTCATCTGACAAGTCGCAGACTCCATCATCTTCGCCGAGTACATGTTTGCGGCGACGCAAGGAACGCTCGCCCCTCCGAATGACTTTGGCGTGGCTGCTGTCATCGACGGCACCACTGTGCACCTTACGCCGCTCAGGACAGCCAATATGCCACCTCCTTTGTCTATGTTTGAACTCTCCGTTGAAGGCAATGTTATTGACGTTGCATTGAGTCATGATGATGACTTGATTGCCGTTTTGCATACCCAAGGCGTGGATATATACTCCTGGGCAGTGAAGGAGGGACGCCGTATGGCGCCCAGCCAGGTCGTCAAAGGCTCAATCCGCGACTCTCCTGACATGTTTGGCGAGGAAATATTTCTGCAAATCTTCTGTTCTGGAAAGAAGGAATTTAGCGTCCTGGGCCAGTCATATACTACTCTTGTCCGGTCGTTTCTCGTCGAATGCTCGACTCCAAGCCTCCAATGGCTTGACCCAATCCTACTCTCGCCTAATACCTCAACCTTGGTCGCTACAACTTCGACATATTTCGACGGGTCAGCCATTAGGGGTTACATCCAAGGCCGCGGTGGCAGCATTCAATCCGTCTCGGGGGTTCAACCGAACCTCTTGATGTTAGATTCAATGGCTTTCTTCCCTGGAACCGACTCATCACCACCAATGAAGAGCCTATCGCCATCGGTTTATCCAGGAACGGCCATCTCCATGCTAACAACAAGGTCCTTGCGAAGAACTGCACGTCGTTTCTCGTCACCCCGGATCATATCATCTTCACAACCAATAACCATCTCGTCAAATTTATCCACCTCGACGATCCTTCCGATATGGAGGTCCCGACGGATGATCCAGAGGTGGACGAGAGGTGTAGGAGTATCGAGCGAGGGGCACGCCTTGTGACCGCCATACCCACCAACATGAGCCTTATCCTACAGATGCCTAGGGGCAATATTGAAACCATCTTCCCAAGGGCCATGGTCGTTGCAGGTATCAGGCTCCTCATTGAAGATAAGAACTATAAGCGAGCATTCGCGTATTGCCGCACGCAGCGGGTGGATATGAACATTTTATATGATCACCGGCCGGCACAGTTTCTAACAAACGTGGATTCATTCCTCGATCAGCTCGAGGATGTCACTTATATCGATCTTTTCCTTTCGTCTCTCAAGTAAGATCCTAACCTTCTGATCCCGAACCTGCACGCACGCGTCTACTGCTTTTCCAGCCTTGTCTAACAGTCTCTTTAGGGAAGAAGATGTCTCTCAAACTATGTACAAAAATACGAAGCCGCAAAAGCAGGCAGCCAACGGAACTAGTGAAGCGCAAGACCCAACCACAGAGACCGCTGATGAACCAACATCAAAAATTAACAGGATATGCGATGCCGTCCTACGCGGACTCCGGTCCCGTAAATCGACCAATCTTCAAAATATCATCACTGCCCACGTCTGCAAAACCCCACCCGCTCTAGACGACGGCTTGACTCTCGTTGCTGGGCTCATGAGGGAAGACGAGAGCCTCGCGGAGAAGGCAGTCGAGCATATCTGCTTCCTGGTTGACGTCAACAGGCTGTATGAGCACGCGCTAGGACTATACGACCTTGAGCTTACCTTGCTAGTTGCTCAACAGGCGCAAAAGGATCCTCGAGAATATCTACCTTTGTTCAGGGTCTGCATGAGATGAACGAGCTTCGGCGTCGCTTCACCATTGATGATCATCTAACGAGACGCGAGAAGGCACTATCACACCTGAAAGAGCTGAATGCCTTTGAAGAATTGAAGAAGTACACTAGCAAGCACATTTTATATCAAAGCGCCTTGCAGCTATATCGTTATGACCAGGAGCGGCACGACGCCATCATGGAGATTTATGCTGAATATCTGGAGGCCATGTCACAATTCAGAGAGGCTGGCCTCGCCTACGAGTCCTTGAACAACTACCAACAAGCGACTAGTTGCTATCGCTCCGCGGGTGCAAACTGTTGGCAGGAGTGCCTCTTCACCTCGCAACAGCAAGCCCCGCCCATGTCCAGCGCAGCTGTCAGCGAACTTGCTCAAGATTTAGCAGAGGCTCTTTGGGAGGCAAAGGATTACGCCTCCGCCGCTGTCATCCATGCCGAATACCTCGACTCCCTCGAGATGGCTGTCAAGTGCCTTTGCAAGGGCTACCACTTTGCCGATGCCATGCGCCTTGTCTCCCGAAAAGGCGCATCCCACTTGTTACCTACCGCCGTCGACTCCGGCATCACAGAGGCTCTGAGCAGCAGTACCGAATTCCTCGCAGACTGCAAGTCCCAGCTTGGCGCTCAGGTCCCTCGCATTCTCGAGCTTCGGAAGCGCGCTGCCGAAGACCCTCTCTCGTTCTACGAGGGTGAGCGTGCTGGTGGCGCAGATATTCCTGACGACATCTCCATTGCGGCTAGCTCCAGAGTCAGCACGAGTGCCAGTCTGTTCACCCGCTACACCGGAAAATCTGGCAGCGTCGGCACCGTAGGAACGGGCGTCAGCCGCGCTACTAGCAAGAACAGGCGGCGAGAGGAGAAGAAGAGGGCCAGGGGTCGTAAAGGCACGGTCTACGAAGAGGAATACTTGGTCAATAGCGTCCGTAGGCTCGTAGAGAGAGTTGAAGGCGCCAAGGGCGAGGTAGAAAGACTTGTGTTTGCCCTCGTGCGGAGGAGCATGCAGGAGAGGGCCAGGGCGTTGGAGGCCCTCATAGCCGACGTGGTGGCCGCTTGCAAAGTGGCCATCGAAAGGGTCTTCCCGCCGGAGGAGAAGCCCGAGGCCGAGCAGGCTGAGGAGGGCATGTTCAAGCCCACCGGCGCGGACGCAGTGCTGCATGATCTGCTCGAGAGCCAAGGCAAGAAACAGGTTCCACCTGTGATTACGGGGATAGAGAGATTGACCCTCCTGGGATGAGGGAATTGGGCTGTGAGGAGGATGAGGGGATGAAAGCTGGCTAGGCGTTAGGCGAGGGGGCTTGGACACAAGGTACAAGATGGAAGGAAACTGAAAAAATGCGCAAGAAGCTAAAGCTAGAGGGTGGAATACATTGTATAGAATACATTCACTGCGAGGCCTCAAGAGAGAGGCCGCACAGAGAGGGAAAAAGAAAATTTAACGTCTCCGTCTATATGCGATTTTTAGTACATATTTTCTCATCTCTCTCCGAGATCCCCAGAACCAACCTTACCAAACGTACATGATTGACCTTCTCCTTCTCCCAAACCCTCCTCTGCATCACCCACAGCCGTCTCTCTCCCCATCGTTGCGAGCGGAGTAATGGGCATAACCTTCAGAGGCTTAGTTGGTGTTGTCCCATTTTACGACGATTTGGAGATGCCCGAAGATTCGAGAATCCTCGTCCTGTTTTTCGCAATTACAGCACCAAGCTTCTCCATCATGGCCTCGGTGAGGACGGGTTGGCCGACGCTCCTCTTAAGCTCCCTCTGTCTCCTGTTAAACTCCTCGAGCGGCGTGAGCATGGTAGCGACGGCCTTCTTCTGCTCCTTGGCCATGTCGGCCTCGGCCTGCTTCTTCTCGAGGTACCAAGGTTCGTGGCGGGTCCTGAAGCGCGAGTACTGATTCCTGAGCTCGTTGATGAGGGTATGGGGCATGGGAGGGCGGAGGAGAGTAGGGATAAAGGTGGCTTCGGAGGCGTCCTTGCGAGCGGTGTCGCCCGCGTGGTGGACCTCTTCGGGGTCGGTCTTCTCGGGCCAGGGGATGATGACGTTGAGGCCGGGAACGTAGCGGTCCCACTCGGTGGACTTGGTCAGTTGGTCGCGGCGGATGTTGGCGTGGCGAAGGGAGCGGACGATAACGTCGCGGGTGACGCCGGTCTCGGGGTCGGTGATGGGGTGGACGAGGCGGATGGCGGAGATGGGGATGGCCATGGGCGAAACAGAGCGGTCGGGGTAGGACTGTTCGCCGCTAATCTTCTTTCCGATCAGCCAGTCGGGGATTTCGCGACGAGCTATAGAAGACGGAGAGGGTTGTGTTAGCTAGCCTGGAGAAAAAAAAATGAAACCACACCCATTTTGAGAGATCTCGGTGAGAGGGGAAGAAGAGCTCGCGGAGCTCAACGTCCCCTCCCCTCATGGAAAAAGGGATCCAATCCGTACCTTGCCATTCTCGCTAAGCTCAACAGTCCCCGTAGCACGGTTGACAGTGGTGATGGTATCAATCTTGCCCTTGTCATGCCCCTCTGTGATGACAACCCGATCCCCCACAGCGAGGTTAAGGAACCTCGCGCCGCCGGCCCAGCCGCAGCGCGCTTCGACCTCGAACGGACGAAGCAGGAACTCGGCAGTTTGTTTCGCCGTCCTGGCGTGCTCAGTCACGACGCCGTGGCCGAGGTCGGCGCTGCGGTTCGGGGCCAGGGGCCAAGCTCCCAGCTTTCGTGGCGGGCGCGCCTCGCCTCGGACACGTTCTTGTTGAGATCCTCGAGGGCGGACTTGGCGCGGCGGACGCGATCGCGGTACTCGTGGCGGTAGGACTTGTTGTTCTGCTTCTTTAGGCGGCGGATGACCTGCCTCTCGGCCTTGACGGTGCGCTGAACGAGCTTGTCCATGGCTATTGCTAAGAACGAGGCAACGAGAGAAAAAGAAGGAGGCTAAAAAGCGGAAGGTAGTTAGGGAGCGGGAGATTGGACGGTGATTAAGCCTCGGAAAGGGCCACCTCCTCCGCTATTTTCGAGGCCTTGCGTTAGAGGGGAATAGTCAATTGGGATGAGGCACGATAAGGGTACGGCCCGGCGCTGGTCCAAGTCGTCGTCGTTGTCGTCCGATGCGCACCACGTCAAAAGTTCGAACCTTCAAAATTTCGGTCGCGAAGCCGCAGGCAGCTCACGTGCAGAGCAGCTGGGCGTGCACTTGGCACTGGCAGCCAGGCCGCTCGCGTTCTTTCGTGCACAGACCATGCATAAAAACGGACCCTCGTCAGGAGTATTGAATCGAGAGCTTGGGGCTTTCTCTAGCAACAGTGCAATCGATCTCTGGTGACTTAATGCGCACCGTATACTAAGGTACACTCGCCTCGAGGTTGTTGGCCCCCATTGATGAATGTACTATTATCAGTGTCAAGACCCTGCTCAGGGTATCTTGGTATCGTCATCTTTGGTCGGATGAGCGATCGAGCCACATGACACATGCAAAGGGCAACCTCAGACAGTACCCAGATCCAGACAGTGGGGAGCATCAACTATTATATCATAGAGAGAGCGTTTGACGTCCTGAGTGCCGAAACTTGAGCCAATCCGGTGTTCACGCTGGGGAGGCCCTGAATACTGGATGCAGCATAACTATTGGTAGTAATGGATGTTGATGAACTCATAGCCAGCGGTGCTGCAGCAATAGGCTGGCAGTTGGGTATGATGCGAGCGGTGAGGACGTCGCCAAGGGCCCCTTGATTGGCCCCCTCGCTCATCACCAAGCTCTCCTTTCTTTCAAACCCAGCGTGCAAGGAAGAGAGAGAGGAGGAGGAGGAAAAAGGAACGGACTAGCCGTGTCAGGTCCACTCTGTTGGGTTCCACATGACCCACGAACAAAGCTCAAGGCACTTTTCCTCCCAAGCCAACGATCTCTTCGCAGGTGCTCTTGGCAAATTCTGCCCAAGCCGTCTCTTGCTCGCTCCGTCGCCAGGCGGTGCCTGGCCCTCGCACAGGAGCCGAGAGAGCACTGCATGTGGTTGGTGACAACGCCGCCAGTGGGCGGTGGAGAACATTGATTGAGGGTTCACTGTTCTAGGACTCGTTAAAGCCGACGTCGTCGGTTGGTGGGCCGCAGCACAGTTTGAAATTCCTAGGACTTCCAAGACTCCACAACCCCCAGCCCAGCGTTCCAGTCCCCGCATTTCAGCGGAATTAGCGCTAGTCTCCCCTTTCTGGACAGACAGGCAGACCATTGATCAATCAATCACATCAAGCAATACGCGTGTCCCGGAACATGGCAGGGGCTCCTATCAACGACGGTGTCGATGAATTGACCAAATTGAACATTCTCGGCTCTGGCCTGCCCATGTTGCCCGTTCATGAATGGAAACAAAAGGGCTTCATAAAATCCCGAAGCAAAGAGGTCAAGTTCGGCCAAAAACATCCCATCCAGTGTACAGCTCTCGGAATTCGTCTTGTCGTTTGTTGATTGCATACAGTCAGTGTACGAAGAGCTATGGGAGCCGACGAAGAAATGGAAGAGAATTCCACGTATTCATGAATATGGATGATGAAAAGCAAAACCAATGGTGGTATCGTGTTGCACCTGCACCTGCACCTGCACCTGTACCTCCTCCGCGGGCACATAGGCGCATTTCCATGTCCGCGCCGATGGGTGAGATTTAATGCTAGTAGAAACGCGCATGTATGGATGGATATGCGGTAGCCGATACTAGTCGATCACGGGCTTTTGGCGATCTCGCTTCGACACAGCAATCCAAGCCACACGACCCCCGAAAGCTCGTATCAGCCGCAGCGTTATTCGGCAAGAAGACAGCTTCATTTGGGGCGTCGCCGAATATTTGGATTCGCGGTACTCGATAAAAAGAGGCCGCGGGTTCGTTAGAAATGGAAATGGATGCTTGCTCAGCCTTCCAGACAGTCGGCCCAAACTCTCCAAGGAAGAGGGACAGACGTACTCTGCGCGTTGCGACCATGGACAATGACATCCGGCACCATTGCATGGCCAGACCTGAACTCTGACATCCGAGATTACTGCAGGCTAAGGCCATCGGCCATGTGAAGATGAAGAAAAAGCACCGATTCAAGGGGAACAAAAATAAAAAGTGAAAGACAAGGGGCGATAGCCCCAATCAGCCGAACTAGGAGGGCGGCTTCGGCATGGCAATTAACATCTTTCGTCATGAAGGTTGCTTTCGTATTTCCACTACACGAGTTTCGATAGGAGCGAGCGTGAAGCGAATCCAACACTTGGCCCCCTCCTGGTTGCCTCCCGGCTCCACCTTAGCTCACAGTGGAGGGCAGCATGATGATCCGGGTAAGCCGTGGAGCCAGCCCACATCGACTCTCTCGAGGATCGGCCTAGGCCTGACTATCAACTTTGCCCCGTGAAATTACTGTGAAATTACAGCGAACGAGGTACTGCTGAACATTGATCCAGCATCAGCACCCATCTCAAGGCGGGGACGATACGAAATTTAGCCCGTCTGCAGGGGTAAAGGGAAACGTTCAAGACTCGGAGGCTTGTGGAAATACCAGCACCGAAAAGGTGAAAAAGAAAGAAAGAAGAAGACTCGGAAAGGATGTCAACTGAAAAGAGAATACACGGGGGTAGGGCGGGGGGAGCGGACGAGAAGGCGAAAGAATCACTGGAGATGAGATGATTTGTGTCGAGACTCGATAGTGGGAAGTGGTTGGGAACACTTGCTGTCTCAGGTATTGCCATGTGGCTGAGAAACAAGGCCAGGCCTAAAAGTCCCGGCCAAGTTGGGCTTATCGCAAGGAATCGGGGGCCACCGAGACCTGATGCGAGTCGATGAGATCATCTCGAATTCAGGGAGGTTTGGGGGAGCCGTGCCATCAACCAACTGATTTCAAGTTTTCAGGAATAGCAATTATTACGGGCTATTTCGACTATCAATGCTACGCTCTGGGGAACGGGACGCCGCTGCGGCCAACGAGCGCTGCAAGTCCAAGGTTGAATCAGGAATCAGGGCCATATCGAAAAGGCAGGCGACCACTCGAAATCAAGGAGTCAAGGATTATCGACACAAAGGAATGTGAAATATAGTTCTGCAGGCACTTTTCTCGTCAAGTATTATAAACAAGGGTTTCACACGCCGGTCCCCTTGTCCCAGTTACGCCCCGCGCCCCCAATAAAAAAGAAAGAAAAAAAAAGAGAAAAAAAAAGAAAGAAAAAAAGACAGGGCAGGGAGATCTCTTTTCCAGGCAATTGTCATGAGGCAAGAGGAACGGCTTGGTTTGATATCAGAGCCATGGGTTTGGCATGGAAAGAAGGGAATCGTCGTCTTTTGAGCAAGCTTCAGCCTTTAGTTGTGCTCGGATTGGATCGAAAGGCGTCTAGGGCCTCCCAAAGCAGATGTCAAGCCGAGTTTGGTAAAGAATGCGGAGATAATGGCAAGTACAGCTCAAGAAGAAAGGACAATACGAGAAGAGGAAACCCTACGTTTGGGGCAACAGTCATTGATACATGGAGATTTTGAGGGCATGGCAGTGAATGCTTCACCGAAGCGATCATAGCCATTCTCAAGAGGCTGTCCATCACTGACTCTCTTTCCAACAACCCCCGGTCGGAGTCTTTCGGGGTAGAGGTTAGCGGCGGTTCCCGTGAGCATATTGAGGGCGTTGAGGTTCGAATCGGACTTGGGTTCAGCTGCCAGCGGGATTGAACCTAGGACCCAGGCAAGCCGGGACGAACCCTGGTAAACTCGCCGAAATTCCAGCCTCACCGACCATTGATAGGAGCTGCTTGGCTGGCCTGGCCTACAAGTACAAGTAATAGTGGCCCAGCACTTGTCGGAGCACGACACCATTACTTCGGGGCGTTGACCAAAGTATTTCAAGGAAAGAAGGGGAGAAAAAGGTGCATGGGCGACTTGTTGAGCACCGCCGCTTTGATTTCCCTGTGCAGCCCGGAGCAACGCAACCAATCCCCCAGCACCTGCGTGGCCTCAATGATACTTCGTACTTCGCCTCATCAACACTTGTACAAGTATCAATCTGGAGGTACATTGGATCTACAGTGCGCAAACCTCTTCTCCTCCGCCGGGCGCCAGTCCCAGGTGCTGTCTTTCCGGCAAAGGGAGAACAATTGGGGGCTTTTACGCTTGACAAATAAATCAATGGATATATAGAACTTGGTCATTGAACACGTTTGGGGGAAAGGGGAAGGGGAGAGAGAGAGAGAGAGACTTGAGGGGGAGATGCACTCGGGTCACGCAGGCAGCACCAGGCTGGACTGGACGAATCCCGGATTTTAGAGAGGCATTGATTGATGGATCCAATGGATCAAGAGATCAATGGATCCATTCCATAGCCCTCGATTGTCCATTAGCACTCAATGCTGCTGATGGAGTGCATCAGCCGCTGTGTCACTCGCCGAACACTGTTTCCTAGGCCCAGGAACCGCACCGTATGAAAGATGTCTACATTTTCGGGGCCACCAATGTTCAACCGTGTGGTGCCTGCTGGGTCAACGATTAGGGTCAAGGTATGACAACATTCACCACTATTGCGCCCCCTTTGGGTCCTTCCCATCCCCCTTCCAAAACAATTTCAGGTTGAGTCGTCAACCAAGTCCTACTCGACCGCCCCTTATCTTACATGCCTAAGGCTGCGTCTGGCTGAGGCGGACAAGTACAGTGCAGAATAGGCTCCCACCAAGCACTTGTGGCTCCAGGGAGTACTTGTACCTGGCGCACCTCCTCTCCCCACCAACGCCTCCTCCCTCTGTGCTCAAAACAGCAAGCAACCTGAACATAACCTAGTTGGCTCTTTTCCCCCTTCTCGTCCTTCGACCCGCCTCAAAACCTTCCCAATCTTCCCCAACCCTCTTTAACTTCCCCCTTCCTTATCCCATTTACTCCGTAAACAACCACCCACGATCTAGTTCGCTCTCCTTTAGAGTAAACAATCCAGGCACCTCAACATCCGCAAAACCAGCGTCCCAATTCTTTCATCTCGCCCTCCTTCAACACTCTCTTCTCCTTCCTCACCTTTCCACACCCTACACCATGGCCGAAATCCGCCGAAAACTCGTCATCGTTGGTGATGGTGCCTGCGGCAAAACCTGCTTGTTGATGTGAGTGAATCAACCCCTTGCCTGACCCAAACCTCCCTGCTCTTCATCTACCACGCTGTCCGTGGCCCGGTCTGCATCATCTTGATTTTCCCCCTCCCGTCACTTCTGCCTCAGCGCAGCCTTGCGTTCATTTCCAGCCTCTTTGGCAATGCCTCCGTGAGATTGGGTTGGCATTGAGGACAACCGAAGCTAACTCTGTCATCAGTGTTTTCTCCAAGGGTACTTTCCCCGAGGTACGCATCTCCCCTCGTGATTTTTAGATTCCCCGACCCCCTTTCTTGCTGCACACACAAAATCCGCGTCACAGTAACGGGCCCAACTTTTGGAATCGTTGTCCGGTTCTCCCGCTCCTCCATGACGATATTACGCCCCGATGCTTTGAGAAGCAAAACCCATGGAACCCCTAAAATGGGCTCCACACTCCAACCAGCTCCAGTACTTTTGACCGCCTATTATCAATTTTTTACGACGATAATCTCGGACCACATCCTTGAAGCCATGACGTCAAAGTGAAAAAAGGGAGAAGCATTTGAGACTAATTAGACGTGCCCTCTTAGGTCTACGTTCCCACCGTATTCGAGAACTACGTCGCCGATGTTGAGGTTGATGGAAAGCACGTCGAACTCGCCCTTTGGGATACGGCTGGCCAGGAAGATTACGATCGTCTCCGCCCTCTCTCTTACCCCGATTCCCATGTGATTCTCATCTGCTTCGCGATTGACTCGCCCGACTCTCTCGACAACGTCCAGGAGAAGGTACGTTTACTTGAATACTCGACTCCAAGGCTCGAGACAGATTGTGCAGCTCAAATCCTCGCCTCCACTCCATCCTTGAAGATGGATGGCGACGGTTGATGTTGCCTAACTGCTCGAGTCGAGAGGAATATTCTGCTAACCTGGGCCGTTGTTTCCCTTTCTAGTGGATCTCGGAAGTTCTCCACTTCTGCCAGGGTCTCCCCATCATCCTGGTTGGCTGCAAGAAGGATCTCCGATACGACCCCAAGACGATCGAGGAGCTTCGCAAGACAAGCCAGAAGCCCGTGTCTCCCGAAGAGGTGAGTCAATTGAGCCCAATCATTTGACGGTGCTACCCTGCAAGAGCAGGCCTTCCCGCTTCAAGATTGCTAACTCGTGGTTCCAATACAGGGTGAGGAAGTCCGAAAGAAGATTGGTGCCTACAAGTACCTCGAGTGCTCGGCTAGGACCAGCGAGGGTGTCCGCGAGGTGTTTGAGCACGCTACCAGGGCAGCTCTCCTTTCTCGCAAGTCGAACAAGCCTCACAAGAAGTGCTTGATCCTTTAAATGGATTTCTCGCCAAATACCCCACCGGTGAAGCCCGGCTCTGTATACGACATCTAATCAACATAATGATGCGGTCACCTTTCGCTTTTTACTTGGCATGCTCTCGGCACGGCGGCGGGGATGGATATCACGATCTCGGTGGAGGCTGGCGTGCCCGCAAGGAAACTTGCACGTCTTTGCCTAGTCCAGCCCTCGGTTCCCAGAAATGGAAAATGATGGTCTCGACGTGCGCGACAAGGTCTTCATCGGGGTTTCGTATCTTCTCCAGCCAATAGTGCAAAGGAGGGAGGCTCGTCTTTTTCCCCCTTAGCTCATCTCTTGATCTTTTTTTCTTCAGCGAGGAATTATTTGGCTTTACTCACTTCGTGTTTGCTCTCCTCACCCATACTACCCCTCCCAACCCCTTGATCGCGCGATGGAAGACAATGCGATGAGGAAAATGTTTGATTCATGTCTTATTTTTCTCTTCCATGGTTGGCAACTAGCAAAGATTGTTTCCTAGTTTCCGATGGCTTCTATGTCTGCTTGGTTCTTGTGTGTCTTGACTTGTACGCTTGGACCTGCTATAGATGGGCGAGATCATGAGTAAAGGGAGTCAACGTGGTCGAGCATGATGTCAACCGGAGACGGGAAAGCTCGTAGTCGCTATGACTTCAGCAAGTATTTGTCTGTGGCATGTGTTTTGCTCTGCCGTGACTTTGACTTTTTGTGTGCTGCATGTGACTTTGTATGCCTTGTGTTTCTATTTTTTTGGCGGCGGCGGCATCGGCTGGGCTGGGCTAGACAGGAAGTGGGAGGGAAGCACAAGGGACAGGGGATGAGCCAGTCAAGGTACAGCTCGGGAAGAGCAAAAGCCAAAGTCTTGCGGGACACACGGCTCCTGTCTTGCCCACCATCGCGTGCCTTTGTGCTCCCCTTCTGCGCTTGTTGTCTGAAACGGACGCCGACTTGAAGGAGGGGATGTCAAGGTCTTTGTGTCGCTGGTGAACAGGTGCTGGCTACCGCATGTATTTTGTCTGTCTTGTTGTTCTCTTTCAATCTTCAGATGTCTGTTTCTCTCATACCGGACCGAACTGAGTGCTGATTCTGCTCGGCTTTGCTGTTGCTCAAGGCGGATAACGCATGGCCGCCGCCGTACTCTCTTCCCTTGTCTTTCTCTCTGACTGTGACGGTTGTGCCATGCTTTCCTGGTCACCAGCCACCGTAACGAAAGCAAAGGCGGAAAGGGGGTTGTTGATGGTGAAGGAAATGTAGCCTACGAGAGAATGACACACAATATATGCCTCGGTAGAGTGCCATTTGATCGAATCCTATTCAGTCTGGTGGGTAGCTATCTGCCTTGCCTTTAAACCCGAGTATCACGCCCGTACAACTAATGCAATGTGAAAGTGCAGCAATTTGCTCCAATGTCCTCCATAAACGACTCATCAAAGCAGTATAATGAGTGATGGGGCGAAGGATATCATCGTAAAGAAACCAAGTAACACAACTCAGAATGTGCGTGGAACCCCGAGACGTTTTGCACAACGCACCCCGCTTAGTTGGGGCAGGTCTGATTTGACATGGAGTTAGCAAAACCAAGACAGAGGGAACCTCGTCAGGCCAAGGAGACGAATAAGTTGAGAGAAGCCGGTGGATGGGGGTGAAAGGGGGCAAAGGTTGACGGGGACGCTGCTGGGGGAGTCATACAGCACCGCAAGAACCGCAAGTCTTGATAGCGCCCGAAGCAGTGGCGCCGCACTTGGGGCAAGTACCGTGGAAGTTGACGAGCTCCTGCATCTTGACTCTTTTTGTTTTTTCTTCTCCTTCTTCGGTTATATGCTACTTGGGACGGTGCGAGGGACGGAAATGGATTTGACGAAGAAGTTGGAGGAAGGAGAAACGACGGGTTTGGAGCAAGAGAGGAAAGCGCAGCTACGAGAGCGAAGAAACCAAGGGTGTCGCAACTTATATTGGTGTGGGAAGGAAGTGTGGGGTGGGTTACCAAGCGGGGCGGGGTCTCGACTCTGGCGATATCAAATCCTTTTGTCTCGTCGAGGAAGGTGAGGGGGTTTCCTTCCCAAGATAACGGGCGTCCTAGACTCCTGAACATGAACCCGTGACAACAGGCAAGTCGTAGCTGCCTACCAACTACATATGGGACACGGGAAAAAGGGCAACTACTATGTCGGGGGATGTAGAAAAAGAAAGAACAAGAAAGACCAACCCCCGCCATCGCCCCTTCTCAGTACAATAGATACACGAGAAACCCGACCCGCGGAGCGCGTCGGGGAAATAGCAACTCAGAGAATGCTACTTAGGCGCAGTCCCATTTTAGGTAACAGCAAGCTAGAATTCTGGGCTACATGCGCGCGGGGGACGACAAAAGGCGCTGCTTCCAAGCCTTGATGCCGCCTTTACCATTGATGGCCGTCCTTGCTTGAGCGAGGTCGGTTTGTAAGAGGCCAAAACCGGCTTCCGACCCCCAGCTAAGCTATTGATCTCTGATGCACCGCAACTGCCCACTTCTTACATCTAGTTGAACAAAGAAAATAAGAGAGGATATGAAAAGAGCCAAATCCAAGCCCAAAACGACTAAAGGAAAGAAAAAAGGAAAAAAAAGGGGAGACGAACGATTTGGGGAACAGGGCAACAAACTTGTTCCCCACGTCAGCTTCCGACCTCTTCTCTCGTTTTCCCGCTAGTGCCCTGCATGCCCCCTCCATCGACGGCTTGACAATGGGCCTGGTTGGTGCTTGGAGCGATCATCTAGCCAGTCAGCGCCCATTTATTTGATCACACACTCGCCATACCGCCTCGCTTTGTTCCCCCCTCGCCCCCTCGCCCCCGTTTTCCGTCTTTTAGGGGACCCGCGATCTTCCGCTTCCCTGCTAGTCCTCTAGCTGCTTTGGGGAGGCTCAACGATGGTTGTGGCCGGCATTTCGTGTCCTCGTGCAGGCTTGGGGCCCGCTTCTTCCATTTACGAAACCAGGTTTGGGTCTGAAGGGTTCAACGTTGGGGGTTGGCATACCACAAATGCCCAGTAAGCTTCGAACCGCTCCAAATTCCACAGCTTCGCCTCATACAAGTTTTACGTTTAACCCTCTTATGTTCTATACCTCTTAGCACACTAGACACAGGAGAAAGGCCAAGGAGACGAGTAGCCGGAAACGCCCAATAGGTGCGTGTGTAAGTGTAACTCTGTTTTAATACAAGGCTGTCGTGATGCTAGATTTGGGGACTCATGGTTCCTACTCCAACTCCATAATCTCATGCCTGGCCCCTACCCGTCTATGGCACATTCATCTTGGAGAGCCTTCTGGATACTCCTCATCTTTGATGTGCACCAGTTCCTCTCCTGTCCATTTTCGTTGTTCTATGTGATCAGAGTAAAAAAGTAAAAAAGGTAAAGAAGGGAAAAAAAAACAAGAGAAGGCTCGAGGGGAGGGATATTCCCAAACCCCTGGTGAAACAAAAAGAAAAGAACACGCAGACAACGTAGTCAAGCGCGGGCGGTTGTGGCAGTAGTTGGCTCTAAGAGTAGATAGCAGGGTGATGGTACTTGGAGAAATAAGAAGTAAAAGAAGAGGGGAAGAAAATAGAGAGACGCTTTGCTATAGTTGGTTTTACATGCACTGCCCAGGCCCCCCTCGCCACTGGCAATCTTTTGCACCGCTTGCACGATGCTCACGACGAGCACGAGGCACCCGAAAGCGGCCACGCCCAATGCGGCGTAGGTCCGCCACGACCTCGTCGTGAGTTTGACGTAGCACAGCGGCGGGAGGATAAAGGCGAGCGCGCAGGCGCTGGTGGCGCCCACGAGCTCGAAGACGGCGCCCAGGTCGCAGGTGACGACGCTGAGAACGGTGGCGGAGATGATGAGGCTGGTGCTGAGGATGAGGTGGAGGTTCATGTTGAAGGGCTCCCGGGGAAAAGTAGTGGAGCATGACCTCGCGGCAGACAAAGGCCTCGAGGGGCAGCGTCGTGAGCATGTTGAGGCCGAAGCACAGGCGCGCAATGTTGACCATGGTGTTGTCGGCGGGGAAGTTGTTGAGCACGTTGCCGAGGGTCTTGTCGCCAAACGTGAGGAAGCCCGTGAGCCCGAGGACGAGGCAGGCCACCATGGAGATGGTGGTGGAGTAGTGCGTGACGCGGGAGAAGCGGTCCATGGTGGGGGTCTCCAGGGAACCGTAGATTAGGAGGGAATTATGGTGACATACGAAAGCTATTGGTTTGGGTTGAAGCGCCCGTGTTAGCAGGCCCGCCTAGAGGGGGAAAGGTGTGCGTGCGTGTTTGGGTTGGGGTGGAGGGAGGGTGCTCGTACCAAAAGAGATGACGCCAATGGCCTGGAAGATGCCACTATTGATAAAAAGATGTTCCCTGGTGATCTCTCCCCGGTCTTCGCTCGGGACCAACGCGCCCTGCACCACGACGGTGACGATGATAATGGACATGCTCACAAGCGCAAGCGTGCTAGCTTTGGCGAGCTGTTGAAAATCACTTTAGAGTTAGCCCCAATCACACTAGCACCAGCTATACACCGCGCCCTCCCCCTTCAGCTTGGTTCTCGGCATTGCGCCACCTCACGGGGGCCCTCTGTCTTAGCCAGAGAGGAGCAAGTACAAAAGAAAACGATAAAATTTTTCTCACCTTTGCTATATCGCGATATAGCGTCAGAGGGTAGCTGACGCCTATGATAAAGACAGCAATCACCACCCTCCTATCCGCCAAGAGCCCGAAAACCGGCATCTCCCTCAGCGAGGGCCAGATAGCCTCGAGGACGTGCGGGATCGTATCCCCGACAATGACGCCAAACGCGACCATGCCCCCAAAGGCAAAGGCCCACTGGGCGACCGAGATGGCGATGAGGCCGGCCTTGCCGAAGCAGTGCTCGACGGTGCCCTGGAAGCTATTGGCCCCGCTCAGCTTGCTGTTGATCACGATGAGCCGAATGGTCCAGTCCACCGCAATCGTCAGCCCCACCAGCAAGCTCACGCCCGCGAACAGGCCCGCCTGCCGCAGCGCGTAGGGCTGGCCAATGATGCCCGCACCGATAATGGAGTTGGCCATGTTCATAAACGCCGAGCGCAGGTCCGACTTGGGCCGGCGCCGCTCCTCCTCGGCCCACTCGTGCACCTCGCCGTCGCCCCAGGGCCCGTTCGCGACCGCGACGGACGGAGCCTGGATCCCCGTGAGCAGCGGCCGCCGCGTCCGCGAACGCCGCCCGCCCGACCTCCCGTCGTTGTCGTCGCCGTCGTCGCCGTCATCGTAGTCGTCGCTGTCGTAATCGTCGTGCATGTCAAAGGAGCCCGAGGACCGGTCCCCCGACATGCGTATCGAATAGTCGCGCGGCGGCTCGAGTACGGACGGGGTGAGGTCGAAACGCACTCGGTTCGCGCTGCGCGGCGTCCGCGGCGACGTTATGAGCACGGGGCTGGGTATCCGCTTCGGTAACCGGAGGGGAGGTTTGCCGTGAAGCTGGGCTCCGTTTCCTTTCCCGTTCCCGTTCCCGTTTCCGCTTCCGTTGGCCTTGCCGTGGCCGCCGTGGCCATTATCCTCATCGTCGGAAAAGTGTGCGAGGAGTCCGGCTTCCTCCTCGTGTTGTGGCGCCGGCGCCGAGCCTCCTCGCGCGCGTGGGCTCCGTCTGTCCTGGCCTTGGCCATTGTGGGGGGGAGGGTTTCCCGCAGCTACGCTAGCATCTTGAGCACAGGATTCACGGTCCTGTGTTCCGTCTAGGCTGGGGAGGGCGAATTCCTTTCGAGCCGGGAGACCGTGTGTCGAGATTCGGGGACGAGGAAGCGTCGTGGGTGGGTGCCAGTGGTTGGGATCACGGGTCTGGAAGCTGACGTTCGTTCTCGAATTCGCTAATGGCAAAGGTGGAAAGACGTCAAGTATAAACGAGTAGGATAGAGAGCGAAAGAAAGAAAGCTTAGAAAGAAAAATGACGGATTAAGGAGGGATTGGGAAATCGACGTCAAGGGGTAGATGGACAATGGGGAGGAAATAGTGGATGTGATGATGGAGTAGCACCTAGCAAAGTTGGCGACAATGGGGTACACGATTACGCTCTAACCGAGCGATAGGGGCGATGTGGAACCAAGCCTCGCGAAATTCGTTTGTACCCAGTCAAGGTCAAGCCCAGGCCCAAGCCCAGTTCAAGCCGCAGGACAGTGCAGGCAGCCAACAAAGCCACCAAGCAAGTGGGAGACTCGAGATCCCGCAGGCAGCCGAGCAGGACCCGTCAATGCGCTGACAATACCCTATTTACTTGGCCACTTGGAGCAACCGGAGAGGCCAGACCAACAGTATATTTATATGATTTACACTGTTTTATTCACCTCTCAATGCTTCAAGTTTCAATGTTTTGTCTGAGGACAGAAGCACAGTTTTAGCAGGACAGATAGAACTGGATGCTTCATTTGGTAAAGAAAGAAAAAAAAAAGGAGAAGCTTTAGCCTAGGAATCTCACCACTGAGAGTATCCTGCATTTCTCCTTGACATCTGAGAGAAAAAGGAAGAAAAAAACAATAATGGGATGAAGAATAGAAAAATAATAAAACCTGTTGAGTAATCTTACAAGGCAGGGTTGTCAGATAACCAGAATAAAAGCCAGCGAGCAAAAAGCGACCTTTCTGCTCTCCGTCAAACCCGTTGCGTGGAAGCTTCGGGGACGAATAAGCTTCCCGGAAGTCCGAGAGGAACCCGCTGCTACCTTCTGGTGCGTGTCCAAGTTGGCGACAGGGGCAAGAGGGACAGACAGACAAAGCTAGCGCGAAATGCCAGACGACACATCGACAATTGGACATCACCTTGGTGACTGGCTTTTTGTGCCTTTTTTATTCCAGCCCTGGGTACACCCCACGAAACTTGATAGCTGGTGGCACTCTTCTTGTTCCATTGAGGACATATTCGAAGAGAGTGCGCCTCCCTAAGTAAATCGCCTCTGATACCCGATTGATCCCAGCAAAATCCCCAGCAATTGGAGCTGGTTGATCCATGCAGCGAGAAATCCACTTCTCAAGTTGCCCCTGAATCAGGCATCAGAAAGGAAAGGGGGCTCGAAGGGTCCTCGAAAGAAATGCGACGGTTTGTTTCGTCATTTTCGCTAGTCATCTATCGGTAGAGTCAACATGTATTCATGTACTGGGACGTTCTATCAATCCCTCAGGCGCCGAGATTGACGAAATGAAGGACATGGGGCCCATAGCGATCCACGAGGATGAGATTGCTGATCAGCGGTGGTCAACAGTAGTCTTCTCTAATGGCGAAAAGGCTGTAAAAAGGTCAAATGTGTTTGGAGCATATCGAATGTATTCCTTGTTTCCTATTGCCTGCTAAATTGTAGCTTCATCTTATTACAATGGTAGTACAGTTGTTCAAAGTGCGAGAGCCAGAGGCGCCTTCCAAGGCCCTGCTCTCTCCAATGCTCACTACGGATCGAGGTACTTGAAGATGACCTCTTGTCCACCTAGATTTGGACGACCATGACGTTCCTCCTCTTTCAAACAAACCCGGTCGAGGTCGAGAAGAAAACAAAACCCCCACCACGCCCTTGTTTTTCTCTCGTCTCTCGCCTGGCTCGGGTATCATGTGTATGTTGAAATATAAAAAGAAAAAAAAAGAAAACAGGACTAGTGAAAGACACAAAAAGCGAATGGAACTAGGGTACCCTTAGATGCAAGACAGATCTGTGTCAAAGGCAAGCTCGTGAGAGCTGACAGGATGAGTTCCCAACTCATCCTTTCCCATTTCGATCTCCAGTATTCCAGGAGACCAATAGATAATGAGAGTAAAATACGACCGTAAATGGCGCCATGCTAACGATTGTCGAGGTGGTGGAAAAAAAAACGAAAAGATGAACAGCGAATACGCTGTCGTAAAAGAAAGAGTTGCTGCGCCGCCACCGATACGCCTAGAACGATCCCGGTGAAGGCGAAATGCTCCGTCAGGGTCCTCCCTTGGTGTAGGAGTGCGCCCATCATGATGCAAGTTGATTGGTATTTAGAAGATGATGCTAACCGTTGACACGGCAAGCACGACGATCCAGAAATGGTGGGAAGGCAGCCTGAAGGACATTAGTCCACCCTGGCTCGACTCCGCATTAGCCGACTCCGACTCTGCTGTGGCGGTTGCGTCTTCCGCGCCGGTGGACTCTCCAACGCGCGAAGTTTCGGGGCCTCCAACGCCCAGGGGCCTTCAGTCTCCGAGGTTGGCTCGGTAGATGCGGGCGTCGTCGCCTCGTCGGCTGGCGGAGAGCTGCTAGGTTGTTCTGCCGCAGCTTCTGTCGGCTCCCGAGCTGCGAATCCTACAAGGGCGATTCGGGTTAGCACGTTTTCTCCACCACGGAGCAGGCGGCCCAGAAAGTGGCCAGGCGAGGCAAAAGCAGGGAAAACTTACCAATCTTGAGCTCATCCATATCAAACACTGTATAGACGTTCTTGAGAAAGACGGCCCCGAGAAGCCAGCCATTGGAAACAACCTCGTGACCATAAATGTTGCTTCCGCACATTCCATCGCCTGAAGAGCTACCAACCCAGTCCACGGCCTGCACATCATACCGTTTTCCGGAAAAGGTCATGGATATCGCTTGCTTCGTGTCGCACGGCACCTTCCAGGTGATACCATCGGAGCTGGTCGCACCCTTGATAAGACCGTGAACGGACTCTACATCCTTGGGAGGCCCAAATACGAACGAGGTGCCGGTATCGATATAACCAAGGCGGTCACGGATCCCGACGCCTTCGGTCCCAACGCTGATGTCGTCAAGGGGGATGGCCCAGTCGGAAGAGACGTCTTTCGGAATGTTGGTGTAACTGATGTCGCCAGTGTATTTCTTCTGGTTGATGCCGCCCAACGTAAGCTCACCGTCGTTAACGCCAGAGGAGCCACGGTTGAGGGAAACGGAAAACACGTTTTTGGCGAGCTTCTTCGACTCCTTTAGTTTGACGCCAAAGTTGTCCGTCGACGTTTCCGTCATGGACATGCCGAGAATTCCGTCAAACGGAAAGTGCTTGAAATCGTTCGAGGTTGTCTCTGCAACTCCAAATTTCATGGAGACGCCGAAATCGCCGAGCTTAATCGAGTCCTCGATTGTGGGCCCTTTAACGGAGCCTGAGCCATAGTTGACGCTAAAGTTGCTCTTGAGATCCTTGGCGGTGGTGGACTTGGAAATGTCGAAAGAGTCGTGTAACGCACAAGGGTCTGATGAGCACTTGGAGCCCATGACCCAAGTGGTACCCGCACCCGTGTCGAATAGCATGTACATAGGGGTGTTGCTGGAGCCCACTTGCACTCGAACAAAGTAGGCATAGTCCTTGCCGTCCTGGTATATTCCGATGCCGTTTGATTGCTCTGGTGGCGTAGGCTCCATAACACTGTACTGGTTCTCGCGTTTACTGTGGCCCTGGGCGTGAGATCTTGCCGCTCGGCGATGGGCATATTTCCTCGACAGCCACCGGGCCTCTCGAAGTATGTCCGCATTGGTCAAGTCATCAACCTGTCAACAGAAGATTTCACGTCAGCACAAGTACAACAGCGGTACGGGGTTTCTCCGCGAGGGAGTCCGGAGAAGATGAACCTACCTTTCTTTCGGCCACTCGATGGATATTCACCGTCACAGGTGATCTCTTCACCTCGGCCCCGAGATTGAGGGTCGAACGCTTCGTAGCCTCACCATCATCGTCGCACGTACCGTCCACACGACACGGCTCCCAGATGAACAGAGCGTTGGTAGATGCGGCCCATGCTAGGAGCTGGAGACAGGCAACAGAAAGCTTCATCCTGGTAGGCTGTAGTCCGACGGTTGCTCAAAACACCCACTCCGAATCAGAGAAAGGGAGAGCTTAGGCGTGTGATGCCGTACGTTGTATCCGGGTATGGTTAACTAGTCTCTGACCATGAGGGACACCAGTGTCTTTAGGAGGTTTGGCAAGGTTGATGTTGATATGGTTCAAGCACTGGTCCTGCAGCCAATTGTTATGTCGATTAAACGAGTAGCGTCAAGCTGGAAGATGTGAATCACGAGAAGGAAACAAGTGACAGGAACAGATTGCCAGTCGATGATTGTTCGTGATGTTCGGACCGGCCACACAAACTTGGGGGACAAATTGCTTTGACGGCCAAGGCGGCGACAGGAGGATATTAGTGATGTTGAGGGGTGCTGAAATATATATGAAAAAGAAAATATTAAAAAGAAAATTTGGTCGTCAAGCACGTTACTCGATTCGGCGGCGAACAGATATCGGAAAAAGAAGATTTGCGTAGAAGCTATTACAACACAACTAGACAAGAGCGAATGCACCGAACGAGTCAAGAAAACCAAGGACCGGAGAGGGCGTCCAAGGCCGGGCGGCTCATGGAACACTAGGGGACTGCTAGTTCATGAATTCCCAAAGGTACGCTCGGAGAGAGGAGGATGGAGGCGAGAAGTGGCGGGCGTCTTCGGCACGGGGTCCTTCGGGGGGCCTCGCGTTGTCAAAGTCTGGCGCCACGGAGGAAGACGGGGAGTGGGATGGCGGAGGAGAGGGGCTCTCGACAACAACGACGTCGGGATGCGGCGACGAGGTTGAAAGGGGGAGAGGACGAGGAGGAGAAGGGGTTAGAAAGGAAAGAGGGGAGGAGGTGGAGGAGGGTTGGATTTAGAGTCCCTGCGAGCCATCATCTTTGTATAGACAGGGTGGAAAAGGAAGGAGGCATGGGTTCGTCTTTGGTCTAACACCACTTTGCCTTGCCTTGCATGTCCAAGGAGAATGGATCCGTTCAATCTCCATGGCTCGCTAACGGGGGCGAGATACCAGGGCCATAGGTCATGTTTGACTGGTCAAGGTCGAAAAGTGGAACCTCCCAAGTTGATGTACAAGGAGCACGCACTCCCGCTGCGAACATAAGTAAGTACTTGCAGCTGTCGGGCCGGGGGTCGGTCAGTCAGTTGACCCCAGCGGTATCTTTCGTACTTTCGTACCTTTCATTCGTATTCATTTGCTCCAAAAAGAAATCTCGCGTGCAGAGACGTCAAAGTACCTCTCCACACTTGGCGGAGGGAAAGCTACGAGGCCGAATGCACCGATGCACCGATGCACTGATCAATAGATGGCTGGCCAGTTCTGCTTGTCCTGATCAATGCCATCAATCAGTGTTCGACTCTTGACTGACAATCCTTTGTCTCCACTATGCCTCGATTCAATAAACAAAAGTTTCTTTTTTTTTTTTTTTACTCGGAGTCTTTTCCTCCTCCCAAAGGACAAAGATGATCACCAAGTCCACTCGCTCCGCCCGTAAGAAGCGGGCTCTCCAGTCGCAATAGGAACGTTACGTAGACACGGCGCCCTCGGGGTCTTTAATTGCGGAGTAGAGTGTGCCCATCAAGGATCGATTAGATCATTGTCGGACAGAGTATTAACAAGGCACAGAAGACTGTCGCTGATTCGACCCGGCGACCAACAAAGAACTCAGGGTTGGAGACAAAACCCGTCGAAGCCGAACACAGAATGTCGTCCAATCGCTTGGCGGCTCCATACAAATTTCCTGGCGTGAGGTACCTCAATACCCGCACTAGTTTCGGACGCAGACCTTCGAATCGTTAGCTACTTTTTCGGGGCTATTTTTTCCAACCTCTCCGTCGAGCGCCCTTCCTCATGGATTTTTCTGATCCAACGAACCTACATACTTCGTACATGCACACCACCTTCTTTTCATCTTCCTTCGTAAGTTTGGTGGCTGGCGGTAAGACAGGGTCGTGATCCCCTTGGCCAGTCTGAACAATAACCAACGGGGAAATCACAACCTTACGGCATACATCAACCCGGCGGGTTGGCAACGTGGAGGATCTCCCCCAAAAAAAACACACTTCTCCCAGTAATCAATAATCAATAATCCGGGCGCTTCACAGGTGGCTCCTTTTCCGTGTCCTTCCCTTCCCCTCCCTGGATGGAGCATGACGAAATAGGACGGGACGACTTCAATAATCCTTGCAGGATGCTCTCCAGCTGCAGATTTCAAGCCCATCATTGGCCGCCTGTGAGTGCAGCCGCGTGAGATCTCCCCACAGTCAAAGTCACATTGTCCCTGCCCGTTGCCCCTATTCTTTCCCTGGTCGAGAGTCGACTGTTAATTAAAAGATGCCAACCCTGTCTCTTGGCTAAAGTCACCATTGGTCAATTGTTTCTAGAGAAACTGACTTTCGCCAACCTTTTTCCCGAGGACCTGACGAGCGAAAGTGGCATGAGCCAGCTCAGTCAAACCCTCAGACCCCCAGACCCAAGCCCATGAACATGATCACGGCCCATCAGTCCAAGGCAACCAACCAAGGACGCAGATACCATTGCCAGTGATGCCCACCTTCCCACCCCGCGGTTCGGGAATCTACGCAGCATCGATGAGGGCTGGGAAGAATGTCATCGACCACCATCAAGTGATGATCCTTCTCCTTCCTTTAAGTCTGACATCTTTCTCGTCGTCGATAGGGGTCAATATTTGAACACAACCCACTTGTATCGGCGTACACTACTTGTCTTGTTCCACTCAAGAGTAGGAAAGGAGATGAATTACTCTTTGTCGATCAGCCTCGTGTCTCCAATCTTAAAGGGAGGGACAGGGCAGGGACAGGGTAATGGATTCAGTTTAGAGTCAATTGTTCTACCTCCCCATCTTGCCATTATTACTTCAATGTTGAAAATAGGTGTTAGATTACCTCAGTACCCTTCGTCTATTCCAGTCCTTGTCTGAAGTACGAAGTAGTATATGTATCTCCAAGTATGTACCTTCCCGTTTTGCGGAGAAGGAAATCAGGGGTGCAAGTGCAAGCCTTCAATGTTCTCAGTAATCAAAGTTCAATCGCCCGAAGCCAAGTACGGACGGGCAAGGACTCGAGCTTATCAAGGCCGAATACCACCCCACATTGCACCCGGCCAACAGATATCAGGGCACGCACCACCCAAATGTCCTCTCACCACAAGATCAGCGAGCTAACTGATCCTTGGGGATTCTCCTGCTCTCCAAGACCGCCCCTGTACCCCCACAACCTCTCCCTCGTGTCCACAGACAGTGTCCCACATCCCAATCAGACGGCTCACACATTGGGTACATGGCACGCAAGGGCGAATTGTCTTGCCTATCAGTGATTATTAGCCCTGATCTCAAACCGCCATCATAACCCGAGTGCCCATCTCTGCCTCTGTTCGGGTTAGCCCACAACCCTCAATCTCCACTTTGTCAAGGAGTGGGTGGCGCAACCCCTGGGCAACCTTCATCATGCTCCTCGATCCCACTGTTCCTTTTCTGAACAGAACCAGTCCGATCGACAAAATGCTTGGTAGGCACTTGTCGTGGCTTGCAGTGGCGTCCCGCCCAAGTTTGAGAAGAGAGACGCTAGAAAGAATCTAGCTGTGGACGGAGAAGCAACTCGTCGTGAGCAAGGCGCTGGGCAGTCAACCCCGATGAATCCATCAGCCGCCTCTCTATCCCTCATTCTGCGATGGGCGCCAGAGACTAACCACGACCAGAGCATGACCTAAACACTCCCATTGCTGATAGAAGCCAATAGTGCCCTAGCTCTTGGACTTGAGTGCCACAGCTGCTGCCACAATCTTACCATGGGCCATGGCCTGCCTCTCCAGGCGCAAAGGGATGACAGAGCGCTCCGCAATTACAAGTAGCTGGGGCGAGGTCAATACGAGAATACCTTTTTTCGATACTAGACTCGGCACTCTGTGGCTAATCTCGTGAACGACCTAGGCTTGCTAGGCAGGAGAAATGAAGCAACAACGGCCTCTATTTTTTTTTCTTGGTGTAGCGAGTGACCGAGCTTATCCCCTTGCTCATACATTCCATGTACATTCATCGCATATCAGTGTATGGTCCCTCGATCAAACACGAAGTATTATTGTGTACCCTCTTCAAAGTTTGAACGAAGAATAAAAAAGTGAACAAGGGCGACAGGCTCTATCTGAGCTCGGTCAGCCGTCAGCACCAAAAACGGGAGAGGAGGGTACCTCAGTCGAGGAAGGAAGTACACTAAATATTTTACTTTTCTTTCTCCATATCCTCACCGCCATTGGGAGGTTACTACATGCTTTATTGGGGGCACAAATGCTGATGTGGGGTGCCAACATTCATGTTTCTCGAAACGGTTCCAGCCCGTCGAAGGATGGCTGGCGAGTTCAGCGAAGTCGAGAAAATGACTGGCCGGCAAAACATAAGCTGTGGTGGCAGGGCGAAAGCAACCCGCCACCATGGGAGAGCCGGGAGCAGCGACTGCACGTTATCAGGGAGAAGGACGAGACAACCCCTCGCTGGATCCTGCGTGATACAGCATGCAGCAGCATCCTTCGGACAGTATCCTAGGCAGGGGCAGGGGCGAGCACGTCTTGTTCAATCGTATTCAATGGGCCAGGACTGGATTGGAACTCTTGTCATCGAAGCTTGACGCAGGGTGCAGGTGTAGGCACAGGCGTGAGCACAGGGCGCAACCATGGACCCTCTAGGGCTGCCTTGATTGTTCCTTTCCCCTGCGTCAGCTAGGTCCCTAACCCACCTGGCTCACCTTTTTGGTAATACCCAGCGACGCCATCAAGAGTTCCACTGTTTAAGAGAAGGGTGCCTCTTTTGTGCTCCCGGATGTCACAGGCTTCTTGCCAAATTTGCGCAAAGGAGCTCGGAGCTCAGGGTGGACAGACTCGGCGGAGGTGGGTAGACGAGCACCGGCCCCCATGGTCACTCTCACGCCCAGGCCGTTCGTTAGACAATGCTTGACCCGTCCCCTCAAGCATGTACATATTGCGCGCAACACGGATAGGTCTCGGCATGGCTCCAAATGAGGTGCGTTCACAAGAAGAGCGAGTAATTACGGAGGGTCGGGGAACGGTTCGGTCGGGCAAGATCGTCGATCAAGGTAGCAGATCGTCGGAGCCGTATAGTGCTCCCTCCCGGGTAAAAAAGATTGAAGTGACCTCACGACTAGTGTTGAATCGCTGAATCCCCACGAACAATATGTTAAGAGGGAGGAGATATGAAAGGCCGGAGGTGGGGAAACCGGTTGCCTCCTTCACGGACCGGCTGCAACACACTTGTATTGGGTTATAATCGCAGGGGAGCGCCGTTGCAACTTGGATGGTTCATTGTGATCATCGCCGAGTTTAACTATACTCAGACTTTCAAACACAAAAGGATGTAGCGGTCTCAAAGGGAAAAAAGCTCCGCAGATTGTTTCTCCTCGCTTCTCAAGACTATCGGGGAGAGTCAAGCACAGCCTACAAGTGGGCTCGCCCCTTGATTTTGTTTATCATCACAAGCCACAGATTTCGGAACAATCCCTCTCCAACGGGCGTAACTTGTCGTGGTTTGTTAGTTGATGCGTGTGGGTATGCTGCAAACGATCGGTGCTAAAAAAGAAATACTTCGTTTCTATAGAAATTGGAAGAAGCAAAGGGAGAAGGGAAAAGCATTATAACAGCTCTACATTCAACATCTATAACAGGCACAGGCCAAGGAGAGGAAAAGCAATGGAGAGACAGACACCAGAAACGCGAGGTTGGACTTACGAGCCCAACCCCTTACTCTGCTGTTCGAATTCCTGGAACCATCTTCGTGCCAACCTAGTATTGCCTTGCTCTTCGGCAAGATGGGTAAACATCCTGCCACCGGTTTCTCTCAGGAGTGACAAATCTGCGTGTCTCAGTAGGCCGTCTGCCACCACTGCATGAAGAAACCACCATACGGATTCGTTGCGCCAGTGAAAGGACTCTGCCATCCTGAGAACAGAGCCAAACACCCTTGAGCACTCTTCCTCTTGCCCAGATTTTGATAACCACCCACCACTCAGCAAGCGATGGAGGAACGACCAGCCTGATATATCGTCGTGGTGCTTTAAGCACCAGCCTTCCACATCGCCAATGATGCCACCCACGATGGCCTCGCTATTCTTTTCATCGAGGTTGGTGAGTAGCCAGCGGGCATGGCACCAGGCGTAGTAGTTCCTGGGGTGCCGCTCACCCGAGACGAAAACGACCTGCCGGAGGTCAGAGGTCACGTCGAAAGCAATCCCGTGTTTCCTAAACAGCCCGAGAAGCCACCGCCTGTGGCTCCACAGCGTAGGCGACTTTGTATGTCGATGAAGCCGGCTCGTCAGCAAGCTATCAAGGAAATATTTCTCTTGACTGAGACAGAGTGCGATCTCCCTTCCGTCACAGATGTCTTGTAGTAGGGCTCTCTTCCTGCAGTTTGCGGCCGTGAGATGCTCGGGATCTGACAGGAGTAGAATCGCCGTGGCCCTCCTTAGCTCTTCTGTCGAGAGCGCCCTCCCAAGGTGCCCATCAGCCGACGCGGATCTTCTTAGTGCTTGATAGGCGACACCAAATGCCTGAAACACGTGGAGCTTGGAGAGGCCAATGGCTTTCCCGTCTCTCAGGACAAAGACACCTGGCGGCGGGAGGTGTGCTTTACCGAGAAACTCGAATTCGAGGAGGGCTCCATCCTTTTCCGGTGACTCGAAGACTTGCAATATCTCGTCAAACACCTTTCTCGGGTCTCCCTTGTTCAGTGCCTCCAAGACTTCCTTCTCTAAGGCACGGGACATAGTCCCACTAAGAGGCACGCTCTGAAAGAACAATAAGGTATCACAAGACACGGGTCGTTGCCGCTGCCCTTTGTCTTGATTGTCTGGCTCGAATCTGTCGTATGCGATGATGGGCAGGGCGGTCCTCGCGGCTTGCTCTGGCCTGGCTTGTTTCAGTCAGGCTAAGGCCTTGTGTGCTCGCACTTCCCCGTGCTTCACGGACCTAAGCGAAGCCAATATATTGCTACACCGGACCAAGTGAATGAGTTTAGAGTGTCGATGAGGGACGGAGCTTAGCATGGAGGGGCTGTGGCTTGAGCTTCGGGAATGGGTTTGCGGGGTGTGGCGGTGCCCTTTTATCTTTCCTCACCATATCTCCTACCTCCATGTTAGCTTTTCATTCGGAAAGTGCTGGAGGTATAACATTAAAAGAACCGTAGGATATAAACCTCCACCTCTCTGATTATAATACTTTCAGCTTCCCGGGGAGCTTATAGATAATTCAACTTGTTAAGCATCCGCTCTTGAAAAGCTTAGCTTGACCGAGTATCCAATCCTTTACCTTAGTATAGTAGGTTGGTGAGACCAAAGGTATTTCCTCTATATATATTAACAACAGTTAAAATTTTACGTCTCATTCATCTAATCATCTCTAACCTTAGGTTTTCTATTAAACAGGACAAAGGCATGATGAGCATCAATTGTACACTCATGGACCTCTCTTCTCTACCTACGCAAGCTAGGTTAATCGAGGTCGTTGCTAGGTGTGGCTAGTGCTGCTCTCTCGTCATCATGAGGGTGGTGACTGTGGCACGTGACAAGCACAGCTGTGCTGCTGGCAGTTCCGTCAAATGCTGATCAGGATGCAGTCGACCTCCAAAAGGAGCCACGGGCACAACGTTCTTAACGCTAAACCGTGATCTTGCGACGTGGGCATCTTGCTCTCTTCTATCGGCCTGAACCTGGGTAAATCAACTTCTAACCATGTCGCCTAATTTACTACTGCTCATATTTGGCGTCGAGCTTTTCATCCACGTGGTCAACTCTGTCGGCGCCACGACGATTAACAGCTTGGTATGCGATTTTTCGTCTCGACCGTTCCCCTGAATCAAGTGCTAACAATCTCCCTTCCCAGATCTGGGGCATAGCGAACCGTTTTCCGATACGGACGTCGAAACTAGTCGTCGAGAACCGAAAGCTACAAAAGGAATACCTCAAGGTCCGCCTCGAGCTCAATGCTACGAGCAGTCAAGACCAATTTGCCAAGTGGGCAAAGTTGAGAAGGCAACATGATAAGCTCCTCGAGCAGCTAGAGAAGAAGAGTATGCTTTAATCCAAGAGCACCACCCTCCAATTGTATACGGGTCAATCCGGACTAGCAAGTACTAATCTATCTGTTTCAGAGGCCGAGACGACCGCGACCAAATCCAAGTTCGACAACGGCATCAATGTGGCTAGGATCCTCCTCACCAAGGCGCCTCACTTCATCCTCCCCATGTGGTATGCTAAGGAGCCCATGTTTTGGCTTCCCCAAGGCCTCTTCCCGCATTACGCGGAGTGGTTCCTCTCTCTACCTAAAGCCCCGCTGGGAAGTGTAAGCATTCTTTCATGGCAGGTAGCGTCTACCGTCATTATCAGCCTCGTCTCCGAAGCCCTTGTCTCGCTGTACACTCTGGTGTCCTCACCGGCGGCCAAGCAGGGGTTGCCGTTCCCGGAAGGGAGGCTACGCCAGGTGCCGGACGAAATGAAAAGACCAAGGAGAAGAGCGAGCTCTAGATAGATAGTCCCACATAATTCCAGGATAGAATACGATAATGAACGGTTTACGACAAGACATTTTATGCATTTCCCGTGGCGGTGATTGATACCAGGCGCCCCTCCCCACGGCGGAGGGCTAGCCTGAAGTGACAGATAGACCCAACCAGTCTCTATCTTCAGGTGATGTATCTCGTAAAAAATTGACACAAAGATCTTCATTGTAGGAAGCCTCTGCAACACGACGGAGACTACTCTTGGCAGAGTATATGGGGGTTTCTCTAGGCAACACATTGACTCTTAGGACTACTGCACTCCTTGCTGGAGGATCCTTAAAGCTTCGATAGTGCCAACAGGTGTCCGGCTCGCGCACGCTGAATTTCTGTCGTGGCGAGGGGATGCTGAGGTTCTTCAGTCCGAAATTGGAAAGGCGAGCAAAAATACCTACCGTAGAGCCGAGCTTTGTCTCTTCACGCGCAATCTAACGTGTGGATGTGTCCAAGAGACAGCCCGTAGCCGAAGCTGTGCGGCTACGAGACAACGGCGTCCTCGATTAGAGGAGCCCTCGGTTCCAGATTTGATGGTTCTGAGTTCAAGTTTGTGGCAGTTTGGAAAATTTCGCTCGCGCGCTTTTTGAAAGCCGCCTGGGTCGTTGTTATGTAAGCTGACAGGAGTCGGTGGGTAAGACTGGCTTTGCGCTAAGCCACAGCCGACGTGCGTGGGGCTGACTAACAGTTACCGCCTGAATTGAGACACTGCCCTCTATTCTCAAAAGGGTATGGAAGGAGTGGGTAGGTGTCATTCGGCGCCTGTCCCTCGCCGTGCCTTAATAAATCTGTCCCGACTCGAGGTCCTTCATGGAGCGAATCCCACCTTTTGCACGACGGAGCTCATGTGGCAATCGTAATTCTAGCACAACCTTTGTGTAAATCGCCCATCGCGCCGCTTTACCGACGCAATGGGCTCTTCAACTTGGGAAAAGTAAGCCAAAACACGAAGCCGTGATATCTTCGTTGCCCCGTCCTTTCGCTCGCTCCTCACTAACACGTGTGCCTAAACGCAGCATCCGCGGCCTCGCCATCTTCTTCGGCCCCGTCCTTCTCCCGAAAGCGATATCGTACTACCGCCAGATTAAAAACGCCCCACGCGCTCATGGCGTATCCATACAGGCGTTGCCCGCCCCGGCCTCGCGAGCCCTCGGCATCCTCTTCGCGGCCGTTCTCGTCTTCCTCCTCCTCAGCCTGCCCATCTTCTCCCCGAGAACGTCTTCGCCACGACCCAGTCTCGGCTCCAGATCCCCACCGATGTCCTCTTCAATCGCCTCGCCAGCTTGCGCGACGCCGGTATCCTCACACCTGACGATGAGGCGCTCCGCGCCCGCTTCGTGAGCATGGAGTCCCGCCTCCTATACCTAAAGTACGGACCCGATGTCTTGGCCGGCTGCACGTTCTGCATCTCGGACGACCCTAAAGTCTACTACTTTTATGCTCTACCCTCTCTTTTAGCCCCGCATCTCTTGAACCTTTTCGCCATTGCCCTCGTCACCTCGCGACCCGTGTCCGAGCAGTACGGCGGCAAGTGGAGAAAGCTTGCCACCATGACCGCTGCCGCGATCGCGGGGCTCGACCTCTACCTGGTGAACGCGTATAACCACCAACTCAACTCCCGAGCTCTTCGTGTGGCCGATGTCGAAAATTTCTTCTGGCGCGCCCGCGTCTATCGGTACCTCGCCCTTGCTCTCCTCGATGCCGCCCTCGCTTGGCTCACCTACCTCTCCTCCACGAATCGGGCATTCACCCAACCCCCATCCCCGGCCGAGCGTGCTGAGAGAGCGGTGCTCCTCATGAACCAGGTCAAGGGCAAGCTCAATGCCCTTGGCACCGTCATGAACGCGGTCTCCCGTGACGACGAGCTTAGGCGCCAGAATGCCGTCTATTGGGTCCAGGAAGGTAGCCTTATGCGTACCGTTATGGAAGAGAGGGAGGTCATTGAGAGCGTGAACAACGCCCTCGAGAACGGAAGGCTCAACGTTTCTGCAATTTCCAAAGATGCCGAAACATACGCTCAGCTTATCACTTCCAGCTTAGACAGCGGGGCTGGCGAGGCCGAAGAGGCGAAGAAGGACAAATAAAGTCGAAATGTTTGCGCCTCGGTTTGCCGCCTCCTTTCCTTCATCCCCTCAGTGGGTGGCTGTGTATTCCCGATGCCCTTTTCTTTATACTTCTACGGAGTTGGCGCGTGGGTTGCTTCAGTGTCCGTTTTAGCTAGAATAGACGACCTTGTTGGTTTGGACTAAAGGCATGTACACGTACTGTATCGCAAATTGACGTTATGATTGATATCAGACATGGATGGAGCGTGGAAAGGAAATGTGTTTATTTTTATTTTTCTTTAAACATGACGAGTATATGCAGTTCAATGCCCTCTCATCAGCCATTAATCCATGCTGTGCATCAAGCTCAACGCCCTTCGAAAGGAAATAAAAAGAGGACGTACTACCCACCTCATCACCGAGCATGGCTGGAGAAAGGAGGATGAGGAAGATAAAAGGAGAGAAAGAAATAGGAACTGCAACTGCTCCCGCCATCATCTCTTGTGCTCGCTCGGCATAAGTCACGTCTACATCTTTTAGGATGTGTTTGACACCGGCCCCCAGCTATATGCCAAACTTCTAACAGCTCTCAAAAAAAAAAAAAAAAGTTGAATTCTTAACTCGTACATTCTTCTTTTCGTCGTTACCGCTACTCGATAGTAGATTCCGCTAGCCCTTGGCGTCGGGTCTCGTGGCAGCTGTTGCCGCGCTTGAAGCACTGTCTTTCCTTGACCGCTCGTCGGCACCCTCTTCCGCGCTCCTCTCAAGGAAACCAGCCCAGAGTTCCGCTAGGGATTCCTTGCCGCTCGAATGCTCCGTGATGAAGTCGGCGTGGAGAGAAGCGGTGCTAGGTGTTCGCGTGAAGGGTGATAGCGGGAGCTTGAGACTTCCCATTGAAGTGCCGGGACGTGCGAGCCCGGCTTGCTCGCGCTGCTCGTCAGTCCAGCCAAGGTAGCCAGCCATAACCTGGAGGATCTGGAAGCGCTTAGGATCGGAGCGATCGAGAGTAAGGAAGTGGAGTACTTGGTTCGTGACGATTTGCCTAGGAGTGGGATATTAGTAACCATAGAGAGCAAACGATGCAAATTGGGGGAGGGCTTTGCCACACACCTGTCGACGCTGTCTTCGGACTTGGTCTTTTCAGATACCTCAAGGCCTTTGTTAAGTGGTCGTTGAGGATAATGGCTTCATGTCGCAGCTTTCCAATGAGGAGGTTCTTTTCTTTGACCTCCTTTTCAAATGGCACACAGCGTTCTAGCTCTTGGTCCAGCTTGACCTTCTCTTCTTCCACCTTTTGCACACGGGTATCGGCATCCTGCACATTCTTCTCCAGTTGCTGAACCTGCTCCACCATCTCACGAAGCTCCTTTCTCCTTGCCTCTTGTATCTCTTGGAGGGCTGACTGAAGTTTCTCCACGGCTTCGGACTGCGAATCACGATCGGCTATGGCGTTGGAATATGCTTGCTGCACCGAAGAGATCTGGCTCTCGAGCTCGGCAACCTTGCCCTCAAGATCCTCCTTCACAGACCTCTCCTCCATAGCAATAACCTCCCACTCGCCCATCGCATTGGTTGTCATGCCGACCTCCTCCTTTAGATGTGTGATGAGCTTGGAGTAGTCATCCTTTTCCTTCATCCAGTTCTGCGCCGAGAGATTGTTACGACTCCGCAAGCTCGCGAGTTCACGCTCCGCCTCGTACAGCTCCTCCTTTAGCTTGGTGGATTCATCCTCGGCCGCCAAAGACTTATTCCTCAGCTCTTCGTTCTGAGACTCGAGCTCCTCGACCCGGTCCTTGCTCTCCTCTAGCTCTTCCCGATCACGTTTTAGACGGTCGCTTAGTGTAGATTTTATCTTCTCAACGCGTCCTAATAATGTCTGGTATTGCTCCTCTGCATTCTCTCTCGCTGAATTGGCCTCTTCCACTTCCGCTTTGAGCTCCTCGACTTCTTCGTTATGGGTTTTATTGAGGTCATCGAGCTGCTTTCTTAATTGCTCAACCTCCGCACGGAGGGATTCGCTGTCTTCCGCCATGGGTATCGGACCTGGGGCAGGGTCTGGTTTCGACTCGGCGGGGGTCGGTTCGGGGGCGGCTGGGTGGCCGTTGCTGGTAGATTTCTTTTCGGGGTTGGATCTAGGGTAGTGGGCTCGTCTATCGTCACCTCGGGGGCTAGTTCTTGCTCAAAGGTGTCCTATATCGGTTGGGGTCGCCGACCTCCCCGCGCGTTAGAATGGTCAGGTCTCTCCGCAATTTGCGGTAGTTTCTCGGGACAAGGAGCCCCGTCCACACAATCATACCTGAACAGGGGTTTCAGCAACTTCGGAGCCGCCCTCGTCGTTGTCGCCAAGTTGAGCCTCGCCATTGCTCGTGCCCACAGGATCCTTTGGTTTGTTGGCGTTCTTCTTCTTTTTACCACTCTTCTTCTTCGCCCCTGTTCCGTCCAATAGAAGTGTGAGCCGATTAGTTCCCAAGAGAGCTTAGTTGGCGTGTATGCACACCACAGCACACCACCAAAAAATACGAAAGAGGCAGAAGGGGCGGGGCGGATTTATGCGAGGTATGCGCATTCATTGGGGTGGGGGTTTGAAGGCCATCTTGCTTGTCCCGCCACGTCGGACAGAGGACACGGATGTGTTGGTGGTCTGGAAATGAGGGTGCCAATCGGAAGGGAAACCTTACCAGTCGCCAGCGATCGTGTCGGCTCAGTAGGGGCGGACGGAGACATGATGGGCGCGAGCTCTCAGAAGCCGCATCTGGTTGTGCGTTTCGATGAGCACACCAGGGGCGAAATTGGGCGAGTAAACTACGAGTTATCGCGATGTTTGTGGGGGATCGGAGGTTTGTCGAGTCTATCGTTGTTGGTAAACAGTTAACATCCTAATAATAAGACACGGGGGTGTTCTTTCTCTGAATACATGGAACACGAATCGTGAGGTTTGGTATACGTAAGCGAGCTCTGGTTTTGTCACAGAATTGGCCGCGAAGGAAGAATGCCCGCACTGTTGAGCGTTCTGGGCAGACTGTGTTAGATCCTCTGGCCAAGAACCGTCTTAGTGGATTGAGGCCTCTGTTTTACTTTTACGTCCGTCTTAGGCGAGCGTTTCTAACGTGGCGGATCGAAGCCTTGGGTTTGCTCGGCATTGTGAAGTGGAGGAGATGGATTTATGAGCAGAAATAGTCCAGAACCTCGAGTTGGGTTGATCCGTAAATCATGACACTCTGTATAATCCAGATATAAAATAATGTGGGTTCTCGTTGAAATCACAATTACGAACAGCTCTGCACCGCTTCCACAGTTCATCAGTGTCGGCGGTACACGCAGAACGTCCGAGGGAATGGAGCGGCGCCAAGGGTCTTGCTGGATGGCTGCCCCTCGTGATTAGTAATGGTGGTTGTCAGGGTGGGTATTTTCTCCACGAGCGGATCGTGGAGAGTTGAATTTCTTCTTCTCCTTTCTTCTCCATACATATTTCCATCTTCGGCGGCGATCATTGTTGAATAAGACCATACAAACTACTCTGTGGCTTCTTCATATACGTTGCTGAAGTAGAGCGAAAAACACCCTTTATAATCCCGCGGCTTGCCTACATTTTAACAGGTGCTGTGGGTTCGCTATGGGCAAACATTTCAAAAGTGTGTGAACGCTGTGAAAGAGACTAGCAGAACAGCAAAACACGTCTAATGCGCATGTGAATGTGATTTGTGATGAAAAAGGGGAAAATAATAACTCCTGTATAATGACTGAAGAATAATCAAGGTTGAAACGAAACCATACGGAAAAAAAAACAGCCTATTTACGCCTTTGACTTTGTCTTCCTGCCTTTGACCGCCTTCTTCGCTTTGGGAACCTTCGCGGAGGGCTTCTCTGCCTCGACCGCCGGCTCCGGTGCCTGGACGGGCTCCGGCTCTACAGGGGTTCAGGAAGTGCCTTTGGGGCCTCTTCCACTTCCTCTGACTTTTCAGCATCTCCCTCAATCTCGGCGGGCTTCGCCTGTGCTACCGGGGCGGGAATGGCCTTGATAACTGGGGCGGAGAAGTCGTATCCGAGCTCCTTGAGTTTCTCCGCCTTCAACGTCCTCCTCCTCTGCTCCCTCGTGACTCTCCTCTCCCAGGCTGATTGCGTCGCGGGCTTGCTTAGCTCGTTCCCAGCCATCTTGTTCCAAGGCACCTCCTTGAACCGGCGGTTAGCCCCAACCCAGAGGTCCTTGTGTACCCTCTCGGATGGGACAACCTTGCACTTGAGAATGTGGCCGAAGAGGAGATAGTTGTCCATGGTCTTGGCGACGATCTCGGCGGTGGTCTCTTGCGCGAATTCAATAAAGGCAAAGTGCTTGCTCGCGCCTGTCCTCTTGTTCCTTGAAAGCCTTAGCCGAGTAATAGGGCCAAACTGGGTGAAGTATTGCCTCATCTCGTGCTCGTAGAAACCGTGGGGGATGCGGCCAACGTAGACGACACCGGGCTTCTCATTCCTGGCGGCCTCCAGCGCCTTCCTTTCCTTTTGGATAGCTTCGGTATCGCACCAACATCCTGTCCCTCCTCGAACTGCGCAATGGCCTTGTCAACCTCCTCGGCTTCGTCTCCACTGTCGATGGCGGCGGCTAGGGCGTCGGCCTCAGCGTTGCCTGCTTCGTCGTCTCCTTCAGCCTCAGGGTCGCTATCTTGTGCCCCCGATACGGCCTTGGCGGTAGTTTCATCCTGGTCGGTATTTGCGGCCTCATCAATAGCCTTCTTCTTCGCTTGCCTCTTCTCCTTGGGGGCTTTTCTTGAATGGACGTTTTGCCGGCGTTCTCCTTCTCCGCAGGTTTTACCGCCTTGATCTTCTTTGGCTTCGCGACAGGCTCGTCCTCGGTGGCTATCAGATGGTTAGACCTAATTCGCCAAGCATTGACAGCATGATCAAGTATGGTCTTACCTTTTCGCTTTCTCGCATCGCCCAACTTGGCTTTGCCGCCCTTGGGGCCGGTGGCTACTCGATAGTTAGAAAAAGAACTTGGGTTCAAAAAGAGCGTAAAGAAAACGATAACAATACTGTCAGCATACCTTTAGGTTTATATTCAGATTTGGCGGCCATATTTGAGGTTACGGTGTGTCGTAAACTGTTGTCCCAAGAGGCGTGAAGGCGGGGACAGAGACCGACGCTCAAGCTCTTAACGATTTTTGTTCAAGAAAAAAATCCTTTTCTGCCATGGAGGGAGGGCGGTGAGCTCGGTGACGGGCGTCAGTAAAGAAAACCATTGGCTGTGATGGACGGTGTAGCTGTGGAGTAGATCTCTGGTCAATCGCTTGGACTTGATAAACCCCTCTGATCTAAACCCCCATTTTTGATAGCTTTGTATTCCGGGCAATGCTGCTAAGGAAATGGCGGGGAGACACGCGCTGGATCGGAGGCTAAACTTTTGCAACCGCAAGAGCGTACATCAACACACCCATCGATCTTGCACACTTGTGTTGCTGTTGAATGCGAATTCATCTGACGGTTTCCCGACCGATACTGCATGTCAAAGACCCTGGGGGCCATTTGATGCGTGCTCTCTTATGTAGCGTAGTAAATGCTTGTTGACGTCCCAGTGCTTTCTCCTTTTCCCACCTTTAGCCCCCAAATTTCAGACTCAGGTCTCTCAAGCTTGCGCCCGACTAAAACATCTACACCCGTCAAGCTTTCTACCCCGTCAGATCTCTTCTCACGTACTCAGCAGCCTTTGCCTCACTCGCCGTTCGAAATTTCAAAATTTGTAGCGGTTCACCAGCGTGGACGCCCTCCTACCTTCAGTGTAGTCGAGGGGTACGGCGAGCTTGCCGTTCGATTTATTTTGTGATGGAGGGCCCGAACCAGGAATTGAGCCATGATGATGTATGGGATGACTCTATGCTCATAGACTCATGGAACGAAGCCTTGGAGGAGTACAAGGTAAAATCTTCTTGAAATCCGTCATGGGCCCTTGTTCCTCCCCATCACCTCCTCTTCTTGCAATGGGGATGATCAGAGAGCTAGAGAGGCAAGGCTGACTTGAGTTTTGGGCAGAAATATCATAGTATTCGTGTCACGGGACTTCGACCGGGTGAACTTGAGGAAGACGAAGAAGGCGAAGCACGAGAAGAAGGGCAAGAGGCAGAAAAGTAAGTTGTGTCCCTTAAACCCCACGCTTTTCATCACAGGTGCCTGCTTGCTCCCTCGGTTGGGCAGTCAGCTGCTCTCGAGGGGCCATCGTGCAGACACAGATCCTCAGTTGAATTACGCAATGAACGATTTGGAACCCGATAATCTAAGATACACTGATCTACGTTCAGGACCCGTGCGGCCCTAGTACCGGATGAGGCCTCTCTCGAAGAGCCGGCAGCAACAAGGGTTGACAGTGAAACGAAAGCACGAGGTGATCGCTTGGACGTACGTAAGGCTTGCTTCAATCCCCTCCTCGTTGTCCTCCCCTCCCTTTAGTGCACCGCATTGCTACTCTCCGTCCACCGGAGGGAAACCTTGAGCCGATCCGAGGCGATCATGAAAGCTTGACAGGTTACTTGGGGATAACCATCCTGCCATTCTCCATATTTGCGAGCCCATTTGTGCATGTTCGAGGGACTGGACTGATCGTCATGCTTTCAGGCGGGCGTTTCGGAGCAGAATGCACGAGCTTCCCAAGCCTTACCAAGCCAACCCCCACCAGCTGCGCCGTTAGGACTGCTTGGGTCAAGTAAGGAATCCCGCGTTTTCCCATTGATATCTCGTCTACCATTTTCCAGCCTTTGCGTTGGCTGTGCTAACGATTGTGCGATACGCAACCTGTGAGGTTTTAGTGCAAGATGAGGGGCTCAAGAGATTACTCATGTCCTGGTACTACGCGGGATACTACACGGGATTGTATGAGGGCCAGCAGACAAAGCAGCCTTCGACGGATAATAAGAACTAGTAGCGAAGTGAACGTAGCTGATGGCTTCCCAAGATGGGAGCGAACAAAAATTTTGACAAGCGGCATGACAGAATCCGAGGTTTGCGTTGAGGCGGCGGAATAAGTTCGCTCCAGAAAAAAGTTTCTTGGAAGCACGAACGCAGCTTGGCAGGGGTGGTAATGGATGATCGGCGAGTACGGTCGAGGATTTCTGTAACAAGATGTGTCACAAAACACACGCGGAGGACAGCTTTCCAGTCAAAGGTGGGAGGCGGTTGTGTTCGCCGCCAGAGTAGGACTGAGAAAAGGCTAAATCCGTGGTACGTAACGAGATATTCGCAGGGTATCCCTGAAGCTGGAGTCTGATCATTGGACTCTGTTCAAAATGCTTTGCCACCTCGGCGGTCCAGAACCCATCGTGTCGGCGAGGGGGGCCCATGCCCTGGCTCTCAGTGTATAAGTGATCCAGCAGAGTGTACCGAGGTATGTTGACGAGAATAGGCCTGCCATCCAATGATGGATGTTTCCTTTGGTGGAGGGAATAATTGTGGCCAGCCATTGGTCTCGAAGTATACCACTCCTCCAATTTTGCACTTCATAGAGCTTTTCGGCTTCTTGTCTCGACACCCTCTCCAAGTCTTGGAGCATAAGGATTCCTTCCACTAGACGATGTGTCGAGCATGGCGAATAAAATACTGGGTCACTACAGGTGATCCTGTTTTTTGTTTTCTACCGATGCTCAAAAAGAGGGGATCGAGTTTATCTCGGCCCTGGCTCTTCGACGATTCCGCTTCCTCTCTCTTCTTCTATCCCCTTCCCCTTCCTGTCCCCAATGTTTAATTGAGATCCGGAAACTGTAGCGAGCGGATCTGGAATCCAGATTGCCCGTGAGCTTAAATCTAACCCTCGCGAGCGGGAAGCCAATCGTCAAGTTTCAAAACTAGAAATCAAAAGCTTGGCATCCCATATCACGACCTGGTCAAAGGTTGCTTTGGGCTCCTCAATCAGGGCGACTGGGGATAATCTCCGAAATTCCAAGGAGACTGGAGGGTCCGCCGAGGCTAAAGGAGAAACCGCACGGCTGACTCTTGCCCCTTTCTCGCCCCTTCCAGAGACTCACGACATGGGTGGCATGTAGGGGGAGAGGCGTCAAAATCGTGACCATCACACTCTCGAGATATGGATGGCACTTTGAAGGCAAGGTTAGGCTGACGTTTGGCGGGTAAATGTCACTGGTGGAATGTACCGTGTGGCTGGGAGGGACCAAATTTATCCCCATTGGTAAGGGAACCCTTGCCGCCACAGCCGTTTCAAGCCAGCGCTCTGTGTTTCGAGTTCTCAACTTGGGTGGCCCTCGAGCCGTGGGTCATACTGTATAGCATTGGGAAAGTAGGGGCTATTGAGAGAGGCTCGGGCGGTTTTGGCACTGGCCGGACAACCCCTTGCCTCAGATTTCTTCAAGGGGCCGGCGAAGAGGGAGGAGGAAGTCGAAAGTTCCGGCCCCGAAAATTTTAAAGTAGTGGGTATCGATCAGCTTTGCCTGCTTGTAAAGCCCGGCACTCATTCGGCCGCTGGGAGATAAGAGCTAATACACCAAGCTTGAGTTTACGTCGGCGATTAAGAGGGGGAAATTTTGAGACTCGACAAACTTTGGTCTTGGTCGTTATCAGGTGGATCGGAGCGCCAGCTTCTCTCCCCCTTTGCCTCCTGCCCTGCTCGTTGTTTTCTTCGACCCCATCGTGCCTCTCAATCTATTCATTGGACCCGTGTCCGTGGGTAGAGGCTGTAATTGGAGAAAAAAAAAAAAAAAAAGACCACGAAATTAAACCAAGCGAGGCCCTGTTGGATTAAGCTTGGCTTGTCAAGGCGCATGGTTGATCAAGGCCGCAAGCGTCTTGTCGGGGGTCCAGCGTGGCATCGAGCAAAGCTGCAAAGTAGGAGTGGATAATACAAAAGGTGCCAGTGAAGGAATTTTGCGATGCTGCCCAGGAAGCTTGAAGTCTGAGCGGTTTCCCGATTAGGCAATCAAGCAGGGGATGTAGCAAAATGCTAAACACAACCCGAGACGAATTTTGTCAGAGCAATCCCGTGCCCCAGAGCGCCGCGCCGCGGGACCGCTTTTCGCCTCCCCTCCCCTAGCGGCTCAACTGGAAGTGCCTCGAGCTCCTCTCTCCAAGCGCGAGGTCTGGAACCCTCTGCTCCTGAAATGGACGGGGAGGCCAGCTCTTGGCTCGACGGGCTGCGCTGACAAAGTACCTGACCCGCGCGGGCACGGGGAAATGGTACATGGGGCGGTCCACGCATGGAAGGCGCAGCGCACAGCAACTGAAGAAACACACCCGCCCGTGCCAGGGGTCCCTGTCGGAGTACCTGCATCCCGTATTGGCAAGCTTCAGTTGCCAAGTCCCCTTCTACCAATTCATGCGGAGGAGGTACCTCGCAACGACGCATGGAACACTCGGCTCCCTTGCTTTCCTTCAACCGCTGCCTCATGAGAAACGAAGGGCATTGCAACCGCTTCTTGGGTATTCGGACGTACCTGGCCCCGAGCGTCGTCCCCACCATGGAAGATTTGCCAACCTTGTTTCGAGACTTCTCCTCCTCCTTCCTGCTGCCACCCCTTCCGGGCCGCCGAGGGTGGGACTCTTGAGGGGATGCAAAGGGGGCGTGGCCGTGGGATCGCCGTGCCCCGAATTTAAGCCCGCCCATTCCCACCTCACACTACGAAGCTGAGAAAAGTCTTGTTTCTTCTTCCATTTCTCTTCTTCTTCACTCGTCGTCGTCGCCTGTGTGTGTCGTTCATTTCTCAGTACTTTCGTTCTTCTTCCGGTTCCTATTCTTCAATTCTCCGAGCAGGACCTCGACCATCCAGAAAACAACCCAAAGCTTTCCTTTCGAAACCAACCCAGTCTTTCTTTCTTCACAGTAATACTCGGCTCGGACCGATCTCGTTTCTCAGTGTCTTCTTCTCGCCTCGGCTTTTTCTTGCTTTTTTCTCAAAAACCAAAACTTCTTAATCTACAACCGCCAAAATGAAGTTCTCGAACGCGTTATCACTTGTTCTTGCTCCCGTCGCCGTCTCTGCTCGCAGCAGCAGGCAAGTCAAGAGGGATCCCCAGGTCGGCATTAATGGCATCGGTGGTGTTGGTGGTGTTGGCGGTGTTGCCAATGTAGGCGTTGGCGTCCCCGTCGGTGCCGTTGGCGGCGTCGGTATTGGCGGTCTTGGTGGTCTCGGTGGTCTCGGCGGCATTGGCCTCGGTGCCATCAGCGGTGTCAACGCCGTCATTGTCTGGGTCAGCCAGGGTGGTGGTGTTCCCCTACCACTCTCAACCAGCAGGTCACCGTCACCCAGACCGTGACCGTTCCCGCCGGCGCTGCCGCCACCGCCATCCTCGGCAACGACGGTGCCTCTACCACCATCCAGCCCGGTGCTAGCGGTGTTGTTGCCGGCACTGGCGCCACCCACTCCGTCGATGTCGGTGGTCCCCAGGGTCTCTCTTTCTTCCCCAGGAGGTCGCCGCCAACGTTGGTGACATGATCATCTTCACCTTCTACGGCCAGAACCACACCGTTACCCAGTCTGGTTTCGAGACCCCTTGCGACCCTCTTGCCGGCGGCATGGACTCTGGCTATATGCCCAACCCTGACAACACCATCGTTCCTCCTCCCCAGGTCGCCATGCAAGTCATGACCACCGACCCTCTCTGGATGTTCTGCGCTCAGGGCAACCACTGCGGCCGCGGCATGGCCCTCTCCATCAACCCCACTGCCGAGAAGACCCATGCCCAGTTCCAGGCCAACGCCATCGCCCAGCGCGGAGGTGACCTTCCCGGAACTGCCATCACCGGCGGAACTGGCCCTGCTCCCGCTGCCCCCGCTGCTGCCCCTGCTGCTCCTCAGCCCGTTGACCCCGCCCAGTCTGCCGCTGCCTCCGCTGCTGCTCCTGGCCCCATCAACCCCGCCTCCGGCACCAACGGCGTTGTCAGCCCCACCGCTCCCGTCGCCGTTGGCAACAGCGCCACCGTTGGAGGCGGCATCGTCATGGGCCAGGGCACCATCGCGGCTGATGGCTCTTGCCAGTGCGCCGTCCAGTGCGCCGGCGGTGCTTTCCCTGATCCCGCTACCCAGGGCCTCAACGCTTTCGGCGGCATTGCTGGTAAGTTTGACCCTTCTCTACCGCAATAATCCCTCTCGGTGACAGTTTTGCTAACAACCCATCTATAGGCACGATAGACATGAACTCTGCTGGTGTCGTTGCCGGTGCTGCCGCCCCAGTCGTCGCTGCCCCCGCGGCCGTGTCGTCTGTCGCTGCCCCCGCTCCCGTCACTCCCGCCCGCCGCTAAGTGTCGCTTGGGATCACGGAGCAAAGAGCTTCCCTGTGTAGATTTCGTTTCATAAAAAAGAACCAAGCCGAACACACTTTCATGACGAGCCACTTCTCCTTTTCTGAGATTGGAGAGGAAAGGGACTCCCCTTGCAACCATCTCGCGTGGGGGCAAGACGGCATTTCCCTCCCCTTTCCTCTCTTCTCCCTCTTCCTCTTGAGCCTTGCCTTTACTGGCCATAGGCCTGGGTTTCTTGTTTCCCCCATTTTTTTCTCGCTTCCTTGCGAAACGGAAAGGGTTATTATACATATGACTGGTTCGTATTATTTTTTTCTGGATGCGATTAATAGGAAATTTATAAATGGATTTTTTTATCTTCTTGTTTTCTACTTCTTTCTGAGGAAACATGACAAAAAAAAGGAAGACACCGACCTCCCTGTTTCCTCTTGATCGCAGCCTCTTGTTTTCTATTTAGCACGCAGAGATGATTCCCCCTTGAAAGGGCACCACTGGCGGAGAGGGTGTTGGTGTTTTCTTATTTTTTTCTCCTTTATCCATTTGTTTCACTGTTTGGAGGAAGGAGACAGATCGACGACGACGATAGTTGAATGAAGAACATTGCCAAAACTGCCCTGTCCCACGTAGGAGATTGGCCACTCGCTGTCACCAGTCTTATGTGCACGTCTTGACGCCTACGCCGCTACCTCTACACCTGTGATTTGTTTCTCCTGCCTAACCTCTGAGAAGGACTAATGATGTCCGGGAGGTCTCGAGCCGTCCGGCGAACGGACCACTCCTAGTGTAGAAGAAGACGGAGATGCCGATCGCCAAGCAAGTCCAGAGTTGAAGTCGTCTAAAGGTAGCATTTAGACATTTAGAACGAATGATATAGATTTGGTTAAAGAAAAGATACGCTGAACTCCACTGCTCGCTCTATCCTACCCACCTCTGCTGTTGCATCATGCCGCTCCCAGCAGCCAACCAAGCTAGCCGTCACAATCAAAAAGGCATCCAACCTGCAGATATTCCTAGCGAACCTATCACAGACCCTCCGTAGTGGAAGACATCCAAACAAAGGTTGTGCATAGACGGGGATAGGCCAGATTTATTTCTTCGCAGGCCCGCCAGCGGCCTTCTTCGCCTCAGCTAATGGAATGGAAGCACCCAAGTTAGTAACCATCTTCGCCACCATTTTTCCTTTTTTTTTTTTCCGTATTGTAGCAAGAAAGCCAGTCGAAAGAGGCAGCGTTCTTTCGCCTCCATCACCGGTCCCTCTCCTCTCACGACGGTTCATGCGAACCCGTCCTATGTTGGGTATCAGGGCATGGGCTTACCGGCGGCCTGTTTCTGGCGCATAATTTCCGCGGCACTCTCCTTGGCGCTCTGCATCTGAGAACCGCTCATGCTGTTGCCCTTTTTCTAAATGCAGACGTGAGTTAGAGGATATGGCTTTACAGCCGCGGCTATATAACGTCCTTTACGGAGTATGATGACACATTCAGGAAAAAAAAAAAAAAAAGGCCCCGGTGGCTGAGCCAACAAGCCTGGGCCAAAGCCTGGGCCACAGCCTTGGCCACCGCTGCTGGAAGGCAGAAGGCGGAGATGGCTTGGGAAGATGGAGATCAAAACCCTCATGCCTCATGCCAAGCCAAGCTGGCTTCACTGTTTCCCAGACGATCGGCTGCAAGCCACCGCGGTCTTTCATGAGTGAAGGCAAGTGCTCCAACTTACCTGAGCGGCCTGCTTCTTGAGATTAGCCTCACGGGCCTTCTCACGCTGGTTTCCGCGCGACATGCTGAACTAATGAGGAAGGGTAAGCGAGAGTGGGGTGTGCTTGGATGTGCTCGAGTCTTTTACGAGTTGTGAGGGAAGGGGTCGAGTTGATAAAGACTTTTGTCAGAGTTGGCAGCTACAAAGTAGGAAGGGAAGGAAGTGAGGAGGAAAGGGACGAGAAAAAGGAAGCAATCCGGACTTGAGAATGGAGTTCGTTTGCCACGGACGCGAGCTCAGCCTTTTTTTTTTTTTCTGTCTGTTTCAATCCAAGTACCACAGTAATAGGCACGGTGAGGCTGAGCACCTGGCCATGTTGAAGCCTCTGGTAGTGCTCTCTGGATACACACATCAGTGGAGTTTTGTGTGCCCAGACGCTCTTGGGGTGGCAGGAGGTGGGGGAAATGCGCCACATTCGCACTGTCTATTCCCGGAGCCTTCCACAACTAAAGTCCGACAACAAGTACCCAAGCTGCTATAATAACAGGAATTGCAATTGCAAGGAGAGTAGAGGCCTGACCACAGACATCCACAAGCAGTTGGTTTCGCTTGAAGGCATCATCATAATGGATCATCCATACCATTCAAAGGAACGGGCTTGCATCCACAAATCTTTTCTTTATTGCAACAGACCCTTTCGAGTATTCACGTTCCATGTGTCGGGAGCTTTGAGTACCTAACACCTTTAAAGCGTGTCTGGGGTTGGAGAACACAACAGCATCGCTTCGGTCGTGTTACTATTTCCAGGACGGCTATGACACTAACCGGCCTAGCGTATCGACCTAGTGCTTGGATATGGGCTGGGAGCCGAGTAAAGTGTAGCTTGTAGAGATTCGAAGAAGCTAGAATGCTAGTCAGGGCAGGAACCCGCTCCTAATGGATAGACATTGACGCTGGTTCCGAGATACCCTTGAGATTCGCATGCCAACCATTACATGTTAGTCTCGCGGACCAGTGAGTCCGTCAATGGCAGCGGCGTAAAATAAGTCGAATACGTCAGTTGAGCTTCCCGTGCAGGCGGCAAGAGGCCGTTGCAGGATCGGACTTGAAGCCCGTATAGGGAACAAAGGCAGGAAGATGCTGGGTGGATCCGATGCGAAGAGGACGGACGACTAGATCAATGGTTACAAATGAACCGGTTGGGTGCGAGAGGCCTGAATACCCAGCTCCTCTCCAGTTTTAATTTCCGTCGAGTATCCCTTCGGGACTTGAGCGCTCGTCGATGCTCTTGAAGCGCCGCCTACGAGTAAGCGCGCTTCAGTAATCTAAAAATGGCACCGCCAGTTCTCGCCAACCCATTGATCTTGTTACCTCGTATTTGTTAGTTACATGTATCTGGTGAATCTCGGTCTCACCCTCGGGCCATGTGGAGATGGTCGAGCCGCCGCGCGCTTACACTGTTGGCGATTGTATGGGCCTGGGCCATTATTACTCGTGCAATAGATCGATTGGAGTGAGAGCCATGCAGGACACTGGAGTTCGCGGGTTAATTTCATTAAGCCCACTTGTCGTGCCACGGCGGCGTCTAATTGGGGCCATGCGCCTTCCTCTCTAGATTGGTGAGCACCATCGAGGCAATGGCGAGAGGAGGTATCAAAAGGAATAATGAGTTTTTTCTTTTTCAATTTTTTTCAATTTTTCAATCATATTGCACCCGGGAAGACCTGGTTTGCAGTTGGAGATTCGTTCGAGTCGCCGCTGCTTCAGGTGTTCACCCTGCTTCGGGAGCAGATGCCCAGGCTGCGACTGCCCGGTTTCATAACTGGCCAGCACCAACCAAAGTTAGATACTGAACGAGTGAACCAAGCATTACCTGATTAATGCATCAGAAAGAACCAGTCATTGATTGAGAGGCCTGGAACGTTCAGGGGACGACAATTTCTCCTTCGATCTATTGATGGAGGCTGTCCCATCTGCCTCCTCGCTTCTGTCCTCTTCCTCCTTACCTTTTGCCTTTTGCCTCATGCAATAGGGTTCCCACGCATTCTACGCATTCTACGCATTCTACGCAGTCTACGCATAGAATCATTGTTAAACGAGACTTTCCGGAAGGAAGGGACACGCTGCTCCCGCTGTGCTTGGTGCTCCGTGGATCGCCAGTGATCCCGACAAATTAAACAGACGATGTGGCCTAGGAAGAAGGTTCTGCCCATTCTTTTTCCCCTAAGAGCACGTTCGGATTTTTTCGCTTCTTCTTGGGATCGCCTTTGCTCTTCTGTGATCTCCTGGGGCAGCAAGGTTATGCCTGGAAAAAGGGAAGTCCGGCGGAGCGTGGTTGTCCATGGAGGAGCAATTTAGCCAGTGTGCGCGACCAGAAAACCTGAAACCCGGAGCAGAGGCACCTGGTCCAATCGATGCCGTGTGGCACCCCGGGCCACAGAACTTCCATGCCGGGGTGGTGCAAGAAGAGCGCGTCAAGGAACACTCACCTCATCCACTAATCATTGGATGACGACGATCGGCTTTTTCCCCAGGACCACGCTTCTGATTTGGGACCTGCGCTTGAATGGTCTTTGACGAATTTGTAACCTGACAAGGATCCTTGCCTGAATAGTCGAGAACATGAACACGTCCAGTTGCGACGGGGCGGCTTGTCCTGCAGCAGCCCATTGTAGCGTTATTCATCTCACACTCTTCTTTTGACAATTTTCTAACAATTGTCTGTTTATTGTGGGAAGCCAGATTGTTCGAGCTCGTCTATGAAATGCCAAATGGCCAATCGAGCCTCGAAGCCTTTAATGATTTGAGTGTGAAGAGAAACAAGAGGTAGATTTATTTGCACAAGCACAAGCACAAGCACAAGCACCAGTCTTGGAGCCTCTGCCTCTCTTTCACGCTTTCACGATTGGGTGCTGTATGCCCCACACCGACGAGGCGCACGATAATTTGATGAAGCGTTTCGCTTCGAGCCATGCGACGGCCGCTCTCTTCCTTGACTAACAACTCGTGAAACCTGGAAAAGATGCAAGTCACTGAGCTACTGTCCCCCTTGCTCTTTGTGCTAGTGTATGCTTCTTTCCATACATGTTAGCTCCGCCCCGGCCCCGGCCCTTCTTTTCTGGCAGGTACTTGGGTCCTCGACTAATACACCTAACCGGATCTATTCTTGGGTAGCAATTCCAGGTAAAGGTACAAGACGGGAGAGCAGAGCTCAAGAGCGTGGATTCTGGATTGACAGAGGCCAGCCCGAGACAACCTCGTGCGGCCCAAATCATTGGCCCTCGGTGTTCTTGAAACTTTTCTGCTCAATGCCGCAGGGCGAATCACCGATTTCTTTTGATGATTTTCCTCACACTCCCCGGGACCCAGGCCTGGGCCGGCTCCATCATGATCCCCCTCTCTCTCTCTCTTTCTCTACCTGGACCGTTACCCTTCAGAATCCAATCCCTCCCCTCCCACGCGGGCCAGGTTTCTGTGTGTGCGTGTTCTGCATTCTTTCTGGTACCCGTCTTCAAGGATGAATCAGTTGGATGTTTCCCCGGTCCCACTCTTTGGCGCAAAGAACGGGACTGGACAGGGTCGGTCGAGATCAATGGAGTGTGGTCAATGTATTAAAAGAAGCCGGTGCCCTCTTCTAATGATTCAGGATCTCTTATACCCATCTAGATAGTCTCACACGTTCTTTCTTCTTCTATTCCCTACCTCTGCCCTCCTTGTTTTCTCTTCTTCGCTTCTATTGACGAGCCCTCCTAGTGTTTGGCAAAACATCGTCATTTAAACCAACTTAATTCTTTTTTTCTCGCCCTTTTTCCCTTTGTGCTTGCTCCGATTCCTCGCGACTGGTCGCTCCTCTTTGAAACGCCTCCCCCGACGCAACAAAACCACCTTCTTTCATCATAGCCTGACTCTGATTGCCGTCAGACGCAACTTGAACACATCCTACAAAGGAAAAACCAACTCTGCGAGTCAGATATTATACCTTGGTCAAGGAAACCCCGGACTTTCAAACACCTCGAACAAACACATTGTGTCATAGCTGGACTGCCGGTCAGTGTCATTGAGTGACTGTAAGTGAACCCCAGGTCCCCTGGGGGTCTTGAACCTCGCTCAACCCCCGTCATTCCTCCCGACCCTATTCTCGACTTCTCTCTCTAATGCCTTTCAAAGATATCCTCGACCCCACGATACCAAGAAGTTCGGCGACTATTCGTACCAGCAAGGACCGGGTTGTTCCCCGCCTTTTCCTTCCATCCAAAATGTTCAACGCTTCCGCCATCCGTGGCCTTGGCCACCTCATCCTTAATATCATCCGCGCTTGCAACATCATCACCCTCCTCTCCGTCGCCGTCGTTGCATGGATCATGATTGTCATGACGGGCATCCGCGACCAGTTCTTCTTCTTCGATGCCGCCTCGCACTTCTTCACCAGCTGCATTGCCATTGTCCTCATCATCTCCGAAGTCAACCTCTTCAGGCCCTACTTTGCCCGTCACTGGCCTGTCTTGTCTGACCTTCATGGCTTCACTTGGCTCGGCATGGCCATGATCGTGATGGGCTGCCACGTTCTGGGAAATCTGAACAAGAGCGCCACGAGCCCCGAGAACGTCGGTGCTCCTATCCACCGCCTCATCTTGGCCACGGGAATCCTCGCCCTCACCTTTGGCGTGGCCAATATCGCGGCTTCCTTCTTGTTCAGTGACCGCAAGAACAACATCAATGCTCGCATGATTCGAAACGACGGCAACTTGGCCGCCTCCACCTCCTCCAATGGCAAGGCCCCCGGAATGACGATGCCAGCTCACACCGTTCCAACTCCGTCCGCCACCACGAGGTCGAAGAGGAGAAGTCCAACCGCTGGACGCGCAGGTTCACCTTTGCCGGCGGCCGCAAGCTGAAGATTAGCAGGCCTATTCCTCAGCAGCCCGATATGGAATCCCAGTACCCCGTCGACGACTGGCGCCGAAACTCCAGGAGTAGCCCCATCCTGCCCGATATCAAGAGGCCAGACACCGCTCTTCACCCCATGCATACTGGCGTCACTCGCTACAGCGAGGTGTCTCACATCCCCAGGTTTTGAGATGGCCTTGAAAGGGAAAAAAACCAACGTTTGCCCTGGGCCCTGGATGGTCAAATGACTTCCGGTTTCAGGTCTTTTCCTTGATTTCTCACATTTCTCAATCATGCTTCTCTTCCACAGGCGTTTTTAATATTTGCGTTGCATTTCGAGAGCTGGAGTAAGGGACAGACAAAAATACCCAGAAATAAGGAAGGGGAGAGGCGCGGGTTGTGGAACAACAGGGCTAAACATGTGTTTGGAGTTTTTTATCTTTTGCTTTTTCTTATTTTTTTCCGCTGCAACCAAAGTGGTTCCCCATTTCATTTGTTTGGCCTGCTCTTCGATGATACCAAAAACCTCACGCTCCTTATGATAGACGATGTAGACCGTCTTTTTGAGTCTCGCTTAATTATTACATTCTTTCATTCTCTTCAAAGGAAAGATAAATTAAGGGTCCTGCTGTCTTGCGTTTCGCTTTAATATTGGCGGGTGGCGATCGCCGGCGCTGCCTTATGCGAGCCCATCTTGCGACAAGCGATTGGGACACACCAGGTTGGTGGTGCCCGGTCTTCGGCGGGGGTTACGCCGTTTCCCGGGATCTGACAAGTGATTTGTGCTGACTTCCTTATAGAATTTTTTTATTCATTTACTACATTTAGACATGGATCACGATCTCTTTTCTTTCTAATGCCCTCAGAAACATTATGAGATAGGCTTTCCACGGTGCGCCGTGAACTCCTGAGCATGATGCGGATTCTTTCCCAATTCCATCTTCGTTCCCCTCTTCTTTGTGACTTGAGCGACTGGCCAAGTCAAAAGAATAAACGTAAAAGACATGCGATTCATTTCTACTACGGCATACGCGCTGTTCAGCCAAGACGCTATTTGCGTGCCTCGACACCTCGATTTTCGAGGTTCACCGTTGTACAGACTGCCAAACTGACGAGGAATGGGCATACGAGTTTTGTGTACCAGGTCTGAGTTGGTTCTTAAGTGACGGATGGACAGGCGTTCAATGCAAGAGTTTTCCGCGCGCGCGCGCTGTTTAGACGTTAGCTGCTCAGCTCCATCCGCTCTGTCCAGAGTTGCCGTAGGGTGTGGTGGTCGCGTAGGGCGTTGTTGCAGCACCGCCCCATGTGCTCTGGTTGCCGCCATCTCCATAGGGCGTCGTGGCATAGCCCGTATCCTGCCAAGGATTTCCATCCATGGCCATGTCGGGGCTCCGCGGGCCGCCGTACTCGTTCTCGGCCGCGTTCTCGGGGTCTCTGCCGGTAATTACGTGGATGAGCTCGGCAATCTTTTGCTGAATAACTGTGATACCGCCCTGGACGATCTCGTCGGGATCGAGAACACCAACACCCTCAACTTCAAAGTAGAACCGATCGGGGACGGCATTGTAGTCAAGGGTTCCCCCTCTTGAGGCGGCTCCTCCCACTCGGCGTACTTGCTCTTGGGCCTAGACGATAGTGTTAGACAACCACACCCGTTCTCGAGTGGGGGTGGGGGAGTGGAATCTTACCATTCCTTCTGAGCGTCTTCTTCAGACCAAAGATCTAGATGGTGCAGCTTGTTATGGGGATCGTATTCGAACCCTACCGCGGAAGTAGGCATCCACTTTGCGTGCTCCTTTGCGATGCCCTTCTTGGCGATACACTGAAGTTTGAGCTCTTGACCCTGGCGAAGCTTGCAGATGAGCGAGCCGTGGCCGTCGGGATCTGTGATGACCGGCGTTCCGAGTACCGCACTCTTGCGGGCGCTATCGATGATGAGATCGCGCGCGTATACTTTGAGGATCTCATCCGACATGCACTTGGCGTGGAGGCTAAGGCGGACGCTGCAGGCATCGCAGTACTGGTCGCAGTCGCAGTCACGCGAGTAGCGCAAGTCTTTCACGTCCTTGGACACGAGCGGGATGAGTCCGAGGCGATGAGAGATCAATTCGTCGGCGAGCACGGATGTATTGATCTCAATCTCGACAAGGTCGACAGCAAGTGTGGGGACTTCGGCTTGGATGACGCGACGGATCGAATTGGCAAAGGCAAGGTCGGCGCCGGTCATTTCGAAATCGACTCGGGAACGGCTAGCCTGCAGTGGCATCGTGTGGTTAGACGCGGCATCAGGGATGGCGAAAGAGGGGATGCGAATGACGGTGAGGCCAAACATACAGCCGAGATCTTGACGGATGGCCCGCCCTGCTCGCCATTGAGCATAAGGTGGTCAATATCCATCTTGGGGATGTGCTTGGTGCCGCGGTGCGAACCAAGGGCGAGCTGCTCGTGCCTCAATGGGGGCGGGTAGCGACGATAATAAGGTCGCAGGCGCGGGCCTGGAAGTCTTTCTTTGAGGTGAAATTCAATTTGAAAAGGACCACGCCTCTGAAATCGCCGTGTTTATGGGTGGGAAGGTGGTGATGGATGTTCAAAGAGATGGAGGGTCGATGTGTAGTGTAGCTCTCTCTCAGCAATGTTTTCAGTGAGGCGCAAAGACAATGTACCTTCGTACCTGCCTGTTCTGTCATGGATCCACTTTCTTATCGATAAGCTAAAAGTCGTGAACCCACCAAACTTTTTTCCTTCACATTGAACATCTCGCCCCGCCATTTGTGAACATTTGGTGTCTTGCAACGAAGTCGGGCTGCAAAAGAAGAAGAAAAGAAAATGGCAAGTCTCACCCTGAACCAGACATTTCTATGACTGCTATACTAATTCCGTTACTCTAGAAAATCAAAACCCTATCTCGTGCGCCGATTCAGGCTGCCGGCTCCGATGTCGCGAAGCTTCCCGAAACCTCAACCCTGAGGTGCATCCTTTCGAGAGGGCTAGGAATACACCCGAGCTCTCAATGCGGTAAAGATGGAGAGGTTGTTCGCAAAGCCTTTTGTAGCCCAGCTCGGAGGCGGCCATGTCGATGGCGTCTATTCGATGGCCGTGGACGGCCACTCGCTCCAGAGGGTGGCTAGCGGCTCTGGTGATGGCGTTCTCAAGGTCTGGGAGTAAGTCAAGACCTTGTTCTTTGAGGCCTTTCTAGGGCTCTCCTGTGTATCCAAACTAACGGGGATGTTGTGTATCTTAGTCTTTCCGATCGAGACGAGATCTGGCACGCGACAGGACACGAGAATATCGTCAAGGGGCTTGCTTGGACGAAGAACTCTCAGCTGCTGAGCTGTGCGAGCGACAAGACGATCAAGTTGTGGGATCCTTACAACTCGGTCTCCGATTCCGAACCTGTTGCTACGTGGTTGGGTTCCTCGGGTTTCAACAGCATCTCACACCACCGACATAAAAACGCCTTCGCCGTTGCTTCTGATGTGATTTCTATCTACGACCTCGAGCGACCGACAGCCGCCCCTGAAGTCATCGCCTGGCCCGCCAAGGCCGACACAATCACGTCCGTGGCCTTTAACCAAGTCGAGACAAGCGTCATTGCCTCTTGCGCGACGGATCGGGCTGTGATACTCTACGATGTCCGGACTGCTATGCCCGTCGCCAAGACGGTGCTTTCGTTTGCTTGCAACGCAGTCACCTGGAACCCGATGGAGGCATACAACTTTGCTCTGGCCTCGGAAGATCACGATATATTGATCTTTGACTCTCGAAAAATGACCCGCGCCCTCAATGTTCTCAAGGACCATGTGGCTGCTGTCATGGATGTTCAGTTTTCGCCGACAGGCCAGGAGCTGGTGTCTGCGTCGTATGATAGGTGGGTGATTTTAAGCACAGAAATCCTTTCTTTCGCCTCCTTTTCTCTTGTATCATTGCGGGACTAACGGTAAACCTGGATAGGACTCTTCGCATCTGGAGGCGCGACGAGGGCCGATCTCGAGAAATTTACCATACCAAACGCATGCAGCGCCTTTTCGCAGCGCGGTGGACGCCGGACTCGAAGTATGTCCTCAGTGGCAGTGATGACGGAAACGTAAGTGATGCCTGCTTCTTCAACCCTGACCCGTTCCCTCTTGGCTTACCAAAGTTGCAGGTTCGCATATGGAAGGCCAACGCCTCGAAGACCGAGGGACCCAAGTCTACCAAGCAGCGCCAGGCCCTTGAGTACAACGATGCGCTTGTTTCACGATTTGGACACATGCCGGAGATTCGCCGAATCAAGCGACACAGGCACATCCCACACGTTGTCAAGAAGGCGGCGTCGATCAAGAGGGAGGAGCTCAATGCTATCAAGAGGAAGGAGGAGAACGAGAGGAAGCACACCAGCAAGCAGTTCCAAAAGAGAAAACCGGAGCGCGAGAAGATGGTATTGGCGGCCGAACAGTGAACAGCTTCTTTCTTTCCTTTTCCTACTCTTCCCTTTTGTCGTTCGGGACTCTCCTGTCTAGCCCTGATATATCGTGGTCATTGCAGGTGTCTTGGCGTTCTTGAAAAGCTTGGGTTTTTCTATCTCTCTATCTTTTCCCATCCAATTCTTTCATCTCATCTACGTTACATAGATCATGTAGAATACCATGTTATACCCTTCTGCCCGCTTGTGTTGAGTTAAACGACTTGGCCGAAAATTCGTCCTAAATGTTGATGTCGCTGGCGATTCCTTCTGGAAGCGCCGTACTGTCCGTATTGACCTGTCACACTGTGGGTTCACATTCGCCTTGAGCCGTCCGAGCGGTTAGGTTCCGAAACCATCCAGGGGCCGTTTCGAAACAATTCTGTCCGAGCTGTCCACTCTCCTTGTGACAGAAGGCTCCCCGCGACGAGCCATTCCGTCACGGACCAGTTAAACGGCTAGGTTTGCCTCGCCGCCAGGAACGTGCGCTGAGCTTTTTCGGGGGTCAATGATTCTCGTCTGATTTTCCTTGCTCCCCCTCCCATTGATCATTCTTTCCCTGGCCCTATTCCCATGCACCAGAAACTTTTGCTTCATCTTTCTTCCGCTTCCACTTGTCATTTTCTTACCCTCCCTCCCTTTCCTTGCTTAGGATAACCTGCGCTGGTCGAAGTTAATCTTAACATTATTTCCTGGGTTATATCATACCTCCCCCATAAACGGAGCTTAATTATTCCCTCGACGAAGCCTACCTGTCGGGCGTGTCATTTTCTTTTCTTTTCTTTTCTTGCTCGAGGCTAATTAGCATTTCAACGGGGGCACTAATCTTGAGCTTTTGCTGTCGAACGTCTTTATTGGGATCTTGCACCCTTACGAACCAGGCGAAAGCTGCCCAGGTCCTGCGAATAACCTTCCTTCCGCCATCCTCTTCCCTTCTTCTCCACGCGAGTCAAGCCAGCCGATCGAGATGGACTACAACGCCCCGATGCAGCGCGACTCGTGGTTCGCGCCGCTCTCCGTCGACCTCATCGTCAAGGTCCTCAAAGTGACCTTTCTCCACCCCTTTATATGCTGGATCATCCCCATGTGCTTCCGCGCGCAAAACTACCCCTGGGGCCATGACAAGATGGTGTACTCGATTGTCTGGGCGACCTTCATCACCCTCTGCTGGGCCGCGGGCATAATCAACCAGAGGTTGGCCTTTGGCGTGCCCCGAGAGGTCGATCTCGGCGAGGAGGTCATTGTCATTACCGGCGGTGCTAGCGGTCTCGGCCTACTGATCGCCGAGGTATACGGTATGAGGGCGCATCCGTCGCCGTGCTCGACATCAACGAGATGGAACATGAGGAGTCGAGGGGCGTCACTTTCTACAAGTGTGATGTTACGGACAAGGATGCACTCGCCAAGGTTGCAGCTCAAATCGAGGAAGACGTATGTACACCCCCTCTCCTTACCTATTCTTTATCCTTCGAGAATTGCCTCGAGGCCTCTCGTTCACGTTGCTAATCTTTTCTGGGTTCGCTCTTATAGCTCGGCACGCCCACCGTCCTGATCAACAATGCGGCTATTGTCCACGGCAAGCCTCTGCTCGACATGTCCTTCGCGGATGTGGACAGGAGCCTCACAACCAACTTGACAGCGCAGTTTTACTCCATCAAGACGTTCCTTCCAGCCATGATCCGCGGCGACAAGGGGGAACGATTGTCACCATCTCCAGCGTTCTCGGTCACGTCGGCGCCGCCCGACTTTCAGACTACTCGGCGGCCAAGGCCGGCCTCACAGCCCTCCACAAGTCCCTCACGGCCGAGCTCCGCGCCACGCACCCCGAGATCCGCACCGTACTTGTCGAACCAGGCCAGCTCAGCACGCCCTCTTCTATGGCGTGCAGACGCCTAGCTCCTTCCTTGCACCTGTCGTCGAGCCCGTTGACGTCACCAAGGAGATTATTGCGGCTATCGACGGCGGTTACAGCACCCACGTCAAGTTTCCCTTTTACGCAAGGTGGATTGACTACTACAACATCCTGCCCCTTGGTTTCCAGCAGCTTGCGAGGAAGCTTTCGGGCGTTGACCGGGCCATGGATAACTTTGTTGGTAGGCAGGGGATCTCAGGATTGAAGAAGAAGGCGTAGAGGGCGACCTACACCCTTGATCTCCAATGCAATTTCTGAAATTTTCGTTATATCTCTCGAGACGTCTTTGAGCCTCGTCTAGATTGCGCTGTGCGCGACGGGGACTCTACCTAAATTTGGGTTCAGATCCACCATCTTTTGTATGAATAGCCACGGCGGGGTCATTTAGAAAGTCATGATAGAGGTCGGTTTATCAGCGGCCTTGGTTTCTCAGATCGTTTGAATCCCGATTGAAGCGATAGCATCTTGTGCAAACAAAGGAGAAGGTGAGAGGGTGACAAGAAGAGAGCTACTTTGGTACATTAATGATTTGAGATCCCATCAAAGGTCGTGAATGGCTCCACTTTAATCCGAATACCACACTGGAAACGAGCTCTCGCTTGATCAAGTCCGGCCGGAACAATTGCCATGACTTCCACTAGACCCAATCCTACGGGCACAGCAGGCGTGTGAGCGATTTGCTGGGGTCACTGATCTATTTATCTTGAACCATACAGGACCCTTGTCGATTTGCTGATATCTGTGGTTGGTGCTGGACCAGTGATAAGAGTTGGAGACCAGGGCGGAGATAAGGAGCAATCGACAGGGTAATGGGCGTCGAATAAGCGTCAACAACGGTATCAGTCCCCATCGCTGCCATTTTTGCTGCGCCTTTGTGCTTAAATTTTTTTCTTCTTTCTTTCTTATTCGATGCGCGTTGAATAAAGGAAAACGGTAAGAAAGCGTCAGCTTGGTTACCTGCGCCGCTGCCAAGGCCCCGAGGTCTGTTAAACATCTCGAGTTGAGAAAGATTTATGATGATCTCGTCGAGAAATTCCCCTTTCCGTCTCGGCGGAATGATTAGTGTGAGGATCTAAGAAGAGCTCCTCTTCTCTGCTCAGAAGGGAACATCGGGAGATAACGGTCTCTAGAGCCGTCATGGTTGAGTTCGAGATAGGAAGGCTCCGAGATGGGGGCTAGTCTAGTAGCAACATGTCGGCGGTCCATCCTTTCCATGTCAACTCGACCCATGCCAACTTTAATATGCCCACCATCCCGGGTAGTTCCCCCACTTAGCGTGCGGGCTTTGAACCGAGTCTGCACCCTGGAAGGGGGTGACCGGTTGACGAATTCTCTTGAGGATTATACCTTACCACCACGAACCTGACTGTAGATGAGTCTGATATTCCACCAGAGGAGGTGACCAACTCTCTATTGGGCATATAGAAGGTGGGTGTAGTGTCTCTCATCACGGCACATGAACACACTGGTCAACTGATGCTCAACTTGGCGCCTTAAGGACGTACAAGCAAGTATGAGAAGAGTCTTGGGTCACAGGGTGCAGGCACCGATCCATCCCGAGATCTAGCCCTTCTCCTGGGCTTAGCCCGACGTTAAGGATTGCAGACAACCCCGGACGTGTGCTCTGCGCGCCTCGTGGCTAGGGTGGAGGCAAGAGACCTCACCGTTGTCGAGCCGAACGATGCTTGTACATCTTCCTGGAGAAGTTTCCGCGGGGCACCACGTTCTTGGGAAGCATGCAGGCGCCGAAAACCTGCGATGGTTGAGCCTCGGTCGTGGAGGCTATGGAGGACAAGGTGCGTGGCTGCTCAAGCAAGGCAAGCAGACGGTGGGGGTGGAAGGTGGGTGTGGGGGCTCTTGGGGACGAGTCGGAAAGGCAGGCAGGGGGAGGCCCGTCAAGGTGCATCTTATCGCTTAAGGAGCAAATATCAGGCCTTGGCACAAAACGGCCTCATAGGGGTGTCGATGGTGACGGGTCAAGTGTCCGGGTGGAGGGAAAGGGAAAGGGAAAGGGTAGGCGAACTAGCGTACGGTCGACATGCCCTAGCCCTTGTCGGCGGGCCAATGTGAGAAAGAGAACAACGACGAGAAGCGAGTGACGCAAAGCCGTAATACCTAGATACGTTCATGATTTGACATATGACGAACTTGTGTGTGTTCGAATCTCTCTCCCAGTCGTCAGGGCCGCGACGTTGGTGGTGTTGATGGTGTTGGTGGCACTTTGATTTCGGACCGGGGCTCTCCGGATTCGTCTTCCCGCGAGATAAGCACCTTCCTTCCCTGCCCTCTCTTTCCGCGTTTTGCTTTTCCGCCGTGCACATATGCAAACTCGCAACTTCTACTCTCTCTGCTCTTGTTGCAACTTGTTGCAAGGGGGCCACATCATCAGTGGTTCCTTCTCACACCCGTTTTCCCGCACACCAGGTATCAATCGCGGGACCAGCAGTCGCCCCTTCCCCTTCATCCATAGATCCTTGTATACAATACAAGATGCCCCCGTACTTGCAGCTTCGAAGCAACGCAGTTCCTAGCACAAAGGCGACTTTCAGCCCTGAGGGGCGACGCTGTACTGGTACCCCGCAACGTGTGCGATTGATCAAGCTGTTCGTGCCCGGTTGCCTCATGTTTGGTATTTCCGATGGCGCAGCCCTTAGCCATCTCCACGGAATTTGTTTGTGGCGTCTCCCACAAACCCATGCGTATCCCTTGACCCCATCTCCCCATCCACCCATCCACCCATCCACCCATCTATTACCACTACATTGATCAATATGTGCCCCACCTAAGACTGCGCTCGACCGGGGGCGGACGACTCGCAGGCCGGCGTGCCATCTCCCTTATCTTTGGCCAACTTCGGATGTGGCCTGTTGCCCACCTCGGCGTACGCCCACCCACATGTCCTTCGAATACCAGAGGCTGCCCTTCCTTAGATTCTAGTACAACGGTTAGATGCGCTGTGGGAACCTGATATCGAACTCGGCATTTCACTTTTATGCTACGTCTCTTGCTCCTCTTCTCTTGGCCCTCCTTTCCCTCTTTTCCTTTCTTCTTCATTTTTCTACTCTCTAGAGCTATGCAACGTTTTCTTCCCCCTCCTCCTATGTGAAAGCCGAAGCACCAAGTCAGTTTTAATATAGCTCAAGCTCCCCAGCTAAACGCAGGGTAGCGCAGTGATATCTCTCAGGCTAGTTCCGGCTTGTAGCTCACGCAGGGCCATTTTGTCACGGACGAGTTCAAAATAATCACACACCCGTGCGCACGCTTAGACCCACAGACACCTCGATCTCTCAAGATGGCATTCCAGTGGTGGGATCCCGATCGAATTGAATCAACGGTCACCCGAGGGTTTGTCTCGCAAAGGCTTATCCCCCAGGATACCGAGCGGCTCGACAAGACGCTCGCCTTTGGAGATGGCTTGACTGACTTGACATATTGGGATTGGATCGACTCCAAAGGAAAGCGCATCTTTCTTATCCTCGTGGATCTTGGCGCTGCCAACCACATCTTCGACCTCATCGACGATTCTTGGTGCGACGACGACTTGCCCCTTGGCCCGGAGAACGCTGAGCGACTGAGCAGCGTTGCCAAGGATGGGAAGTTGTGGAGGAGGTTCTACCAAAGGCAATTCGCCTATCTCTTAAGGCCACTCACCAAGGGCCACCACGTGAGCTATTCAGACGCCGAGATGGTGCCTGTTGAAGTAACAGACAGAAAGCCCATTCTTACCGCCAGCTCCTCGGTTGATAAGGTCGCCCTCCCAAACGAGCCAGATATGGTATTTTGGAGGCGTCGGATTCCCATCGGCGACGGCCGGGGAGAGTTGAGCGAAGACGAATTCTTCAACACGGTCGACACCGCGAGATCTACTGAGAACGAGCACATGGTGTCATACTGGGCCTCGTACACTCACCGCGGCGAGGGTTTCATTCTCTTTGACCCCGCCAGTGAGACAAACTTGAAGTTGTTCTTCGTGGCCCAACCAACCTCGTATCGCAACTTTACCAAGAAGGAGCGTAGAGAATCTGTCATGGACTGGATACTCTGCCTAGCAGACACCGTTGCCTTTTTACACAGCAGAAACCGCTCCCACCGCTACATCAAGCCCTCCACCGTCCTTTTCAACGAAAAGTCTCGCATATTCTTAGCCCAGCCCACGCGACTCAGCCCCGAACCGCTGGCCACCCACTCCAAAAACTCCTTTGACCGTGAATGGTATGACTATGCGGCACCAGAGCAGTGGTTCCGCCCTAGCGGGGCACCCACGTCACCTTCCGCCGGAAGTCGAGCCTATCTTCGACCCCAGAGACGGCAGCTATCTCCATTCTACGACCAGACTACGCATCGTACAAGCCCAACGCCATGATGAGCGCCCCGAACCCGCACCTAAACCCGCAAGCCGCCGACATCTTCTCCCTAGGGTGTATTATTCTCGATCTCCTCAGCTTCTTGCTTAAGAAGCAGAGCAAGTTCGCATCTTTTCGCGCAGCAAAGCACAAGACACCCGGGAGGGGTGGAGCGGTGCTGGATTCCTCTTTCCACCGTAACCTGGGCCAAGTTGAGGCCTGGATGTCCCTCCTAGCGAGGGAAGCGTCGAAAAAGGCGTCCGATAGCGACGGGGCAATGTCTTTCGAGGATTCACGCCCATGCTTCACTTGGTGGCGCGCATGATGTCGGCGAATCCCCACGATAGGCCGTCGGCGGAAGACGTGCAGCACCGGATCTATCAGATTGTCACAGAGCACGCAGGTATTGCTGAACCTCACTGCGTTCATCAATACGCGATCCATCACGGTATTCACGACCATAGCTTCCGCGGCTACCGTGTGGATTCTGATTTGTCGGAGAGCGGTCCCTCCACCCCACCGTCGGGCTACGGTCCTGATTGGGTTTATGGTGGGGAGAGCAGCATGCGCGAGGCATACATGAGTGATGGACGCCAGAGTCGGAGTCAGATGCACCTCCACTTACCTATCAATGGCCATGGCCATGAGCCGAAGCAAATGCAGCTCCCCATCCGAGGGATGCAGCCGGTGATGTCGCCGGCGCTGATGTCTCCTCGGATGGCACAAAACAGGCCAATATATTCGGGCTATGGAGCGATGGGCCTCGAGGTTTGAATGGGCCTCGCTCAAACCTGGCCGCATAAACACGTGCCTTTCGCAATGTTTCTTCTAAGCCACCGTGGACACATCCATACCTTGGATATGGCCTATTAGGTCATGAGGAGGTATCTACCACCAATTTGCCATTCTCTCTCTCTTTCCTTTGTTTCCTTGTTTTCATAGATACCACTGAGCGATTCTAAATTGTTGTTCTTTTTTCTTTTCTTTTTTTTTGGGGGCAGGTGACGGATGGCGTTTGGCATGAGCCAGGGGAGTGCTAGCATAATGGCTGGCCGGATTTCCTGCAGGATCTATATATACCTTGTATGCGTTGATAATTATCTAGATGAGTTGATGGGTGATGATAGCTGCTTTTGTGTACAAAAGAAGAAGTAGATATGCCAAGGTCACTGGCCTTGAAACTATGAAGTCCTTGGAAGTAGACAAAACAACGCGCAAACGGTCGTATATATTTCTATATCATGGATCCATTGTATTGTGTAACAGAGGCAGCGATGATCTGGCCAGGTTGAATTGAACCGGCATTTGAGATGAACAAGAGAAAAACAGATTTTATTGTTTTCAAACCCTCATTATCATATGTACATGGACTCCTCAGCAGACCCAACCCATCTGATGCTCAAGAAAAATGATAGATACCAGCGAGTAGGAGAGCAGAATTTCACAGAGAGGCGGAGGGAACTCTAGGCTTAGCTATGGACGGGAAGTGGTGGAGGGGCGACTTGGTCATCGGAGGGCTGGCGGCTGAAGCGGATGGTGAACTCGAAGGTGAGGGCGCCGGCGGGGATGAGCCAGTCCCTGCGGCCGGGGCTCCCATAGGCGGTCCTGGCCTTGAAGAACCAGAAGACGACCAAGGCAGGGTGGACGAACCAGCTTCAAGGCACGAGTGTTTTAGTAAGGTGGTACATAGAGGGAGAGAGGCCACAGGAGGGACAGAAGGACGGAGGAAGACGGATTGGGGGTGGGGAAGGTACAAAACTCACCCGAGAATGACGCCGCTCACAAAGGCGGTGTTGATGACGACGTCCCAGATCAACTTGAAGGTGCGACAGGCGTTGTCGTAGGAATCGCAGTGGGGGAGGGGAAGCCGTAGCGGTCGGCCTGCATGAGGGCGGCAATGCAGGCGTAGAGGAGGAGGAGGTGGACGGAAAGGTTGAAGAGGACGCCTGGGACTTTGGCGGCGCGGACGGTGCGGAGGTTGACGATGGCGAGGAAGCCGGAGAAGAAGGCCTAGCAGGAGTTAGATGAGACTGAGTGGGTGCGTGCATGAGAGGTGAGGCTACATCACGGATAAGAGGGTAAGATGTAGGTAAGGGAGAAGGGATGAGGGGATGTGTAGGGAAGGACAGAGAGGTAAAGAAAGGGGTTCAACGCACAGCGAGGGCTAGCACGACCCAGCCGTCAAGATCGAGCCACACGTTCCTGGAAGTGAAGGTGTTCAGACTGAACAGCACCATGCACAACACAATGGTGATGCCGGAGATGGACAGCAAGGCCCACGAAGCGAACCAAACCCCGGCCACTAAGCTCGCGCGGATAGCGGCGGCGCGGTCGGCGGACTCGGAACCTGAGGAGCCTAGTTGGGCCTCGAGACCGCCGGGGTCGGTCAGGGGGTGGCATCTTGATCGTGATGGGAGGAGGCAGCTGTGGCAGCGGCAGTAGCACCGCGGTCGGCTGAGAGCAACGGCGTGGTTTCAGTGTCGGCCGGCTGCTGCGCGGGGACGTCGGCGGAGGAGCTCGCCATTGTGGGTGTGTCGTTTGTTTTACGGCCGGGCAAGAAGAAGGGGAGGGCGCCGGGTGCTTTGCCAAGGTCGAATTTTCTGTTTTTATTTTCTCTTTTGCCCTTTTGGGGAGGGGGCGATATTCTCGGGTTTGATAGGAGGGGAGAAGAGGAGAAGAGGAGAGAGCAACGTGGGCGATATCGTCCTCAATTGACTGAGGAATTGAGGAATGCAAGCAAGTGGTGCCTGGAGGGGTTGAATCAGTTGAAGGATCGGATAATGGTGTGTCAAATTATGTGCATAGACCAGCCTCCCAGAGCTGGCGTTGTTGGCTCTGGTTTGTAGGACCTGAGCTTATTTCCTTAAAGAGGACCTTTGTGGATGAGGCGAAGCCAAGTACCAACCGACCAGCCAACACACCTCGAGGTATCTTGTCTGGATCTGTGGACGGATACAAAGGATTCACGCCGGAAGCGGCAATGATTCCACCAGGGATGCCCAGATCGAGTGTGGTGTGGGTCAAATGTCCAAAAGAGATCGACCGCTACCTCTCCTTTTCTTTTTTATCTTTCATCTTTTTCTTTCTTTTTTATCTTCCCTTCCCCGGCGTGGACGCGAAAAGGCGATGTTTCGGTGGGCGGTATTTGGGTGTTGATCTTGATCCAAGGCAAGTCGAGGCAGGAATGGTGGAGAGCGGGGACGGCGAGAAATGAGGGGAAGTGGGAGATGCAAATTGGGCCTTGTTCAACCCACGCTTACAACATCAATCGTATCATCTCTCCCCATCTCACCCGTTTAACCTACAATGTCGCAAAAATGGTGAAGCACACGGGAGACGAAGAGAAGGACATCTACGAGGTCACCTAGCGCTGGGAAGAAATAAGGCAAAGGGAGGAGGCGCGCATGCGTTGTTCTGCACCCGATAATGCGTGATGACGACAACGAACATGAGCCCGCCGGCGGGCCGGAGAAGCAAGGGGAAAAAGGCGGCGAGGGTATAATGGTGAGTCGTGGATGGAGATGGCAGACTGACAGCTCAGTCACCGCTAAATGATGATTGATTGTGAGGAGCAAGATCTACCGCTACCTTGCGAGAGAACTGCGCTGCTTGAACATTGAATCGGGGTGGATTGACATGGCGCATATCTCCCCGGGACTTGGTGTGGGATATTCCAGCCTTCTCACAACGTAAAGGAGTTTCTTGGCTGATATCTAATTGTTAAGGTATCCAAGTAATAGAGATCTATTGATGCATTCTCGTGGCACCGTTCCAGTCGAGGCCTATGCGAAGAGAACTATTGGTCAATTGCATCCCATATTCAAGATCTAGCACATGTAGTGCATGAGCTCTCGCCCACTGTTGGCACACAACGAAATCCTGCGACGGGCTGGGGTTGTCAACCAGATCAAATCTGTGGCCAAGTTTCCATCCGAATGGATCCATTGATGTCGTCACTCGAGCTGCTCGGGGAGGGCACTGGCCAGCCATGGGGCCATTTCGTGCTTCAAGTGTTGATGTCTCTGTTTTTAGGTTGTTTAGGTGGGCCAAGTGTCCATCAAACTCCCCGTTTTTAACAACGGTTGGATCCAGAGATATTACCAGGCCATCAAGTCAAGTATCCCAATTCCCCATCCCCGCAACCGAGATGCGCTCAGACGGGTCAATCCACCCCGATTCTTCCCAGGATTTTGGTCAACATAGTGTCTCGGATAAACAGCGCAAGCGTTGGCCCGCCCATACTCTACTATCTTGACCTGTCAAGGGCTGTTTTCCTCCCGCTCCGTTCCTGGATCATATCTGTTCAACCTTCAATTGCTTCTCGTTTCGTCCCGACTTTAGTATTGCAATTTTGTGTTCCAGGGTCCAACAAGATCTTTTACTCATTGGTAGGTTGCTGAGTAAATTAGCCCAACTTTAATTACACGATGGAACACGAGAATGGAGGGCAGAAGGCACCTAATCACTTGATTGCTTCCAGGTGTGTATGTGTGTGTGTGTGTAGATCTGCTAGGGACTTTCGAGAGCCTTCAGTTTCAGTATCCGGTCCTCTAATTTCGTTCACGCTTTCGTTCATCGCATTGGATGGAGAACTTTGAGCAACCTATCCTATCCCCAGAATGTTGCTAGCTTCCCTCAAGCTTTCAATACTGTTTACTTGGATATCTTGTACACTGCTCTTCGAGGCAAAATATCCACCGTCGATAGCTCCATCTAGTAGAAATACCACGCCAAACCGATTAATCAGTCAATACGCATTGGAGTCGTTGCCCTTTTCTCCGTTCTAGCCTACACATGCACATGATGGACTCAATGCCAAAGTCTTGATCTGCGAGAGGAACTAGCCTCCCTCCATTCTGAGATCGCAAGCATGGAATCGGCTACTTCCAAGAATACCCTCTCTCAAAGCGTCAATGCTCTTGACAGGCACCGCCTAAATCCCCCAGTTTTTCTTGGCTCCGGCCCAGGTCTCTTGGCACGATTTCCTCTCCCGACTGGCTCCCACCCACCATCCCATCCTCCACACACGAACCCTAGTCTGCGCTGTCAATCAAGGAAAACGCGATGGATTTGCTGGCGCATATGCTCCGGCCCAAGGTCCAGGGGTCATGGCCATGGTCATGATGCGAGCTGCCGTTAGGCTTGTCGGGTTCCTGAGCTCCTCCTAGCTCTAAATATATTTATATCCTCTCGGGTCCCGCCTTGCTCACATCGCAACCCCTTGAACTACATGTAGCAACATTGACAGCCCGAACATAGGACCAGTGGTTCCTTCCTCAATCGTTTCCGGATTGCACGTTCGCTTCAAATCATCTCAAAAGGCGCCCGCTGTTCCGCTCGCTTCTCCATCTCTCGCTTGAGCCATCTGTATTGCTGCACCCTGCCAGCATCTACTCCAGGAGGACATTTTCCGATTCGGAGATCGTCGCGTTTGCCTCTACAACCGTTTGCTATTGTTACGCAATCCAACCGTTGAACTACCGGGCACGACCAAGGGAATTCACTGAGAAGCGTGATTTCTTTGGAGCAGCGAACAGTCGAGGACCTGCCGCTCTCTCTTTCATTTTTAATACTCCCCCTTTTTTTTTTTTTTTTCTCGTTGGCACCGCGAGAATCGGAGCTGGCGAACGAGCGACTCATTCTTCCACAAAATCTCCCTCCCCAACTTTGTGGCCCTCACAATGAAGGCCCAGATCCTAACCCTCTTCATGGCCGGCATGGCGTCCGGTGCTCTCCCTACGATCGAGACCTACGGTAACAAGTTCTACGATGCCAATGGCAATCAATTCTTTATGAAGGGTGAGTTTCATCCCCTTCTGTGTGCGAGTCTTTGAGATCTAGACAGTTAAGCTAACATTGACGCGCGCAGGAATGTCGTATCAGTTGCGCCCCAATGACCCCCTCATTGACACTGATCAGTGTAAGCGGGACATCAAGCTCATGTCTGAGCTTGGCGTCAATTGCATCCGTGTCTACCATGTTGACCCCAAGGCGGACCACGATGGCTGCATGAACGCTTTTGACGAGGCCGGCATTTACGTCACCGTTGACATGGATACCTTCAACACCTTTATCCTTCCTGTAAGTCTTGATGGGTCTACCGGGCCCCATAGGTGTGCTGCTGCTAGATGTTGTTTCCTCGAACCACCAACTGCATATCTTAGTGGTCCCAATCCTCCCGGCACTTGGCCTCCTTGCTGACAACTTGCGTAGTACGACTCGTACTGGAACACCACCCAGTTCGAGAGCTACTCCGCCGTCATGGACACCTTCATCAAGTACGACAACCTCCTCGGATTCTACGTCGGCAACGAGATCATCGCCATGATGGACCAGTCCCATTCCGCCCCCTTCATCAAGGCTGCCGCCCGCGACATGAAGGCCTACCGCGACAGCAAGGGCTACCGCAAGGTCCCCGTAGGCTACACCGCGACCGACATCGCCGAGCTCCGCCCCATGCTCCAAGACTACCTCACGTGCGGCGGCAACCAGTCCGAGATTATCGACTTCTTCGGCCTCAACGCCTACGAGTGGTGCACCCCCAACACCTACAACGCCTCCGGCTACCCCGCCCTCCAGGAAATGGCCGAGCAGTTCCCCGTCCCCATCTTCTTCTCCGAGACGGGTTGCATCACCGGCCCGGAGCCCCGCGCCTGGGAGGACATGGATGCCATCTTCAGCGAGCCCATGATTGACGACTGGAGCGGCGCCATCGTCTACGAGTGGATCTACGAGCAGAACGAGTACGGCATCGTCTCCTACGGGCCCCGCGTCGACCAGACCATCGTCACCGGCGACGTCTTTGACGGCTTCACCCGCAAGGGCACCCCGACCCCGCGCCAGCCCGACTTTGACAACCTCAAGACCCGCTGGGCCGCCATCACCCCCAAGGGAACCCCCGCTCGAATACGACCCCACCAGCGTCTCCACCAGAGCCTGCCCCAAGGCCACCTCCGGCGGCTGGGAGGTCGACGGCAACGTGAGGCTGCCCGTCCTCGACGAGACCTTTTCCGGATCTTTTATCCCTAGCCCTACCGTCGACCCCAACGCCGCTCCTAGCGACAACGCCGAAGAAGATGCCGCACCGGGCAAGGGCATGGTGGCTCTCCATGCGGCCGTGGTAGCTGGCACTCTCATAGTAGCCCTGTGGCTATAAGAGAAGCTTACATCTCTTCATTATCTCGGGCTCTTTTTATCTCTTCTCACTCACCCCATTACCTTATTAACGACATATATATCATGATTATTATCTTTTAGTCTCACAGTTCCATAGTATATAAGAGCTTCTTCAGAGCCGATTTAAAATAAAGTTATAATACCCTAAAAGCTAACTTATCTTTCTATCTATAAAACCAGTTATTAAAGTATTAGCTAATTAATCCCTCTCCCTCCCTCTCCCCCGCTCTCTTCTTCCCTCTCTTCTTCCCTCTCTTCTTCCCTCTCTTCACCTCCTCTTCTCTCTCTCCATCTCCATCTCCTTCTCCCCTCTCTATCTCCATCTCCCCCATCCCCCATTATCTTCTATTCTACTTATAGACAAAGAATATTAACTAATGAGATAGGGCCGGACAGAGAAGAAGGGAATATGAAAAATAAAACCAAAAAGATATTTAACGCCCTAGACCCTCTCGGGCTTGCGCGCCTCAGGACCACCCTTAAGGGGCGGGGATCTCCCTAGGAGGTACTTGTTTAACTCGATCCCTGGGCACCTGCGGCTTCACTTGGCTTGGTGTTGACCACTTTGGCGAAGGGCGCGGATAGGGGGAGGATTCTCGCCCCAGTGCTGTGAGATTTGAAGGCCTTCCCTAGGGAGGCCTCAATCTCGCAGCGGGTGGGGTGGAGAAATCCATCCGGCTTGTTCGAGCCTGATCAGGGCTCGAACAGGAGTGCTTTGAATATGCCATCCGCCGACCAGTTGGCTCAAGTCGAGAACAACTGAGCCATCCTGGCTTCTTGGTGCTTTCTCTAAACAGTTTTTAATATATAAAGGTACCTTCAAGGCCTAGGACGCGTTCGGATGAGGAAGGGGCGAGGTGGCCGAGTGCTGTGGGATACGGGTTGGCCTGGGAAGGTGCGAGGGGCGTTGCGAGCAACGCTCCTGCCCTGGCCTCAACCTACACTGAAAGCGGAAGGAACGACTGGCAAGCCCCGGCACCTTGATTCCGAGCGTACGTGGAGGCGGGCGTCAGATGGGAGAGTGACCAGGCTTTCTAGTGGGGGTCTAACTATCAAATATCACATGCAGTTATCATAGATGGATCAATGATGTTTTTGGCGGTATACGTTGGGCGGTGGCCGCAGCTTCGACCGTCGTTGCATGTGCTCGACTGCCTCTGGGTGCTATGACCCACAGCTCGGTGCTCGTTGGGCAGCGGTTTGGCCTTGCGGAATCGAGCTGACAGAGGCTGGTTGCTATGACATTGACTATGTGATCTGTGGATACATCTAGCACATTGTCTACACTGAAACCTCTAGATTCCCGCACACATGGTCCCTATGCTGTATCAACTAGAGCTCAAATCAGATTCCTAATACATCCAATATATGCCTCAGATACCAATGCCAAGAGCCTCGATCCCCAAGCAACTACCTAACCCCATCATAATGCCCTCCACCTCCCAACGCCTCGCGTCCTCTCCACGCGGCCCTTCACGGGGCTCCTCACGCCGTCGGGCCCAAGAACCGTGCCCTCTAGGCAACATCTCCAACAACTCTGTCCGCCGTATGCGCCGCACCCTTTCAACACCCTCGAGGTGGCCCTACCCGAGGGACCTCTGCCCGGAGGTGGCAGCGGGGGATATAGGCGGAGGCGGAGGAGGCTGCGCAAGCAACGACCCGCGTATAGCACGGCGAGCTTCTGGATCGTGGCCGGCATTCTCACGGCAGCCTTGGGAGGTTTCGCCGTCGGTAAGATTCTTGGGACGTCGTCGGCGCCCGCTCCGACAGAGGAAGACAACGATGAAGAGGAGTATGACGGTATGACCCTTTTTCTTTTCTTTTACGGCACTGGGCTCGAAGAGATCCATTCTCCTTCGGGCCTCACGCCATACCTATCACAAGCTAACATCGGGTATGCCAGACTCTTAGCGTTGAGCAAGGCCCTCGTTTTCCCCTCGGCGATGATGGCCCATGATGCAAATGAAGATGTCTACTCTTATCCATCGACTACAGATGATGGACGGGAAAGTGAGGATGGGAATGAGAGAGAGCAAAGGCTCGTTTCCGGGGAAGTCTTCGGATGGGAAATACTTGGGCAACGATGGTAAACTTGTTGATGGCGTTGAGCCGTCCGGATAAACGATGATGCGACGGTCGACTGGGTAAGCACGAGCATGGCTTCGTAATACCTAAGCAACCCTTTTTGAGGTGATTGTAGTTCTTAGGAGTAGTATAAAGGTATTGATCCATAAATGCATACACTTGTTATTTTCAGACCTCTGCTACCTCTACACTATGCATCGGATGAGCATACCCTACGTCGGTCATAGACACGTCTGGCGGGATCCGCGGACCTTGAACGGTCTGGGCCACTCCCCGGCCCCGGCTGTCCCGCCCCCTCATCCCGAATGGGGAGTTCATAGGAGGATATCGGGACCCGCATTTTGTGTCCAAGTCACACGCAACAACCGATGTGTGAACGTAGCTTCAACTGCCAGTGGTCTATTTTGGACTAGCCAACCTTGTGTACGACGAAAAGCTACGCAGACCCAGGCAGCTGTGGTTCCTTTCAGTCACCAAGAAACACCAGCAACGACGCATTGATCACACTTTGCGCAGGTTCCAGAACCCCTGGGCTACCCCAGACTTGTGGCACTACAGGCGTCCACCCCGGTGCCACCGTCGGCCGCGTTGAGGGAGGGGGAAAGGAGGGGGATTAGCCTACTTCGTTGTGGTGGTGCCCGCATTTCCGAAAGAGGGGCCCGCCCCACAGTGGACCTCATGTAAAAGGGTCCAGCAGAATTGAAGTCAATGGCTGGGTATTAAAGAGTCGACGCATCGTGCACTATTCCACGATATTGTTTGAGCTCATCAACCAAGGCGATTATATCCATAACTCTGTTCTCCCTCTCTTCTTCCCAAATCTATTTGCGGAAAAAGGCGAAAGGCAGAAAACAAAAGTATCAAACATTGTCTCCATTCCCCGCTTCTCCAAACACTTGCGCCAGCACCTATTTTAGTCTATCAGGAGGAACCGAGTCTACACAAAGATTTTCGCCATGCCGGACCAAACACTCACGGGAAAGGTAGCCATAGTCACCGGGTCTAGCACCGGGATAGGCGCCGCTATTGCGCAGGAACTCTCATCCCGGGGCGCGAGCATCGTCATCAACTACCCTTTCGCCGACATCAAGCCGGATGCAGAAAAAGTGCTAGCGTCGCTCGCGACACCGTCCACATCCATCACTGTAGAGGCAGACATCAGCACGGAAACCGGACCGCAGGTGCTGGTGGACGCGGCCGTGGCGAGGTACGGCAGCGTCGATATCCTGGTCAACAACGCGGCATTAGCCGTGAACAAGCCGCTGCCGGAGCAGACCCTGGACGACTGGAACCGACTCGTTAACCTCAACGGGCGGGGTACGTTTTTGCTCACGCAAGCGGTGCTTCCACACCTCCCAAAGCTAGACGGCGCGAGCGGCAGCGGTGGCGGGCGCATCGTGAACATTTGCTCCATCTCGGCGCGCGCGGCGCCGCCGTTGCAAACCATTTACGCAGGGACCAAGGGCATGGTGGACAGCTTTACGCGGGTGTGGGCCAAGGAGCTGCCGCCGCAGTACGGGTGCACGGTCAACGCGGTGAGCCCGGGGCCGACGATGACGGAAGGGTTCGCGGCGGCGGGCGAGGAGTTTATGGCGGCGATGAAGCCCGTGATGGATCAGACGCCCGTGGGCCAGAGGGTGGCGAAGCCGGAGGAGATTGCGTTTGCGGTGGGCTTCCTCTGCGAGCCGAGGGCGAGCTGGATCAATGGACTGCATCTTGTGGCGAGTGGGGGTTTACATATCGACTGAGGAGGGGCCTAGGGTTGACCTCTTTTTTTCTCTTTTTTGGCATGTTTTTGTAGTGAGAAAAAGCGAATCAAGTAATTTTTACGAGTTAGATCATGTTCATTTCAAGAGTCTGGGTGGAATGCGGCCCGGTGCTCCTCCGTTGGCTTGATTCAGTCTATTTTGTTCCCTTTCCCCTGGCTTCCCTTTCCTCGTCTTCGCTCTACCCGTTGCTCCCAAGTTTTCACAGCTCGTACGGATAGTTAGCTTGTTGCGAAGATCGCTTAAACTGGTTGGTCATTTTCGGAGCCTTCCGGCTCTTGATGAGGACAATTGGTGGGCCCCCGAGTCGTGGAGTGGGCCACTTGCCGAAGAGAGTCGGCCGTTGGAGAAGTCGGGGCTTGGCATCCAGTCCACAGGAAATTCATCTACACTAATACATACACTCCAGCTTTCTGAACCTTGAGAGGCATAGTTTAACCTGGCAAACGCCGCTGGCGCTCGATTTTCCTTGGGGCATGGGAGTTTGAAACCCCCACATTCGAATACATGCACAATCGACGTCCCAGATGCTGAGTTACAGGTCGTCTCCCTCACATCTCGTCAAGATTGCCAATTAATATGAGGAGATCCCGACAGACATCTTGCAGGTTCGGGAAGCCTCCCGACTGACGATATGGCGGGCCTGCATAACTTTTTTATGACGATGCATGTTCAAGCGTACATATCCAAGATTGTCCAGCAGAGTGGGCATGAATGAGTGAAAAAAGGTTGGAGGAATTGAGGCTTTAACTTGGGGGCCCGAAACCAGGTTTCATCCTGGCGTATCAGACCCTGTGCATTCCCCTCTCCTTGACCAGAAACGGCAATCGTCGAGCCAGGTCCAGACAAGACAGCCACACTTGGAAAAAGAAACTCCCCTGAGAAATTCCCGGGAAAAAAGAAAACCCCACGCTTTTCCCGCTCCTCTATTCAGTAGCCTCTAACGCCCTGGTCTTGGCCAGGCCGGGTGTAGTTTAGGCCTGTGTGATTTCGTCATGATTTGTCGGGTTTGGGATGTGGACTGCCAACGATCATTCATGCGACGCGATTCCTTAGGCCCAGCGCTCAAGTCAGTGCCCCCACCTCGAGCCCTGAGGAATGGCGGAAGCATGAACGAACCTGGCCACCCTAACTTGGATTTCAAACCTCGATTATCCGAAGATCCGTCAAGATTTTCCTGCGAGTCCATGGAACCGAGACCCCTCTTATGGGGGCTGGGGGATCGAGAAGAGGATTGAGGGAGGAGGAGCGCGAGAGCCTCCCGCCCGTACATGGTAGCTTTGCCTCCTTTCCACTTTGTTGCCTGGCTCTTGATTGTCAAGCTAGTCTATACTGGAGGAAGACATGCACGCGAATCGCGTCAATTGCACACCGCTCCAAGAGCCACAACAGAGGTCGAAGCACGAGAGCAAGTTACCGCATAGGAGGTGTAGGTTCTTGAAGTCTAGGGTCCCTGGCCTGGCCAGCAGACGTGACGAAGCCTCTCCAGGGGCTTCTTCTCGTCCTTCCCACCAAAACCACAGGTCCGGTTCCCGGCTCGAAGCCGTTTGAGATGCGACAGGGGCCCATGCACATCGGATTTCTGCATCTCGACCGAGAGGACCTGCGCATTCGTCGCTTCTTTTCCTCTTTCTGCGATCCTTGCGGTGCTGGCGGTCTGCATTCTCGACTCGCCTAGTCCGATGACCACATGCCGGGTTGCAACGCTGCAGTGTGCCTGGCGCTAGCCTCGGGTCGACACAACGCAGTAGCAGCAGCACAGGTCTGGGCCGGCGAGCGCGCCAGCAAATCGAGTTGGAAGCCGAGTTGCAACCCGAAGGCTCCCCTCCCTTCGCCCGGGGAGTCGGGTTCATTCGTCCCTTTTCGTGCCCCTCCCCTCCCCAATAGGCATCCTTCGTAGCTGCAATCGGAGTCGGGCTGCAGGTTTTTTCTTTCTTTTTCGTTAGAGTACGGCGATTGCATTGAGAAAGAAAGTGCCTCGCGTTTGAGATCTCGACCACCCCGCACTCTGGTACGAGAGGAGAGGGATGATTGTTGGCCCGGATCGAGCACGGATGCCTCGACCTCGTTTTGATCTGTGTAGAGCTCCGAGCTGAGCTCTTTCCTGTCCCCCGCTCCCAATGCCGCCCTCTAGTCTGGAGGCCACTATATGTCATGAAAGAAAAAAGAGCTTAGATGCCTGCCCTCGTTTCGTTCCCTCTTTTGTCATTTATGCCGCAGTGCCATGGCTCGTGGCTTACACCGATGCTTTTCCCGGCTTCACGAACGCCTTCATTTTAGTCTCAAACGGCCCGCTCTTCACACTTGCGGCCAATCCGCTGCCTTGAGAGGCACGACGCGTCTGAGGAAACAAGCTGGAGGCAAGAGATATGTGTTGGTGTCTGGTAGATTAGACCACCTGATCGACATCGCGTCCACCCCCGATCTTCGAGCCTCACATCTTTGGTCTCCCTCTTCCCTCTCATTCGTGCCTAACCCCCTGTCTCCCACACACACTCTCCCCATCCCCCTCGACCCCCTCCCCTGCTTGGAGCTCACGTTGCTCGTCCATGGCCAACAACCTATTTATCCCCTCCCGCCCGCGATTCTTCGTGTTGGCTGATCGGTGATTGTCACAATCGTCGTTGAAACAAGAGGACGGCTTGAGCTTGGGCCCCGACACCACTTGTCTAGCCCAGCTCTACCGGCAGAAATTGGAATCCCTCCCCCACCCCTACCCAGCAGTCTAGCTTCTTCTTTGGAGAGGTGTGATGTGCCCCCGCCCCGTTCCTAGCTTCATCCGTCGATCTGCCCTCTTGTGCTACATGTTAAAATCCCCGGTCACTCCCTGCGCGAGATTTTCTCTTTTTGTTTCTCTCCCCTCCTCCTTTCCCTTGATAACTGGCCCCATCCCGGTGTTGTACAAGTGTTGGTAGGCATACTACGTAGCCAGCTTCACTTCGTCTCGCCCTGTATCACTCCTCGCCTCTCCCTCTGCTCTGTGGACCGTCAACATGACGCTCCTTATGTATCGTGGGTCGGGGAGGAAGAGGAACCGGGCACTCGATAAGAGGGACACGTTCAACTTTGAGGAACTGGAGAAGAAGGCGAAAGACACGAAGAAGTGGATTCATCCCAACCTTCGATTCGAAGAGATAGTGAAGAATAAGACGCCCCAGGTAGGTCAACGAGCCTTTCTCTAGGCATTGCGTTGGGCCAAACAGAAAAATGGGAAATGCTAACCAGCGCTAATAATAGCCTTGTTCACTCAACGACTTCATGGATTACTTGGTGTACGTTGAGTATGAAGCCGAGACTCTTCAGTTCTTCCTCTGGTATTGCGACTATATCAAGCGATGGATGGAACTCTCGCCCAAGCAAAAGTCCATGGCGCCTAAGTGGGACCCCGAAAACAAGCGTCCTGTCACTTCCCATAGCCGTAATGGTAGCCTCAGAGAGAAGGCAAAGATGGGCACCATCCTCGACATCCTGGATGGAGAGGAGCAGCAAAGCACCGGGGAAGTCTCCAACCTCAAAAGTCACATCGGAGCAGCCCCTCGGCCACGAATTTCTCCCTTCCCAGGTCGCCCGGGCCTGTTGTGATAGACAGAGCTGGCGGAGACGTTGGGCAAAATTGGGAGCCTTGTAAGTGTACATGTCGTTTTGCATCAAATACCCTTGCCCCCCTTCCTTCTCTGGTTGAGAGCCGTATCTTCGGGATGCTAATACTGCATGTTTTCCATATATAGTCAGTGCCCAGCCTTACCGTCATGAAGTGAATGAGATCCTTCGCCACTACATCATGTCTGGCTCTCCACGACAGCTCCAGCTGTCTGCGGCGGACAGGGCGGCCTGCGTGCACGCAGCTGAGCACACAACCCACCCATCAGCCCTCCTTCCGGCCTTCATCAGCGCCGAAGCCGTGCTTCGCGGGGAGCTACATCCCAACTTCATCCACTGGAGCATCAGCAATTCCAACAGGGCCCTCATGTTTCTCATTCGAGGAGCCAACACATTCATGCTTTTGCAGCCCTGGCCCTCGACGTCGTCTTCATCGTCATGGACTGGCCTCGGCTCTGGCGCCTCATCACCGGTCCGCTGTGGGTCATGGCGCTCTGTAGCCTCATCGCGTCGGCCAGCGGCATGTGCATGTTTTTGCACTTCAAGAATAGGAAGCAGCTGCGCCTGGGAGCAGCCCTCGGACATTGAGACGGAGAGTTTTCGGAAATCCAAGAGACATTTGCGAAAGAACACGGCCGACTCGGTCATGAGCTTCGTGGATCCCCTGCGCAAGGCGTCTCTGCAATCTCTAGGAGGCAAGAACGACTTTTCGGACGAGGAGTGGGTGAGCAAGTACGAGAACAAGTCGGTATTTGCTCGGATTACAGATTCCACCGTGCCTATACAGAACCGTCATGTCATCGTCTTGCAGGATGGTGTTATTGCGGGCTCTATGCTCTGGGGAACCCTTCTCGGCGTTGGCATCACCGTGGGCCTTATTTTTGTGCCCTCTATCCCCGACATGTTTAGGTGAAGCCAACATCACCTCTGGTGTTTCAAGTTTTCTTCTTTCTCTCCCTTTCCCCTCTCCCCCGAAACTCCCTTATTTTTCTTGTAACTTATTTTCTTCTGGGGGCGTTTTTGTCCGGCGTCAAGATACCCGGTCGCCATCGTTAGAGACGATGTGGAAATGCGACAAGTGTATATGAGGATATATAGCAATGTATTTTGGATAGTATGATCAGGATCAAACAATCCGAAGCGCAAAAAGTCGTGCTTTAAAAAATGCAAATTGATATCGAGTGCTTCCTCTCACTTGCATGCCACCATAAAATCTCAAAATCTTGTTAGTCGAGTGTTTTCGTGAGTTCGTGAGAACACACACAGTGCAAATCAGTGCGAAACACATATTGCTCCACGTGACTATTCACGTGATGACATGGTGTCCGAGGCGAACTCGGCCTTGCGAAGATCCGAGTCTTTTGCTGCGTTCGAGCCATTCATCCAAAAAACATCACCAAGCCTACAATCAAAACCCTCAACCATCCCCGACCGAGACCCCTTCCGATCCCAGTCAAAATGACCTTTGCGTGGAAAGCCGCCGGCATTAGGTAAGTGAATTCGCCCTCCGATTATCCGCGCTCGAACCCAGTCAATTGGTCCCCTGCCCCCGGACTGCGAAAGAAAAAAACAAGGGCGAAATGAAAACAGCTCACCAACGATTGCAACCCCGATTCTAGCTACAACCGCTATCTCGCCGTCGCCGCTCGTGCCGTTCGTCGAAGCCTGAAAGATGACAAGAGGATTGCCGTCGAGCGCAGGGGTGAGGTCGAGCTGAAGCTCGCGTCCTGGAAGGTAAGGAAACTCGAGATGGGAAAAGGATAGCCGCGGGATGTTCCGGGGATCCAGAAATGCTGACTATGGGTTTCGCTCAACAGAACGGCAAGCAAAGCGACGCCATCGATCTCAACCAGGCCAACGCTGCCGCTAGGGCCGAGGCCGCTGCTAAGAGCTCTTAAAAGATGTGGACGACTATCGAATTGTTTGGTGATGGGGTAGTCCTGGGTTGAGGAATCGGAACCTGACGCTCGTCCGCTCGGGCGTAGTCAGGGAGGGAGTGATGATGAGGATGTGTTCATAAATGGGGGCCTAATGTCGAGCCGGGTCCCCTCCTGCGCTCTTATGATGGCCGTATCTGTACCATAGAAACCCAATGGCATCAATCCAGTGTGTCTTTCTTCAACGACAATTGCCTTTACCGGTGGGGTCCCTTCACGGGGACCGGCCGGGTCACGTATCTCCAATTTCGGGAGCTCGCAGAGTTCGAACGGTGAAATGTAGATGGGAATCCCAACCGACTACGCCTCGCCATCTTGTTTTACTCACATGTTTTTTGTAGAGATGGGGGCGAGTGACTTGTGCCTCAATCGTAAGTGGTGGAAGAGAAAGGTCTCTCCTCGCTTGGTGTCAATTCGCCGAGAAGCGAGAGGGAAAACGTCAACCCGCCCTCACTCATCCCACGGCGGAATTCGCAAGGCCTGGATAACTGACATCGACCCTCATCCTTAACCCAATCCTTTTTTAGTCTACAAACTCCACCTTCTCCCCTACACGCTTTTTTTTCTCTTTTCCTTTAACCCCTTCATAACAATTTATCTTTGCGCATATATTCTCCTCTTCTGCCTTAGTGACCGCTGGACCCCGCTTATTTTGATCTTATGCGCGATCCCGCTGAGCGCATCAGGATAAGGGCCAGGCATTCCCTTTCTCGCGTCATCCCACCAAACCCCCAGCAGCCCTGCCAACCTTGATGCACGACGCTTTTGATATCCCCGCCGCCACCGCCACCTCCCGACATGGCAAGTCAGGCGGCCGTGGTCGCGGTGGATATTACGGATAAGATAACCAAAGCGGCTTCGAGTAGGTAGTTTTATTTTCCCCTCTTCTCTGTCGCATCACTCTAGCAGAGGTGCTTCCCCAAACTGCCCCCAAACTGCCCCGATGTTTCCAGGCAGCCCCACCAGAGACATTGCGCTTCCCTCCAATATCGCACGCGGAGTGACCGGAACTAATACATTTCAGCATTACCACCGGGTGAACTGGTCAAGGATGGATTCTTTACCTTGTTCGAGTCCGTTGGGGCTCTCGAGGTAGGCTCTTCGGAAACCGGGGTCTCTTTTTGCGAGCTGCGCTCAATTTGCAACTTTAGATCATGGACCCTAAGATGGATAGCGCCGTTGATGACCCTCACGACGAACTCGGGGAGCTATACGACGTGAAAAGGGAGCTTCTGCCAGATGAGGTTCTTGGTATTATGGACCAGCTGCTGTGTCACGAGGTATGGTTCATATGCTTCCTCATCTTGCGCGGACTACTTTGACGCGCTTTCGTTTACTGACCGTCCATAGATGGCATGGCATCTCGGCTACCCCTTGTCGCAGACTCTTTTCACGTGCGTCTATATCGAAGAGATCCTCATGCCTGCGCCCGAGTCTATAAATCAGGCCGACTTCATTCGGAACGCTCCTCCCAACTCTGGGCGCCCGATGCTGTCCGAAATCCTTCGGGCATACTGCGTCGGTGTGCTGAAAACCTGTTCATTCGTTGCTCGCCGCATAAAAGGCGAGTCCTACTACGAGGTTTGACTAACCGTACTCTAAACTATCACATGGACATTCTGATTTCGGATTTATAGGAGGAAGATTTTGTAAGCAACACATACAACCGCACCCTCCTCGATTCCATCGACCTGGAGGATATCCTTGATTGCCTGGAAAACGCAATGTCCCTCGTGGGCTCGTTGACAGACCCTCTGCCGTCTGAGGTTGCCGAAGCCCTTAACGCCAGGCTCATGCTAAGGGATGCCTTCCTTCGCGCAGTCGTTGCCTCAGAGGATACCGCAGACCATAGTGGCATTCGTGAAGCATGGACACGAGCTAACGAGGCCCTGGTCCGCTTTAAATCCACAACATCAGTGCCTGTCACTAAAGTTGCCGATTCGTTCAGCATAAAGATACAGCAGAAACTTGCGAGCACGATGCCACCGAGGCCGATTGTAAAGCTAAGCTTCACCGAAGCCACGGGCCATCTTACGCGGTTGCTTGAAGACGGCCTTAAGGCGGTGGATATTACGGATTATTCGGACCCTCATTCTCTTCTGGTAAGACTGCTCTGCTTAGCGAACCTTCATACTTCTCTACCTTTTTTATTTTATTTTCTTTTCCTCCCCTAACAGTCACCTTCTATAGACTTCGGTGGCGACATTCCAAGCGCGGAAGCCACAACCTTTAGTCTATGTACGCTGCTTGATTCAGGGACTCATCTTTAATGATATGGTCATACTCGGCAATAAGAGCATGCGGCAGGTATTAGATGACGACTTCTCAATGCTCATCATGTCCTGGAGTGTCCTGCTGGACCGCTCGTATGATGAGGTCGAGGCCGTTCACGATCCTCGGTTTCAGATAGCTCAGCATATGGAGAAGTTCCGTCAAAAAGCGGCGCCCATCTACTTTGAAATCCCACGAGTATTGTGTCTAAACAAGTGTAGGGTACGCCGAACACTTGTTCACCTCGTGCGAGAGTGGGACTATCTTCATGGCGAGGCTGAGCAGCTCGACCAGACCTTATCCCAACTCACCGGAGAAGAGCCCTCCATGATTAGTCTACCAGGAAACGCGCCGATGCCAATGCTCTCCCTCCCGCTTTCATCGTGGGCCTGCCTTCACAAACTTCGACTGATGAATTGGATCGTTCAGCTTGGGTTCGAGCTGGACGTTTACCAGAACGACGAGTTGGCGTCCATGTACTGGTATCTAAACTACTTGAGTAAGCAGCGCTACCAGCTCCTCGAGCGCGCAAAAGCCTTTGTCGACGTGTACGCGAGGAAGCCGAGGAGCCAGCGAAGGGTGCAAGCAGATCCTCGTGTCATAGAGTCATTAGCCTTCCTACGCTTCAGCATCATCGAAACCGCGATCATCTGGGATCTATCCGACGGCCTGACCTGTTTATACACAGCTCTCCTCCGCCTGAAACTAATAAAACCACCGCCTCGGCCGTATAGCACTGACGAATTGCGGTATGAGCTCCGCATGCGACCCTTTTCCGCGATTGGTGTACCGGAGACGATCCCTTACCAGCTTTTCAAGGAGTCGGTAGAACAAATCGACGTGCCGACGGACGAATTGCTTGAAAAAGCCGCGAAGGCCGCGGCGAGCGCGAGGAAGAGCTTGGAGGCCGTCTCAAAATTTGATCCGGCGCTCACATTCTCCGGGATGGGGTACAAAGCTTGGCTGGACGGAGCGAAGAACGCGCTCAAGTCGTGCATCGCGATGAGTGTGGTGGCGGCTAGTCTGCGGAAGATGGTGGAGGCGGCGGGTCCTGATGGGGAAATCAAGGCCAAGGTAGAAATTCCCGAGGCAAGTCGGGCGTATCACGAGTGGTGGATCGTGCCAAAAGTCATACCCCTGTAAAAGGGATGGACGGAGATAAGCCGGTCGATGCGGGTGACGAGGAACGAAAGGGAAGCCGAATAAAGAGGGAAGAACAGAAAGAGGGGAAATGAACAGTGGATATGGTGAATGGAAGATAGATCAATTTTCTGAGGGCGCGTTGAAAGAAGACAAAAACAAGGCGAAAAGGAAACATGTCTAGATATATTCGGGGGTTTATACTTGTATTTATCATACACAACCTCTCGGCAGATGTTCTAACATTGATCCTCTGCCATCCTTCAAACCTCGTCATGTGCGCGTACACGTCTTCGCAGCTTGTTATGTTCCCGCCATACTCTTTGGTATCATTCCCATGTACTATAATCATTCACTCCACCTGGTTTTCTCGTCCATGCCTCCTCTCCTCCTCTCCTACAGTCTCCCGGTATTTACTTAGGTCTTGATGCCGGATCAAGATAACCTGGGGATACTGGCATTCACAAGTACAATCTCAAAACAGGGGATATATGTAATTCACGCCATTTCCGCGGCCTGTGACATCAAATCAAGACCGTGACAGGGCATTTCCCGACTGATTTAAGCGGCCTTCTTGGCGGCGGCCAATCGGAGCCTTACGGTTTGGGTGTAAAGGGCATCCTTAAAGGCGAAGAGGAAGGCGGCAGTGAGGACACTCTGAGTGACCTTGGGGCCAATGCCTAGAAAAGAGGGGTTAGATACCGGGGAGTGCAAGCTAGGAAAGATCCGGGATTCGGTCTCGGAAGAGGAGTGAACTTACCCTTGTAGAGGCCGCCATAGCCCTCCTCCTTGATGACACGGCGGATGGCCTGGATCACGCCCTCCTTCTTGCCGTTACCAGCGACATGCATCTGGCTCTTAACGGTGATGTAAGGGTAGGTGATGGAGGTGGCAAAGAGCTTGCCGAGGGCGCCTAGGAAGAAGGCCATGGTAGGGGTGATCCTACGCTTCTTCTCGAGAGTATTCTTGGCCTGCTCGAAAAGAGTGTACTGGAGGATGGGGTTGATGACGAGCACCAGGGCGGGCACGACGCCGGAGAAGAGGGCCTGGGGACCCTCCTCCTTGATGAGGGCGAGAAGGGTACCGATGGTGCCTCGGGGCTTCTCGACGGCCTTCTCACCCGACTCCTCGTCGGCGGCCTTGCTCTTGCGAGTGGTCATGCGGGTGTTGATGACCCAGATGGGGTTGGTGATGATCACGGTGGCCGAGCCGGCGAGGGCGCCCGCGATCATGGACTCCACGGTGGTGAGCTTCTTGGTGGCGCGACCGGCCTTGGTGGCGGCGTTCTCGAAGAAGGCGCGGGTCCACTCGTACCAGTAGTAGTAGACAAAGTTGGTGACGCTGATGCCGAAGAGGGCCGAGTCCATGCCGGCGTAGAGGCCGGCCACGCCCTCGCGGGCAATGATGCGCTGGACGGCTTCGGAGAACTTGGACTCGGCGCGCTTGGACTCGACCTGAGCGCGGGTGGAGAGGGTGATGAGCGGGTACCTGTGATGCAGGAAACCGACGGTGTTAGTCAACTTTGAAGCGCGACGGGCCCATGGGGCTAAGGGGTTGGTGGAAAGGGTGGAGGGTGGGAGATTCCTCCCATCCTCCGGGGGAAAGCGCACGTCAAGGCCATGGACAAGATACCGCCGCCGGCGCCGGCGAGGGCATGAGCCACATTGTCATTTTGGGGGATAGTAGCAGGTTTGGACGACATTGCGGATGGGTTTGCGCGTTGGAGTGTGGGGGCGAAAACCAAGGGGTCGTTTGGGAGGCGATTGTATCAAGGGGGAAGAGGGCGAAGTAAAGGAGCGTAGTTCACGAGATGTGAGACTTCAAAAACAAATATAAATGAAGACGGGTGGAACGTTTTAGAAAAAAAGAAGGAAAAAAATAAGAAGGTAGCCAAGGGCCGAGCCAAGGGCTTCTCGGAAGCTTTATCTTCTAAACTCTAGTAGTTTAATGCATCAACCTCATCTGCCACCGGGGGACGCTGGGAGCCGAGGTCGACGGACTTGTAAGCCGAGACATCATGGTTGAACCGAAAGAGGAAAGGAGGGGATCCGAAATTATGTCATCGGAGGGAACATGTGAAGGCAAGCGAAAATAGATGGGAAATGTGGGGACGGAGAAAGTCGCGAGGTAATACTTGTCATGCGGGATTCAAGGTGTAATACCGTGTACCTTTTTTGTGGGGACGAACATTATCAGTTGTGCACAAGCACGACGTCTTGGCCTGTGGGAGTGGTCGACAGAGCGTGACTGGTCCGTCCTCAAACCATCTGACATTTCCCAGGATGATTAAAACTGGTTAAGACTGAAGACCTTGGTGGGGTACAAGTCAACTGTTATTACCATGAATGCTACCTCGAAGCTAGCCGAGGTTTAGCCATTGGGCATCTGGCCAAGACATCCCAGACGGGAAGTTCCGAGAATTGTTCTTGAGTGTTGCTCCCCACTTCAGGCTAGTTCAAAAATGGTCAAAAGTAAACAAACACTCTGCAAAAACTCCCTTGTGAACGCCTTCACGGTTCACGGTTCACGGTTCACCAACCCATGTACATTTTCCCTCCAACCCCTTTGGACTTCTCTTCCACATCAACCAAAGTCTTCTTCTCGACTCCCCATTTTCTTGATTCCGCTCTGGTCTCTATCCCCGAGCTTAGGACCTCAAAATTCTTACCTATTACCACTATGATTATTTTATAAATCCTCACCCTGCCCGACCCCCTACCAATTTAACCCTCTTAGGAGGTTTGTTTGTGAACCGACATTGTTCACGCGTGACCATCGACTCACCATCCCTCCTCCAACACATCTCAGCTATCTATAATGGCTTTCCATAGTGAAGACCAAGACCCAATGTCTTCACCAGATCCTCTCAATGAGTCCCTAACTTCAAGTGTTGCACGCCGTATTACTCGAAGCCAGCAAGCCAAACACTTTGTCTCCCTGGGAAACTCGTCGTCCCCGCGGAAGCAGACGTTTGAGCTCGAAGTGGGAGACAACACGTCCCCTCAAAAACTATTCGTCACGGTCGAATCCGGCCTCAACACAGGCGACGCGCGCCGCCGTCTTTTCACATCCTCGTCTTCTCCCACTAAATCCACACCTTCTATCCGACGCCGGGAACGGGCAACGACAACAACCATACCCCTCAAGGGCATATCGGAAGTGGATGATGATGGCCTCGATCTCCCTGCCGTCACGCCAAGGAGACGCGGTCGGCCTCCCAAGTCAGCGGTTGGATCTACACCCAAACCTGTCGCGTTAAAGAGGCGTTCTGGGACCCCCGTTCGGAAGGCGACGCCTGGCCGCCCTAGAAAATCCCAGAACCAAGATGCAGATGACGATCTCCCCTCTGAGATTAGTGTAGCGACCGCCACTCCCCGTACAGCTAGGGGAAGGAAGGCAACGAGGGCCACGAGTACCGAGCCCTCAACTATCCCCATCACCCAAGGCACCCTGACTCCGAAGCGGAAAACCGTGACTAAGAGAAAGACGGTAGATGACGAGGCGTCGTCGGTCCCTCCCTCATCAGCCAGGAGACGTGGCCGGCCTCGGAAGAAGCCCTTACTGGGAGAGGCTACTCAATTGGAAGCCACTCTTCCTACCCTCCCCGAATCTCAAGTGGGGCTGTCCGTCCCACAAAACCGCGCCGTCAACGCGTCGTTGTCTCCGATGCACTCGGAGATGGATATTGATACGCCAGGCCTCCCAGCTCCTGCATCTGAGGGGGATATCTGGATGGATACCTTGTCTGACGGAATCACCCCTCGCCTCGCCCCTCGCATGCGGTCGCTAAACCTCTCCTCAACCCTAGACCTGCGAAAATCTACCGCATCTCACGCTGAAACAACCGTCGCCTCAAATTTTGAGGGGCAAGCGGACGAAGAGGCCGCGGTGGTAACCGACGATTTTGGAGCCTCCCTCCACCGCGATTCAACTCCCTTGGCCAGTCGCGAAACCACCGCGGAGCCCGAAACAGACATTGACGTTGTCGACATGATTGTTCGGGACCACCCGACAAGCGATTTCCCGTCCGAGGCGTCCGAACACGGCGAGGAGTCGAATCGAATGCCGCGAGGTGACAAGGATACCATTGTCCAGTCGGAAGAATTCAGTATGATTTTTATGGACTCAATTCCCTCTCTTCAGTCAAGCATGTTTGGACGCGCACCTACTGAAGTCGGCGAAGAAACGAACTTGCTCATCAACCGGACTATCGAAGCCATTAAGAACGGTATGGAGGAAGAAGAGAGTGAAGAAGAGCATGAGGCGGCCGCCGAGGTTGGAGATGTTGAGCAACCCAAGGGCGATATTGAGGAAGACGAGGGAGACGTCACGGTTACCCAAGAGATGACGAGGAACGCCGAGATGGATGACGAGGAGCCGGAAGATCAGATGGTGGAAGACGAGGTGGTAGAAGCTGCGGAGGAGGCCGTCGCACCGCCCGAAGCCGAAGAACTTGTCCACGCTGAGCAAACCCACCAAGAGCTACAACACTTTGACGATGACGAGATTAATGTACACGAAGATGCAGTCGACGAGTCGGACGCGGAGATTCTCTCTGAGCCTCCCTGGCTGCTGAACTCCAGGAGCCCGCTTCAGAGGATTCGGATGCTGAAATGCAGCAGGAGACTCCCACTCGGCCTCGCACGGCTCTCTCCCCTACCAAGGGGAATGGATCAGCGGGGTTCTCGGGAAGCCCTAGGCGGATGAAAGCACTCCCACTAAGCCGCCAACTACTTACGTTCAAGGCTATGCAGGCGGAACAGACTGAAGCCAATGGCTCACCCTCCCCGTCCGATTCTCCCCGCTGGGTTCTCGCGACGTCGAAGTTCTGGTGTTCACGCCAACGAAGACTCCAACATGTATGAGGACTCATTCTCTGAGATCCCTGATGCTGTCTTGGAGGCAGCGACGCCGCGAGCTCCCCGAACCACCCTCTTCCCCGCCTCTGCCGACGGCCAATCCGAGAAGTTGTACGGCTCGCATCAAAAGGCAGCCTCAGTAGCGAGCAATGCGCCCGACACCGTCCGCTCCGATACTAGTCGCCTGCTTACTCCCGACGAAACCCCTCGCCCAATGACGTGGAGCTAAATAATGACGGGAGCCCCAAAGATATCGCCCCATCCTCCGTCGACCTTGGCCGTTCCGTATTCCAATCTAAGCCATCCGCTAGCCTGTTTGCCCAGGCCCAACTTTTCGACACGACCGCACGCGCCCCCAGCGTTGGCCACTCCAAGGTCACCCCCTGGGCCTGAACTCTTCACCTCAACTTCCCCGCTCATTGACGCAAACTTCTCGAAGCCTACTGTGACGACGGAACGGGAACGCCGCACTGCTATGTCGCCGATCGTTAGAGCCGGCCTCGCCTTGCAGAGCGTCACCTCGGACCATTCTTCTCCCGCCGGACGTAGGAGTGTTTTAGGTAGCCCTTTCAAGGGGTCAGCCAAGAGTAGCCGTGACAGCTCCGTCGCCCCGGCCAGCGAGCACAAGTCAGCTGCCAAGCCTTCCCCTCAGCTCCCCGCTCACATGGACGACCCCTTTGGCCCGAGCCGTAGCCACAATGGTCAGTCTTCCTTTATGAAGGCTCTCAACAACAGCAGCCGCCGGTCCAGCCTCAATCAGCGCGGGCCTGCTCGACCATCCCTGTTTGATACGACACGGGCGGTGGTGGATGACGCGGATGAGATGAGCTGGATCGCCGAACCAACCATTGAGGCACCCCTGCCCATGTTGGCCGCAGCGTCTCGAAGCTCTAGCGTGGCTGGCACTGTCGGTTCTGTCGATGGTGTAGAGGAGCAAGCCGCGATTGAACCGAGCGTGGACGGCTCAGCTGCCGGACAGGAGGGCGACGAAACCGAGGATGATATCTGGATGATGGAGGATGAGCAAAGGAGTGCTGTGCCTCAACCCACGCGCCAAGATTCCTTGGGCTCCCAGGAGATCACTGGCACCCGGGGTCTTCGCCGTACAGAACTCCCCAACACGTGGAGGCAGAGCGCCTTTGGCCGTTCTATCGCCACCCGCCCTCCGACTAGACAGATGGGAGGCCAGGAGGGCCACAGCCTTGTGGAAGACTATTCCTTGCTGTCCCAGCGCAGCAAGAAAGCAGAGGCTGCTTCGTCCGCAGTAGATGAAGGCCAAAAGCGGGCTGCTCTCAACCTCTCAGACTTCTTTTCCTCCCCCGCCGTCCTCCCGCCCCGCCCTGGTTTCGAGGACGCCCGAGTCAGACAGATTATTCCGAACCAAGGCGCAGGTGCTTCGAAGCCCTCCAACAATGGGTCCATGACCACGCAGCTGACTAACTCGCTATTCCCATCCGTGCCTCAAAAGGAGTTCCAACCCAGTCCGGTTCGAAAGCGAAGCCTCTTTACGTCTTCTGTCCAGTCCTCCAGGCCCTCGGAGCCCAGTGACACAGAAATCCAGGCGACCTCGTCGCCGTCTGTCCGCTCCGAATTAGCTCAACCCTCTAGCGTCCCTCAAAAGGCTAACTTTACACCACGCCGCCGTGACGCCAAGAGGACGCTGGAGGCTGCAGCCCCTACACAATCCAGCGTGGGATCAACCGTCGGGTTGTTCTCGAGGCGCAGAGAGCCCGAGGAGCCAGCACCAACGAGCACAGTTTCTGCAAAGTCGTCGGACGCACAGCTCAACATAGCTCCTCCTTCATTCAACCTCTTCTCCAAGCCAGCACAAGCCATGGCTAAACTTCAGGGTAGTGCTCCACGCACTGCTACCGCGCCGCCTCGCTCACCCGAGCGATACCCTCTCCATAAGACAATGTCCCCCACCAAGTCCTGTCTCCGGTCTCCCTTGAAACCAAAGACCCCCGGTCGTGTTGTGGAGTGGGCAAGCAGCGTCCTATCCCCTCTGCAACAGGCGGAAATCAGGACCCAGAACCAGAACCAGCAGCCGGTTCTGAAGCAGCCGGTCTTGAAGCAGCCTCAGGTCCAGCAACACAGCATCGTTCCGACTGTGCAGTTGCAGCCCCCAAGCCTAGCTTCATCACACACTCCTTTGATGATGACAAGGAGAACAGCGAGTACGGCGGGTCGGAATACGATGGATCCGAGGCTATGGAGTCGGAGCGCGCTACGACCGAGTCTCTCGTTTCTTCTTCCCCGAGAGAAAGCAGTCGTCCCCTAGCAAGATGGAAGTCGTGGCCAACAACCCGTTCCCCACCCACCTCTCGCAAGCGACGTGGAGCCGCGACCACTGGGTATACCTTGATGGGCTGCTCCAATATCGCCGCGAGCAGCCTTTCCCCAAGGACGTCATCCTCCCTGAGGTCAGGGGCATGTGCCGTGAATTGCTAGGCAAACGCCTCCGGTCGCGCGAGGCATTCATGCCGCTCCAGCAGTGGCACCTTGATGTTATCGAGGCTTTCCACTCCCAAGTTGGCGGTTGGAGCAAGAATGACCTCTCGACTAGAATCTTCTCTCTCCTCCTCGGTGAGAAGCTTGCGGCAGAAGGGCGAAGGGTTGGGGGCGCACCTCGCCCGGACGAGCAGCTGTCGTCAATTAATTGCGTTGTCTCTTGTATTTTCCTTTTTCTCTTGTTTGTTTTTTTCCTTTTCCTACATTTCCTTTTTGCTCCATTGCTCGCGGGATTTTGAGTCGTTTCCTGCTTCTCTCCTGGAGAGGAGTGTGCATCGTTTGGCGTTTACTACGGAAATGGTTTTCCTGGAACTGGGAGTACAGGGAAAAATCCAGGCTACATACGTTTGGGGTGGAAGGGTGCATTTTGTTTGTATTCGTAGTGGTTTTCCATAATATCAATCTTTGCGCGTTTTACCTTTGCCCTGGGAGTTATCCCCGGGGATGGGCGCCACATCAAGTTTACTCGTATCAGCGGCGCTATAGGAAGAGGGCGGCGTGATGATGCCTGCGTGAATGACTATTGAGCACAGGTGGTGGGGAGTATAACATGCGTGCCGTCTTTCCGTGGGTAGTTAGAGATGGAAATAATACGTGGTCCCGGCTTCACATGCGAAAAAAGATGGAGACTAGGATGGTAGATATTGTAAGGATACGTTTTAGATTGTTTTTCTTATTGCTCATGCTACCATAATATTACAGGAAGCCAGATCAGCGTCCGTCCTTCAACTCGTCTAGTTCTTTTTGTCCTTCCACCACCTCCACGAGACCGACTGAGGATGTAGAGAGAAGACATCGAGACTAGTCTCTCCCGCCCTTTCCTCCCGTAAGTATAGAGGGGAAACAAGGCCAACGGAGGGAAACCAAAAGAAGCATCCCTTTACTCCAACAGAGAGGCCTGGTTTATGTACAAGCCGTCGACGACGTTGCTGAGCTTGTCGACGGTGGACAGGGCGGCGTCGTAGCTGTCATCCCTGTGCGTCTCGTCAAAGATGATGAGGCAACCGGCGCCCTGGTCGAGGACGCCGATGATGACCTTGTCGAGGATCATCTGGGAGAGTTTCCTTTCGACTTGCTGGGTGTCGAGGCCGACAATCTTGGCGACGTGGTCAATTTCGACGCGGGAGAAGGGCTCAATGACCTTGATGAGGTTCTGCTCGAGCATGGCGTCGTACAGGCGGCGCAAGTGGTTGCGGATAAAGGCGTCGCTGCCGAGCTCGTAGCGGTAGGCGGCGAGGGCGCGCTCGTACTCTTCGAGGGAGCGGTTGGAGTGGGCCCTAGCGATGGCCTTCATGGCCTCGAGGTTCTGGCCGGCGTACTTGAGGGCCTGCTTGGACTGGAGGAGGGTGTTTACGTCCTCGGCGAGGTTGAGCATGATCTTGCAGAGGAGCATGTACTGGAGGGCGGCGGTGGCCTTGGCGGGCTCGTCCTGGGCGTGGTAGCCGTCGAGGGCCTCGATGAAGTAGGAGAAGGCGGTGTTGAAGTCGCGGTCCTCGGCGTGGAGCATGCCGCTCTGCATGTCGAGGTCGGCCTGGAGGCGGGGCGGGGTGTAGACGGAGGCGGCGCTGGTGCGGGCGCTGGTGAGGGCGGCGCGACCCTTGGGGATGTTGCCGAGGGCGTGGTAGACGCGGGACTCGAGGAGCTGGACCTCGACGAGGACGAGCTTGTCGTCGAGGCGCTTGAGCTCGCGCAAGAGGCTGTTGATGAGGGTGAGGGCCTCGTAGTACGACTGCTTCGCCATGTACAGACCCACGAGGCGGGTCTCGAGGTTCTGGCGCAGGAAGCTGCGGCGCTCGCTCGTGGCCCATTCTATGCAGGATTTGGTCACGGCGATCTGGATCTCGTTGGAGTTGGGTATGTCTTGGAAGAGGTCGAGGAGCTGCTTCACTGTTGGAGGTGTAACCAGGAAAAGGGATCAGGAAATCCCCGCCCGGGTGAGATGGTTAGCTACTAGAGCAAAGGTGTTGGGTGAGGAGGGAGGCTTCGCTTTGGGGGAGGAAAACGAACCCAGTTTCGCGGTTTTGGCCTTGGCAAAGGATGATAGCACGGATCGACTCGTCTTGACGAGCTCGACAAGCTCTGTTGTGTTCCTATATTTGGGAGAGGTGACCGGCCAGTCAGCATATTGCGCGTGCGCGACACAGACACATCCTCTATCACTAACGCCCTTGCCTCATCCCCCGCGCCTTCACGCCAGACATATCGCCAGGATTGAAGGAGACGTAGATCTTGAAGGAGACAAGAAGCTGGGCGTGAAATGATGCAGACGTCGTGAGGGGAGAGGTGTGAGAGAGGAGGACGGATGCAAACTCACTTCTCATCTCTGTAAATCTCTCCTAGAGCAATCAGCGCCAGCTCGTAGTCCCGGACGGCGGCCTCGGAGTTGACAGAGGGTGTCTGTGAGATGATGTCGCGGAGGAGCTGCTCGGCCTTCCTGGGGTCGGTCTTTGCGAGCTTCTGGGCCTCCTGCACCCTAGCGGAATCTCCTTGCGCCATCGTTGTGATGTTATCGGGTATGGGTATCGAAGGAGGAGAGGGGAGGGAATCTATTCCGTTTGGGTCGGGACGGAATGATATGTCGATCGGCTATCAAACGCAGCAACGAAGCTCTGGCGGTTTATCTAGTCTAATTCGCGTGCTCCCTATTCGTTCGATATTTTCGTCTTGTTCCGTGTTTGAAATTCGTCGGTTGTCGGTTTGGGGGAAAGTGTATTTCTTGAGGCTTCGAGATGCAAGACCGCTTCTCTCAGTAATTTGTGGTGGCGTAATTGGATTGTCGCCTTGAGCTCTTGTCCGTTGCTATGGTCAATGCACGGGCAAGCTCAGCTGTTTGGCGGAATTTGCCGGTCGGTCACGTGCCGGTCTCAGCTCTCCCATTGTCACTGCAGCAGCCATGCACACTGGCCAGCGGCAGGATCGTCGTCGACACTGACTGGCTTGCCTGGTCAGTCTGATCCGGAAGGATCATTTCTGTAGGATTCGATAATAAGGGTATTAGTGACTGCAACAAATCAATGGGCTGGATGAAGGACTTTGATGCTCGGGTCACGTTGGATTCTGAACGTCATCTTGTCGAGCAAGAAAAAGAGCTGCGTCCTATGCATCACTCTTCGCCGACATCAACGCGATGTCTCCACTACGAATCTAGGCAATGGCACTTTGTAGTTTGAGGAAGAAACGCAAAAATATCTCTGAGAAATAAAATACGAAATAGAAGATGCTTTATATTGTGGTATCAAGGTGCGTAAGAAAACGAAAATTAAAACGTCTAATCGGTGTGAGAAAAAACACCACCCCCTCCCTCTCAGCACCAACTCTCTCTCACCGTTCGAGGAAGGCACAGACATAGCCATTGAACCCCCTCCATCGCAAGACCGGGTCCCATTCTACCAAGTCAAACAGGCTCTACGCCTTGCCGCCATTCATGTAAGCGGCCGAGTGTTCGGTAAACAGGGTCTTGCCCTTGACCATGGAGGCGAACCAGCTAAAGAGCTTGAACCCGAACAGCTCGCCAGTAGCCAGACTCCTGCCCATGGTGGCGACAAGGGCGGGGAGTTGTTGACCTTGTGGTCGGAGGGCACGGCGGCGGGATCGCGCAGGGCAGCATCGACGTTCTTCCACAGGCTGGCGACCTGGGGATCGATGCGAAGCTGCTGCTTGGTCTCGAGGCTGCCGACGTCGCCGACGGCCCAGACGTTCTTGGTGCCGGAGACGCGCAGGGACTTGTCCTGGGCAAGGCTCCCGTCGGCCAGAGCCTGGTCGTGGAACTCCTTGGGGACGAAATCGGTGTTGGGGACGACGCCGACGAGGGGATGAAGAGGTCGGTGGCGATGGTCTCGCCGTTGGAGAGGGCGACCTCGCCGACGGCGCCATTGTTCTCGAACGCGGTGGTGGCGCGCGCGCCCTTGATGACCGTGACGCCGAGGCTCTTGAGGTTAGCCTCAGCGGCCTGACCGACGGCGGGCTTCCAGCCCTTGAGGAGAGCGTCGGCGGCGACGACGAGGGTGACCTTCTTCTCAGCGCCGTACTTGGCGGCGATCTCGCCCGCGGTCTCTACGCCCGCGGGCCCACCGCCGGCGACGACAATGGTCTTGGCGGCGCCGACCTTGACTGGAGGTCGTGCCAGACGTCGAGGGTCTCGCTGTGGGAGCCGATGCTCCTAAACGGCACACCAGAGGCGGTGCGGGCGCCGGTGGCGACGATGAGCTGGTCGTAGGGCAAGGTCTGGACGCCGCCGGCGGGGTCTCGACCTGGACGGAGTTGGCGGCGACGTCGAGGGCGGTGGCCTTGCCCTCGAGGAACTCAAAGTTGTCGGGCTTGTACTTGGCGAAGCCGGCCTGGATGGGGTGGAAGAGGATGTCGTCGGCGAACTCGCCGGGGATGACGCCGCGGACGGCACCGACGGGCCAGTAGGTGTGGGTGTTGGGGGAGACGAGGATGACTTTGAGATCGGCTAGGGTGGGTAGGCTGCGCTTGAGGATCTTGTGGGCGATGTTGACGCCGGCGGGACCACCGCCGAGGATGACGACTTGCTTAGGCATGGTTTTGCGGTGCAGGGAGCTATACGACGAGGGGAAGTGTGGTTCTAGCAAACGGCTGTCGGAGAACAAAAGTGTAAGGTAAGAGTCAAAAGGAAGACGATTGTAGATGGCAATGGTGAGCTAACGCCTAAATACTGAAAGACCTAATGGCTTAAGACCGAAATCTCAATCAGAACAGGGGACGGGGACCGATTTTATACAAGGACAACTTGAATCAATGGCAAAACCAAAGCTTCCCAAAGATTGTGGGGACCAGGAGTATTCTTTTTTTTTTTTTTTTTAACATAGCTTTTCCGGAACCTTGAGCTCCCACCCCATTCAGATACCTTTGTTTCGGAGACCCTTTTTCTTTTTCTTTTTTCTTTTTCTTTTTCTTTTTTCCCTTTTCCGGTTCGGGTTCCACGAGAAGCCCGAGTGATCGAGACAAGGTTGTCGGGGAAATCAAATTGATCTCGCTGAATTATTAAGCTGCTGATTCAGAGAGACACTTGTTTAGCCCATTTCGGGGCCCCCAAGGTACCTCTGCTCAGAAGATCTCAACACAGGTACAACAAGATGGAAGAAATATTGATTATCACACTAGCTGATCGATCTTTTGGTTCGAGCCTGGGCCCGGGTTTGGGTTTCTCACGCCCGGTCCTCCCCCACCGTTGGTGGACGTTTGTGGATGCGGTCTGGATGCGGGCTGCGGAAATCTCGCTCTACACGTCTTAGCGGGTCGTGTTGGCATTTGGGTGGCGTGCGTGTGCCCGTTGCTAGTCCAGTCCAGTCCAGTCCAGTCCCGAGTTACGTACCTTGCATCACTCACTACCTTGCTACCTTGCATCACCGCGGCGAATTCTGATTGCTCGGGTGGTGGCCGCCGAGCCCGCTCTCTTGAGCTTGACAAAGAACAGGGGCCGTTTTGGACTTTGCGTGGGCCGCAATACCAAGCAACCAAGCAAGCCAGAGCTTTGATTTCCAATCCTGACTAACAGGAAGCGTCAAGTGTTTGGGTTTGGGTGTGCGCTAAAGGGAGAGAGCCAGCTCTCCACTGCCCGTCGGCCGCACTTCCATCCACTACGAGTATTATTAGCCTCGAAGACTTTCTTTCTTTTTCCTTTCTTTCTTTTTTGGACACGCTCTTCCGCTGCGTCATCGTCAGATTCACATGTCGTGAGAAGGAGCAGGGGTGTGACAGGAATGGCAGCTGCTTGAAGACTTAGAGGTCGAGGATCGGAGTCGGGGAATCAAGGGAAAGGGAGCGGGAGCGGGGAATCGGAGATAGACCAGATTCATCCTCCCTGAGTTTTCTCCTCTGTCTCTTTTGTCCTCTTTTTTTTTTTTTTTTTTTTTTTTTTGTGGATCAAGTTTCGAAGCAGAATATCAGTGTAACAAGCCCATTCCATTACACATCTTGGCGCATCTCCGGGTCCAATCTGAGAATGGATAGTTGATCGCCTTCCATTGGCTCAATCCGTTGTGCTGTTTCCCGTCGTATCTCGCATGGGTCCCATGGCCCTCTCGTTTGGCTCGTTCCTGGCAAGCTCCAGACTCTAGTCGGGTCAACTCGACCGAAACTCGCCGTTGCTGTCACTGTCACGAGCGAGAACATTGATGAAGAGACCATGCCAAGCACAAGCAAAGGGGCGTTTTTTCTTTCTTTTTCTCCCTTTCTCCCGAGGTAGGGCCCAACTCCTTGTCAATCAACATTTGGCACAAGAACTAGTGTAGTCTTGCAAAGATGGGCAAGCGCCAATGATATTGATCCCGAATCGACAACTGTCAGTCATGGAGCTAGTGTAGCCCATACATCAACAATTACTTGGAGGTGAAAGGATATTGGCCTGGGCACAAAAGAGGCCCGTTGCCGCCATTCCAGAGCCATCAAGTTATCAGCGTCCTTCCCATTGTTGATGGTCGCAACACAAACGATGCCACAGTATTTATTGTCCATGGAGCCAGCCACTCCAGCCACGGCGGAATTCCGGCGGCCTGCACCCATATCAAAATTAATTGAACATGATACCGTCTTGGTGACTAACCGTGGCGAGACCGGAGTTCGGAATTGGCGAGCGGGCTGGAATTCCAAGCCAGTATCGTATCGACGAGCGAAGCCGTTCAGTCGAGTGCATGGCTTCGTTCGTGCCTTGATGGTGCATTCTCGGTCATCTTTGCGTCCTGCTGTGGCTCGGAGAGTATTAGCGACAAGGGATGAGCCAAGATCTTGAGAGTACAAGCCTCGGGCGCATCCCCGAACCTAGGCCTCGCCAAGCTGGTACCCACAAACACGGACGACGGACGACGGCCGGGAAACCGTGGTCGGAATGCCGCAAATGTGGCCCTCTTTGTTTGATTCCCTTTCGATTGACCATGTGATCAAATACTTCACCTAGAGTTCGCTTCGTGAAGTTTTCACCCGTTTTGTGCGCGTCGGTCTCCTTTCGCGAGATGATTGACTTACCGTATTGCCTCGTAGCGGGCTGGAAGATAGCGAGAAGTTTGAGAGAGTCTTAAGACGTGAGCTCAATCGTGCAATAATGCCCATGACACCCACCAACAAAGGGCAAAAGGGGACATCAATAAAGTTGACGTGGGGTTTTCGTGCCAAAAGGAAGAAAATAGGAACCAAGAGAAAAATAGCACGCCGAGTCCCCGGGGCATGCTGTGCCCTATATTGGTGCATACCCGTTGCATACCCGGCACGGGCAGACACGGCGAACGCCGACATGGCGGAGAGAACCCACCTCCGGACACCGCCCACCTCACGCGCCGCCTCCCCGGCGAAAACCCACCCTGCCTCTCCAACCCGTCAAACCCAGCTGAGTCTTTTTAAACCTACATGTATGTTTTTTTGGTCTGGTTTCCCAAACTGGTCATCAGAGCGGGCTGAATACCAAGATGCATTTCAGCACGCCAACGATTGCGAAGGGGGCGACCCTAATGAATAGCAATTATTCACTGTGCCGTCTCGGGTGATGTCGGCGAGCAGTGTCCCCTGACCTTGCACGCATCGCCCTTCCCCCGTATACCCTAGGTCGGCGAGGCGGCAGCATCAATGGGGGATTGCAAAGATTGACCAGTAGTACAACGTTTCTTTTTCATGTTAGTGTGAGGGTACTACCGGAATGTCGTCGTTGTTTGAACGCCTAGTTTTCGAGCCCAAGGACTCGATATATATCTAAGCCCTTCACCCGTCTCTCTCCCTAGCCGCCTCCTCCTCACAGCCATGTCCTTCACATACCAATTTCTCCAAGAGAAAAGCACGATTACCCCTTTTACTATACATACATAGCCATACCCACATAAGAGGTACAAGACGCCCTCTCCCCTCTCCTCCCATGAAGAGCAGCTTCAAAGTCATCATCGTCGGCGGCGGGCCCGTCGGTCTCACGGCCGCCCACGCCCTCCAACACGCCGGCATAGATTTCGTCGTCCTCGAGCGCCGAAGTTCCATCTACGACGATGTCGGCGCCAGCTTGGTCCTTCGGCCCTCGAGCCTGCGCGTCATGCACCAGCTCGGCCTGCTCGACAAGCTGCGGAGCATCGGTACCGCCATACACACTGGAGGCTCTTTTACCGCCGAGGGCTTCAAGTTTCGGCGCGGCGACGAAGTATTCCCCGCCATCCAGGCCAAGTACGTTCAGATCCTTTTCACACACTCTCTCCCTCTCCCTCTCCATCTTTCTGTTCCCCGCCCTATCGGACTTTCCATACATCCGCCATCCCAAATCTTTACAAAATCATCGGTAACGCTAACACGGAAACTCTTCCTTTCCCCCGCGCACAGCCTCGGAACACTCCCAGTATGCTTCCACCGACCACACCTAGTCCAAGCCCTCTACGAAGCCCTCGACCCCGCCAGCCGAGCCTGCATCCACGCAAGCAAGCGCGTCACCTACATCGCCTCCCTCCTCCGACGCCCCCGACGCCCCGGCCCCCGCCCGCGTCACCTGCGCCGACGGCTCCATCTACGAAGGCGACCTCGTCCTCGGCGCCGACGGCGTCCACTCCATCGTGCGCCGCATCATGCGCGCCCAGCTCCTCGCCTCCGACCCCGCCCCCGCCCCCGCCTCCGCCGACATCGACCCCGAAAATCCCTTCACCACCTACTACCGCACCATGTGGTTCAGCTTCCCCGCCCCGAGGCTTGCCTCCCGGGCTCCTCCTCCGACACCCACGCCGACGGTCTAGCCGTGCAGTTCCTGTGCGGCGCCGACCGCGGCTGGATGTTCCTCTACCAGAAACTCGACCACCCCACCACGGAGCGGAGATCCTACTCGGAGCAGGAGCGCGCGCAGTACTGGCGCCTGTTCCGGGACCTCGCCGTCACGGACAAGTATAAAGTCGGTGACCTCTACCCTACCCGCTACAGCGACGGCATGGCCAACCTCGAGGAGGGCGTCCTGCGGCGCTGGCACCACGGGCGCATCGTCCTCGCCGGCGACGCCTGCCACAAGGCCACCCCGAATCTCGGCCTCGGCTTCAACAACGGCCTCCAAGACGTCGTCGCTCTCGTCAACCGCCTGCACCCCCTCCTATCCTCTCCCTCTCTGGCCCCAGAGCATGCCGATGCGAAACCGGACGCGCAAGCGCTCGATGTCGCGCTCGCCGGCTACCAGACTGCCCGGATGCTCCTGGCGCCGGACGACCACTACATATCCAGCGTCGTAACCCGACTGTGGGCTTGGCATAACACTATTTATTGGTTTCTCGATCGCTACCTCCTCCCCATCCTACCGGGCATGGATGCGTGGGTCGCGAACGCGTCCGCCCAGGCAGAATGCAAAGGCGAGGTCCTCGACTACATCCCTGCCGACGAGCCCTTTGTCGGCAAGGTTCCTTGGGTGCACGCTATGCCTTCTTTGGTCGCAAAGGATTCTGCCTAGTGGCTCGTCCTGCCTCTATCCTCCCTCTCTGTTTTCTTCCCCGGATCTTTTCGAAAGATATCTTTTTTTTCATTTTCAACGTCCCTATAGATTTATAACCCTTCCCGGGGTAGATAGTTCTTCCACGACGATTAGAATACCCCTTACTCTTCACTCTCTTACATTATGTGCATTACTTTTGGTCTCTCTTTGGTCTCTCTTATACACTAGACCTTCATTTTTATAGAATCTACATTTTTCTTTACTACTCGCACCGTGATCTATGTATTACAAGGGATGTTTCCGAAAGAGGGCCGGTACACGCGTATAGATGAGGAAGCTCTTCACAAATCTTCAACGAGGCTAATTAGATTCCGGTAGATGTAGACTACAAAACACTATTATATGCTAACCCCCAGCAGAAACTTCATTCTCTCAATCCTTCTTGGAACAGATCCCCCAAAGCCCACCACCACCTGCTTCTGCTACTGGCTCCCCTCTAGTTCATCTCCGTGTTGTGGGTCTTTTCAGGCAATTTGTTCTCCTTGATATCCTTCTTCTCCCTCTTCTTCTTCGACCTGATGCTGCCCAACTTCCACGACTTGACCCTAAACATGTAGTACGTCACGACGGCCACAAATATGTTGAACACCACGTACGCCCACACGATTCCAAAGTTGCGCCACCTCTCGCTCCAGTAGATGTTGCTTCCCGCCAGGTACTGATCCGCCACCCTGAGCGAGCAATACTGGCAGTCCTGCGTTGCCTGCGGGTTCTGCAACCGCCCCGGCGCTTGCGTGAGGTAGGGCTGCATGTACTCGCCGCAGGTCTGGCCCGACGGCGGGCTAAAGATGGACGTCTCGCTCGTCGAACAATCCACGGGGCGGTCGTGTAGCTGCGTCGCCACCATGCCCGCCGTCCAGTAGGTGAAAGGCGAGGCGCGGTACATGAAGATCCAGAATCCCGGAAGCGCGTTGGGCGGCTGGAGCACACCGCAAAAGACCATGCTAAACATGACGAGAAGCGTGACTATGCCGCCCGCCGTCTGCGCGTCATGGAGCGCGGCAATCGTCATCTGGGCAAAGGAGCTGGCGTAGATGAGGAGCTGGATGCAGAAGAGGAGCACGAGGCCCTGTCGCTCAGAGCTCTGGATTCCCACCACGGCGTAATAGAAGGAGGCATAGATGAGGATGCCGGTAAAGATTTGGTACGGAATCTCCACCAGCACGTTGGCGATGATGAAAGCCTTCCACGAGTAGGATTTGCTAGGTCGCTCTCGCACCTCGTAAAGCGAGCGTTGAGTGATGAAGAGCGGTTGGATCTGCAGTAGAGTTCTTGGTTAGCATACAAGCCTCATTCCTTTCACGGATTATTCGGGGAGGCCGTGGTCGGGGCATAGAGGGGTAGGGCTCAGCTTACCTGCTGGACAAGGGAGGAGAAAATGGTGATGACCTGGAACACGGCGAAGAGGACGTTTTGCATCCCGGCCAGCGTGCCCTTGGCCTGGAAGAAAGTGAATCCGATAAAGAGTCCCGCAACAGTGCCCAGGAAAAACTTGGCAAAAATGTAGGTCGGCATCCTCCAGTACTGCTGAAACACTCGCAGCGTCACGGCGGATAGCTGCGCAAGGAACGGCATCGCAAACTCGGAGTGCGCCCGCGCCCCGCCATCGCTCGCCACCGGCTCGTCCATCATCTCCGCGTGCACGCGCTCAATCTCGGCGTCTATGCCTCCCCGTTCCGGGCTCGCGTTCCACACTTGGTCCCATTCCACGCCCTGGTCGTTGGTTCCGTTGTTGACCACCTCGAGCATGTACTCGGCCGGGTTCTCCGTATCGGTGCACACCCTGGCCCCGTTGGATTCGAAATAGTCGAGGAGCGTGCGGGAGTTGGTGCCGATATCGCCAAAGTACACAGTCTTTCCGCCGCGCGCCAAGAAGAGAAGCCGGTCAAACTGCTGGAAGAGGATGGCGCTCGGCTGATGGACCGTGCAGAGAATCGCCTGGCCGGCGTCGGCGAGCTTGCGCAGCAAAGCGCAAATCGCCCAGGAACTTTGCGAATCCAGACCACTGGTGGGTTCGTCGAGGAAGAGCAGGAGCTTGGGCTTGGCCGCGAGTTCCACGCCAATGGTCAAGAGCTTCCGTTGCTCAACGTTGAGGCCCTCGCCCGGCACACCGACGACGGCATCGGCGAAATCGGTCATGTTGAGCATCTTGATCACTTCCTCCACATACGCGAACTTCTCTGCCTTGCTGACGTGGCCGGGTTGGCGGAGGAAGGCGCTGAATTGCAAACTCTCTCGGACTGTGGCAGTTTCCAAGTGCAAATCTACACAATTGCGGCGGGAGGGTATTAGTAACGACAGAACAGATTCATAATGGCAACAGGGGCACAGGGGCTACCTGCACCCCTTTCTTCTCATCCTTCACATACCTTGCTGCTGGACGTAGCCAGTCTTTCGCTGGAAACTAGCGTCAAGAGGCTTTCCGTTGACAAACCGATCGCCGTATACTACGCCCATCGTGGTCCTCTGAGCCAAAACATCCAGGAGCGTCGTTTTCCCCGCACCGCTGACGCCCATGAGCGCGGTCAAAGTACCAGGCTTGACCCATCCAGAGACGTGGCTGAGAAGCCTGCGAGTGCCCTCCTTGACCTCGACGTCATAGTCGATATTCTTCCAGGTGAAGACATCCTTTTGCGGCTCAATGGCTCGAACATCGGCGCCTGCCTCATCCACCCTTTCCGCTCTGCCAGCCGTCACATCCTTGTCCATGGCACCGGTCTTGGGGTCCATGTGAGCAGGCACTTTTCCGCGCTGGTACACGAGAACTTCTGCGGAAGCGGATGTGGTGGAATTGATTTCGGTGCAGATAAAGTAGATGGCCATGAAGAAGATCATGAACGCGATCAAGATACCAAAGTTGCGCCATACGTGGGAGTATTTGTAACCGTACTGTGTTTCAATGAAGGCGTCGCCGCTCACCATGGACTCTCCTGGGACGGCGCCGATAGCGTTGCAGATCCAAGAAGTGCCAATACGGGGGCTGTAGGCCGGGATGAAGCTCGCGCAGGCAAACTGGCGGTTGTGGAACTCGTTGGCGATGAGGCACTCAAAGGCGTAGAATAACGGGTTGATCCATCTGATCCAGCTAAACCATGGGTGCATCTGTGGCACGGCAATGATGAAACCGGTGTAGATGACGAGTGCGAGGACGCAGATACCGGCGAGGGCCATGGCCTGGGAAACGGTTCTGGTCACGGCGGCAATCGTGCGGAAGATGGCAGACATGACAAAGGTGGAGATGTAGCTGATGAGGAAGAAGAGGAAAAACGGTCCCGGTTCCCGACGTAATCCGGCCAAGAAGTAGATGACGATGTTGAAAAAGACGGCCGTGACGAACTTGATTGGTATATCGGCAAAGATACCCGCAACGGCCTCCGTCGCCGGATGGTAGAATGCGTAGGACGCGTGCTTCTCGACAATGGCTCGTTGGTTATACAAACTGTTGATTTCCGTAATGGCGCTGAGCGCATTAAGCAGCACGGCCATGAAGAGGACGGCTCCCAGAGAGAAGAAGCTGGCGGTGGAGCTGGGGGTGCCGTAGTAAACCGAACCGATGATTAAAGCCATAATTGTATGCGTCACAAATGATGTCAAAGTGGCAGACTTGTCACCCCAGAGGCGCTGGTACGCGCGTTTGGTGTTGAGGCCAATCTGCATCCAGATGCTGATGATGAAGGGCGACTTGGGCCGGACATGTTTCGCCTGCCTCTGCTCCTTGTGCTCCCTCATCTGCGAAATGTACTCGCCATGCTTTGCGGTGGGGTACCGCTCCTCCGCCTCGTGCATCTGTTGCAGAAGCGCGGCGTACTCGGGGATTCCCTCCAGCACCGCTCGAAATCTTCGGATGTCCTGGGGACCTGGCTCTCCATGCCCTCTTTCGGCGTGCGCTCCTGGGGATTGGTCAGCGAGGTGAGGAAGTCGCCAACCGTCTGGCGCTGAGGACAGAACCAGCCCTGTCTCTCGAAATAGCCCTTGGCGCCATTTGCGGGCCCGTAGTAGATGGTCCGGCCCTCGTAGAGGACAACCGCCTTGTCAAACAAGTCGTAGATGGCTTGACTGGCTTGGTAGATGGCAACCGCGCCGGCTCTGCCAGTCACGTCACAGGACAATCTCAAGGACTGCACAAACTTGAGGGCCGTGGCTGAATCAAGACCTCGGGTGCTAACCGTAGAAAACGCATCGTCAGTTCCCCGTTTCTCCCGAAGATGGCTCCGCCACGCGCATCCGTCACCCGATGATAAAGAGGGGAGAGAGAGAGACATACCTGTTATCCCAAGCGCCGAAGGGTGCCCCAGCTAACATCATCTCAGCGATACTGACACGCTTCCTCTCTCCTCCAGAGACGCCGCGTACGAAATCATCGCCGACTTTGGTATAATAGGTGTGACTAAGACCACAAATGGCCATGACAACCTTTGCCACGTATTTGACTGCATTATTGCGGCTGACACCCTCAATCCGGTTGGACGGCATGCGCGCCGCTGCGGCGAACTCGAGGGTTTGCCCAACAGTAAGATGGGGAAATGTCGGTCCACCTAAATTATGGGTGAAGAGAGGGAAAAGAATGTCAGATCAAACGGACTACTCGTTAAACGGGGCGATAATTGCGGTCTTGTATTGCAGCTCGTTTCCCAATTTAAAGGAATACGTACCTCTTGGTTATAAATGACTTCTCCCTTGAACTCCCTGACCATTTGCTTCTGGGGAATACCCTTGTAGTGGATGCTGGATGCCTTGTCCATTTGAAGACCATGGAGCTGGCCGCACAGAGTCTTTAGCATGGTGGTGCATCCGGAGCCGGGGCGACCGAGAACGATGAGCAACTCGCCACTTTCGATGAGGCCGTCGAAACTGTTCAAAATTCTCTTGGGTTTCTTGTTGAACGAAAATAGTTCGCTGGGTCGAAAGATGGAGGTGAAGTAGGAGAAGACGGTGTCTTGGTGTAGCAAAGCAGCATCGGTACCGGAGACGGTGAGATTCTTCCACATGACACCGGTGCGAGAAGGGCTGATGCCCTCGGAGCTCATGCGCTGGATGAACATTCGAAGCCATCGAGACATGTCAAAGTCCTTGTTATCGGGCTGGAGCGTGGGGTCATCGTGGCTGAAGCTGCTGTACCGCGGCGGGGCATCCGTCTCTGTGCCGGCCACGCTGAAGCGTCGAGTCGAGAGCACCGTTGCGATCCTCCGCAGCTCGTCTCGGTCAAGATCTTCGATGTAGGCCTGGCTTTGCACTCGTCGCATAGGCACGCCTTCTTCGGTGCTGCTGCCAGTGGATGAGGTGATGGACCCTGCATCTCGAAGATTCTCGATGGATTGCTCGTTGTGCAGCGCTGGGCGAGAAATCCCCCTTCTAAAGCCTGGCTCTGGATCGGAGCCGCCTCACGATCCAAAGGAGGGTTCTGCATCAGGGCTGCGTCACGCGCCAAGGGCTGACTCTGGATCGGGGCCGCCTCGCGTTCCAACGCAGAATTCTGCACCGGGGCTGCATCACCTATCAAGGGCTGACATCGTATCGGGGCACCCTCGCCTTCTAGGCCTTGGCTTTGCATCGGGACCGGTTCACCTCCCAAAGACTGGAATTGGATCGGGGTCGCCTCGCCTTCCGAGGGGCGGTCCTGTATCGGGACTGCCTCGGCGCCCAGAGTCTGGGATTGCGCCGGGGCCGCCTCGCCTTCTAAAGGTTGGTTCTGCATCGGGACTGATTTTGAAGAGGTCGTGGCGAACCAATGGTCTCCAAGATCCAAGATTCGAGGCGGTAGCAAAGCCTCTTGTCTCTAGGACGCTGTATATCTGGGTTAGGTCACTATCAAAGAAATGGCTACATCTGAGAAAGAGAAAGAGAGGAGAGGATGAAGAAAAGACCTGAGTGAGGGGAAGGAGGATAGAAGAAAAGCACCACTTTCAGAATTGGGGGCCCTACGAAGCTTAGAGCCGATCTTGGTTGTCCGCGATCAGCAATGCATTGGGCCTTGCCTGATAAGGAAGATGTGGGCTGTTTATACTTTGAAGCTATAGGAAACACTACACTACGTTTTTGTCCTTTCCGGCCCCCATGAGACTTGCAACTGGGAGAGAAGTGGATAAACTGGAGAAAGGGGAGAGAAAAAAAGTACCGGACCAAGAAAGGGGCCTCGGATTATCTGCAAACCATTTGCCTCCATTACCCCTAATGCGAGAGATTCTAACGTCAGGATTATCCACAGTGGGCACATTGATACGAATCCCGACATTGGATGTGCTGTTGTCGAGCCAAACATCTGTGGTTGTCGGCGACGGGTGATGGACCGACGGAGTGGGCCAGATATCATGCACTACCGGGATAATCGAAAACCGGCAGGCTCGGGCCACACCAGGAGCCAGAGGTGCGGTACCACGGAGGTTAGCGTCAGTCCGGACCCAGCCCAGCAGGGTGTGAGCTAGCGCGGAGAGAGTGATGAACTCTGTGGTGAGTCCATGGGAGCTGCAGCGCTAAAAAGGTGCTGGGCACGTTTGTCGAGTGCCAACTAAACGTCGTACCTAAACTTGCCATTTGTGGACATCTTGAGACATCTCAATGGAGACATGGAAGATACAAAGAGCACAACGACCGAGACAACCATAACGAGGTGCTCTGGCACTATAGGAAAAGGTAAGTACAAGGGCGAAATCACTCCCCGCCCCTCTCGCTCACCCTCGCGCGCGCTGAGAAAGAAGAAAAATAGGATTAAAAATTATTTACTATACCCAAGACTACGACAGAGGAGCGAAGTGACAATTGTGCCCCGAATCGGAGATAAAGCACAGGGTTTCCTCACCAGAGCGAGGAGCCAACAGCCCGGAAACCCAGAAGTGGGACGGGATCGGAGACGGGAGCGCCAAGACTCCGGTCGTGCTGGCAATTGTCACCCCGCAAGCGATCCGCCGACCGCGCATGGGTAGACGCAGCATTACTTGGGATGCTTCTTTGTGACCTAAAATAATCCGTCTCGGTCATAGGCTCTTTAAAACGCCCGAGAACGTGTGCTGGCTTCGTCATCAGACGAGCAAAACTACCTCAACTAGGAATTTTTCGTGTGGGGGCTCTGTAACGGGATTCAGATTCGCCGACGCCGCCATCCTCTGAAACCCGACCCGAAACTAACTAGATCGATCGATCCTCGGTATCTCGTTGCTCTCAATGTGCTTCAGCTATCAGCATGTGGTTGCGAAAAGACCCTACGTGAGTGGGGGCTGCTTGATGAAAAGTGGTGGTGTTGTTGTCCACTTTGGATGATCAACACACACAAACTGGCAAAAATTGTGGTGGATCCAGTGGAGGTCCTCGTGGGCCTTGGCAATCTGGGTGTGATAAGTTGACCATGCATGAAAGGAAGACGCCCGGCGCTGAGTGACCTCAGTCTCGCTGACCAACAGGAACCGTGGCGTTTTGGTGCTACAGAAGTCATGGATTTCCTGGTGTTCGTGCGTGTGTGCCTGGTTGGCTGACTCTGTGTGAGATGCCACAAAATCAATCTAGTGGTGCCAAACTTGAATTTCACACAGTGTGACCATCCCCTTTCTACTTTGTATGATGACTAAGGCAAATTATAAAAGTCACATGACCTGGAAAGCTCGGGCCAGCGATGGCCTTTGCTCCATCGATTGCAAACGACTCGACATCATCAAGAGCTTCTTCCATTGGGCTTTTGCGTGACTCAGTAAAGACTTCACCTTCCATTCCAGGCGGCGAACCCTTGGAACGCGTCTGACGTCTGCGTCCAAGACGACGACTAGGACAAAGGTTTGGCCGTATAGCTATTTCCTTCGATCCATACTCGACCTTTTCTGCTCGCACTCCTTCACCTCACCCCCACCCCTATCCGGCTTCCATCTCGACCTTTCTCTTCCAGCATCCGTCTGCTTGTCTCTGCCAGTATTGTCCATCTCGAGACATCTAGAGTCGACCGTGCAATCGCCCGCATTGTAATATATTGGAGCGGGAAGGTATTGGGGATCCAGGCCCGTAATTGGACCTCTTAGAACTCAGGATAGCTGAGGCGGCGGGCATACATCCCACACGCGAGCAACCGCGCGCAAGCTTTGGCTCTCGCCATCGCCAGGTTTTCCCGAGGGCAGTGGCGACCCAGGAGGCTGGAACAGCACATTGCGCCCTGTCTGTCGTTTCACGCCCCTCCGCCGCTCGCGCTCCATTATCTCCTCTTTCCCGAACATCAGCTTTCTCTCCTATTCCTTCTTTCGACTGCTCCTGTCTTTCTGCCTACCATTTAGCAGCGTCCATCTAGCGTTGGTGGAAGCGTAAACTGTTGGCCGGATCACTTGTGTTTTCATACTTGCATTTTTTTCTTTTATTTTTGTTTCCTTGTCTTTGAGCACACTCTTTGTCCACGCTCGGCTTGATTTGAATGGTAGCCAGAAAGCCTGCCCATGTGTTAAGCGAGAGAGAAAAAGAGCTGGTAGGCCGCAAAACAAGAAGAACAAAGCACTCAAAAGAGAAAACCGCCTCTCAAGAGATTAGAATCCATCATGTCGTATGAGAATGCTGCCGCCGAGGTGGCTGAGGACTTCAAGACGGCGCTGGAGGACATGACGTCCATCAGCCGAATCGAGATTATGAATCTGTGTCAGATTGCCCGTGAGAATACGGAGCATGCCTTTGAAATCTCTGAAGTCCTTGTCGCCCATATAAATAGGGTATGCATGATAATTAGCCTCCTCTTCCCGCCTCCACCACTCCCCTTCCCTTCTTCCCCTTCCTCTTCACTTCCTGCCGAGCCCTTGCAGTCAGATATTCGGATCCCTGCTTCGCCTCGGATTCGAACGGCAAGGGCAAAACGCGGACAAACTGCGGATCTCACCTCTGGATCCGCCAAGTGCGAGCTCAAGACTTGATGTGCTAACGATATCAATAGGCTGCCCCTCAAAAGAAACTTGCGGCACTTTACGTGCTCGACGCCATCGTCAAAAATGTTGGCACGCCTTATACACTCTATGTCGCTCCAAAGCTGTTTTCAACCTTCATGGAGTCGTACGCCCGGGTGGAACATCCCGTACGGCGCAAGATGGAGGAGATGCTGAAGACTTGGAAGAGCCCCATCCCGGGGTCCATGGACACGAAACCAGTGTTCCCTCCTGATGTCGTCGGACCCATAGAGAACGCCCTCATCAAAGCGCATAATTCGGCAATGCAAACCCTTCAGCAAAATAGGAAAACACAGCCTCATATCCTAGGTCGACCCCCTCCCGGAGCGCCGCATCGTAACACGCCGACACCTCCTGGGATGCCCCAAGGTGGTGTCCCACGGGGCCATGCTTATCCCCAACCGAATATCTCGGAGGCAGATCGAACCGGGCCTCCTCACCATAACCAGGTATGTTGCTTTGAGGCCTACCCCGTTCTTATGCGCCGAGCTAACATTTCACTCCCGCAGCCTCCGTTTTCGACCCCGGGGCTTAACCAAGGGGCGAGCCATCATAATGGGGCCTTGCAGCAACCAGGACATATGGCGGGCGTGAATGGAGATGCACTGAATAAAGACATCCAAGAGCTCGTCCTTGCGACGCACCTGGAGAGTGCAGCGCATCCTCACGATGCTGGTATATCTGCGAGATTGAAGGCGCTCATGGACCTACAAAGCATTGTGCAGGCCAGGAACCTGCCACCAGACCAGCTCGTTTTAGTTAAAAACAAGTAGATGAACTCGCTATGAAGATGAGAGTTCCGCAAGTAGGCAGCAGCTCGACACCACTCCCCCTCAGCATGTATCCATAGCTGGCGTAGCCCCTCAAGCCCCCTTATCTTCGGCGGCCTCAACGCCGGTGCCCGTGTCGGCCAGCTCGACGCCTGTCCCCGGCCTGGCGCCTGTAACGATTGATTCCATATTAGGAAAGGGCGCCCTCGCGACTCTGTTGGCCCAACAAGCTGGGCGGTCGGCACAGTCGACGCCTGTACATCCAGCCGCAGCTGCGCCTGCGCCCGCGCCTGCACCTGCCCCTGTGCAGGTGTCCGTACCGGGGATTCACGCACCGCCGCAAGGCCCCGCGAAGCCCGCGGCCGGCCACGTAGCGTCTGACCCGTTAGCATTACTTGCCCAGCTCAGGCAAGCCGGCCTCCTGGGCCCAAGCGGCCCTGCCAGCACCCCCGTCCCCCTCCTGCGGCACCTGCTGCCCAAACGCCCACGTCGGCAATGCAGTCGGCTCTCGCGTCCCTCCCACCCGTGCTGGCGAGTGTGCTATCGCCGATGAAGGGCTGGGCTCCCTCCTCCACCAGTGGATCCCAACATATTGTCATGGACGACGACATCCATGCAGGTAGTGTAAGTTTCCGGTACAAGGAACGAGGAATACAAGAACAATCCCGTTCCGTTTCTCATTCCTATCTCCCATTTCTAAAAACTAAGCGTCCGGCCTTATCTATGCCTTTAGCTCTTATACGTTTTTGTTTTTTGAAGCTAACTTTGGCCCGAATCTTTTCACTCTCTTAGGCGACCCTATCTCTTCCTGCGCTTTACATCGAACTTGGACCCCAGTGTAGCCAGTGCGGTCGACGATTCAAGTCCGATGCCGAGGGTAGAAAAAGAAAACAGCGCATATGGACTGGCACTTCCGTGTTCGGCAGCGTATGGTAGAAGCTGAGAAACGCGGCCAATATCGAAGCCACTACGTACCGAAATCTGTATGTGAGCCGCTAGACTCGCCTTATCCCTTTTCGTACCTCATTTTCTTTTCTTCGTTTACCAAACCATTTGCTAACTGAGAGGCTAAACAGGACTGGATAAAATCCCGCGAGGAAGTTGATCTCGATTATTCGGCCGAAGAAAAGGACGCAACGGTGGCGGAAGAGACTGCGAAACCGCCCGAGAAGCAGTACATAAGAGTACCCGATCCAGCCTCAGGCATCGGCAAGGTGTGCCCGATTTGCCAAGAGCAGTTTGAGAACAAGTGGCTCGACTCGGCTCAGGAATGGGTGTGGCTGGACGCGAAAATGGTGGGCAACCGAGCCTACCACGCCAGTTGCCACGCTGAGGCGACCAAGGACCGAGACCGCGCCACGACGCCCAGCTTTGGCGGGAGAGGATTCACGCCCGAGCCGGTGCTCGGCAAGCGGAAGGCTGATGTGAGTGCCGACCACAAGACCCTGAAGAAGGGCAGGAGCTAAACATGTGATCAACAACACGTTGCGGTCGTCGTCCCCGCGCCCTCTCCAAGGGGCAGCGGTGGTGGCTAGCAACATTTTTGTGATTGCCACTTTTTTTCTCAGAAAGAAGAACATTCTCTTCTGAAATCACGATCAAAGATGAACTAAAGAGCTGAGCCACCGGCGGCTCGGCTCGGCTACACGACGCAAAAGATAAAAGTGATGGCGGTGGGTTGCACGTCTTGGTAGTTCGCCAAGTCGGCCATTGTCAAGGGAACTGAAGGGAGGAGGGTTAGAAGGGATGGGAGGACGGTTGTAGCGAGCCTTTGTGGGTGTCGCCCCCTTATTTCGACCAGAGTTTGTATAGCATTTATGCACACGCTCCCAGCTGGTAGAGGCAAGACCCGCAGGGGCTTATCAAGAATTAAAAATAATAAAAACCTTGACCAGGATACACGACTTAATCTTGCGGCCCTTTAGTGAAGTAAATCCATGTAAACCGTTCGGACAAAAACAGCATGAAAGGAAAAGAAGGAAAACAAGAAGAATAGAAGAAGGGGATGAAAATGGTAGAACCGTGTTTCTTGATCGGATGGCAACCTATTTTCAGGATGTATAGCCCATCATCTCCTTGATCTGCACAACGCTCGACTCAAATACAGCTTTGCCCTCGCCCGCAGCCCAGACCCCAACCTTTTCAATGCCCTCCAAATCCTCCTTCATATGCTCCTGGCTCGTAGTCCCATCCAACACAGTAAATCTCTCAAAGCCGAGAAGCACCGAATACAATGCTACGGGGCTGGAGACACCGGCGCCCTCGGCGACGGCAGCAACGGCAGCAGAGGCCAGCAGGTTGGGGTTGGCGGAGAGAGTCCAGAACGACTGGAAGACGATGCCCTCGTCGCGGCAGAAAGCGTACAGGTCGGGCTGGTAGTAGCCGGCGCGCACGCGGTTCTGCACGACGGCGGGCTTGGGGAACGGCGGGTGGGGCGACTGCGTGGCGGCGGCGGCCTGGCAGAGGGCGCGCAGGACGGGGAGGCTCACGTTGGAGATGCCGAGGTGGCGCACTTTGTGGGGCACGTAGGTCGCCATGGCCTGCCACACGCGCAGCGTCTCGGGTATGGTGGGTAGGGGCGAGTGCAGCACGAGGCAGTCCAGGTACGCCTCGTCATCCCCTCCTCCTCCACCTCCTCCGGCCGCCCCCACGGCGAAGTTGGCGAGGCTGGACTCAACCGACTGCCTCACTTGCTCCTCGAGCTCGGCTTCCGGGTCGTAAGGGAGGTTGTCCAAGTCTTGGCCCCGACGGGCGTGTATTTGGTCTGGACGTAGACGTCGGCGCGCGATGGGATGGCGCCGGACCGGAGGGCGGCGCGGAGGCCCTCGGCGACTAGGGCTTCCTTGTAGTGGCGGGGTTGAGCGGCGGTGTCGATACCCCGGAACCCGGCGGTCAGCGCGGCCTGAACGAGTCCTTGCGTCTGGGCCTTTTTCCACGCGGTCCCGTAGATGAGGCGCGGGATGATGGTGGTGGTGGGCCCGCCCTGAAGTGTGAGCGGGCGGGCGAGGGGCGAGGCTGCACCTGGCATGGCGGGTTTTCGCAGGGCGATGAAGCAGGAAAATGGGGTGACGGTATCTCCCTTTATAAGGGTGTTTCTCGCGGCACTTTTTCTTTCCTTTCTTTTCGGTTTCAGTTGTTTTGAAAGGCAATGCCAAACCAAATAGCGAGCTTGTATGGCCAGTCTTGAAAAGGAAGAAAAGCGAGTGCCACTTTTGCGAACACACACAACGAGCCCGTAGCTGATGAAAAGATAGATGTGACAGGAAAGATCTATTGGAGCTGGAACATGAGTCGGATGGTAACGAAGGTATTTGAGATGCTCATTAGTTATCATTCACAGCAGGAAAGGGCGACCCCGCGGGTTGCGCAATGCAATGGCGGGGCAATGTTGGCCAGGCTGAGCCTCGAGATCAACTTGACACAGCTTTTAATTCCTGAATCCAATCACAGATTCTAAAATCTTCCCTTGCCAGATTCTACATGGTTTAAGTCAAGGCACGTATGACGAGCGAAATGTTTCTCTTGCAATCTAGTTTGTAGCTTCATGATCGCTACCATCTACTTTTCCAAGGCGATACGACGGCTGTTGAAATAACATCTCCAAACCTTTGGTCCACAAGTTCATCACGGACAGCGCACCCTCGTCTCGCAAGGAACTGGTGCAAACCATTGGCCAGGCTGATTAGACTTGGGCCCTTGGCTATGACGACCACCCCGTCCCTGGTAACGGCACTATTCGTATTACCGCCCGCAACAAGCTCCTCCGGAATAAAGAAGTGCACTTTTTCAAGGGATGCGGCCTCGGGCTGCGCCTCCAGTTCGGCGAGATCAATGGAACAGACCCACATCTGCTGATCCAAGTAGACGACGCTGTTCCCATAAAATCCCAATAATGAGTGCATCACGGAACTATCCAGAGCCACCAGAGGATCCGTCGCCGAGATCTCTGCCTTGTCCTCTTCGCCAGCTAGCTGGGGAGGCGGAAGACCAAGAGCCTCGATCCCCGTGACACTTTGAGGACTCCTCCCTGATCGAGAGAGCGATCCATCGACCTTGATCATCTTTTCGAACAGATTCCACGTGTTGGAATATATCAGCCCCAACCCTCCAAAGTCCCAGGTCGTGGGGAACCCTCTCGACATAATCTGATCTGTGGTGTAAATGTCGATCGCTTGCTTCCTCACCCCGAGTAGAACCGCCGATTTTATGGGTCGAGGCATCCATAGCCAGAGCCGATACCAGTCATCCGGCTCATCGCTCGACGGCAGCGGATACTGCTCTCTATCCCTCAAATCGAACAGGGCGGAGCCCCACCTGCCGAAAAGGTGGATAAGCGGGAGCGTGGGATGTGTGCTTGCATCCCGGAGCTCAAAGCCCACCTGCGTCTCGGTGGCTTCCCTGTTAGAGTCCATCCTCCTCCCCCAGAAGCAATCACTTTGTGGATCTTGATCACGCCCGAGATATCAGCGCTTACAACGTGACCCCGGCCCCAAGAAATTCCTGTAACGTCTGCCAGCCTCTCGTGCGAGCTTAACATAGAAATTTCTTCTAATGCCAAGTCGTACATAAACATGGTCCCGTCGTTTCGAGCTGCTAGTAGGCACGGGGAAGTATCTGATGTGGCGATGTGAGTGATAACATCCCGCCGGCTTTGGTGCGCGCTCGGAAAACTGGGAGCCGATATCAGCCCTCGCGCTGGGTCTGTCTACCACCTCGTAGGCGATAGCGGCCGGTTCCCAAATCTTGATCCTCTGGCTGTCGGCGCTATAGAACTTCATTCCATCGCTACTCATAGCGATGGTAGAGATGCGGTCCCCTGTGATTCAAATTGGTAGATAGGGTCGAGGGTCTCGAAATCCCAGAAACTGACTTTCCCATAGGCATCCAGCGTGGCCAAGATCCGGCCGTCCGCGCTGCACGCCAGGGACTCTGCGTTTATGTATACTGACTTGACTTCGTGCTGCTCATCTTCTTCCCCCGGCCACAGAAGAGCACGAGCTCCTTATCGTCATAAAGAGCTGCGATGAGGTTGATATCTGGGTCTGGGTTGAACAGAACCTTTCTCACGGAGGATGGCGTGATATCCAAGCTGCTGAGTCGCCTCCTGTGGCAGCTAGTGATGAGTTTTCCCGATTCGGTGTTCCAGATTTGCAGTGGCGTATCCTGGAAAGCGATGGCGACAGAGCCCCCTTTGGGCTAAAGGAGGAGGTGCACCACGGACCAGGATCACCTCTGCCACGGCGAATATCCTTGGGAGGTCGTATATAAAGACGGTAGTCGGGTTTCTCTCCATCCTCCTGAGCACGCCAGGCGAGTACATGGCCGTGGCTGCCAAGTGTCAAGATACCCCTATCCCGGCTAGAGAATTCCACCGATGCTATCGTGGTGCCCGTATCGCTGTGGATGGCAGACCACAACAATTCTCCACCGAGCGACCACAATTTCAGATACTTTCTCCCGACCGAGACTAGATGCTTTCCCGATTCATCGAACCTCACATGCTTGACGGATTCGCCGTGGTCGAGGCAGCCTAACTCACGATAGTGGATATTATCGTAGATCTCGACGGTGCCGGTCGCAAGACCCATCGCCAAAACGCTGTCGTCGTGGTTGGTGGCCAATACCGTCGGATGTGAACTGCCCAGTTCAATTTGGGCTACGCAGTCATCCCACCACGGGGTTTGCACCCCCGTAACCGCAGGCAAACGGAGGACTGGCCGAACTGCTTAAAAATGGCCGAGTCCGTGGGACAGAGCCCGGGGAGAACAGACGAGACAGCTGATGGATGTTCGAGCAATTGGGGCCCGTATTTCAGGACAATCTGCAAAAGATCCACCTGCCATAGCGAAATATTCTCGTATTGCTGGCGGTGCGTAAGCCGAAGAGAGCGGCATGCGTCGAGGTATGTTCGAAGGTTCTTGGACGCCTGGATGACATGGTAGAGGTCGCGGTTCTTGTGGAGGAGGTATGTGAGCCACCGAAGAACATTGGTTTGAAGAAACTGGTCCACCCGAAGCAGTAGGTCCTCTGAGTTGCTTGACGATGCAGCCAGATGCTCAAAAACGGCTGTGCAAGCGTAATGGCTGAAGTCGTTCTTGGAGCTCTCCCCAAAATTCAAGCACGGGACGCTCAGCTCGGCCTGTTCGAGGTGGCGGAAGCAGTCCAATGCAAGGTGCTCGTGTGCCTGTGCTTCATCAATGGAAAAGGCGCAAGGAGAGGCTGGGTCGAGAAGCATATCGCGAGCGGTGGTGTGAATCATGTGGACGGTGTTGTTGGCGCCGATTTCTATCAACGGCCCTCCTCGCTTGATTACTCCAGTGTCCAGTCCTTGCAGTGAAGGGATAATTCTGAATTCGTCAACTGTTAGTGGTCGAATGCCACATGTAGCCCACTCCAGAATTTTACGAGTCAACTCGGTATACTCCGAGCCCTCAGCTGCCATTGCGCGAACAACGCGCTCATACAGACGCTCAATCCCCATCGGTGCGTCGGCGGCGGCGGCGGCGGCTCTATGCGCACCTTTTCGAGAAGAAGTGATGGTCGCTTCTTCAAGGATCAAACGAGCTCGCAAAAAGACCCCATCAGCCTCGTCAACCACAGTTTTGGAAAGGATTTCGCGATCCTGGCCATTGAAGCGCAAGCCCTCGAGTTTGCTATCGACGAACTGCTGGATGTCTGGTTGCGTATTGTTAACGCTAATCCTGTGGTGATACGAGCGGTGATGATCCACACGGCTTTGGATGTCTTCTAGGTTAGGAAGCGGCCGAGAGGTAAACAAGATGCGGATCCGAGCGTTGGGGTCAAGCTTGGCGAATGTGGAAAGCAGTTCCTCGACGCCAATACACTCATCCAGTCCGTCAATGATCCAAAACTGTGGCCTTGGAAACTGCAAGTGGAGGATACAATTGGTGAAGATCTTTCTCCAGATTGCTTTGACATCGTCTCTATCGAATACCGTGCCCCAGGTCTGGAGTTCGAGCAGGTCCTGGCAGACTTCTGGATGAAGTGCTGCCATCTGGTAAGCGATGGACCGTAAAAGCCCACTCGCGCCCTGGTTCGATCGCCTACCACGCCGTAGAAAGTAGTAGCATGTGTCGGCGTTTTGCTCTTGAAGGCGTCGGACGAGGTGCGCGGCAAGCGTGGATTTGCCTACTCCAGGGTTGCCAGAGAGCCAATGGAGAGACGAGGACGTTTCGAGGGACGCATCTCTCCAGTTCGTGATGGATTCCAATTTCATAAGCCAATCACATGTTCCTTTGGTTGTCTTTTCCTCCCGCATCCGGAGGTCTTGTGCAGGATCATCGGACACGTTGAGAAAGCTTTTGACGGCGGCAAGGTCATGCTGGCTGTTGCCATCCTTGCTTTCCAGATTATCGAGATGGGGGACTGAATCACTTGATACTGGTGCTGGCGCTGATGCTGAAGAGGTGGAAGCTGCGAGGGTGCTATGGGCACCACTGCCAAGGCTTCCCGCAGCTCGGTCAGATGCATTCACACGAATCTTCGGAGACAGTCAATGTTAGCTGCGGCTTCACAATAGAAGCAATGTGTCGGAAATAGCCCAAAAAAAAAAGGCGAGAACGGTGGGAAGCCTTACCGGCAATGACGACATCCTGCCGTTTGAACGATGTCGGCTCTCAAAAAGATCCTTGAAGATGGAATTTGGGGAGAAACTCGGGCTCGAGAGGAAAGCACCCAAGGAGGTATAAACAAAAGCATCCTGCTGCCTGCGGTCGACGTAAGCCCAGCATGAACCAGCCCCTCTCCCTTGATTCGACCGACGCTTTGGCGGGTGAGATGCGGGGTTCCGAGCATCCTGGACCTCAAAGTATGTGATCAGTCGATAGTGGTCGCAAAGGACGAGTGCAGCCTGCCCTCGACTCGTCTCATTGGGAAAAGCATAATACGGGAAACGATTGAGCCACAACTCCCGATCCCGTCCACGGAGAAAGGGCCAGGCCCAGCTAGCCCCCCCGGCCGCCTCCCGGCCCGGAAACAAAGGGAGTTGCGGGCGCTGTAAGGAATCTGCGTTAAAGATTTCCTAATTTGGTCTTGGAATCTCTGAGCCGGCGACCGCAACATTTTTGCTTTGCTCCGCCGCCCTTGTTCGCCCGAACGGCTTAGGCAAAAAACCACCATCTCTTTCCGTCCAATCGCACACCACCAACGGAATCCAACTGCGCGTGTCTTGAAGGGACTCCAGATGTCGGATTTTGAGGCTCGAGACTCAAGGCTTACCTAGTTTGCAGACAGCTCCCCCATGATTCCCATCTGTCTAGTATCTCACGTCTAGCTTCAATGCGCCGAATTCCTCCCCTACTCCCGTGCCTGACGGAGGAGGCCAGCCTACTAGCAATTCATACTCTCGTGCCTGGCGGCAGTCGGCCTCGACTCCGTCGTAGTGGGGGTGGGACAGGATCTCGTCAATCCCCACCACGAGAGAGCTAGCATCACACTAGGACAACTGAGGATAGCACAGGGCGGTGTCGCATTCCCAAAGCCCTCCGCGAAGCACAGAAGCCCTCGGCATTTGTGGAGAACTGCAGCACCGGAGGCCAGTGCGACGCTGCGCCAGGGCGGAACCAAGGCCCCGTGGGCCGATGTGGGATTGATTTCTTGCGCGCGGGTGTACACCAAGCAATAGCGGGGGATTTTTCTTTCCTATTCACTCGGGAGCTATATCAAACTCGGCGTGACCAACTCAGAGCTGGCGTTACCCCGCCATCTACGGGTCCGGTTTATATTTTTGGAATAACCTCAGCCCGCGTTGCCTTTTTTTTTTTCCCTCTCTTTTCCTTTTCCCCAGGAATTGAACATTGTAGTCTTGATTTCTTATAAGTTGGTCGCGTCCTCCTTGATCTCCTCTTCCTGCTGCAGACATCGCAACACATTGTGCGCTGAAGAATCGAAGAAACCTGCATTACGTCACATATTCCACCTCGCGCTCGCAAACATGGCATCTCAAGCTCCTCATACCGTGAAGTGGGGTATCATGGCCACTGGCTGGATCGCGGAAGGTAAGAAGAGTGTTCCCGCATTGTCCACTAACCTCCGCCTTTGTTCTTTCTATCTCTTATCTATCTCTGACTCTTTCCCCCTCCCACCCTCTTACACACCGCATCAGCTAACCATCGAATCCCTCCACGCCCCCAGTCTTCTCCCGCGACCTCCTCACCAACCCAGCCGCCCGCTCCGTCCACGATGTCGCCCACACCATCACCGCCGTCGCCTCCCTTCAGGGCCCCTCGCGCGCCGCCGACTTCATCAAGAAGATTGACGGCCCGTCCTCCGCCACCACCTACGGCACCTACGCCGAGCTGGTCGCCGACCCCAACGTCGACATCATCTACGTCGCCACCCCCACAGCCACCACTTCCAAAACGCCATGCTGGCCCTCGAAGCCGGAAAGAACGTGCTCTGCGAAAAGGCCCTGACCGTCACTGAGTCGCAGTCCCGCAAGCTCGTCGAGAAGGCTAGGGAGAAGAACGTCTTCTTCATGGAGGCCGTGTGGACTCGGTACCAACCCTGGAGTGTCAAGATCCGGGAGCTCGTCAAGAGTGGAGCCATTGGCCAAGTTCACAGGGTCGTCGGTGAGTAACTTGCCTACCTGAAGGATGAAAAAAAAACAAGAGATCGGTCCCCACGAAAAGCCCAAAAGAACAGATGCGCTTTTGCGAGAATATCTTGACCAGGCGCTGCTACACCCCTTTACCATTTATGCGTTAAATCTTGATTTAAAGGAAAATTGCCTCATCTAACTTCTGCTTCCCCTACTACAGCCGACCTGTCCATCGCCGATGCCAAGGATGACGGCAGCCTCACCTTCCCCGACACCCACCGCATGATCAACACCGACCTTGCCGGCGGTGCTCTCTTGGATCTCGGCATCTACTCCTTGACCTGGGTCTTCCAGATCCTCTACCACCTCCAGCCCGAGGAGGAAAAGGAGGCCCCTCAAGTCCTGGCCGCCGTCACCAAGCACACCACCGGCGCCGACGACCTCACCTCCATCATCACCCACTTCCCCAAGCACAAGTCCACCGGCATCGCCCTCACCTCCCTCCGCGTGGGCACCGACCCCGACGGCAACAACAGCGGCGGGCCCTCGATCCGTATCCAGGGTACCAAGGGCGAGATCGCCGTCATCGGACCGGCCTACAGGCCTGAAAAGTACCAAGTCATCAAGAAGGGCAGCGCTGTGGAGACGTTTGACTGCGTCGTCCCCAAGGACGAGGCCCGTGACTGGGGCCACGGCATGTTTTGGGAGGCTGATGAGTGCGCTCGGTGCCTACGGGACGGCAAGAAGCAGAGCGACTCGATGCCTTGGGAGGAGAGCGTTGTCATCATGAGGGTCATGGAGGAGGCGCTCAAGGCCGGAGACGTCCAGTATCCGGAGCTCATCACCACGGATGTCTTTGATCCGCAGAGCCCGCTTAACCTGGGAACCAAGGCGTAGAGAATCCAGGACCGGGAAACGGAAACAAAGAAGTGAGTGGATGGGTGGTGTCAGGGCTTCGGTAGAAGGGGCATTCATCATGCGGATGGGGGTGTAGATTCTCCTCGAGGATATCCTGCCGAGGCATCCGAATACTATCTTTATGCTCCTCATCCCCTTGTCATGATTAAACAAGATGAACTCCGTGTCGTATGTTTGTGTCAGATGCTGAGATGAACCAAAGTGATGCTATAACACGTCTGTTTTGCTGCTTCGCCCTGGCGTTCCGAACTACGCGCCCCGGCACAGGTATACTGGTTCGTAGCGCAGCACGGGTCCTTGAGCAACGGTCAGGGGCCTCACACTTTGGCAAACGGGGTGTGGAGGAGCATCATTAACACGGCAAGTAGAGGTGGGGGACAATGGAAAGGACGAGAGATGAGGCAAAGGGAGGCGGGGAGAGACTGAGAGAGGGACTGAGGTGAAGCGATCACGACACACACGCCCTCGGGCCTCAAAAGGCAGAGAACACCAAACGAAACAAGCATCGCCACAGTCCATCCATGCCCCGAGTGTCAGGATGTCCCTCAGAAACTATGAAGATCACGGTATAAGATGTGCTCCTCGCAACCGTTGAGGAGGCGGGCCATCCTCCAGGTTTCTGTAAACGAAGAAACGGAAATCGCTGCCCGGGAGCTCGATCATCGTCGCCAGTAGGCGAGCAAACAAAGCTCTAAACAATCTTCAAAACACAACCGAGCTTCATGGAGGACGGGCGTCCACCAAGACGACTCCGTCTATGGGAGTCGTGATCCCGGTTAGCCCAGAGGATGGTGAACCATAGGAACGAGGGGAAGAGATTTTCTTATTACGGCCTTCTTATCATGGACGCCCCTCCATCATTTCTCTTATCGGGGCGCAACGGCTTTTCCTTGGCCCCCTTTTTTGTTCAGGAGGAGCATATCTCGCCCGTGCTCTGCGCCATGCCTCCTCGCTAATTTGCATATCGCAGTGTGCAGATTCATGAGGTAGGAAGCCCTGGTAGCGAAGCAATGCCGTGCCCGCAACCAAACTCCAGAGGGGTAAGCAAGTTCCCGTAGGCGAGGATAGCTAGCAGTGTTATAGGTTTGACAAGGAGGGGCACCGAAAATCGCCGTTGCTCGTTCCACATCGACGGAGAGGGAGGAGGATCTTCGGGCTTAGGCTTACCTCTACACTATTTTCTGTCTTTTTTCCTTTTTTCTTTGGGTCTCTTGTTTCCCTTTGCACACCCGATCACGCGGGTTGACAGGCGAAGCGGGTCACTGTAACGATGCACCGAAACATAGATATGTTGGAAGCAGCACTTGGGCACGGCAGCGAGAAGAATGGGAGTGGGACCGGTCGGGGCGATCAATGGGCGACGAGCGTTGAGTAATGGCCAACTCACAAAACCACTCGACCTCGAGGGGCAGAAAAGGGGCGGAAGGGGGTAAAGATTCGCTCAAAGGAACACCTCAATGCCTTCCATGCACCGGGGCGATCAAGAGCAATGTACAGTACAAACTCGAGGACTTGGGTTTGATAAGCAAGATGTGATGGGGCGTGTGCACTAATATGGGCGATCGTTTGGCAATTCGCGGGATCGTCGAGTCGTTTCGAACAGGGCCCTTGTGACAGGTAGCCGCATCTCCTCGCTTAGTTCGCTCTGCAGCTGACAGTTTTCCGAGTCCCGCAATAAGAATGCGGCTCCTCGAGCGGAAGCCACTCACGACATCACCGCATCACGACTTCAACGTCTTCTGGCAGAAGTTGTTATTATAACGTCGGTAGTGTGGCTGCTGATACTCCACCAGCGATGCCGGGTGCCGAAAATGGTCTTTTCAATATTATTAGCGTAATACCGAGGTTGGACGGGTAGGGTTGACCATTTCTTCCGCTGTTGGCCACTTGTGCTGCTAAAATGAGATTTCTGCCTTTTATCATGTTGCATCGCATGGAGCAGACAGGGATCGCGAAACAACGTCGCCGTAGTGGACTGGTAAAAGGTCGCAGTATTGCTCTGCCAAAAAGAAAAGAAACCGTGCTGACGGCGCCAGCATTATTAGGATGAACATGTTGCTTTCGTCAGCGACGGCAGGTCACGGACTAACACGACCCTAGGCAAGACCCTGCTTTCTGCGTCTTTGGCCTCGAGCTATTAGACAGGCTCAAATGCAGGCACCGCATCTGGCAGGATCGCGCAGTGAACACTCCTCCGAACTAATAGCAAGAGAATGGATGGCTTGGCCCGATGCGCTCCCTCTCCACATCTCCACCCCTTGTCACGGCCAGAGTTCATCCGGTCCCCCTCATCCGGCTCGGCGCACTGGCATGCCGATTACTGCCCTGAACTCCAAGAGGGGCTAGAGAAGGGGCAGGTGTTTGTGCATCGTTCGAGGGGACTGAAGCGGTCGTCTTGTGTTTGCCTGTGAGCCCCCTCGCCCACCTTGCCCAATTGTGCGTCAGCCGGCAATGCGTTAATGCGACCGGATTGGGAGGACACGTCCTGGGAAGCAGAGGCCGGTACGATGTATTCGTGGAATTGCAAGCTAGCGAGAATTGATGCTCCAGTGGCTACATGTAGGTATAACGATGGGCCTATGGTGAGTGGAGAGGAGGGTTTGATTAAACCAAGATTCTTCGATTTGTTTGTGATCTTCTTTTGTAGAACAAAACGTTCCATGAATGACCGTACATCTTGTGCAGGCATGGCAATCATCCGCCGGAACGATTTGATCACAATTGGAGGCTGCAGTTGCGTTGCGGTTGCAGTGTCAAAGGCATGGATCCATCTAGAGGCCTGTCCTTGCAGCGGTCCCATTGACCTTGGGCAGCCAAAGGGTTGCGACTCTGAATTTTCCAAGCTTGGCTCGCGTGCCGCTGCCGCTGCCAAATGCCTAATGCCTAATGCCTACTGAGGAAGGGACGACGCCCGCCGAGCAAGCACAGCGTTGGTTGGCTGCGGGGAGATTGGTTTGCAGGAAGCCACAACCCAGGAAGTTGGACCTGTGGGTTTGGGGGCTGCACCTGCCCCATTCCAGAAGAGGCCTACGTCAGCCGCAACGTTGAATTGACGTTCGCTGATGCACGTTCGCGGGATTCACCGCCTGTGATTTATCCGCTTCAATCGCAAACGAACAAACTCGACCGATAAGTGGAGCTAAGAATCCCAACCCACCAAATCGAGAAGAGAATGAATTGATAGATTTGGTTCCTGCGGAGCCGTTGAACAAAAGGATCGATGGATCGATGGATCAATGGATCAATGGATCAGTCCCTGATCCAGCCATTGATGCTCTAATCCACCAGTTCACTGATCTCTGGATGCGTGATGTTTAGTGCTGCTCAATCGAACCGCTCTCTAGCATCGGCTGGACACAGGATCGATGAGCGTGCCGCAGGCGGTTGATCCACTAAACACCAGCGCCAGATCCATTGAGACCTACACCAGCCAAGGGAACATTGAACAGCACAGAATGTTGGGGCCACTGAGAGGCCACTGATGCTCCCGGCCGAGCCAGCAACACGGTTCCTTGGGTGCTGTGTTTGTTTGAAGAGCGGATTTCCCAGCTGCGCCGTTTCCGTTTCTGTGCGACGCCAAGAACCGATTCATATCTTGATCGGCAGCCCCTGGGGAGCCCAGAAGCCCAAAACAGAAACCCCTACATGACAATGGCAGCGTACGCCCCATTCCCCATTCCCTGACCCATTCCCTGACGTCCTGCAGGACCCAACTTCGAAACAGAAACGATCGCCCTCTGTCAACCAAGATTGATCAATCGACAGCCTGCCCGAACGACTCTCCCACAGCCCACCGCCATTGCCCCAGCGCCGACGAACCTCTCTGCTCATCAATCAAGTGATCTACCATCGCGGCACGCCCGACCTGTTCCATGCCCTGGTAATCTCGACAAGGTGCATCGGTCGTCACCGAAAGTGAACGAACCTGTGAAAAAGGGCGCCGCTCACGAGGAACCACTCTTTTTCGGGAATATTACCAAACTCTCTTTTGAGCTTGATGCTGTCTTTGCCCTTGGAACCCGCTAATCACTCAACCCTCAATCAGCCTTAGGATTGCCCATCAGGCCCTTCTCTTTTGGATCCTAGAACCCTGACAAATGTCGGAGGGCTCGCAAGACTCGCCCCCAAAACCTTATTCCTCAACCAGAGACTGCCAGTGCCCACACATCCAACAACTAGCAGTCGAGTCTAGTGGCTCCATTTAGCCCTGTACGTCGGCGGCTCAATTTCGAGCAGATCCTGCCAAAAAAAAAAAAGCCATTTCTTGGGTTCACACCGTTACGTTGAACGACGCTTTTGACATCAATCTCCTCGAGGCCGTCATGCCGACCTCGTCGTTTCCATGGTTATTCGTTTGTTCCTCTTCAGCAATGTCAATGCCTTCAGATCCCGTTGTAATAGAGCGGGGGAGGATGAGGCGGTGGGCGAGCATCATCGATCACAACTGAGGGGATTCGGTGATTCAGCCGCGCCCTAAAACATCCATGGATCAATTTGATCGAACTGTTCCCCTCTTCCCCGCTGAGGCCGTGACGTGTTGCGAAAAGATTCGGGCTCCATAACCCTTGCCTCCCACAAAATAGCCCGAACAAATTAATCGCATCACCCAACCCAGCCCATTGCCATCTCCGGCCAGAACCTTGTTCGCCTCCAAACACCCACACCCCCTCTCAAACAGCGCCCCTCCACAGAAACCCCCGAGTTTGCCGTCTTGTCGCTCCAAAACGAACCACCCAAAACAAGCAAACCAGCAGGGGTGGGCTTTGATAATTAAAACCATTGTAGAATGGGAGTCACGTCCCCGCCAAGGCCACAGGCTTCTCCTGCGTCCGAGCCCGGCTCCGGCGCCGAACCGGTCATCTCCGCAACCAAACCCACCCAATCCCCGGCTGCGGTTGTCGGCGATCACGTACCCGTAGCCTCAATTGCGCCCACAGCCTCAACGCCAGCAACAACCGTAGCCGAGCAGGTACCTGCATCCATCGGTGAACAGCCTCTAGCACTACCGGAGGAGGACCCGGACCACTACGAACAGACACATGTCCACTCAGTCTACGAGTCCATAGCGCCCCATTTCAGCCAAACCCGCCACAAGCCCTGGCCATTCGTCACGTCCTTTCTACTCTCCCTCCCCGCCGGTTCCGTCGGGCTGGATGTCGGCTGCGGTAACGGCAAGTATGTTGGCGTGAATCCCAACCTCACCATTCTCGCCTCCGATCGCAGCGCTTCCCTCTGCCGCCTCGCTCGTGAGAATACTAACCCTTCTCCTCCCCGAGGCGAACCCGGTCACCAGCCTCTACACGGTGCTGACGTCTGTGTCGCTGATTCCCTTTCCCTTCCCTTCCGTTCCTCTTCTGCCGACTTTGTCATCTCCATTGCCGTCGTTCATCACTTTAGCACACCCGCTAGGCGAAGATCCGCCATCGTTGACTTGCTAGACTGCGTGAGGCCCGGCGGCAAGTTGCTCGTATATGTGTGGGCGCTCGAGCAGCGGTCTAGCCGCAGAGGTTGGGACGAGGGTGGTGAGCAGGACCTCCTGGTGCCTTGGGTTATGAGGGGTAAGAAAGGCTCTGGGGGCGCGGCCGATGAGACTTTTCAGAGGTACTACCATCTTTATCGTCAAGGGGAACTAGAAGAGGACGTTGTTGCGGCGGGGGGCAGGTGCTAGAGACTGGGTACGAGAAGGACAACTGGTGGGTGATCTGTACGAAATAGAGGGAGAGAACTAGAACTATTTCTTCTGTCTTGGTGTGGTGCGACGAAGAGCTATGACTTCTAATGCCTTGTTCTTTTTTTTTATTATCAATGCTATGTGTCTAACTTCTAACCTTTTTTTGCCATCTATTCCAACTATCTAATCAGGTATAAATTGGATTCTCCCCATCCTCTCCTCACTGTCTTATTGCTTTTTTATGTAAAAACCCCCGTTAGATGCTGTAAAACTGCGTGTTGCGATATTGGAGACGAGGGCGAAAATGCCAACCTCTACAAAGGGAAAGGCGAGGCAACGCTGTATCGAGATATGTCCTTGAAAGACGAGATAAAAAGCAAGTTAAATAAAAAAAAGCGGAAATATGGAATACCCCGGGCTGGAGCATACAAGAAGCGTATATAAAATGGAAATAGAAGTGAAGCAAGAACACAATAGAAGGGGCCCAACTGTCGAATGGTCGAAGAAGCAGAGACGAAAAGGGAGACAAGAGACTCGCACGGGAGAATCGAAACCAAGTAGAAAGAGCCGCGATATTAAAAAGAAATTAAACCCCCCAAACAAGTCAAGAACAAGAAGGGAGAAAAGAAGGCAAAAAGAAAATGAAGAGGAATAATGAAAAAGAAAGTATAAAAATAAACGAGACTCTTCACGGGAATATAAAGCTTTCCTCGTGTTCGCACCGGAGCCCCCATTTTCCATATCCAAGAGTGTACATTGTCTCCGCGCCCGTCGCCCTCCCCTCCCGGAAAAAAATTTGATGTGTGAAAAAGAAGAATGCTTTCCATCGCTAGTCCCGTTCAAGCTAATCTTGGCTGGATAATCTGAGGGAGAGAGTTAAAAGAGAAATGTATGCTTTGACGGGGGAGGGAAGAAAAGGCGATTTGCTATGCCAGACAAACTCCCAATATTGCCAACCCAATGCATGAGAAAAACCCATTGTAGTACCAGACACCAAACCCTGCGGCTCCCCTCCTCAAGGGGCTTTCCCCAGTTCTAAAGAGAGTTGAGGTGCAATCCTAGCAGTCCCAGCCCCTCCAAGAGACCGCCCCCAGCAAGGTGAGCCATGCTTATTCCCCATCTGTATGAGTCCATGTTGCAACCCTAATTCCTCCATACAATCATCGAGTTGTCGTAAATTCATGCCCACCACCCTTGTTGAGCAAGTTGTCGCGCAATCCGGGTCAACGGCCGGGCGCGGTGAAGGGTGGGCGGCGAAATGTTTCCAGAACGCTTCGAACCCATGTGCAATCCAAACCTAAGCTGTCCTGTCCAGAAAGGTTGAAATAAAATAACAAAAAGTATAAAATGACTCCAAGAAACGCCTGGTGTGGTCGTTGCGTCAATAGCGTCATTATGCAGAAACAGATTCTTTGTTCCTTCGTTTGGTCCTTGGCCGAATCCCCCAGCCCGGAGAGCAAGGCCTCGTCTCGTCTCCCCGGGCTGGGGCTAAGAAATGAGCTAGTGCAAGGCCGCAAAAATAAATAATTAGTGCATTGACCTCCGATCCAGTTCTTCGTACCGCAGGTCCATATGTCTCGGCCGGCTGGGGTCTCTATGCATCATCGTTGGGCTCCCCGGCCGCTTTGAACCTCCGTGAGGCTCGGCCGGCTGGTAGTGCGACATGCCCGAGAGGTAGGGGCTGCCGGCCGAGCTATGCGCAGGGCTTACGCTGTGCATTCCGACAGAGTACGCCGGTGTGCTGTACGGGCTCACTCCAGTCGTGAGCTCAGCGATCCCCGGGAGCATCCCCGAGCCTCTGCTGTGGCTAGCAGGAAGATGAATTGGGGCAAGGCCTGGACCAGGTCCCATCTCCGCGGGTAAGGGGGCCTTTCAAGCATGTCGTGGGGTATTGGCGGCGGGCGGGAAGGCATGCTTTCGCGGCGGCTGGGGCCCGCTCGACTCGGGGAAGGGGGCCATCTGGCCTCGTCCATATCTTGGCGTGATGGCGGCGTCTCGAGAGACGTTTCCGTGCGAGTGTGCGTGGCCATGACCCCGAGAGGGCGAGGTTCTCCTGTGGCCTACAGCGGGGTCGTTGGTGCTAACCGTCGTCAACGAGAAAGGAACCACCCCCGCTCGCCTGGCCATCTCCGCCTCGCCGAGCTGCCAATGCATAGCTTCGGCAGCTCTCCAAGGTACAGCCATCTCCTCCGCAACTCGTGCCCACATTTCCGGTTTGAACCTATCAAACAAGGTGTTAGTTCGTCTAACTTGTCACAGTATAGAAGAGGGCGCACCCGGGCGCCTCTCTTTGTGTCCCAACGAGCGGCGCGTGTAACGCCGGGAATATTACGCATTAACCTACCTTTCGTATAATCGGGCAAGCTTGTTTTTGCGTTCTTCGTCCCACTCACTTCGTCTCTCGAGGTAGTTTTGATAGTGAAGCCGACAGCTAATCGCACTCCGACCAGGAAGCCGCTTAGAGATGTCCTCCCATTTCATACCACTTCCCCGCAGTTCGATAATTAGAGCATCCTCTTCAGCCGACCATTTGCTCTGCTTTTTCGCCGGAGACTCGGCCGAGTGGGGCCCCAGGTTGCGTTTGGCCGCCATTGTTGTCGTCGTCGTCGTTAGGGGAGCGAGAGAGCCTAAGGCAGGGTTCGCTCGCGCCAAGGGAGGCGCGGGAGGTTGAAGCGGAGGGGGCGCCGTGATGATGGAGTGTGAAATGGGAGAGATGTGAGGATTATGAGGCACGTGGGGGATATGAGAGACGTGAGGAACGTGGGAGATGTGAGCTGTGGGAGATGTGGGAGCTGTGAGGAGCGTGAGAGTAGTGAGGAGTATACGTCGCCGCGGCGACGGGAAGAGCAGCTGTGACAGCCGTGGTGGGCGGTAGCTCGAACGGCGTCGAGGCGGTACGTGGGGATGGTAGTCTTGTTCTGGGAGACGTTGTAGACTCCGTTGAGCCGGAACCCTCCAGTAGAGCAGTGATATCCACCGTGACGGTTAGGTTTCAACCCAGAAGCCGACACTGGGAGGAGCCGATGGTGGGGTTGTGGTCGGCTTCTAGATGAAAAGGTAGATGGAGGAGAGGCGCCAAGTTTTACGGGGATGTGCGCCGCCTCGAATGCGGAAGACAGCGGGCCTTGTCAACTTGCTAGACCTGACTTTTCGGAGAAGTCGGGAGTAAGCGGGTGGTATGAACTCGCAGCGGGCGAGACGGGAGTGGTGAGGGCCGTGGGTAACTTGAAGGCGCAGGTGTATGGATAGTGGTGGCTACTCGTGGAGAGCAGGCTTGCAAAGGAAGGTGTGTAATCGCGGTATATTTGTCCAAGTTGAATCTCGATCCCAGTTCTCACAGACACGACTCGCGTCTAGTTAAATGGATAAACAAAAGCGGCGGCGGAGTGGGTGTATTCGGGGAGTCGTATCTCGAAGCTGTGTCTGGTGGAGGCACCAGCGGCTGGGCTTGCTGCTCAAAAGAGGGCTCAAAAGAGGCGAGAAGGGATGGCTAAAGTGGTTGACGAAAGAAAAGACTGGGACATTACTACTGTGTTGCCCTCATTACTTATGATTGGCGTTTCTCTTCGGCCAATCGACGTAGTGGTGGGTTGTAAGCTTCGCTTGGGGCAAAACTGCCGGGAGTACCAGTCCGGTGCAGAATGGTGGTCAGTACCAGACAAGAAGTCTCTCTAAGAGTCCAGCCTTAGATCAAGATAGTCAGGTGCTGGTTGATGACACGTTCCAGGACGATATCATGACAGTTTGGTTCTTCCAGTGTGTACGTAAGGGTTGGCCGTCTATCTAGCGATGAGGAAGTTGACAAAAGGGATGGAAGTTAGAAACAGAAGAGAAGGTCGAGCAGGTGTGCTAAGTTATGTATGTCAAGGTATGTGCCTGTGGGATATGTAGCGGGTATAAAGAAGAGAGAAGTGGTTGAAATTGAAAGCTGGGGACTCGATTCAAAGTATGTAGTTTAGGAAGGAAGAGTCGTAATGCGCTTGGAGCAACGAGGTAAAATGGAATAGTAGATGGATGAGGGACTAATTAGAATGAAATCACTGCCTTTTGATACGAGGAAGGCTATTGGGGGTGGAGAGCTCTTATGGATGAATGGGTTTGCGGTCTTTGAGAATCAGATGGCAAGGATAGCTTGTGGAGATGGGGAGGAAGGGGTCTATAAACCAAGCCAAGTCGATGCACTTCTCAGCGAACCGGACTGGGGTCTCTTGGATTCTTGTTGATGATTCCCTGCTCCCGAATTCTAATGGAGGGGAGTTGATGGGAGGGGAGTATGTTCTCCAGCCCTGGGGAACGGACGGGGAGGGGGGAACGAGAGTGAGAGGGGGCGTGGACGAGCAAGCAGTGGGGGTGATGTTGTGGCCCTCGCAACACGCGTGTGGTTGTGAGGATGCTCAGAGCAAAGCTCGATCAAGCTGTGATGAGGTCACGACGATGGGGTACGGCTTGCGGGAGAGAGGGAGGGGTGGGCAGAACAGAGAGAGAGAGGGGACAATCTCCCATCACAGAACGGGGTGGGCTATATGGCCAGCGACATAATGGACTGAGAGACGGTGTCGTTCAATCCGTGTCGGGAGGAAAGGGTGTAAGTCATCCAGCAAGAAGAGAAGGGAGGAAAAGGCCCCAAGGCTCGCTCAAGAGTAGTTAGCCGCAGCATGACCGACTGGGCCTTCCAAAAGGCGACCATTAATGCCAAGCGTTACCGTGGTACGGAGCTCTAGTCGGGCCAGGACCACACGAGGCGATGTCTGGGTATCCACCAGGTGCTGGATGATACCCCAGGGCAGGGAGAAGGAAGGAGAACATCCACACGGGGGTGAAAACGTGGAAAAGGAGGAAGAAAGAGAGACACCCCTCCTGGAAGCCCCAGATGTACTGTACCAGGACACAATGCGATCAAGTTGGAGGAAGGGGAAGGAGGGGGCGTGGTCTCGTTCAGTAACGACACGATACCCCGGCCCTGATTTGTTATATGCACCCCTCCTCCGTTTCGGGCTCTGCGGTTATGGAAGAAAAAGAATTTAGACCCTGGAAGACCCAGACCAGACCCTTTCTGAGAAAACCGGGATCGACGTGTAAAATGCCGGTTCATTGAGTCTGAGCCAGAGAATAGTGGAAGAAAGCGGGTTCCTGGTGAATGTGAATCAGAATCAAGGAGCGGGCCTTGCGCTCGTGGAAGGGGATTTATTTGATTGATGTGATGGCGTACGTTCCCAAACACAATTGGAGAGCCTCTGGTCACTCGAGTAGGGTTAGGCAAAACAAGCCTGACCGACGGCCTAACAGCATGGGCTGCCGAAGCTAGCTTAAGGTTTTAAGTGCGTGCCCAGGATCCGGCAGCGTTCAGATGGTTTAAGGGACTGGTTTGGTGTCCGGGAGAGGGAGGGGAGCAAGGGATTGAGGTCGAGGGGTTTGGAGAACAGTGCTGTGCACTATGGAGTTAACAGGCGTCCGAGTGTGCCCAAGCCCAACATCCATTACGGATGCGGCTTGGTGAACCAACTAGATCAGCTACCGTAGATGAACTGGTTTGTACAAGCAAATCCAGGCACCCGATCCCGATCGTTCATCCTTCTTTTCGTCCCTCGCTTCTCTCGCCCTTGCGGATATTAGTCTCGTGGGGAAAGGGGGCGCCATCCGCCACAGGCTTGGCCAGACATCAAGCCTTGCTGGTGCTGGGCGGATAATTGGAGGCAGGCATCGGTTGGTGAGAGCCACGATGTATCCTGAAACGAAGAGGGGCTGCCGTGGTCGACTGCACATAAGCATGCGCCGGCGCGCCGAACTTAACCAGAGGCGCTTGGTGCCGGCCCCAGTACACCCGATAGTGACAGCGGGAGTGACAGCGGAAAATGAATGAGAACATTGAAGGGGGTCCGAAAGAGAGCCCAAGATGGTCCCGCGATACCATAGGAGATACCGAGGTAGTAGGCTCAGAGATACTTTATTTTTTCCGCGCCTAGCATTTCCAATCGTTGCTACATTTAGAGAGACTCTTCGAATGGGTTCTTTCCCTTCGTCTGGCTGGTTCTTCGAAAAGATTGCCCGATACCAGCCATTGTCCTTCATAATGGAGGATGGAGGACAGGCCAGTCTCTTTCGAAGGCGCCCGATCTTAATTCCTTGATTGAGAAGAATAAAGAGAATAAAGAGAGGAAGAATCATGGGAGGAAAAGAAATCCCCCACCATGCCGAGGTATAATTACCGCTCTTCAGTCTTTTTTTTTTTTTTTTTTTCTTCTTGTTTTGTTACTGTTTACGGACCTGATGGATTGTTGCATCTCGGGCAGAAGACATTTCTTGACGCCCTTTGCCGATAACCATCCCCACCTTTGCCCGTTCCCCAAGGAGAGAGAGGTTGATGGAAAGAAAACCTATTATCGTGAAGCATGAGGGATTCCCTTCCGTTGTAACTCGGGGTTTGCTTTACAGGTGTGTCAGATTTGGCGGGGCGGGAGGGTAATCAGGCGTCAGTTCACTCGTTCAGGACCCCCTGCGAATTGTGTTCGGAGTTTCTACCGTTCGTGATTTGTTTGCGAGCGAGAGTTGGTGTCGAACTGAGGATCCGATGATCCTTACAAGCGAGCGTCCAAGCTCGAGGATTTCTATGAATTCATTGTGCTCGGGTCCCACGGTTGGGAGACAAAGGTGTTTCGCCCAGATCACTTCGAGGAGCCAGTACTACACTTCCGGTGTTTGTGGGCATTCAAGGGGTGCGAATCATCGGGGGAACCACTGGAGAAGAGGCTCGAGAACGCAGTGATGTCTGTGCGCCCGACTCTGGGCGACTCTTCCGAAGGAAGCATCTTTGGCAGGGTTACCGATGCTGCGTACGATTGGCCATTCTCGCCAGCACAACTACTCGCCTGGGGCTGTTTTCCATTTTCGTCTTCGAATGGGGCTCAACATTCCAAAGAATCCGACGGAGGTTCCGGAGACGAGGGGTTGTGGCGGCAGCCAGTCAAGCCCTGCACGGGAGTGAGAAGCCATTCAGGCAACAGTCTCCCTCATTTATTAGCAGCACGCTGATGGATGGGAAAGCATGCTCTCTCGCCTTATTCTTCAGCTCCTTCCACTCTCAAATCATTTGATTTGGGCTCACCAAGAGGAAGATCTTAATGCCTTGCAATCTGCTTAGCGCTGATTGCCCCATTGATCGAATGGCGCATTTTGAGCATTACATATTTAATGCTGCATGACATTGAAGCTGCCCTATCCTTGGTCTATATGTGGATTTTGTTATTTCTTGATGATGGTCCGTTATTATTTGTACCTGACGGCGGAATATTATTAGTTCACCCGAGAAAATTTCAACCCTCAGCCGTCAGTCTATTGATTTCGACCACGGGGTTATTCGCGCTCTCATCTCATTGTTTTGCCGTCAGGGCTCTCTCCTCTCTTCCTTGCTGCTTGGAATCGATATCGAGATACCGCTGTACGCTGCTTTAGTGCAGTGCCGCGGATGGGGACCGAGACATACTTCTACGAGGATGGGGAATTGTCGAATGGATAACGCCAGCATAAGGTTGCAGATATTGGCTTCTGAGGCTGGTAGTCTGCGGGCGACTGGCGGAAATTTGCGAAGAGCCACC